CGCCCGCCCACCGCTTCGAGTCTTCCCGACTGCTCTCGCTCCTCCACGACGCTGCCAGGTGCCTCTGGTCGATTTCGGTATATGAGATATGTAGAGACATATTGCACCTTAGGTTTCAGGTTTGAATTTCTGCGCCGATCAATGCACCCCTATTGGCAATGTCACAACCATGATTCCATTCCAGTCCGACGGCTCACCTCATTTACTCTTTGGAAGCTGCAAAACTCTATTCTATCCGCGTTCTCGGAGTTGCGTTGGAATGGGGGAAATGTCCGTCTAGAACATGCAGTCAGACGCCCCAGTCTCTGCCCAGCTTCTTCCAACTTCGACAATATGATGTCCCCGGATTGGCTCGTTTTCCCAAGCCGACGAGCCGCGAAGTCCAGGTCATTCCCGACTCCAAACGCCGGCCGGCTGTGATCTTGATTAGTCTTCTTCATACTACTCCATACTCTGTCCCTCCGGATATTGTTGGGCACGCTATGAAAAAGGTCCAAATCGTCTCCCCAACAAAGCGGTACGGTTACGGGGCAGCCAGACACTCCTGCATTATCGGAGTATCATCAAAACATTTCTCTGGTATGGCACTAATCGCATTTACAGTCCTTCTCGCCCGCATTACCTGGGGTCACTGTCGCAGTCACTCGATTGAGACAGGATATTGCCAATTTTAGTCATAGTTCCGACTGCGTCCATCCGAACGCTCAACGATAACTTGAGCAAGCCCAGAGAATTGCCCTATCATAGGTGTCTTCCTAGCTTCTCCGTATGGAGACGATAAAACGACATGATTCGTATGCCCTGCAAGAAACTTGCATCTTGCGTAACAAAACTTGGATTCCCCCTAGGCCAACTTGCAAGAGGCCATTAATAATTTCTGCTCCGCCATGGTTTGAACACACCTATTCGGCTCAAGGTAAAAGGGCCTATTGATTTAGTTTCACTTACAAGCAGACTGGCTGCGAGCCTACTGCATCGCCACAAACGGCAGCAGACATCTCTTTGTTTTGGGAGACTTTTGATCAACTTCGATAAGTATTTCGTCCCATGCATCCCAATCGGCTTCAGATGGTTTTGAAAAATGTGACTATTTAATCTACGTTACCCTCGGCCTCACCTATGAGCACTGAATGTGCGTCACATTGACAAACCCGGTACGCAGGATACACGGACCTCCGGAGGCCCAAATCAAGCTACTCATTACTTGCTCTGCTTAGATCCTCGTTGATTTGTGTGTGGACTCCTGTTCTATTGAAGAATAGCCAATTTGCTATGATTAGCAATGATTGCAACGTTGCTTGTTGGCAGGCGATTCGCCCCTTTTTGTATCACATTTGCAAGGATGAAGCCAGATATCTTCACGCTGTTTGGTTTGGTACAATTCGTGGCCTATTTTCCAGTCCAACACACCTGATTGGAAGTGGTAAGAATCTCATATCATCGTTTGGGTTTGGGAGTTGGAGGACCAAGGGCTTGTTTTGCTATTACAGGTTGCCATTATTATACAGTTTTTCCAAGTATCTTCAACCATCGATATCTTGGCCTGCCGGCATTAGCCTTCCTTCCGGCAATGTCAAGTCTCCTACTTTGGACTGAGAGGTATACTGCGCGCTGGCCAACAGTTCCGCGTCGTGAAGATTGTGCAGCGGTTGGCATTGAGTGAGTGATGTTTTCTGCCATTTCTATGAGATTACATGAGGTTACAGCCATTCTGAGTGGTATATTCTACTTTAGTCCTCTTCTCCAGCGCATCTTTGTTTACGATCAGCTGAATACCGGTAGTATGCCGAGGCATTTCTATCGTCTATTTCGTTAAAGTCCTTGCAAGGACTTCTTCTAATAATAATTGTTGTCGCACAATGTTGTCCGACTCATTTGCATTGCTGCGGCTTGATAATTGGGGTTTCATTCCGCGGCCTCTATGCCAGAATCATATACCCTCTTTTTTCGGCCATTTTCCAGTCACATGCTCATTCTATCCAAGGATGCATAGCGGTTCGGCTGCATGAATTCTAGGCCTGCATCTCCAAGCTGGACGCGGCCTATAATCCTGTCGCCTTCCTCGTAATCTCCGCGTGACTGCTTCTCAAAGAAACCACCACACAGGAGGGTAGGGCGTTTAGCCTTATAATGTGATCTTTTTTGTTACCTCGTATTTTTCTTTTTGAGCTTATAGTTGAAGGTTCTCTCTTTAGGCCTATATGAATAAAAGGACAGAGGAGGCTGAAAGGACTTAAACACAAGGAAAAAAATTCCAGAACCTCAAGAGGTCCGGCATCTGTTGCTCATGTACCACGGTCATTAGGGTTGGGCGACCATATCTCGGATGATACCAACCACGAAACTGTTTCTTCAACACAAGCAGGTACGCCTTTATCAGAGTCTCTTGAGAAGAACGATGATGTCAGATGGAGATTTGAGCTTCATCAGGATTGATCTTCGCTCTGAGCTCCCGGATTCGGCGTAGCCGACTATCATGGAAGAGCGAAGGGTTATGAAAGGCCGGTTATTGTCTCACTGCGCCCGTTTGGAGAAAACGTGGACAGATCAGCGTCCGAATGAAAGATGCCATGGTGTGCACCGAACCGCTCATTGTGGTGATAGGCGGGATGCAAAGGAAGTCGGAATTTCTGGCTGTGGGGTACAAATTTGGTAGGCTGACGAAGAGTGTGTAACCCATTGGTTCCTTTTGTCCTGATGATAACCCTACACCCCCTTCTTGGTTCACATATTAGCAAGCGCGGATTAACCAGTGAAGTGGATTCAAATTGTCACATAATGCTCCGATCCGAGACCATGTGTAACACAACTGGCTAACATGAATGGGTATAGGATGTCTATACAATCTTAATAAAGTTGATATATATGCGTTTTCGCTTTTGTCAGTCGGTTTTCAAAGGGTTTGCTTGTTTGACCCTCACCCCCTCTCTTGCCGGCTGGCCCCTTTCCATGTGGGCTACAACCGCCAGCACTTTTCTCGCTGCGTCTACGGATTTTGCCCCCCGAATTATCGAATCTTTATTCTTTTGGGTCCTTGCTTAATCCCCCCCCCCCCAGGCTCTGGCTCCAGTTTCTCATATCCTGGGCTTTTCTTTTCTTTTCTTTTCTTTTTCCTTTTGCCCACCGCCACCCTAACGCAGGCCTTCACAGTGGGAACGTTTGCGACAAAACCTAGGCGCTCGTCCTATGGCCCCCCTACCCTTGCTGATAAGTTTGCATCCCATGTACCTGCCCTTGTGCTCTGTAACTATCGATTGCCGTTTGCATGCCTCGGTTCTACGTTGCGGACACACCCGCCTCCATACCCACGTACTCCGCAACTATTCTGCCAAGCGCTTGCAAGGCGCTCCCGTTAGGTAGGCAGGTTTGTCGGCGTAGGCCGAGTCCGAAGGTCCGCAGGTAATCAGATGCTCCTGTAAGGGATGGATGTGGATCCTGCAGATGGAAGTCGGAGCGGAGATGGAGGTTATTTCGCCCACTAAGGTCCCATTAGGCTGGGATTTGTGGTGGACTGAGTCAAGAAAAAGGGTAATATCCGCAAGTTTCTGGTTATTTCGAAGAGACACCAGAAGATTTCCTTTTTATTCCCTTCTTTTTCTTGACCAGCTACTATAGTGAACGATCGCAAAACGATCTTGGATTCGTTGCGAAGATGAGAGCATCAAATTAGGTAGCATCTCGTAGTAGCATCCTCTGAGTAAAAGACAAAGCCACAGCCAACGGCGACTCCCGGCAGTTAATAACTGAGGAGCTGCCGTGAGAGCATGAGAGGAGAAAGTTTCCCTTTTTCCTTGCGTTGACTGAGTAGTACCCTCTAAGTCAATCAGGATCCGGTCTGACCTCCTGGTGGTTGCACCCGTTTCCGGAGAGATGGGGTTAGTATTATCATTGTCTTTCAGTCTAGGAGTCGATGTGAAGCAAACACCCTCTCCAAGGGTGAGCGTCGGCCTTCTAGCCTTGCCGTTCGCATCCTGATGTCCGGTTTCGGGTCGCAAATCCGCGGGGCCGGATAGGGAATGGATCAGAGCCAGAGCCAGAGCCGGGGAACCGCAGCCTTTCCTTTGGGGGGGCGGCGGTGAAGCGCCCCTACGTGGAGCGTTTTGACAAGATCCCAAGAAAGTAAGATTCTATCCCTCGCACCGCAGACGGAAGGGAGGATGAGCGCGGAATTTAGGACCTCGCAAGGCGGACTGAGTGAATCCCCCCGTAGAAGTCGATAGAGAAAAACGTCAGATTGAATCCACGGTCGGCATGCGGGAAGACGAGGCGCAACAAGACCGCGTGCTGCCTAACTGACTCGTTAAACGCCTGTTCTGCATACGTACACATGTCATCTCTCGCTTGCCGGTCGCCTTTCCATTTCGATCCTTCATTTGCATCCAGGCTGCTCATGTTGGCATTGAGGCGGACCGTCTCTTCACTCCGTAACCAACGCGAACGGGCCTTTTGCCGGAATAGCAGAAGGTTAGTAAAGAGTTCACTGGCGGAGATGCATACTCTGCCACCCTATACATGCATGACATGGATCAAATGGCCTTTGTCAAACTTTCCCCGGTAAACCGGCAAATTTTTGAAGATGATCGCCCGAACCGTAATCCAGTAACGAAGCGCTGGAAATCCAGAATCCCAACTCAAAGCGAATTTCTTGGTAATACATCACTAGCCAAATAACGCAGTCAGCCGGTGGACGATGAAGACAAGGCGCGGATATCCAAGTTGTAAACTTAATTAGTTTTAACCGTGCATCAAACCCGTTCCACATCAATCAAAAGGGAATGTCACAAACTCCTTGCTTGACAAGCCCCCAGTTCAAAAGAAATCCGGCTTTTGTCTCATAGCTGTGAGCAATGATTCCTTGGACAGCCGTTAGGTCGTGATACGATCGCAGATTCCTTGGGCTGGTTTGAGGAGGATCTTCGTACGCCGGTTGGATGTCAAAGCACAATGATTATGGAGGGGCTAAATCACATAGAAATTTTCTATTTAGCAGTCATCATTATCGACAATTTCTGGCCATAAGCATGAGAACAAATTTTGGTGAGCTGAAAAACAGGCGCCAGCTAAGTAAGCTAGTTTAGAGAGAATAATGGGAAACACAGAGGTAAACGAAGACCCGTTAAGAGACGTGAATAGGCTAAAATCATAAGAACAATCATGTCGTCTTCTTTGCGAACTCGACTCGGAGAATTAAATGTCGATAGCCAACTACGCATCGTTAGCATAGACTTCGAGCATGAAAGATATAAATGTTGAACTTACAGCCGTCCATCTTTTCGCAAGCTCGAGCAGCATCCGCTCTATCAGCAAAACTGATAAAGGCAAAGCCCTTAGCCATATTGGTTTCTTTATCCTTGGCAAGGAAAACTCTTGTAACATGGCCGAATCTGCCAAACATATCACGAAGCTCTCCTTCTTCAGCGAGTTCGCTGACCTATATCAAGCAGTTAGCACCAGGTCACCATATTTCCAAGTGTTGTCGTATGAGGCCACACTCACATTTGTGACACGCAGTGTCGCCAGCTCATCCCTCTCATATCTACCGGCCATCTTCTCTCCACCAGAACCACCCTTTCTAAGCGCAGGAGGGACATAAGCGGTCGCACCACTGCCCAAAGCGCCCGCGGGCCGTTCTTCATCTTCATTATCGCCACCAGTCGGACCAGTAGGCTCATCAACTGGCGCCATGGTATCCTTGAAGGGACATCTGGCCGTGAAATGCTCTCCACTACAAATACGACATTTCACCTTCTTATCCTTGAGCTGATCCTTCAAACCGCCCTTCTCGCCACCAGCCTTCTCCACCTCCTTAGCCTGAGCTTTCCAGTTCACCGAGGGCCTGAATATAATATTCTCTCCCACCGATGTGGTGTCGAGAGACGGACCAGGAGCATGGCCCTTCTCGAGGCCGAACTTCGCCCACGCTTTGCGCTCCGCGACGCGAGGATTTACGTGCTCTTTGACCACGGTTGTGCGAATCCGCCGGGTAGTCTTGACCTTCTTGCCATCATCATTGAATCTGTACGTTATCACAGTCTTCGTGCCATCTTTGTTGGAAATAACCTGCTGTGGGGGGAGGGAGGCGGCTTCGTCGAACTCTTCGTCGTCCGCCCAATCGCCAGCGCTGCTATCACACAGTTGTTATTAGCAAAATTCAAGGGAGCAAATGCGGAAAAACCTTACTTTGCTAACCGGGACATTTTCAGCACGTTCTAGGGGTTTTGTTCTTTGAGTGTAAAGCTGTGAGAAATTAACGATCGATGATCGAATTATCGCATTTCGGTGTGCAGTCAGATAATCTCGATTGGGTTTAGCACCGGAACCCCCGTCGGTCCGTTTAAGCTTTTTTCTGCCGCTCACACCTCGATGCTAACCGTATTTGGATCAAACAGCCCTAATTTGTATAGCTGGGCATTGACGACTTATTCCTCTCATTCAACTCTGACAACACCTCATAACACATGCTTGCTGGGGATACGAAAGATAGCAAATCGTAATCCTTTGGTACGGTAAAAAATTGAGTTGTCTCCGGCGGCCAAAGAGATGTTGGGGGCTTCCTACTTAACAGCAAGTTATCTCTGTAAGGGGTTAACCGAATTGTTTCTTTTTTCTTTTCTTTTCTTTTTTTTGGGAGAAACCCGCCAAGCTCCCTCACACAAAACATATCTTCCTCTGGGATCATTCTAGGCACTTACACAGCTACTGATAGCCAGATTGTGATCGCCGTTGTTCTAGCTCCTTCATTAAACTATGGCTGGGCTTGTTTAAATGATACCATAAAGAAGTGGATTTGCACTGAGGTCTTGTACCTGGTACTCGCCCATACATTTTCAATAGGGTATCAAAGTTCCAACGAAGTTGCAACACCTCTCTCCTTGCTATGCTGAAAATCCCTGCACTCGAAATCCTTGAGTTCAAGGGAATTGCGCGGCGGATGCTCTCTCATAACCTGTTGTTCAGACAACGCTATTTAGGCTTGCGCTTGCAGGTACTGCTATATGGCCAATGGTCAAAGCTACGCGTGTGAGCTACGCTCCTCCAGCGCCGACTCTAAGGTCATTGTTTCCTTTAATGCAGACATTAGACTTAACGATATTATATTGAATGATAGGATTCAATATTGGCCCGAAAAGGGCTGGATGGTGTCCGGACGTTCCGATATCCTGTTCTAATATGTGGCCAGCCAGTATGATGGCTGGCAGGAGTGGATGCAAGCACCTACGGGTACTTTGAGACTCCTCATTTTAAATATTATAAGGCCCTCGACTCCTCTTGTGGCGGAAAAACGGGTCATTTCAGGTTTATGTGAACGCAAAATGTTGCGTACATTTCGTCGAAGCGTGCAACTCACTTGCAAAGCTCCTAGCTAGACCTGCCCCATGGTTTGTCAACGCGAATATAGCGAAAGAACGCGGTTCGCTACGGTTTCTTAGGAGATTTAGATCCTACAATCTTCCCATGCTCGTCATGATATGCCGCTCAACTTCAAATCTCAGTGTTCTTCGCCAAAGGCGACATTGGCCGCTTCAAAATCAGGAGAACGGCATGCTGCTCTACTAGCTCGAATAAGAATCCTGAGCTCATTGGATGGCGGCGCGGGTGTTCAGCGATGCGGTCAATATTTCCGTGCGTCGCATTTCGAATTGAAAAAGCGAAAGGAGTTACTCAGAGAAATCAAATTAGTTTCTGAACAGCGGTCTGAAGACCGAATAATGTTCTACCCGACCTTAAAAAAAGGTTTCGCAGCCTCAATACGTCGTTTAAACACGCTTTGAGTTATCAAAACGGGAGTATCTTCGATATTCCATTCTTTGATAGTATTTGTTGCCTTGACGTTTCCCTGATGCGGAGTTCCGTGCGGCCGTATCGCCGCTTTCCTTAGACAATTCCCTTCACGGTTTCAATTTTTGTCTCCTTCACCATGATCGCCTCTTGCCTGCCCCGGAGTCACTCCGTTCTTAGTTATCAAGTAGTGGTCCCGCTTGGCCTTACATATTCTGGATCTGGCTTTTACTTCTTGTTTCTATCTGTATCTCGATGAAGCCTACTTTGCTCAAGACTAACTACAAATCTGGGGATGGCCACCAGTTTCTGCAATGAGGGAGGAGGCGTAGGATATCGTTTATTTCTTAGGAGCGATATGGGGGTCTCCTATCACACAAAATCATCTATACTTTTGGGTTATTTAAAATGTCATCAAGGAATGCGAATTCTCTGCTATCAGTCAAAGGCATCAGGACATCCACTTTGCATGCTAGTGTGATAGTTTATGAGCCTATCTTTATCTCCCATTTCTGACATATGCATGAGTCGATGGAGCTTTTATTGAGGCTTGCTTGGATGTTTTCATAACCGCTTGTGCATTTGTGAAGCAAAATACTCCGTACAATGCCGCGAGATATTAGGGAGTCTAGGCCACCAAGATCCACAGCTTGACATCCGGCTTGGCCGAGGACCCCAAGAACCTCGGTGCACCTCCTCCTTTGCACTGCCGGATACGGGCCTTGTTAACTATGAGTGGCTCGATTTTTAGGATGAGGAATAGAGGAGCTCAAGCGCCCCCAGTTATGTACCCTGGCGTTTTTCGGCGGGAAACGCGACAAAAGGTCCACATGCTGGTGTCCTTAAATGCAGATAGCATTGATAGGAAGGTGTTGAGAATCATAGAATAGCTCAGATTTCCATGTACGTAGATAAGAAGAGGTCATGATATATACAAATCCGTTCCCAGTACTCCAAATAGACATCTCTTAATTGCCTTGATGAGGAGTCAAAAGAAATATGCAAAGTCAACAAAATTTAATATGCATTTACAGCTTGGATATCATGCCGTTGCCCTTCTTAAGCCAGGCAACGGCATCACTAACGAGCTCATCAACAATAGCTTTAGCAGGCTTCTTCTCGTTGACAACGGCAGCAGCCTTACCCATCAGGTGTGGGCGGGCATTATCAAGGGTATCATCATCGACATCATCGCCGAGGTTCTCGAAATCATGCTCAACAGGGATAACACCCTTGCTTGTGAGCTCCTTGATCTCCTGGGCGCGGTTCTCCTCCCAGTTCTGGATGTATGGGTTCATGCGCACACGCATAGGTCGTCCCTGAAGATTTCCCGTCAGCAAAACAAATTCCTTACAACTAGAGCAGCCGGGGAGGCCTTACAGTGAAGATAATAGTTCGGACATTGTCATCAAAGCCAGCGGTTCTAACGGCTTCTTGGTGTGCTTTAGGAGCACCGGCTTCGTCGGAGAGGACGAATCGGGTACCAACCCAGACACCGGAAGCACCAAGCATCAAAGCGGACGCAACGGACTGGCCGCTGAAGATACCACCGGCAGCAACTACCTGGACTGGCTGACCGGTCAATGGACTCTTGTGGCCCTTGACGAGCTGGGCAACAGTTGGAATGAGAATGGAGGTGGGAGTATCTCCAGTGTGGCCACCACCCTCACCACCTTGGGCGCAAATAATATCAACACCAACATCCAAGCACTTCTGCACATGCTTTGGGTGACCGATCATGTTCATGTAGAGGATTCCAGCCTTGTGGAGGCGCTCGACAACGTGCTTTGGAGGAACTCCAACAGCGGAAACGAAAAGCTTAGCACCGCTGTCGATGATGATAGAGACGAGCTCGTCGAGTTTTCCCTTAGTATAATCGTAGCTAGCTCCAGTGAGTTCCTTTTCCATCTTTGTATTTCATGACGCTCTCGTATCCTGAAACTTACTTGGTCTTACGAGCGTTGCCTCCAACCTGGGGGAGCAGGAGATCGACACCGAAAGGCGCATTCTTATCATTCAGAAAGCTCTTCAGCTCTTGTATTTGGTCCTTGAGCATCTCTGGAGTATAACCAACACCGCCGATGACACCCATGCCACCTGCATTGGTGACGGCTGCGGCAAGCTTAGGGCCGGCAGCAACGTTCATACCAGCCAAAAGGACTGGGTGGTTGATCTTAAGTAGATCGGTGAGAGGAGTGCGAAGTTGCTCTAGAGAAATTTTTCCAACCGTTAGCAGGTGACGATCTACAAGATGCAGCGAGCACAGGAGCGGGTATTGTACCGGGCGATCTTTCGGGAAGACTTACGAGGAGAGGCCATTTTATTTGGACGTGTGCTTTGTACTTCTCGGAGGGAGTGTGAATATTACAGATCGCAGCGATATAACGATGGATGTTAGATGGAAGTTAAAGGGAGGGGACAGAAATCTCTGGGAAGGCCGTGCTGGCGAAACGAGGTTGAGTAGCTATTTAACATGCCTCGTGCGAAACGGGGCTCGGGCGGGCAGCCAGAGAACAGCCTCGGCATCTACGAAGGTTCATGCGGATCCAAATCGCCGGTCGGGGTAACTTTCGTAAACCCACTCAAGTCGCTCGCCGCGCTGTTGCTTGGAACCTTCACGGCTGCGTCGAGGAAACCGGTCTTTCGGCCAGGAACATTACGATTTCTGGCGTCAAAACTACCTTGCCAAAAGCCATCGGACTACGGAGTAGAGAGCACTAATAACACAGCTGGAATCGCCATCGTCGTCGGATTATTCCTTTGTTTGCTTGTCCAATCCGCAGAACAAAGGGATTCGGTGTTCCTCGCCGCTTGTTTGAAGGAGGAAATTGGTCGAAGCTTAGCTAGTGGTGGCTGCAAGGATCTAAACGGGTGTTTCGCGTCTGGAGTGCTGCCACATCCATAGCTCATTCCTATTCGCAAAGAATGCCGCTTTCTGCTTGGGATCGTACCCTGCTCTGGTGTACTGACACTTGTTATCCCAACGTCTTGATGGCGATGTGATACATGATTACTATCGCGGATGGTTTTCAGAAACGAAGCAGTATTTGCAAATATTCATTTGCATACACTTTTAACTACCCTCCGCCATCTGAATCGCTTCAAATACCTTTCCCAAACACCACGAAAATTCAGCTGGCAGCTGTGCTCACAACGGTTGATTGGTCGTTGTTGACATGACGTTTGTGAGGAGACGACAGGTCCCATCATAGGAAACAATCGCACCAGCAGATGAAAAAAAAAAAAAAAAAAAAAAAAAAAAAAAGGAAGTCTCAAAGCCCCTCGTTGTGTCAACCATCTTCACATTCTCCTTGCTTGAGCTTCGGAAATAGCGCTGCCCACTGGTATGTCAAGGCAAACGTGGTATCGCCGGTTGCGCGGCTGGCACAGGCTCTGGGCGTGCCCCGGTGTGTGGAGTCGCAGATGAAGAAGCACGCGCTTCCTGCCGACCGTAGGGCCTAGGAGGAGGATCGAAAGGGTGAGGACGCGACGTGAGAAGATCAATGAACGATGCTGCCGTAGTCGTGACTTCGCGGAGCAAGCGTTCGGCGTCAGCATCGAAGGTGACGACTTGAGGAAGGGGAGTTGGGGGGTAACGAGCCCGGCGTTCCTCGCTAATTAAGGGTCAGTAAGGACATACGGAACAGACAGCAATTCGATAAAGCTCACAGATACAGAGTTGCTGTGTCCCTGACCAACGGGCCTAGGCAAGAGGTGATGAAAGGCGGCGCAGAAACCAGGAGCACCAGGAAGACCTGGTCCCTCAAATTGATAGAGCCAACAGCCCTGAAAACTTGGTCAACCAGAGAGCTCATTCTGACACTGTGGATTGATATTTTGATGATGGATTGTGATAATTTGAGTGAATGAAAGCGAGAGGAGACAAGGAGGTAACGGGGCCTGTCGTGCACCTTAAAAATATGGCCCTGTGACTCGCACCATGCTCATCTTAGACAATGCCCTAATGTATTGGGACGCATCGCGTTACATCTCCAGCCGCTCAGGACAGTTGACGACTAATCTGAGCTATGGCCTAGGAGCATTGGGAGTCATCAGATCATGGTTGTGTTTTTCTGACTGGTATGTCGGCCAAAACACAGTCTTCAGGGAAGAGAGACACTAAGCTCCTTAAGAAATTCATCTACTTTAATATCTCAATAGGAATGTGATTGAACTTCTATGGGTACGTACATATCCGGCATCAGGAATGGAGCTGACTGGACTAGGGAGCAAATAACCTTTTCGCACCAGTAAATTCACAACTATGACTGCTCCATTCATACCGTCCATTTTTGTGAAGGCACACATTGTTATACTGATTGACAGGGATTTGGAGTATCATGGATCACCATGACAAGGACCAAAGACCTTTGACATATGGGGCATAATCACTTGAAGAACAATTTAAAGAGCATTTGCATATGGCAAGATATCATTCCAATTCATTCAGAAAGAGCAAGTATGATCAAAGATGATCATTCTGATGAACTCCGAGGCCAGGAATAGACAGGCATCGTGAAAGAAGTAGAGCATTCTAGGGTTTGATTCACTCCATGATCCATCCTAGTATGGGGCGCTGCAGATGTTGGCTGAGTGCTGAATGCAAATACTGCCCCTCCTGAAGAAAACAGCTAGCAGAGCTGGTCTCGACTCTCCGATGAACGTAACACTCTTTTGCTCGCCAATTTTGTGAAAAGATCCCAGAGTATTTTGCTCGAGTTCCGAAGAGTTGAAAACGGGTAGGCGGGCTTTTGAAAATTTTACCCGTTATCCTGTGAAGCCCTTAAACGAAAGGGCTCACAAATCAGCCAATATCAAGGTGTCCTTGGGATAGATAACAACGGCAGACCTACTCCGACTTCGTTGCTTAGAATAGCCAGCACTTGTGCATAGCTGCAGTCAAATGTTGTAAGCATTCTGTTTTTGGGTACCTAGGAGTCTAGCGACAGTCCATTTATGCCGCTTCACTTCCATCGGGGGAATAATTTTAACGCCAATCTTGCATGACAGTCTTGTTCAGACGAAGGACGAAGTGTTACCTACTCGGCCTCTCCGTCCAAGCTGTCTTTGGCAGCTACTTATGTTATCTCGGGGTTTATTTTATCCGACAAGAGAGTTGGAACCTTGGTTCGGTGAACCTTAGCTAGAGCCTTGCCCGGATGTAGCGAACATTTGGCCAGGAGACAGGAGACACTTCCAATTTACGGCGGAGCGGACGGTGGAGCGTGGAAAGAGATGAGAAACACCATACCTTGCTTTGTGGTTGATACCACCGTGCTTCTTTGCAGTACACGTCTTTCTCCTTCTTTTTCTCCTAGCATTGGTCGGCAATGCGTCAAATCCAACACCTATGACAGGTCTTTCTATCGACCACGAAGCGTCCTTTTAAGGCAACGTGCTAACTGTGAACAAGGTTCCCGTTAGCTCATAAGAATATCTCGACCTTATCCTCCAAGCTCCAGTTTGCAGATGTCGGCTATAGCTGCACGCTAACCCGAGATTTCGACAGTCATGCATACCGGTCTCATGGGCGAAATCCCCTTCGTCGAGACTATAGCACACCTGCCTTTTTGCAGAGGCATAAGACAATCATAGCCCTGGCTTCTAGATCTGTGCAAACTCACTATTGCTCTTCTTATATGTCTCCCGACGGCGCGGGAAACACTGCTAACATGGCTGTGTCCTCGCAACATCGCGCTTTCATCGCCCTAGGTAGCAACATGGGCGACCGGGTTGCCATGATAGAGCAGGCATGCATGGAAATGGAGGCAAGAGGTATAAGGATCATGAGGACGAGTTCTCTCTTCGAGACCGCACCCATGTACGTGACGAATCAGGATCCTTTTATCAATGGGGTTTGTGAAGTTAGTATTCCCAATTGTGAATTTAGTCTCTTGTAGATGCAATATATAGTTTTATCGGGATCTTGAGGGCGCTCTTTTTCTTTTGTACTAGTGTCTCTGACGGACGCTGCTAGGTTGAAACGAACATGCATCCAATCGAGCTGCTTGATACGCTGCAATCGATAGAAATTGCGATGGGAAGGAGGAAGATCGTGGATAAGGGTCCTCGAGTCATAGACCTGGATATACTATTGTACGGCGAGGAGGTATTCTCGAATGAACGGCTAAATATTCCCCATAAGCTCATGCTCGAACGTGAATTCGTGCTACGGCCACTTTGCCAGTAGGAATTTTTTTCTTTTTTTCAGTGTTTTGTATCACTGCACTGACATCCACCTAGATTGATACCCGAAAGTATACCACCCTCAAGCAAAGATTCGAATTGCTATCAAACCTACTTAGATGCACTTCCATCTTCGGACCCTGCACCACAAGCAATAACGCCAATGCACACGAACATGCCTCCGCTAAACCCCTCAAACCCCAAACGCCACACTCACATCATGGCCGTACTCAACGTCACCCCAGACTCCTTCTCAGACGGCGGCCTGCACTCCGCAGCAGACGCCTCCACGCTCACCCAAACCACCCGGTACTTCATCAACAACGGCGCTACCATAATTGACATCGGCGGCGAAAGCACCCGTCCCAGCTCCGACCCCACCACCGAACAGGATGAACTCTCCCGGACCATCCCCGCCATCAAACTCATCCGCTCCCTCCCCGAAGCTGATCACATCGCCATCAGCATCGACACCTACCGCGCTAGTGTTGCCCAAGCCGCTGTCGCCGCCGGAGCAGATATCATCAACGATGTCTCCGCCGGCCTCATGGATCCCGAGATGTTGCCCACGATGGCCCGTTTGGGCAAAACCGTCATCCTTTCACACATGCGCGGCACCCCAAAGACCATGACCAAACTCACCGACTACCCATCAGGAGTCATCGACGGCGTTAGCACCGAACTCGCCCAACGCATCGCGGCCGCAGAGGCTGCGGGAGTCAGGCGCTGGCGCATCATCGCCGATCCGGGTGTGGGTTTTGCGAAGAACCAAGCGCAGAATCTCACTTTGCTCCGAAACATGCAGTCCTTGCGTGGGTTCAGAGCGTTCAGTTACTTGCCGTGGTTGGTAGGCACAAGTCGGAAAGGATTTGTTGGCCGAATCACGCGCGTTGAGAAGGCGAGTGAGCGGGGGTGGGGCACGGGAGCCGCGGTTACAGCGGCGATTGCTGGTGGCACGGACATCGTGCGGGTTCACGATGTCAAGGAGATGTGTCAAGTTGCGCGGATGGCGGATGCGATTTATCGGCAAGGATTGAATGCGTGAATGGGGATCCTGTGCTGTTCGGATACTAGTGAAAAGTTCTACTTTCCATATTTACGGAGCTGTTGTGATGCTTACCTATACTGCTTTGTAGCATGCCTGGAGTTTATTATTTAGCATGCATTTACGGGGCCGTTGGGTCCATTCGAAGTGTATATATATTCAGCTCCTGCTTCCCTTAGCATGGTTACCGAATTATATGGAATACCTGCCTTAAAAAAAAAAGAAAGTATAAATTTAATCCTTTGCAGATTGAAGCATCTAATTACAATCGAAAGTCAAGAACAAAAGGGGCTCAAAAGAATAGAAACATAGACGGGGAGAAATCAGAAGGATGGTAAAAACCGGCATTCTCTTTTGAGCGAAGCGTAAAGGTGACAGGGAGAAAAAGCAAGATCTGAGGATGCTTCCGCATCACGGGGATTTCCGTTATGCTCAGATAATACCGTAACGCCTCGGACGCGTAGCGCTAAGCCAAAAGTAGGGACGTCGTAAATGGGATAAATGCATCAGAAGCAGGTGGCCCACTGCTGGTATCTATAATGGCGATGCTGACTTGGAGTAAGTTTATCCTAGCCAGACACGAGAGTTAGACATTGAAACGGAAAGAAGAAAACAGAGCAGCGCTTGGAAGTCGCTCAACTGTTCAAATAGTTCCGAACGGCATCTATGAGACAATAGTCAGGACCTGTCTTGCAGAAAAAGGGCACAAGGATTTTAAGCACTGACCTTGCAATCTTGAAGCTCCCTCGCCGAGGACATTGGTCAAATTCTCCAGGTCATCACCAGCTGTGATACCAAATCTGCGGACAAAATCTTTTGCGGCACTCTCCAGATCACCATAATTTCCATAGTCATCGGTATTCTCATCTTCAGGCCGGCCGAAGTATGCGTTGCTAGATATAGCCGTGGCACCCTCAAAGCCTGCTAGACGAGCCTTGGCCTCGGCTTGGGCAGCGGGGTCAAATTGATTCCTGCCGAAAAATTCATCGGACGAAATGCCCTTCTGGCTGCCGAATTTAGCTCGCGTCTGTTCTAATTCCTCATCTATGTGAAATGTTAGATGCGATTTTTAGCTCAAATGCGAACTTTGCTGTAGGAACATACCATCCACGGTAGGTTTGGCATGGCCGACAGCACCAAATCCAAGTTTCTTAGGCGCTGGAGCCTTAGGTTTTCCAACCTGGCCAAATCCCAGTCGACTCACACCCATACCAAGTCTTTCGATTTCACTCGGGCTCCTTTCATGCCCCCTTGAAGCGTTGAAACTCGATCGACTGGGGCTCACGGGTGTGGGAGAGACAATCTTGGTTTTCGCTTCTTGCTCGGCTTCAGGGTCATAGCCTAATTTCTCAATGCGCTCGGCCTCCTCCTTTGCCTTTCTCTCGGCTTCTTCGAAATCGATGGATTCCGTGCCTGTTACCTTCTTCGCGCCAAGTTTAGGTCCTTTCTTAGCACCAAGCACGCTGCCTTTCTTTGCGCCAGCGGAGGGACCCTTTCGGACGGCGGAGCCCATTCGGACAGCAACAGGAGGGGGGGGTGCACCGCTCTTATCTGAAGCCGAGAGCGGAGACTTGGGTCGGTTGGCGCCGTTACCGTTTGCGCCGGGGTTAAGGAACGGGGAGGCTGTACGGGTTCCCGCGGGTGTGGTTGTGCGTGAAGGAGGATTGCTAGGCCGCTTGATGGCTGGCTTGTCCCATGAGGAGAAGAAATCATCATCTGGCTCGCCGGCAGGTGTGGAACTTCCATCCGGGGTTCCTGTGGCAACAACGTCCGTGATGACGACCTCATCGGGGTATCTAACCAGCGAGTCAAGTCAACAAGTTGTGTGACGCGTCAGTCTAGGTGATTACCAACTCTTGTGCATCCAACGCCGCTCTTCGTTTCAATTCTTCCTTATATTTCACGGCCGCATTGGACGTATACTTGACCTTCGGATCCTTGCTCGCGAGAGCCGCAGTTCCGCCGTGTGACTGGAAATACTTTGTCGCAGACTCATTGCCGCCTACTTTCATAACACGTAGTTGGTCCCACTGCCATTCTAGGCGGCATTAGCATTCGAAAACTCCCCAAGTCGCTTCAGAGAGAACCCACGATCTAGGTTTGTAGAACGAACGAATGAAATATGCACACCGAGGTTACGGTGGTTGGAAGAACAATCGAGACAGAGGTAAATTCCGAAAGGAACGGAAGACCAGGTTGGGTTTTTCGAGCCGCAGTCAAAGCATATCTAACCCATCAAGTCAACAAAGGACAGCTGGCTGGAAAGCGGAAGTCGGGTATCTGACCTTATTCGCGGGTCTCGTCTTGAGTTTCTCGAAGATTTTCTGCGACTGGGCCTTGGTAGCACTCATGATGAAATTAAGAATGGGAACACCCCCCAGAACTGGTAAAATTGGTGTTTGTAAGGCTAGAAGACAATGACTGTGAGGTGGCGGATGTTCATTGAGAAAAAGGAGTTTGTTGTTTCGATGCTGTCCTGAGTCAATCCCACCCCAGCGATGAATACGTACCACCACGGCACACGGCCTTGTCTGGCGGTACACAGCCCACTAGGATGTATTTAGTTTAGCGTGTACCTATGCATCAGCGAACCGATCTATGTACGGAGGACCGTCCAGCAACACCATTCTCGCGAAAACAGAATTGTTATGGTTAAATCCATGTCCTTTAAAGCAGCTGTTCCTGGTCACTTAATGTCAGATCACTGCTCACAGCTGGAGCATCACAAGACCTATCGCGCAAGGTTAGCATTGGCTTCTGTGCCACTTCTTGCGGGAGTGCGCTGAGCGAATCGGCAGTGCGCAGAGGGTGCTGTCGAGCCCCACAAGCCTTTCCTAATCAGGCTAAGCCCGAATGGGCAAACTAGACAGAGCGCTAAACCGTATCTGGATAGCTCTCCAGGCGGGAATTTCACGCTGCGTCGGAGGCGGTTTTGAACTCGCCTGCAACCGCCCGGGACACGGAATAGAGCGTCGCAGCAGAACAGACTGACAGCCAGATGGCTGATCCATGACCCTTCTACAGTGTTACTCTACCAATGGGTTGATTTTCGAACGAAGCGTCTAACACCGCAATGGCCTCGCCGCGAATGAATTCCCTTACAAATAAGGCCGCGTCCTTAGCGGCACCCGGCACTCTATGCTCGCTCCGGTCGCTTGTTGCATTCTCTCGCCCATATACCACTCACAGCAGCCTGGGAGGGTCCTCCAGCGGGCCAAAGCGCAAGCAAATCACCGTTGCCAGCGATGACGGCAGAGTCCGATGGGGTGAGCTGTCTGGCAGAGAAAAAGCCGCGCGGGCTACACAGCAATCGGTGAATTTTCTTGTCATCCTCACTGGAGCCGTCATGACGGGAGGTGTCTTCACTTTCTTATACATGGACGTGTTTGCTCCCGATAGCAAGACTCGACAGTTTAACCGTGCCGTCGAGCGGATCAAGGACGATCCGAAGTGTATCGAGGTGCTTGGAGATCCCAAAAAAATCAGAGCCTACGGCGAGGCGTCCTGGAATAAATGGACTCGAAACCGGCCGATAGCGTGAGGACCTTTCCGTAAACTGGGACTAGTTTCGGAGCGTGTGAGCTGATTGACTGAACTTCCTAGAACAACCATTGAGAAGGACCGACTCGGAAATGAGCACATGAAAATGCATTTCAATGTCACCGGGCCGTTGAATGAAGGAGTTGTCCGTGTCCATCTGATCAAGACACCCGATCAGGGCGAATACAAGTATCATCTTCTGGTGCTAGATGTCGAAGGTACGAGAAAAAGCTGAAATTGGGGCCGGCAATACAGATGCTGACAAAGGAAAGGCCAAAAACGCATATTTCTTGAAAACGCTGCCGCTGAAGTAAACGCCGCAAAGAAAACCGCCTCGAAGATTTTCGGCATCCAGTGGCGATGAATCTAAATTCCCAGGAGATAGCCATGCGGTATTACCGCTTAGCGAACTCCATCTCCCATCTCCTCGGCCTAGTTCCATGAGGGATTTTCCATATGGATTACTCTCCATAGATGGCAATATAATCGAGGCATTAGCGTTCAGGTTGGCACTGGAGTTTTATCTCTTAGGCCTCTGACACCTTGTTGTCCATCAATATCACTGCGATATGCAGGGTTAATGGCCAAGCCAGGCGTTGTTTATTCATATGCATGCTCAGGGTTTACGCATCCCTTTTTAGATAGCCTCCGCATGTGTGTACGATTGGGCTGTTCGTGTATATTATCCGATGATCTCCCAAAATACGAAATCTTTCGTAACATGGGTCGTTACACATATAGCATTTGACCACCTTTGTAGGATATAAGCCTGCTTCAGCAATGCGAAAGTCATTCGTGGATAGCCGTACGAAATAGGGAGTATGGAGTACTCCGTATGGAGCACGAAGTAACGGAAACGGAAATCGGTTTGGTGGCTTTTCTTGGCTCAGCCACGCTCATTCTGCTCCAAACGAACGTTCGATCCTGATTCACCAGACAGTGATGCACTTCGGACAGATGCAGTCGTCCGTCCTCATCTTACAGAATATGTCCTTATGTACTCAGAACGGAGCTTGCAATTTTGGATATCGCACAGTCGCAACCGCTACATATTCCACTTTGAGTGAAATAAATCGTACCTACAGTGCCGATCCAAGGCTGTGTCGGCTTGTGAGTTACAACGACTCATCCGAGCCGAGCTGTAGTAGAACCGCTGACGATTTTCGGCATCAGTGCATCTGAATGTGTAGAGCGTGATTTGGTCATCGTTCTCCAAGGCACGGTGTTCTTGATGTGTCCGGTTTGAGGATCGCAAGTTGCCTACGTATTCTCCTCTGAGCTGCCGCGCCTCATGCAACTGCCTGCAGCGATCCGATAGTGTGAAATTCGTGTTCGCCGTTGAGCAGCATCCTAAGGATCAACATGCCCAAACGACGGGCTTATCATAAAGTTCGAGGGGCTTGTTTGACGTGTAAAGAGCGAAAAGTTCGCTGTGGCCTCGAGCGACCAACATGCAAAAATTGCAGCAGGCTCTCTCGGCCCTGTGCTTATGCGACTCCAGCATCCCGGCAGGAAGGTGCACAGTTGCCGCTCAAATGTGATAGCTGTCGATCCAGGCTAATCAACGAGGTGCAGCTAATGCATCACTACACTGCCTACACTTATCTGGCGATGAGCAACAATCCGGTCCTCATTTCACTATGGAAAGAGGTCGTGCCGAAGCATGCGTTTCAGCATCGTTTTTTGCTTCAAGGGCTCCTTGCTGTAACGGCGCAGCACAAACTCCGAGATAAAAGTGACGATCCAACCGACCTGATTGACATAGCAAATATCTATCAACAAGAAGCTTTATCAACGTATATCAGCCAGCTCAACTATATCACCGAGGAGAATTGCCATGCGTTGTTTGCATTCTCGCAAGTGATAGTGGGAATGTCATACTCCCGGATGAGCTCAGGCCTCGGGGAAGTACGCATATCTTCGTTTATCACCAATATTGTCGAGATTTTTGAGCTGCTCAAGGGAGCGCTTGTAGTAGCCAAGGAAGCTATAACGTGGCTACGTGCCGGTGACCTGGAACCAATGTTGGGCCCCAGGCCCGAAGTGCCGCTCGTCCGGCCCTCTGCACCGCAGCGCTCTTGTGTTGGAGAGTTGTCAAAACTCTCGGATTATATTTCTGGGCTTATGGATAGCAGTGTCGAATCCAAGGCCCGCGTGGAGAGCCTTTTATCAACAATCCAGCTTCTGTATACCCTGTTTTACGACGATTGTGAACCAGCCGATCGAATGAATAAGATTGTCGGTCTCCCTATATACTTCGACTCCAAGTATATCGATCTTTTAAGAAACTTTGATCATGCTGCGCTAGCGATTCTATCCTACTATGGTATTGCGCTGCATCAGATTCGCCACATATGGTATCTTGATGCCGTAGGGGCCAGAGTTGTGGAGGCCGCAGCAACTTTAGTCGGGCCTGGATGGTTCCCATTTTTGAGATGGCCACAAATGGAAATTGGTTCATAAACCCACGACGATGATGTGTATAGTTATCGCCAGTTTTATGACTACTGAAAGGTCGAATATTGTTCTTATTTATGCGGTGGATGAACACGAATGGCGAGCGGATTCTTAAAGCTGGTCAAGGCTGGTCTAGTGCTGCATAACTTCAAAGGACTCATATGCCCCTCAGAACTCTATCTTTAGCACGTTTGAAAACACTTAAGTTTGAGTTCCGACGAGACCATAACGGCTGCGCTATAGAAAAAGGTAGCTCTCGTTAGTTACTCTGAACACCACGGTAGCCTGCTTTGACATCCAGATACCAAGTATCCTTGATGTCAGTTTAGGACAGCGCTTGCTAATATCATAGCAGTCGAACTCGCCAGAATCCTTGTATGGCATCTAACTCGAAGGGATTACGAGCTATGAGTATAGAGATGGGTCCATACTCAGGATCTGAATGCATTTTTTTGGTTCACTGCCACTAGAACGCGCACACACGGCAATACGCGAAAAGATTACCTTTCTCTAAGCTGGAATGCCTCAAATAGGTGGCGCCACCGGCAAGTCAATCAAGGCTGCACTCAAAAGAGTTTTTCTGCGGGATCCATGGAGGCATTCTCGTTCCGGTCAAGGTGATACCAGCAAACAGGACAGACGGAAACAGCTCAGGTTTGATTGCTATGTAGATAAAAGCGAGCTGATGTTGGGTCAAGAAAAGCACTAACTTACTAGCTGACCCTTTATCCGGGAGTCTATCCGCGACGAACACGAGGGCCAATGAAAATCAGGTCCGAGCAAGAGAGACCCGCAAGGGGAAACAACATGCAACGGTCTACGCAGCTCTCACGCCTTATCAAATCGTCAGATTTGCTTCCTATGTTTCCCAAAGTCAGCGATCCCCGGCGGAAAGAGGCTGTGTACGGAATTCGAACTCTCCTTGACCGACGATGGGCCGCAATATCTCCTCGCAAACCCCTCAGGGGAACTACCAGTTGCCTGAAAATGGTTGAGAGATATAAAAGCCACCAGAAACACTCAGCAAATGTCAACTTCTACAGATTAGCCACTGTCCAGCAGTATATTCTTCTTGTGTGAAATTGCTTCCTGTCTAGTCCCACATTTGCCCCGTCTGGAAAATCTCGAGTTTACGACCAAGACCCGAGACATCTATCTCGAACTTAGAATATACTTCTACGGCAGAGCACTTTACGGATAGTGATGTTGGGAGCCACTGAGAGATGCGGTGTTCTAGCCACTCTGTTGTTGCTGCCGCCTCTTGTGTGGCCCACGAGCACGATAAACATAACCCAGAATCTGACGGAGTCAGCCTCAGAGATTACCGGCTTTCCTCCTGTCAGTCGATCCTTTTTGTGTCGGGCGCAGACGATAGCGTCCACATCTTCCATTGATGATTTACACGAGGATAAAAATTATCTAACACTGTGGCCAGTGCGATGCCCTGATCTCTGCCGGTCTCGGCAATCGGATTCTCCTTGCAGCCACAGACGCGTATGAATCCCGTATCCAGAGCTGGTGGTCCGCTAACGGGCGACTCCGCCCTTGGTGTTTGGTACAACCGCATACCGCCCAGGAGCTCTCTGTCGCTGTCATGGCCTTGTCTGACAGTGGTCGCGGTGCCGGCGATTGGCAGATTGCCGTCCGTGGCGGCGGACACTCCCTCCCGGGAGCTAACAACATCGCCAACGGGGTCACAATCGACCTTGGAATGATGAACCACTCGCACTATGACCACGACCGACAACTAGCAAGAGTTGGGCCTGGTGCCGCCTGGAAAGACGTCTACTACAACCTCCTCCGCCATGGCAATGTCACGGTCAGCGGAGGCCGCGACGGCGGTGTCGGCGTCGGTGGATTTCTCCTAGGTGGCGGAATGTCCTATCATAGTGGTCGCAGTGGCCTTGGTTGCAACGAAGTCGTCAATTTCGAAGTGGTACTCGCCAACGGAAGTATCGTCGACGCAAACTCCAATGAAAACCCTGCTTTGTGGAAAGCTCTAAAAGGTGGAGGTCTCAACTTCGGCATTGTCACAAACTTCGACATAAGGGCCATCCCAGCCGTGGACCTAGCGTACGGACAGAGTATCATTACCTCAAACCATTCCGACGAAATCGTCGATGCTGTGGTTGAGTTTACGAATCATCCGGAGGAGCTCGCTGACGATGTATTAATAATTCTATACATACATGATCTTGAAATTAGGGAAGACATGACTATATTGGCTATTCGTGCCAACACTCAGGGTGATCTTAACACGACGGGTTTCGACCGGATCAACAAAATCCCAAGTTTGATGAGCAGTTGGGAACATAGCTCACTTGCGGATGCGGCGATCATGTCGCAGCTTCCAGCTGGGTTGAAGTACGTGAACTCGGCTCATATCTTTTTTGTTTACTAGGCCCAGGGGTACTAACAGCGCTTCCCTCTCACCAGAAACACATGGAAGACGTTAACCTTTCTCAACTCTGCCCGCGTTCTCCGCCACGCCGCCTCGTTGTATTCTCAGCTAGTCTCATCGCTTTCAGCGATGATCGGTGCCGAGAATTTTACAAGTCACATGGTTCTGCAACCATTCCCTTCATATTATGCCAGCATCGGAGAGCGCAAAGGCGGCAATGTACTAGGGCTAGAGCGCATCTCGTCCAACGCTGTTCTGTGGGTTACTTACATTGGGATCAAGAACGGTGATGACGCTTCGGTGGGCATCGCACAGGCCGAACTGAGCGCCATGACGAGTAAATTGGAAGGATTTGCGATTGGAGAAGAAACAGGAGTTGAATATGTGTACTTGAATTACGCGGATGCAAGTCAGGACCCCCTGGGAAGTTATGGGCCGGAGAATGTAGCGTTCATGAAGGACGTGGCGAGGCAATATGACCCAAACGGCTTTTGGCAGCAGAGGGTACCTGGTGGATTTAAGCTGTCGAGGGTGACTGCTCAGGAACTAGTGCTATGTTGATCAGCATACTCACATAAAGGAAATATACTCCGTAGTATCCTTTGGATTCTCGTCTACCAATTTTTACCTGCTAGATACCATCACTGTGAAAATGACAACTCCTTATCCTCAAGGCAAAAGGCATGCAGTAGAAAACCAAATAGAGTACACACTTATTGACACGATGGATCCTGACTTAGTGAAAATTTCTCCGAACTAAGGAGAATATCACGAAACAATCGATTGACAATGGTCGGTATTGGGAAGCCGTTTCATTTTATCCAACTTCCGCTTCCGCATCGATATTATTAGTAACTTCAGCCGGAAAGACCCCTCTTTTCGCTTTCTGAAAAGAAGATGATCATCCGCCACAGTTTCTTGACAAGGACTTCGGCCTCTTCATCAAGCGCCTAGAAGGAGGGTCAGTATCAACCTTTATGTATAAGAAAATATGAGATTAAAACTTACCCCATCCAGTTGCTCCACTAGCTCCTGTGGAGAACCTCTCTTCCGCACATGCTCCTCTACGACGTCAACCAACATCTGCTCCTGGACGCCGAGATATTCCATAATTTTCTTCTCAACAAACGGCTTGAGCTGTTCTCCCAGGATAGACTCATCCACAAACTCCCACTTGACTTCCCACTTCCAAAGTCCTTCTTTGTCTGATGGGATCTCAGCGGCAAGCTGTCTTGCGGCTTGAGCTCGTTCCTCATCGGTAAGCCCGGCAACTTCGGCTGCGGTGTCGAATTTGATCGCTGTAAGAGGTCGCTTGGCAGTAGTACCGGTTTCTTCCTCGTCTTCCAGGAGGCCCTCAACTTCGGCAACTGTTCTGCGCTTCGTGGATGCTTGCGCCTTCTGTGCCGCGGCCCCAAGGGAAAGCTTGAATCGTTGCGGCTCTCTCGGTGCTTGGACTCTCGACTCGATCTCTTCAGCTTGCCGAGCGAGGAAATCGTCTGCCATACCGCGAGCTCGTTCTTGCTGCTGCATAGCTCGTGCCTTCTCCCGTTCCTCACTGGCCCGATCAGCTTCATCCATTGCCATCTCACGACTCCGGAACGCCGCCCTATTCCGAATCCACAGTCCACGATCAGCATAGTAATCTTCCACTTTCCGACTTGCTTCAACATCATCATTCCATTCTCTAAGACGCTTGGCCATATCTTCTTTTTCCTCTTCCATGCGTTTTTCTTCCTCTTTATCTCGATTTTTCTCTCGTTCAAGAGCGGCAGCCCTACTACGCTCGCGATTGAGCCACCGTCTCTCTTGATCCAAAAACTGTTTTTCTGCCTCAGCTGCTTTCTTCGCTTGACGCCTCCTTTCTAGCTCGGCATCGCTTGCGTCGGTGTCGTCTTCTTCCTCATTGATACCAAGACCATTAACGAATGAGACTCCCTTTTGGTAATCCTTTGGAATTTGTTGACCAAATCCTTTAGGTCCAGCCGGCGCATTTGGAACGCCTCTATCTCGAGGACCTAGTGGTATTCCATTCGGACCTCCAGCAGGGCCGGTGGGTGCGCTGGGAGGTGGCGAAGCTAGCCTGTTGATTCGAGAAGAACCGCCATGTCTTGCTTTTTCTAACGACTCAATTTCTTCCTCTCTTTTGAGTCGCTCAAGATCCCGCCGGTTACTTCTATCACGGAAAGCCGCGATCTCTTTAGCCACCGTTTCCCTCATCTCAGGTGGAATATCCGACAGTTCATCTTCAACGGTAATCGGGATCGTAACAACTTCTGCAGAATTGGCCACATTTTGATCCTCACCATCTGCCATTGTGACGTCACCATCACGATCAGCAGTCTGTGTTTCATCTCCTTGAGAAGTTGGTGGATGTTCAAGTTCAGACAAAACAGTGCCTAACGCAGCTCGTGCAGACTCGATACGTGACTGAACAGCTGCTGGGTCTTGGTTACTGTTGGTTTTGTACTGTTCAATATATTTTAGAGAACTCTCGTCAACCACAACCTGTACATTCGTCAGTATAAAAAAAAGTCATTAGATTTTCGAGACAAAGGATTTAGCGACATACCAATAACTTGCTCTTCTCATCCTCCTGTGACTGCTGTCCACCCTCCTTGGGTGGCTGCTGTTTCTTGACAGGAACTTCGATATCCCTTAGCACTTCGACAGCCGTACTTAAACTATCAGGGTCCTCGTACTCTGCGAAACCAAATTTGCAAGGCTTCTCATCTGCATCCGTAGCCCTGATCCAGCGTCTCAGATTTCCAGCCGTGCGCAGTATCCTTTCAATTTCTTCATCGCTGCTAATTCCTTCCGTAATCCCTCCGACGAAGATGGTCCGGACGATCTCATCTTTCGTAGGGGGTTGTAGTTGAAGCATCGCCTCGCGTATGTTTTGGCGCTGTGACTCTAAATTACCCCCACCGGCACCGCCTCGCCGCGCATCCGCGCCTCGGTCACGACCAGCGTCTACCGGAGTGGAGGATTTAGAAGGACCAGACGTGCCGAGTCGAATCACAGGCGCGGAGAAGTTGATGTTTGGCATATTTGCCGGCGGCTGGAAGTTTGGAGGGAAGCCTGGGTGGCCGGGTTGCGATCCATTAGCCTGTTGCATTCCCGGTGGTGGACCGGTCCCAGGAGCAGCCATCCCTGGTGGAGCTGATTCATTATTAGTATGCGCTGCACAGGGCTAAGCTACGGGAAAATGAAGGAAGACGCGAAGTAGTTACCTGTTCCTGGAGGCGCACCCGGAAAACCTGCATATTCCGGGGGTCTGCCAAAGGGCCCGGAGTCTATGAAATGAATTGTTAGCATCAAAGAAGCCGAAGAACCCGGTTTAGGCATTGAGTGCTCTTACGTTGATAAGGATTATACATGATGGCGCAAGTCTGCGTGCCCGGAGTAGCTCAGTACGGGTCGTTCAGAACAGCTTTTCTAGGATCCAGTAAACTTCACAGGCGAAGGACACTCAATGCTGCATTTGAAACTGGCACATGGAAGCTGCCCACGGGAGGGGACGTGACGGTTCCGGGATGCTGCTTCTGCTGGTCTTCGCCATGAGGAAATTCAAAGCTGCGGCTCAGGTGGCCCGTGCATGGAATGATCACGTGCATACTTATGGCTTGGCATCGTCAGGAGAAAGCAAGGAGCAAACGGCAGCCAGTCGGGGAGGGAAGATGAGGACGAAGTACGGGAGTACACCATACATCTATTGTTATACTACTCGGAGGCAAAGGCGGCTTTATTTAAAGGTATGTAATCATGTACACCAGAAGGCAAGGGAGGGATTTAGCCAGTGCATATTAGGTACTTCGTCCTCCGTCCACCACCATCCCATTCAACTTCGCACCAGCTAATATCTCCCTACCATCCACACAAAACTTGTCCGGCAATCCGCCACGAATCCGAGTTCTATTGGGTTATCTCTACCAAATCATCCACATCCAGCAGTCCAATCTCAGAATCAACCGGGTGTTTTCACGTGTCGTTTATCAGCGAGATGGCCAGGAGTGTGTACTCCAGAATCTTGATTTGAATTCCCTCTCTGCTGCACTGTTGATTAGCTCCTTGATTTTGTCTCACTGACTGCTTGTCAATCCTGTGGGCCAGACAATCTCAATGGTCTTGTTCAAGTTCATACTGGCATTATAGGAATTTTCCAGTCTGAAAGTTTTATCCCCTGAGAGCTAGTCGGGCGGACCGCTAAAATAAGATGTCAAGATACGTAGACGTGGTGGTTTCTAGTACAAGCAGTGCATTGCCTGTGGCAATCGCTGCAACAGGACGTCGAAGAGAGGAGCCCTATGTCAATGGTTGTGTGAACGACATGCAATAGGATTGACATCATCTAAATCTCTCCAAGCGACTGGACATACTAATTTCACAGTCACCTAGCTGATGCTCTGAAGGCCATTTGTGGGTATATGTGGATATAAGTGATGAACGAGGAACAGGTATAAATGAAAACCAAATTCGGCTCTTGGTCAGATTATGATAATGGCAAGTTCAGCGTCATAAGAAGACATGTGTATAGGTCAGAACATCTCCCACACAAAGAATGGTAACAACTATAGCAAATATTCACCGGTTTCTCATTGCCTTTCTCCTTCCAAAAGCTACATCAGCTAGGATCCAATGAACTTGCGGGCACTTGCAGTAGTATGCTATGAGAATCAGGAGCGCCTGGGTTTTAGGCAGTGGCTAACAGATTCTTCATCTGAAGAGTTCTGCTCCGGATAAGTAGCAAATCTTTGACTGAGTGATGAATAGTGAAAGCAATGTGAATCTCATGAGAGAATGCAGTTAAGATTCATCACTAAATTCCATTGATTTGTTCAAGTAACAGAGCATTCAGCCACATTTACTCTCCTAGTTGCACAGCAGGCGGATGGCTACATACTGATTTTCTTTTTTCCCTTTTTTGTATATGCTGTTGAGGTAACACCACAGCAGGATATCTGGAGACCTGAAGTCCTGTTTAAATAAAATCCTGTGCATTACTTACCTGAAATTTAGGGTATTCCATATAAATGCCCAAATTAGCTTCTGCAGGCCGCCCTTCCTTTTCCTTTTTTTTTTTTTTTTTTTTTTTGAGAGGCTTGAAACTTGGAGATGTCGAGCGATTATAGTTAGCAGTCGGCTGTCCTGCCTACAGGCGTAGATACTAATTCTGTTCTCATAGTTTAGTCCGGGGTGGCCTTGAGCCCAGCCGGCCTCACCCTTGTGTCTTCGATCCTTCCGCCACATCTTGTCGGTTAGTTGGGAGGGAACTATATGTACGGAGTATATGCTGCTCTACTTCTCCGTCGGCCAAGGATGGACTGGGGGATCCTTGGCAAGCACCCCCATTCAATTCATAACGCTCTGGAGCCCGCGGCGGGACTCCTCTTGGTTACGATTAGGCTGCCATCCTTCCCTCGTAGCTCAATGTCTCAACGCTTGGGTCAGCCCTACAGAGTTCGCGGCCAACAATTGAAGCTCGGACACAATCACACCCATATTGAATGCTTTTCTCCGACGCGTCCGCGATGGATAGGCTTCCCAATGAGATATGGCAGATGATCCTCGATCGCGCAATGATCCGTGATGCCCCTCTGTGTATACATGACTTCCTGTCGGCCACCGGGGTTGCAAAACGGTCCACAGATGCCGAAAATAAGCGAAAAAGAGAGCAGCGAGATTGTAACCACATTGCTCCTGAAGGTGTGAATGCTGAAATTTCACAATTCTTGATTATCCTGACTTACCTTCGAATGGTCCATCTCTAGCGAGACAATCGCGGACGAGGCCTAACAGAGTCCGTGTGTTGACGAGGAATGATCCAGAGGGCGAAGAGCCGCTCCAAGCAAACTCTTCCCTCGCACCCACGTCTACATCGCTTTTACACAACCTCCATAAGAGCCAGAAGCCGCATTTTCTCGACTGGCAACTCATTAACGGAACCTGCCAACTTTTCCGCAAATTAGGAAAAAGATCCTTCTTCGCCAACAAAACATTCGCCATGGAGCCGGCAATCTCCGAGAAGCTCCAGCAATGCAAATTAAAACAGCTCAGTGTAGAAAACCAGCAGATGGCAGTTCACTACATCAGATCAGTCATATTCATCGAAACGTGCTTGTTCTCTCCGAGATCCATATTGTTACTACCTCGTCGGGTCGCCATTTTCCCGCGCCTTCGATGGCTCGACCATCTCTTTGCATATGCTGCAGACTCACCTTCAAGTCCGGATGAAGTGCTCTATTCTATCTCTACACGAAAGGCGCTTGTGTCGCCTCTTCACGACTTGCTTGGTGGTATTGGCGTCCCCACGGACAGACTGGAGCTTGGCTCCATGCGTAATAAGTACGTATCATGGGAAGAGCTTGAAGCTACTTTGCGGAGCGACATATATCCCATGCTGAGATTCGTGGCCGAAGCGAAGGCGCGACAGAAAAAGGTCAAAGTGTGAGGGCCCCAAGGCCCTCACACCTTAGGTTATTTCCTTACAGCTTGCTCGGAACACTCTACAGGTGAAAACAATGGGATCGTTCTACTTTTTATCAAGTTTTTCAAATGAAGGGATATGATTGGCATCGAAGATCACCTCTGAACCTTCATCAGATATCCGATGCATTTATCTACAGAGTGGGGAGTGGTTGAGGTTCGGAGAAGAACCACTGCCTTCCATTCATTTCAATCAGACAAGAAGAGGAAGAGGGTTTGCTGAGAACAGAACAACAGGAGGTACGCATGCAAAGAACAACAACTTTCCATACACTGTCCAGTGTAATCGATCACTTTGCCATTTGAATGATCTCAGATACCTCTTCTCCAAAATCTGGATAACCCTGTTATCCTCACCAAACACAAATTGGCAGCTATCTTTAGTTTCCAAATATTTCTCACCAGATTCCATTTCTAGCAAACCATCCCTCAGCGTGCTTTGGGCAACTGACTGGAAAGGACTGAGCATTCAGTTATCATATATTTATCGCATTATGCCGTGATTAGACATACTATCCCACGTGTTAACTGGCATGTTGATATTTCAGATTGCAAAGCCTTACAGGCTTAGTCATATTATCAGCATTAATGGGGACTCTGCCTAAGTCTCGGGTGGAGGTTCTGGTAGCATGGTTGATAGGATGCCTGTTAGGTGTAAATTAACTAGATGATAAAGTCGTCAAAGGAACCAATGCCAATATGCGCGCCGAGGTCTGCTACACCATAAATCCCGCCAATAGCTGCATTGAGCGGCGCGTTAATAAACATCTGGAAAGCATGGGGTCCAGCAAACCGGCCCGTTGTACGGAGTACCTGGAACATCGCTCGGCCGACGACTTCCGTTGAAGCCACGTCCAGATTGTTTTTGTTTTCTCTTTGTGGGTATAGAAGTAGATGATAGCGGTTAACGCGGCAAACAGTGGCTGTTTACAATGGTCACGTTCGGGAGGCGGTACAATGGGGTGGCCCAGCGGCAATACACCAACGCATAGAAGCACGATCGGGATAGCATGCGATACGTGGTTCTTAACTCAGTCCCACAGCATGGGACGACAGTGAGAGAGATTGGTATGGGGTTAATGGCGCCGGGCCTCTTTTGGCTGTGAGATAAATGGTCAAGACTCGGAGAAGCTGAAGAGGTGACCGGATGAAGTGAGGTTGGGGCTAGCCAATCACGTTGCTTGGACGTCGGCCGGCTCAAACGTCTCCTGGTTGCTACTCATGATTCTTGAGACATTCTCGATATCATAAAACATTCTTTTTCAATGCAAGGAAGATTAAGTCGTACTTATATATACATACAGAATAAAATAGAAGAAAGGTCATTATAGTAGCGACCAAGAGGTGACAATCAAAGAGCCTTGGTGGTGAGTTCACATATGAGAAACTGCTCAAGGTTCATGAACCTCCCAACCAACCGAGTCAAACTTTCGCAAGGACGTCCGTGCTCAGCTTTAGTCAACCCCAGGAAGATCAAAGTCAGGGAAGGCAGGCCAGTCTCCCAGCCTGCCCGGATCACCGCCAATGCGAACGAACGAAGCCACCGAAGGTGTCGGGCCATCCAAAACGAACAGCATAAACCATCCCGGAGGGCACGTGTGGCTATCTGGCGGCGCGGTTATGGTACAAGTGGTCCCGGAGCAGGACACAGCAGGGAAAATGGTTCTTGAGCCAAAGCTATTTCCGTGGGTGCTGGAAACTAGGCCGAGCAAGGATACCCTGAGTTTCGAGGTATTCCCGGATGTGATCTCAATCTTATAATTTTGACCGTACGCCCAATCTGTGTCCTGGATGGTAAATGTCGGCCGAGGAGCCCCGGATAGGAGATACGGAGGGAGGAAAACCTCCACACGATACTCCTGCGGGAAGTCCGGGTCTTCTGGGTCTGAGCCAGACACCAAAACCCTTCCGTCAGGGATCAGGATTGCTTCGGAATGGTACATGCGAGCGATTGTAGTGTTACCCATGACACTCATTCGCTGATTAACCGGCTTTGAAGGATCATACAAGACAGCGTTGAGATTGGGGTCTTTGGCTAGACCAAAACCAGCAACGCCCTCCTTTGCGCCATTCAGGATCAAGAATGTTCCGTCAGGAAGTCCTGCCATACAAGTGAGGACCCTCTTGGAAGGCTAGCTAAATCGTCAGTCATCGGGCTCTTGTTTAAAACTCGCAACTTTACAACGTACCATGCGTTCAATAACCCATTTGCTGTTCGGTACTTCTGGTTGAATGGAGACACAGTTATCGATAGCATTTCCTCCGAATGGGGTCGAGCCTCCGCATAGCAAAACACCCAGAGGGTCGGTGTAAGGTGCGTGTTGCGGCAAAAGAACCATTGTTCCTTCAAGTGGATATGTGCGGCCACCTTCATCATTGTTGACCGCCCCTGGCATGTTTGGCAACGTCTTCACAGTATCAAAGGTCTTTTCGTCCAAAATCCTAGCCTCGTTATAGTACGCAGCAAAGATATCGCCACTTGGCAGAGGTGTAAGAAATGGATATAGATTATTAGGATCAGTTCGCTCAAGCCAGTCCATGTAGAGAGCTGGCCCGACCCGTGGCAAGATCTCAAGTGTTGGGACTGGCGGACCATTGGAGCCCTCTTCGCCACCCACAATTAAGATCGATCCGTTAGCCATTATCATGGCGGATGGATACCATCGGCCGTCCTGCAAAGCCAGCTCATCCGGGTTCTCCTGCCAGTCATTCACACTGGGCTTACCTGGGGAGCCGTCCGGCCAATACAGTCTAACCCCATGCGTTGAAGTCCCGGACCATCCACCAACAGTGAGCTGACGTCCAGCTCTGTCCGGAAGTACAAGGCCCCCAGAGCAGAAAATGTCTGTTTTCACATGCATGGGACGCCATGCCTTGCTGAAGTCTTTCTCGAATGCAGGGTCAAATTCGTATGCTCCGGTGGTATTCGGATCCCCTGTCCCGAATTTCTCCTGAAACGTGATTTTACCATTAATGCCAACAGTGGTCATGAGAGAAACGACGACTCCGCCAATGAGAAACTCATATCGGCCAGCAGCGTTACCGGATGGAAAGCTCCATGTCTGCAGCGGAGAACCCGTCCATTTATAATAAGTAATCAAGTTGCCGGCCCCACAGATTGCCGTCTCATTACCAGGGCAAGTCATACTACACCTACTCTCGGGGACTAGCTTTGCGCCAGCTTTTCCGATATCCGCAACATCACCGCAGACTATTCAAGTTAGCTCGATCTTGAAATGGAAGACTGCAAAGATATCACGTACAACATTCCTCGCCGTAGGTCATTCCGCCGGCTCCAAAACCAAACATTGAACAACGGCTGAGGCAATTTGTTGCACTATTGTTGTCTTTATCAATTATTTGATACGGAAAAGTTCGTTTTTGATTGACATTGTCTCTAAAATGAAAATCAGCATCGTCTGCTATTACCAAGAAAAGAGACGGCCACGCTTACTCAAGACATCCTTGATATTCCCACGATCCAGGAAGGCCACCGGTCTGCGGTTCCGGGTTGGGCAACACGGTCAAATCACCTTTGGAGTACACGCTCATACGATTGGGACCACCACATTTTTCGCTAGTGTCTCCAGCGCAGCTCATGGAACAGTTTGAATCGTCCGCTAATGCTGCTTCCTTTCGAACATAATTATCGCAGAAGCATTGCCTGCTGAACTGAGTTCCAGCTACCACGTAGCCCATACCAGCACAGCGAGAGACGCAAGATTCGATTGTGAGCTTTGGATCATCGGGAAGTTGACGCTCCATGATTCGCCCGTTGGTATTATCCACGTAACAGCCAGCGTAGTCCCAACCAGTTGGCAACGCTGTTGGGACTGCACGGGTGGATGATGATACTGGCGTAGTTGATACAATTGCATCCGTTGGGGAAGAAGTAATTGTCGGCTGAGCGGTGATTGGGCCCGTCGAAGGAGAAACGGCAGTGTTCTGATACAGATTCAACCGATCAGGGCCTCCGCAATTCTGTTGAGGATTGCCATTGCAGGGCATTGTGCACTTCTCTTCTCCATCTGGGGCGGGACCTCCGTTGCGAAGTTCATTATCGCACCAACATTCACCACTATACTCGACGCCGGCATATACATAACCTTCGGACATGCACGCGTTTTCGCAATTTTCGACAGTCATATTAGATGGGCCGCCCAAAGTGTAGCCGACATTGGACAAGGTTCTGGCCCCGACCGAGTCGGTATAACATCCTAGATATTTCCAGTCATTTGGATCTGCTCTGGGAAACAATGCTGCTCCTTGGGCGAAACTGAAGAGTAAAGGGAACTATGGACTTCTGTTTAGCTTGCTTTGGATTAGAACAATACAGATCATCTGTGAGCTTACCGCTAACATTCGGGCCGCGCGAGAAGAATGTAAATTAGCCATCTTAACTGATATCCAAGAGGGGAGCTCTCCGAGTAGGAAGCCCCGTCTAAGATGCAAGATGGTTAATTGACTGAACGTTTTTGGATACAGTAGGAGCCTACAATAACTACTCCATAGGAACGGACTACTTTATACCCCGACAATTCGGGCACGACTTCCTCCTTTCAAGGAGCATGGCCCTGGCGGTTTTGAATCACACCAGGCACAATTCACATGACTTTTAGGGTAAAGTGCTAGTGGAGTTTCTCTTCAGCTCGCCAGCTGATTAGGAAATGGTCCATAAGCGTTTCTAGTCACCAAGGGCCTTCATGTGTTTGACAAGAGCATTGGGAATCTGGATTGCACCATATCGGTGAGTTACGTTCCGTCTACGCGAGGACTACCCCAATCAGATAAGAGACTAGCAGATATGGTTCATGCAAGCACTTTTTGGGGAATTTGCTTTTCGGGTACCTCCGTATTCGCGATATGTTTTCACGATGCATTTGGGCAAGGCTAAAGAAGCGCAAAATGGGGTTCAATTCAAGACACCCTGGTACTTGCATATGGAGGCTGTGAGACATAATCTGCATAGCTGGCTGGAAGGCTAATAATAGCGTTTACTCCAGGAATTTCGAAAGTATTAGCGTAACGGGGAGTCAGACAAGGTGAAACTGAAGGGAGGTCGTGGGATGGAGGCCAAAACCTCCAAGCGAACAGTTTGGCTGGGGATGCGGTGAGTGGCTAGTTAAAGCTCTGTTTGTTTTGTTTGTTTAGCTAACTAGAGGAGATGTTTGCTTGATTTGCGCTCTGCCAAAGCCAAAAAAAATCACGATTCGCGACTCAGACACAAACGCCTAAGGAGAAGGACGGAGTTCAAATGGATTGAGTGTTTCGTACAGGTTATTCTAACTCGCTATTTCAGTTTATGAGCATACAGATGACCCTTAACTATCTCGTATAATTAATTCATATACTGACTGCCCCAGTCGTTTTGATAGGGCCTGTCGTCCAGGGTCGTTGGCTCGATGGTTGACTACTGCAGTTCGAGCGTCATGCTCCGCATGGCCTCTGTTCTTCCACATCAAGAACTCTGACTCGAGATCCAAGTTTGGGCTTGGCGTTATACGGTTACACCCGGAGGCAAATTTCGATATCACTCGGGGAAAGAAGAAAACCGGGCTGGTTCTTTTTCAGCTACATGGACCTTCTTGCCACATCCTGACCGATTTGACAGTCATCCCTCGATCATTATCTTCCGGCCAAGTGGGATAAAACGTGTCGAGACCTGCCAAGTGGGATTAGGGCTGCGAACGTGGCAAGAGACAAGAATAAGAAGATCAGAAAAAGCAAAGAAAAAAGGGAAAAAAAGGAAAAGTCCGCAAGCTTACTCTTGTAAAAGTCCGAGGCTGCCAGGCCCTCGTCAGTCCATGGCTTCCGACCGAGGCCATCTGAAAACCAGCCATTTGTGCTGCCAACAGCGACATTCAAAATGAGATAAAACGGCTGATCGAAAGGAGTATTCGAGTTTCCTGTCTGTGACCAAGGATCCATAAGCAAAGATGAATTGACGGTTACTCCCTCAAATTCACCCCGTTGCCACATTGTTTGGTCTTTGTTGAATTTCCAATAGAGCACCTGCTGCAGCGGACTATCGACATATGTGAACATATAATCCCTGGACCACTCGAGGCCAAAGGTGTGGAATCCTTTGGTGTAATCAGTCCGACGGATGGATTTCCCGCGAGTTGATCTCCAAAAGGCGTCGGTCTCAGGTGTTGGCCCTGCGAACGTTCAGACCATGAACTCTTGTGTCCCCAAAAACGGGGCAAAATATGAGGATGCACTGACCCCAGTGTATAGAACCTGACACGACATCCCTGCCGCCAAGACTATAGTCGACATCGTTTCCCCGGCTCTCTGCGATATCAATTTCGCCGCTTGCAGGCCAGGTACCATAGGTTTCATTCACAGGCATCATCCCTAGGATAAGAAGTAAATCAGCGAAGAACCTCCACTAGAAGGGGCTTTACTTACATATGGCAGGCCAGAGCCAGTCTCCCTGTGGCATCTTGGCGACCACTTCAACTCGGCCATAGCGGATGCTCTTCTTTCCCTTCGTGTTCAGTCTGGCCGACCGGACTGGAGGGATAATTAACCCTAGGGTTTTATTCGATCGAATCGAGCATGCTTCGTTGGTGTTTGCCGTACAAGACCCATCTCCACCAGCTCTGGTTAGATTCAGCGTATATCCATCGATAAGCTGTGCCTCGGTGATTGAAGTCGTTTCCGTGGTTAAAGTCGGCACAATGTGAAGCCCTTCACTGTCAACAAAAGAGTTCCTTTCGTCTGTTGTGGTCCAGTCAAAAGCGCCCGTGCCAAATCCGCCAATCTAGTGACTCTGCTTAGTGTTTCACAATGAATGTAATTGCGATGAGAGAGAGACATACCTGAACCTCGTGGTTCCATACGTCTCTATTGAGCGATGAAAACTGGTCATCTAGAATGAGGCAATACTACGGTTTTGGGTCAGCATGAAGGAGTTATTCGTTGCCCGCTAAACGTACCTCATGCCGTGCCACCTTCTGGCTGACGGAAAAGTTAATATACGCACTCAACGCTAGGCCTGCAACGACGAATCCCCAAATGATATAGTTGCCGACCCGAGTCTTCTTTAGTTTCCTGTCGTTCAACCATGGCCTTTCATACTGACCATTTAGTCTGTAGGACTTAAACTGGCGTCGTGCAGCCTGTCTGGATCCTGACGGGATATCCGACGGCTGTGAAGAATAGGATGCGGCTCTCAGGGATGCGGCTGCGCTGTCAGAGAAAGGGTTCCGAGGGGCGCGGGCGGGCTTTTCCATGGCAGCAATCCTATTCTTGTGGTAAGTGTCTCTCGTGAGACGTAGGGGAAAGCGGCCCTTTATGAGGTCTTTGCTGCAGGATTACGCCAAAACTCGTGTTGACGAATGGCTGTCGATGTCCAACTCTCCTCCCAGGATGGCATTTTTATACTATTTTCTCTGTTTGACCCTAGGCATGTTTTGCCATAATCATGTGCCATGTGGTTTAACAATGACAGATTTTAGCTTATCACTAGAAAGCCCTTTCAAGAAGCACGTCTACCATTAACTGCTTCTTGCTGGCTGGTATTTGTACGGAGTACTCCGTACTCCGTATGGAGTACACAGGTCTCATAATACGCTCTAAAGTTCGCCTGCTATCTCAAGTGGTTGGCTTGTCAAGCAGCGCGGTAAAACTCTCCTTTTTTTTTTCTTTTTGGCCATGTTTATACCCCCCGGCCCCCTGTCAGTTGCATTGACCCACAGCTTGCCATCATTCCTGGCGTGGCAGAAAATCCGCGGCGATCACCCCCGGAAGGCGAGCCGAGAGCAACTCTGCCAAGCCAGCCTAGCTCAAATTGGGCTGGGGCTGCGACCTCATGTCTCGCTTTCCGCCAAAAAAAACGCTGTCACTCCTGTTGCTTGTCAGCGGGCAGCAGCTCACCGACCTCAATTCTTCGCTTGTTAATTACTGGGGTTCTCTTAGCCCAATTGCCCCATTGGGTGGGTCAGTCTTTTGATGGACTGCGAGCGGAGGACTCAAAACGTGCCTCGCTAGCTCCATATCTTGCGCCTCAGCTCAAAACCGTGGCAGAAACAGGAGAATTTGGTGCCATCTCAATGCACGAAATAACCATGCTAGCGGGATCCACAGTTTTACGACTCCGTACTCCATACAGAGTACTCCGTATTTATGGCCCCAATCGCTCTGTCCCTTTCAGCGAGCCTCCCTAATCTCAGGATCCAAATCAATGCGATATGGCTCGCTTGGATCAAGAGACCACTTGCTTCTCGCTTATTTTATCTTTCGTCTCCTCCGTACTCCGTACTCTGTCACTTTCAAAGCCACGGCTCCATCCAATCATTGCCCGATGGTGATAGCCCTACACATGCCAAGAGTTGAGTACCCGTCAGCCGATGTCGATAGAGGATGTTGTTCGGAGTTCCGTTCAAAAGCCTCTGCAATATGTCCGTGCCCAAGACATCTTGATTCAATATCAAACCGGGGGATCTGTTTTTATGACACTGGTTTTTTTGTTGGGAAATTTTTGATTGTGAAACAGCTCCAGCATGCACTGCCTCCATTGAACTCCCGGACTGTCAATTTAAAAAAATATATGCTGACGACCAGGAATGATAGTCAAATTTTCCTTGCGTACGGAGTACTCTGTAGTGCATTCTTTCATTCTAATAGGTGACCTTTCGCTTTCGCTGTCCCTTCCCCCACCGCACCCCCCGGGGAACAATGTGACGAAACCAAGGGCACACTTGGTCTAGTGTTATCACTGGCCCAGTAGGCTATGGATATCTCCTTAGAACTCCAGGTTAGAAAGAAATTCTTCTTGCCCAGCTAGGCTGCTGTAACTAAAGATACCAAAGCTTTTCTTTTAGAGTATAGTTAAACAAGTTCAATAACGACCAAAGTCCTAAGTTTTTTTAACGTTGGAGTTACGAAATATAGGGTGTTAATGTGTTTACCTCATACCGAAGTTAAGGATTGAATGTCAAATGTGAATGTCCACAAAGGTACCCCGGATTTTTGGGGGTATTCTGGGAGAGAAACACCACATAAGAGCGAGAGGAGTTATGGGCACCAGCGTCCAAGTTTCTGAGGCTCAGATGCCCCGCGCCGGGCGGGCAACAGGCGGTACAAGTGCAGATCCAGCAATCGAAGGGCTATTTTTGCCCGGGGCCCGGGGGTTTGCTCCGACCAACTTGTCGCCTCATCCCTAGAAGCCGAGGATATGCGGTCTTAGGATGAAGTGCTGACATTACTCGAGCGAGGGCCTCCGCGAGCAACAGGCAGTACCGATATACCATGGCAAAGATCGACAGCCAGCCTATTGCCTCAGGCGAACGAGGGCTTGGACCGCACCGGCGGTGCTTTCGAAGCAAGCGCTGTTTGGCATTTTTTGGCATTATGTTTTTTCGATTGATTCAGGAAGGAGAACAGGGCAAGTTGGAGAAAGGGGATAGAGAAACATTTGAAAATCTCTTGTCAGGATGCACTCAAGCTGCCTGTCTCGGTCTTTCGGGGACAACCATGTTGTTAGAAAAGCTTGGTAGGGCTCTCTGAACTTTCGTTGACTTGACACATACATACATGACCTTCATGGCGCCAACAAACTTAGTTTCAACATTCAGGTCAATGAATCCCTTCACAAGTAAATGCAGTGCTGCCGGACCTGCACTCGGCGACTTCGAGAAATGTACCTTGTCAGATGATGGTGCGAAATACCCAAACCTACTTTGAGAGATACCTCCACACAATGTCAAAGTCAAGACACCTTGTTTTTGAAAAGACAACTCCTGCATAAGAATGCTGCCTAGAAGGCACATGAAGGTCCAAAATGTCCTTCAAACTACGATGAACGCCATAAAACACTTACTACTCGAGCATCACAAGAATTGTTGGCCTCCCTGCTTGATTGAGCCTTGTCAGCAAATTCCTGTTTGTTTGACAAAAAAGCTTTTAATATTACAAATATATAAACTCGAGGATCCCGAGATAAAATAGTAAAGACAGGCAAATCACCCTGAAATAAAGAATAACAATCATGGGAGCAACATTCAAAGTTCATCTCGGATCGCAACATCGAAGATAGAAACTTGCCGACAAGAGAAACAAAGATAAAAGCCACTGCAGTTCCAAATTCTATCCCCGCTTAGACACCGCCTCACTTCGGATTCTAATATAGGACAAATATGGTCGGTTCTCCGCTTCATCTCCCGATGCCATCCTAGAAGAACTTTCCGTTCTCCTAGTAGAAACTTAGGCCTCGCAGTTCTTTCCGTGCCTGCCCCTGAAGCGTCCGTATGTCTTTCCGTGGTCGCCGCCCTTGGAGTGTCCACATTCATTTTCGTCGTGCCCATGGCCGCCGTGCTTGTGGCCATCGTGCTTGTGGCCGTCATGCTTGTGGCCATCATGTCCATGGCCGCCGTGCTTGTGGCCGTCATGTCCATGGCCGCCGTGCTTGTGGCCATCATGTCCATGGCCGCCGTGCTTGTGGCCATCATGTCCATGGCCGCCGTGCCCATGGCCGTCGTGCTTGTGGCCGTCGTGCTTGTCACCATGCCTCTTTTCATCTTTCATATGGCCGCCGTGTTTGGAGTGTCCACATTCCTTGTCGTGTTGCATGTGGTCACCATGCACGAAGTCACCATGTTGCTTTCCGGGTTGCAAGAGGCCACCATGCATGAAGTCACCATGTTCCTTCTCATCCTGCATATGGCCGCCGTGCTTGTGGTCGTCGTGTCCATGGCCGCCGTACTTGTGGCCGTCGTGTCCATGGCCGCCGTGCTTGTGGCCATCATGTCCATGGCCGCCGTGCTTGTGGCCGTCGTGCTTGTGGCCGTCGTGTCCATGGCCGCCGTGCTTGTGGCCATCATGTCCATGGCCGCCGTGCTTGTGGCCGTCGTGCTTGTGGCCGTCGTGCTTGTGGCCGTCGTGCTTGTGGCCGTCGTGCTTGTGGCCGTCGTGCTTGTGGCCGTCGTGTCCATGGCCGCCGTGCTTGTGGTCGTCGTGTCCATGGCCGCCGTACTTGTGACCGCCGTGCTTGTGGCCATCGTGCTTGTGGCCGTCGTGTCCATGGCCGCCGTGCTTGTGGCCATCATGTCCATGGCCGCCGTGCTTGTGGCCGTCGTGCTTGTGGCCGTCGTGTCCATGGCCGCCGTGCTTGTGGCCATCATGTCCATGGCCGCCGTGCTTGTGGCCATCATGTCCATGGCCGCCGTGCTTGTGGCCGTCGTGTCCATGGCCGCCGTGTCCATGGCCGCCATGCTTGTGGCCGTCGTGTCCATGGCCGCCGTGCTTGTGGCCATCATGCTTGTGGCCACCATGCATGAAGTCACCATGTTTCTTCTCATCCTGCATATGGCCGCCGTGTTTGGAGTGTCCATATTCCTTGTCGTGGTGCATGTGGCGGCCATGCTTGGAGTCACCGTGATGGTCTCCGCCGCCGAATTGTATGTGCTTCAAGCCTTCGTGCATGTTGTTATCATCCTCGAAGTGCCCGTGGTTGTTTTCCGTTTGGTCACCACCTTTGAATAGTTTGTTTAGCAAATTGTCATTCTCCGCGTGGCCGCGACCCTTGAAAAGCTTATGTATCATGTTATCGTTTTCTGCGTGGTGGCCACCCTTGAAGAACTTATGTATCATGTTGTCGTCCGCATCATGACCCTGTCGACAGCAAGTCCAGCAATTGCCCTATGAGTTTTAACAGGTGTATCAGTACGGGTACCCAATTATGCATGTAGTGGTTAATTCATTTCAGTATAGATATGTATCTGTTGACGTGTCCTCTCATGGTGTGTGAAGAGTTTTTGCAGTAAGCAGAAACGTAGAGCAGAAATATGGCACACATACCACTCTAAGAACAATCTATTAAAGTCATAAATGTCAGCAGTGCTTCAATTAGGGGAAATACCTGAATACCTAATACATACCATGCGCGCGGGACATAAACGGGGACGATGCCAGCAAGCCCTGAGGCAAGCCTGTGGAGCATGGTTGTCTTCGTGAACTCCGTGATGAATATTGTTGTCTGGAAAATTAAATGAACCAATAGCCCAAGCGGGAGTAGCCACAAGAGCAGTGGCAGCAATAGCCGTTGTCAGATGCATATTTTTTATGGCTTCGAATGCAGGAAACCGGGGGTAGAGAATTCAAAAGAGACTGGATACGATTGCTCTCGATGCCTTTGAAGCCGGATCTGATGTCTAGCAGTAAGCGCCCAAAGACACAAGGGCATGAAGGGCTTTTATATCTCGTCTCATGCTCTCAATATTCGCCAGCCCGAAAATTCTGGGGGAGAGATCTTCGCAGTTCTCTGAATCATAGATACATGTCTATGAGCAGGAACAGAACCAGCCACACTGATAATGACGCCTCGAGCAAGATTTCTCTGGGAGCAACTCTATGAACTCAAGTCAAAGAATCAGCTCCTTCAAGCATTGCCAGCTCATCGCTATTGAGGTATCAGACCCTCGTTTGGCGCAACACAAGACTCAAAGCTCTCTGTGGATTGGTGATGGCTGGAGTTCGGGTGTGACAAGGAGGCTTTGAGTTCATTGAGGGCAGGTTCATCGGCTTCATTTGTCTCGATTCCCGCTCCGATTGTCTTGATCGATTGTGCCTGGATTTCTTCAGAAGCGGGAGGATGTTGATCTGCCGGAAGATCGACACGGTTCACTCTGGATGATGATGCAAGAGATGGCCCGCAGACGGGCGGGAGCCCACCTAATCCGCTCCGGGCTAGCGCATCCCAGAGTTGCTGCTGCAGGTCAAGGCTTGGCGTCAGGGGCCTTGAGACAACCCCGATCGGACGCCAGTGGAGACCCAAGTTGGCGGTCGACTCGAGAGATGCAGGGCCAACCCGCCACTGAATCTAATATTCTCCTCCGACTGGTGAGCCAACTTTGTCCGAGAACCATGCAAGCGCCAGTTGCAGGCCAAAGGGACAACTTGGCCCTCCATCCTTGACACTGGCAAAAGGCTCGAGTCTATCCTGGTCAATCCGGAGACATCGTTGCATTGGATTGAGACGCGGACCCCCGCTAGCAAGAATAAATGCATATTTTCGCTTGCTGCCTCTTGTTTTTTCTCGAATTGTTCGTATTTCATGCATCGAGCCAGACACTCGGTGACCACCCAGCGGATTGCTCTTACAGGGATGGTTGTCGCAAATCTCCACCTTTTTAATATGTGTCTCGAAAAAAAAAAGCATGGTTGGCTTTCATGGAGACCCAATGCGTTGTTCCTCCGCCTCTAGCATGGCTGAAGCTGAAAATGTGCACTCATGGATCAGCAAATCTATAATTATGATCATCCGGTTTGCCGCACCTTAGCGAACACGATAAGATAGCAGCCATGGCGTTTTCGGAGGCTCTCTGATAATTTCGGGCGGCATCTTCAGCGGAGCCTGAGACAAATCGCAGTGTCAAATCAACTTTGCCTATTGACGTACTTCATCACCTCGAGCTGGCATCTCCGGTCCCAAAATGATGCTCTGAAAAATACTGATGGTCACCTCGTTGATCTGAGTTCACATTGTGGACTGTCAGTTCGAATTAAACCTGTTCCTGATCACTTTAACCTTTTGCCCTTCTCTTCAAGCCAGAGCAAAGTTTATCCCCGAGAGAATCGGATAGGTACATACTCTCTTCACAGCAAGGATGTTTTGGAGAAGTGCAAAATCGGACAATCTTGAGTCTACGCAGCCATCCGCACAAGTTTCCACGGCAAATGTGTCCCCAAGGCTCTCTGGTTGTTCTTCTGCCCAAGGAACTGCTAGCCGACCATTCTCTCAATCTGAAAACCGCATGACAATAGCAGGAATTGATGAGGACTCAAAGTATAGAGCTGTTTGTTAATCTACAACCCCATGGCTGCCAGTTTTTTCATTGACTTTGCTCTAGATAATTAAATATCTTCACGCGAGACTTGCCACAAACCAATGGTATTCTCTGCCCACAGATCCAACGGTCGAGTATCATGGTCTTCTGCTCCGGAAGTCTCGCGGGAGTTATATTTCCGAACCGGAAAATGTGCATCCACTCTTGCTCGCTGCTGTGCAAAAGATCAATGTCTCGGTTGCTTTCACAATGTCAACTGAGACTACCAGAATCATCCTCTCACTTCTACAACAAAATCAGACTGAACTGGTACTCCCAAATGGGTTCCAGGTTCAGGTTATTGACTCCCTAGCAGATATTGCCTGTTCCCCGTCAAGCTCTGTAAAGAAGTTTCAATACGTAGCCTTTATTCGAGAGGAGGGATTTCTCCTGGTCTGGCATGATGAGCTAGATAAAATACTTCTCCACGCGGAAGATGTTGAAAGCAAACTTCTCTCTTTTGTAAGTAAAGCCCCATAGCGGCCTTGAATCACTACCTGATCCTTTTAACTCTAGATTTGTGGAACGTCTACGTCTGTGTTTGCTTCGTCGATTCCTCGGTACCCCCTTCAACGCTCACCCCTCCACTCTGCTGCCAACTCGACACATCAATTTACGACGCGGCGGAGCAAAGAGGCGGGTGATGTAGTAAATCAGACATCGAGTGCCCCCGATGAAGAAGCTGCAAACCCTGTTGAATCGTTAGATAGGCCGGTCGCATTGACAAGTTCAATATTCGTCGGCCTAGGATCATGTTTAATCATTGTTCTCATCTTAGGCTTCGGTGTCTCTAATCTTGTCTTACAAGTCCTCGTTGATGGAAAATGGACAAGACTGGGGTTGCTTGCGACTATACCAGTCTTTATGCTTTTCAGTGTCTTTTTTGTTATTGTAATCTTTACCGATATTTTCCAGGCCATCGGGCCTATCAAAACCCTAAAAACAAATTCTCGATTTTATTCCGCCCTTCGGCCAGATCTTGCGCAGGCCTACTCTCTGGGCTTCAAGCCTCCTCGACTTACAATCCAGATGCCCGTTTACACTGAGTCATTGAACGGCGTTATCATTCCAACGATTACAAGCTTGAAAGCGGCTATATCGCACTACGAGTCTCATGGAGGTGAGCTATCTATCTCGATCTTGCTTACATTCCGATATCTAACTGGGAATGTGTCTTCAGGTGCTGCAACAATTTTTGTCAATGACGACGGCTTAGCATATCTCTCGGAAGAGGAAAGAGAAGACCGTATCAACTATTACCATGACAACAATATCGGTTGGGTGGCTCGACCCAGGAACAACGAAGATGGATATATCCGAAAGGGTAAATTTAAAAAAGCCTCCAACATGAACTTCGCCTTGAATATTTCCAATAAGGTTGAAGATAAGCTTCTTGAAATGCTGTCAGAGACACTAGAGACAACGGATATGGTTGATGTAGGCCGGGAAGAACTCTTTTACCAGCTGGCCCTAGAAGAAGTTCTTGCCTCTGATAGCAGAGTCAAAGCTGCCGGAGATATTCGCATAGGGGAAGCGATCCTGATTGTGGACTCTGATACTCGAGTGGTACGTCTGCCGTTTTGGAGAAATCTTGAAAATATTCGCTCTAACTCTCCAATCCAGCCAGTCGACTGCTTACTATACGGTGCTGCCGAGATGTTTCTCAATCCGGAGGTGGCGATTATTCAACATTCAACCGGTGTCATGCAGGTTTCTGAGGATTATTTTGAGAACGGAATCACATTTTTTACAAACCTGATATATTCTGCAATTAGATTCGCAGTTGGAAGCGGAGAGACAGCTCCATTCGTGGGGCACAATGCTTTTCTTCGTTGGCAGGGTAGGCATCTGAATTGTCATCGGAAGCAATTGCCGCTTGCTAACTTTGACTAGCGGTCCAATCAGTCGGTAAACAAGATGACGGGTATGTCGCGTATTGGTCGGAAAGTCATGTCTCGGAAGACTTTGACATCGCTCTTCGTCTACAGATAGCTGGAAATATTGTTCGACTCGCAAGCTATCACGGTGACGAGTTTAAAGAGGGCGTATCTCTAACTATTTATGACGAATTGGCGCGCTGGGAAAAGTACGTGTTTCCAAATGACCCCCAACATATGTTCAGTCCGCAGGAATACTGACGGTATCGATATAGGTACGCATATGGATGTAATGAGCTCGTTTTCAATCCAATTTATACCTGGATATACAAAGGGCCCTTTACTAGGCTTTTCATGACCTTTCTTTGGTGCAATTTGCAGCTATCATCAAAGATTACGATTCTGGGGTACATTTCTTCATGTGAGATCATAATCTGCCCGTAAAACCTCCCGTGACCCTAACTGATTTGTTTTAGATTATGCATTGGCATCTGGATTTCCATTGACAGTCATGAATTATTTCTTAGTCGGCTGGCTCAACGGCAGCTTGGACAAGTTCTATCTTGAATCCTGGAAAGGTATTTATGTCGGCCCTCACCGAACCTCGCATCATGCTAATGTACTCATTTCTAGTTTTCCTGGGCCTCATCCTCGTCTTTCCCCTCCTTGGTAACATTTGTCTAGCCATTATCCGCTACCGTCTCGCAGAAAAGAGCCTATGGGGCGCTCTTCTCGAAAACTTCAAATGGGCGCCGATGATGGCAATCTTTTTCGGTGGCATCTCGTTCCACATCAGCTTGGCGATCCTCTCCCAAATGTTTCGTGTCAACATGGAATGGGGAGCGACAGCTAAGGAGAAAGTTGATTCTAACTTCTTCAAGGAGATGCCCAAAATTTTCAAAAGCTTCAAGTGGATGTATGCCGTCGTCTTGCCTCTGATCGGTGGTATGGTGTACCTGGGCTGCTTTGCTCCAAGAGGCTGGGAGATCACGGAGATTGCAGCAGTCGTGCCTTTATCAGTGACTCTAGCTTCACATGCTCTTCTTCCCTTGCTTCTCAACCCTTCGTTGATGATATTCAATTACTAAGATACTAATACTTGGTGCAAGTCTGTGGCGTCGGAGGATGCGTTTGTTTTTGACTCGAAACCTCGAAACCTCTCATAGATGGTTGTGTTTTAAAACCCATGTTAAACTTGCCTCTTTCTTTTTTTTTTTTCTTTTTGGGCGCGTTGGAGGAGCATTTTGGCGGTGTATGTTATAGAGCTGGACTATTGGTTGTGTGTACCGTCAGACTAGTAATATGATATCAGTAAGGAGTAACCACTCCGTAATGCCTCGCGCTTGACTGAGTTGAGCCCCGTGGAAGAAAAACTTTCAAGCTTCTCTGGCTGAGTTGACCTCATCTGCCTGAGAACAACGAACAAAGCTACCATTTTGCAATATCAGCCAGAGTTTCAACCTGGATCTGACTAAAACAGCCGGTGGTATGTAGTCCATACAGAAATCGCCAAATATAGACGCCATGCGGAGCACAAAGAGAGTTCGAAGCATCAAGGCGGAGTGGAAAGAATTTTCTGGCTGAAACAACGCCAACGCAACGTCGAAAAATGATTCCGGCCATCAAAATAACCGGGCTTATTTTCGCAAGAATAACATGACAGAATGCGACTAAGTTTGATTCGCGATTTCATTGTTATAATAGGGCGATGGCGAGACCCTCTTTCGTTTGTTTAGCACGGACCGCGTGCAGCGCAGTTGCATTGGTCTGGGATCACCCATGTCATCGCGCTCCACGGCTTTCTGGGTAACAAGATATGAGACTAGCGCGTCTCGATGTCTTGGTCAAATACGGAGACAAAATATACGGAGTATCCCGAAATTCCACGGTAGGGCAATGGAAATGGGAAAAGGATGATTGGGCGTCTGCTTAAATTCTCCTTCTTTGGAAGTATCCATTTCCCCTTAGAAAGGTCCCCTCAAGAAAAGCTTCTTGATGGTCGCAAGCAGGCTAAAATAGCGGGTGCCCAGTGGTGACGGGCTTCTCTGGGAGCACAGTTCGCTTCGCTTGTGAGTCTCGCCAACAATGCGCTGCTTTCGCGGCACTATGCAATCGCATTATGATGTCGCAGGGGTGCCTGCACGCTGCCCGCAAGATTGAGCATGGGTGGGACAATATCCGATATGGATTCATATAAAACAAGTACCGGTTATTCTGTGCCCTGCATCAAGTCTGGACACAAGCTTTTACGCAAGGGTTTGATGCTTATGCACTTGGGAGATCTCCTAGCAAACCAGGGAGTCACCTACTTGTCAAGTAGGCTCTGCACCCATTGTTGTCAGTTGAGCCACACCTATTCAGAATGATGATCGCCGTAATTCTGGCGACGCTATGGGCGGCTTCAGCTCTTCCCAAAACATGGGCCCTCCCAACGTGGCCTTCGCCTGCCGACGAACTCGAAGATCTTATGTTCCTCCACACCGGCTACCGTGCTCGAGGATTTGCTGCCGGCGTAACGCCATGCTCTTTCTCCAAACAGGGCCCTTCTCGAATTGCGTCCGCCGAATGGCTTCGTACTGCGTTCCATGATATGTCCACCGGGAATGTTTTCACTGGCGTCGGTGGCCTGGACGCCTCGATTATGTACGAGATAGGTGGAAATGGAGGAGAGAATCCCGGCCCAACATTCAACAATACCCTTGAAACCTTCACTCCCTTCTTCTCACCAAGAGCCTCTATGGCCGACCTGATAGCCTTGGGAGTGCACACCGCCGTTCGATCCTGCGGGGGTCCGATAGTCAAGGTCAGAGCGGGAAGAATCGATGCGACTTCTCGAGGTCCTGTTGGAGTGCCACAGCCTGAGAACTCCCAGAGGACGTTTATCAACCAGTTTGCGCGAACTGGATTCAACATCTCCGAAATGATCGCCTTGACGGCTTGCGGGCATACGTTAGGAGGAGTTCATGCACAGGATTTCCCACAAATTGTGAAACCGGGGACGGTGCAAAATGATTTCCAGTTGTTTGACTCGACCCCAGAATTCGACGAAAAGGTAGCGTCTGATTTTGTAAAAGGTGTTCACACCAACCCACTGGCAGGAGCCCTTGCACGTACGAATACACGAGACTCTGACACGAAGGTGTTCACTGCGGACAACAACAAGACGATAACAGCGTTGGCTGATGCAGCCGCGTTCCGAGATACATGCGCGAAAATGCTCCAAAGAATGATTGAGGTTGTTCCATCCGGAGTGAGCCTGACGGATCCCATTTCGCCATACGAAGTTAAACCTTCGCACCTTCAGCTCGCGCTGGCCGGAAATGGTAGTACACTGTATTTCTCCGGTGAGATTCGGGTCAGGACGACACATCAACCAGCCAGTGCAATTGCGAAAGTGCAACTCTTGTTCAAAGATCGCCGAGGTGGTACAGATTGCGATTCCTGTACAATTGGCACCGAACACAAGGGAAATGCAGCGGGTTTTGACGACAAGTTTGCTGTGCGTACTGTCTTGATCTAATATATACATATTTTATGGAATCACCTACTGATGAGGTGCGCAGTTCTACGGATTCTCGGCCAGTTTACCGGTTGATACGTCCATCTCTAGTTTCAAGGTACAAATCACTTTGGCCTCAGGTAAGGTAGAGGTGTACGACAACAATGGATTCGAATATCGTGTACAGGACACGATCATGCTCCAGCCTAAACAGAGCTGCTTTAGCAAAGCCGATTCTGCTGGTAATCTGACAATCACCGCTGCTGTAAGTCTCCCTACTTGTTGCCCTGAATCGTTCTATCAACGGCTGACCGACCCGAAGATCCGAGACACAGTAGCATCGCCAAATGTGACTCTTGCTCTATTTATGAAAATACCTCGAGACTGCTGTGTTGTCCCCGCGCTGAAGACAAAGATGATCGCTATGACAAAGCAAAGGAGCATCGGCCCATATACCTTGTTCTCAAGCAGCTATGCGCTAGAACCCTTCTTGAAATCTAGTACAATATTTGACGTTTCCGTGACAAGCGGAGGCAAAGTCATATTGGACAGTTTCAAGCGCACCGCCGAGTTAGGGTCGACGTGTGCGTCCTTCGGCTCAGATGGCCCTACCAAACCTGAGTTCAATTACGAGGGCTGCTTTACTGACAGCGTCGCCTCGAGGACTCTTACCGGGAAAGCGTCCGCCGACGACGAAATGACGATTGAGAAATGCGGCAGCCAATGTAAGGACTACCAGTTCTTCGGTCTCGAATACGGGAGGGAGTGCTTTTGCGGCAATACAAAAGGCTCAAGGAGCGTTAAGGTCGAAGAATCTGAATGTTCCATGGCCTGCGGAGGCGATAACTCCAAGGTTTGCGGCGCGCAAGATCGCCTGAACCTCTATAAGAACACAGCTTGGATCCCCACGATAAACCTCGATATTGCGGGATACAAATACCTTGGATGCTATGAGGATTCGAGGGGCAGCCGTGCGCTATCAGAGAGCTTTGTGTATAGCGACAAGATGACGGTGGAAATGTGTGCTTCCTTCTGCGGTGGGGCAAATTATTTCGGCGTCGAGTACTACAGCGAGTGTTATTGTGGTGCTACTCTATCGCCGAAAAGTTCCAAACAGCCAGAAACAGATTGCAGCTTCCTCTGCTCTGGGAACAGTACTCAGTACTGCGGTGGGAGCGACAGGATCAATGTGTATATGAAGGAGCCTGTGCCCTCAGGCTGTAAGGTCGACGCAACATCCCCAACTAGACGTGTGTAAAGGGGCTCTTACGATATATATCTAACATTGGCATGCACTCGAGATATAGATAGACTCCTGCTAGGAACAACTAAAGTAATATTTAATATTTTGCTGGAAAGATGGAAATTGAATAAACATAACCAAAACAAACGTACGTGCTATACCGTTTTAATCTTATTCAGAATGGGATTGATTTCTGGAGCAGGAATTAAAGCTTTCGCTTCATTCAACATCCCATATCCGCTCTTCAGAACAAACCACCAAGGTAGTGGGACGATTTTCGCGGTTTAAAAATCATGCGGTGCCGGAAAAATGTTGAGAATGGTACTTATACACCGATTCCCTCCACTTTGGCCATGAATTCATCCTTCCCCCAAAAAAAAAAAAAAAAAAAAAAAAAAAAGAAAAGAAAAAAGCGTTTTCGGTCATGAGGATCATTATCAAGTTGATCCTCTGCTGAGACTTCAAGCGCTGGAAAAACTAGACTCTGTGACTAAAATCGGGCTGGGTTGGCGTGGGAAAGCCAAGTGTTTGCCGAGAAAAGGGTACACCAAGTTAGCAGGAAAAGGTAGGGTCAACAGTCTTTTAAAGGTTGTCGAAGCTGAATTCTCGAAGAATCACTTCATGCATTGTGTGAATTGTCGGTATCATAGTGTTGGGTCAATGACATTCTGGATCGACATGAAAGGCATAGAGTACCTCCTACAATGTCTTCCTGGAATCAGTGATTGCATTCTTTGCACAGCTTATGCCGAATCCTGAGGCAATTAGGCTATGAGTTTAGTTTTGTTCGCCTCTTTGTGCGTGATATATGATGTTACGTTCGCGGGTATGAAGGCTTCCGGCAAAGTTTCCGTGAGGGAACTCGGATCCAGGGACGAAAACATCACCAAACTGATGAACTGGGGGCGCCAAGCAGCCCAGGCTGAATGAGAACATCCTTCGACCAGTTGCGACTCTCGTTACCGTTTGAAACCCTGACCAGACTTCTATTTTGGCAACATTGTGCCTCTGCACCATCATTTTTTCGTTCTAGACGGGCCCGGCGGCTAATTGTGTCTGGCACTTCTCCGACGCTTTTCGATCGGTAGGATGATAATGATCGATGACTTTGGCTCCCATTGAGACAGCTAGCTATTTATTACCTTAGATCCTAGCAGCACGGTTCTCGAAGCTCTCGGCTCGGTGAGGATGAGCCACGGCAGCTCTCCAGCTGGCGCTTCTACAGAGCTGCCACTTCTCTAAGCTTTGGCAGAGTGTCAATTCCATAGTCTGTGGTCCAATTGCCATGGCTTATTGGAGAATTTGAATCGCAATAGAATCCTTCTATTCAGTTTTGATTTCATCTTGGTTCTCTCATGGCATTGCAGCAATCTGTTGCTGACATTCAGGTATATAAGGGACAGCTTTCCCTTCGGGCTCATGATATCCCCATTTCTGCTCCTTACAAGCTTCCTCAATCAGTGTCGTTGGACCAATCCAGTCGTCACCCTTAAAAAAAATAACACTATCCATCAATTAGAATGCGTCTTCGAAGTTTCCTCTTATCTATCGCTTTAATCGACGGTATTCTTGCCGGTAGTTGGGTGAAGGTCGAGCCCTTTCACACCAAGGCGCTCCGGGCTCGTCGGGGCCAAAAGGACGGTTCCTTCACCCCTGGCACAAGCCCAGGTACAGGCGGATCCTGTGGAGACGCGTTTGGAGCCGGGTTCACCGAATGTGCCACGAGCGGTGTATGCTACAGCCCTGACGAAGGGGACACTTGCTGTAGCGAAGGATGTAGGTGGAACCAATATATCAATGGTTTCTAGGCTTTCTTAGAACACTGAAAGCTTCTCTAGACCCGTGCCCAGCCGGTTCCTTTTGTCTGGCCGCAGGCAAATGCTGTCCTGACGTGAGCCCCCAGCAACCCCTTTTGAAATTGTACCTGAGATCCAGGATAGCTGACTGACTGTTCTTCCCAGGGGCTGTCGCCCGAGGAATGCGCCGCTAAGCTCAGCGTAACACTGAGCCTTACCAAGCAGCCGCAGCCTTCTCAGCAGCCGCCCGCTACGAACACACCTCCACCGCCTGCCAACCCTTCCTCCGCAAAGCCTCCAGTCGTTACCACTCACGTCTGTCCAAGTGGTCCTCATCCTCCTTATCCAACCGGTAGTCCCAACGCCACGATCCCTGGAAGCGGCAATCCGAACAGGCCGTCCGATCACCGGAATTCACTGGCGCTGCCAGCCCGCAGAATGGCGTACAGGGTGCCGTCGCCGTTGTCGCTTTGCTTGGGTTTGTTCGGAATTTCTTGTGAAACTGTTTGTATCATGTTATAGATTTATAGATTTGTAGATTTGCATCTACCATTGGAGCATCTCTACGCTTCTGCAAACTTTGATTAGAAAGCCTTTTTTGTGTAACTATTGCCGGTGTTTTCCAACGTGTTCCAAGAATACGCATGCCCAGGGGGATAGGGTAGTAGTGGACATACTCTCTGTACATAAACCCCCAGTCTCGTGTTGCGCGCTGTCACTAACAGCCGAACAAGTGGACATGCATGTCACCAACTAACTGACGATCGGCATGGAGAGGTCGCATGGCGCACCGGGATAAGCGATGCTGTCGCGACCAAGCAGCATGGAGAACGACGACGAGAGATCGCCGTTGACACCGCGCGCTGGCGAAAGGCGACCGCCGGCAGACGCTCGAACCTTAGAGGGCCTGGGCCGGGGAGGGGAGCGGGGCAGCCCCGCCGAGATTACCTCATACCTGCAGTGCATCAGGTGAGTAACATCAACAGAAAATCTCTCCCGCCCAGCTTGCTGCCAGCTTTCCTCCCCCTGCGCCTGAACCTCCCGTCCGGGCTCAATTGCACCCGTCTATCAGCTTAAATTCAACCCTACGTTCAACATTCCTCTTCTAGCTAAGCTCTCGTTCCCAGCCATGTCTGGTTTTGATCAAGCAACCTCGCTGGGCGCCTGGAAGGCCCTCGAGGAGCACCATAGCTCTGCGGGCAAGGACATTTCTCTAAAGGAAGAGTTCCAGAAGGATCCCCAGCGATTCAGCAAGTTCTCCCGCACGTTCAACAACCCCGCAGACGGCTCTGAAATCCTGTTTGACTTCTCCAAGAACCTGATCACCGATGAGACCCTCAAGCTCCTCGTCAACCTGGCCAAGGAAGCTGGTGTCGAGAAGCTTCGCGATGAGATGTTCAACGGTGATCCGATAAACTTTACTGAGAATCGTGCCGTCTACCATGTTGCCCTGCGCAACGTGTCCAATGGGCCCATGCAGGTCAACGGGAAGAGTGTCGTGGAGGAGGTCAATAGCGTTTTGCAGCACATGAAGGAGTTCTCAGAGCAGGTTAGAAGCGGAGAATGGAAAGGATATACTGGAAAGAAGATCAAGACTATCATCAACGTCGGAATTGGCGGTTCTGATCTGTAAGCTCTTTTTCTTGTGCAGCGTCAGCACGAGGAGTGGCCACTGATGCTGACAATCAACAGCGGTCCAGTTATGGTCGCAGAGGCTCTAAAGCCATATGCTGACCGCAGCCTTACGGTGCACTTTGTCTCGAACATCGACGGAACACACATCGCTGAAGCACTGAAAGAATCCGACCCTGAAACCACCCTCTTCCTGATCGCGTCCAAGACTTTCACGACCGCCGAAACGATCACAAACGCTCAAACCGCAAAGGCCTGGTTCCTCGCGACAGCTAGAGACGAAGCCCATATCGCTAAGCATTTCGTCGCTCTCTCAACCAATGAAGCTGAAGTCACAAAGTTTGGTATCGACAAGAGGAACATGTTCGGTTTCGAGTCGTGGGTGGGCGGTCGGTACTCCGTGTGGAGCGCAATTGGCTTGTCCGTTGCTCTTTACATCGGCTTTGACAACTTCCACCAGTTCCTTGCTGGTGCCCATGCTATGGATAAACATTTCAGGGAGACTCCCCTCGAACAGAATATTCCGGTTCTCGGAGGCCTTTTGAGCGTTTGGTATAGTGATTTCTTTGGCGCTCAGACTCACCTGGTTTCGCCGTTTGACCAGTACCTACACCGATTCCCTGCCTACCTCCAGCAGCTCTCGATGGAAAGTAATGGCAAGGCCATCACCCGATCCGGCGACTTTGTCAAATACACCACCGGTGCTATCTTGTTTGGCGAGCCTGCCACCAATGCCCAGCACAGCTTCTTCCAGCTTCTCCACCAAGGCACGAAGCTCATCCCAGCCGACTTTATCATGGCTGCGGAATCACACAACCCCGTCGAAAACGGCAAGCATCAGCGCATGCTTGCTTCCAACTTCCTCGCTCAAGCTGAAGCTCTGATGGTCGGAAAGTCTCCCGACCAAGTTCGGGCCGAAGGAGCGCCAGAAAACCTCGTTCCTCACAAGACCTTCACAGGTAACCGCCCGACAACCTCTATCCTCGCTCAGAAGATCACTCCCGCCGCTCTGGGCGCTCTCATCGCATATTACGAGCATGTCACCTTCACCGAGGGCGCCGTCTGGAATATCAACTCGTTCGACCAGTGGGGAGTCGAGCTTGGCAAGGTCCTTGCAAAGAAGATCCAAAGCGAGCTGGAGACAAAGGGCGCAGGAAGCGGCCACGATGCTTCCACAAGTGGGCTGATTGCCGCTTACAAGAAGAAGGCCGGTCTTCTGTAAACCTATCAGCAGTAGACCAATTCAGCACTACAAGATAGTTTTGTGCATATAGCTATGTATTAAGCATAGTGTTGTGAATTAATAAAAACTCTTGACAAAACCGGATGAGTGTACGTTTGCCCTTAAAAAGCACTCTGTACTCTGTAAAGTCAGGGTGAATAAAAATATTTTGGATCAATCAGCATGGGGCTAGTGTCATCAGTGTGTGGTTGAAATGCGGCGCATGGAACCTGTGATTCGTTTCAATATTTCGTTTTTTCTTGAAGCTTCTTACCGTTGAATAACAAGGGGGTTCAAAGCGCTTTTCAAACAATTTTCTTTGTTTTTGGATGATTGGTTGTAAACTCTGATCAATGTGTGAGGACAGATTGTTCATCCCTGCTGGCCCATCGGCACCGAGTTCCCACCTTCAACTCTCCCTGGAAACTCCGAAACCCCAACCCGCACTGCCTCCAACGGCCCGGGACGAGCGGACCGAATAAACGCAAATCATGTCCATACTATCGAGAGTATCGCCCTTTACGCAACTCGTATACGCCCGCGCAGTCATCCTGCTCCTCCTGTGCGGCGAGTTGGTGTCTGCCGGCAGACTGACGCATTCCCATGATTTCGCGAAGAGGACGTATAAATATGGCCAGGGCGTGCCAGTTAGTTGTTTAAACCGGACGATGTGAGTCAATTGGGCTGCCTTTTCCCAGTGAGATCAGGCAGAAGGTTTCGACCGTCTTGCAATTCGGGGATATATAGTTAACCTAACCATTGATGCTCTTCCGAACGCAGAGACGCCGGCGAACATGTAAGTTATGCGGTTTCTCGCCCGGAACCATGAACACCCGCGAATGGCATTATCCCACGCCGACCAAACGCAAAATATGTCCATTTGACTAAATTCTACAAAAAAAAAAAAAATTTTTATAGGTAACCGATTCCTCGGGCAAACTCCAATACATCCCTTTCCCCACTTGCAACGAAACCTCCGCTCCGCTCTCCTTGCGCTACGGTGTCTCCGAAACTGTAACCTGCACCATCGACTCCCTCCCGGACACCCTCTACCACCTCTTTGAATACTACGTCCACTCCGACGCCCCGCTGGCATGTCGCGTGCCCACCGTCCCACTCCTCGAGCCCTCGAAACATTTCGACCCTGGCGCCACGGGAGAAGGTAGCCACGATGCGTTTATGGAGGGCGGTGCTCCAGCACCATTTACGCCGTTGACGATTGCGCTGCAAGGGACGCTGCAGAAAAGTCATTTGCATGTTTGGTCGGATATGAATGTTTTGATTCATAGGTCGGCGGACGGGAGCAAGAAGAGGAAGACGGGGAATAAGGCGAAGAAGATGCGGGGACAGATTGTTGCGGGCGCGGCGTATTCGATTCCCTCGGTCGATGTGGTGATGGAGGCGGATAGGAAGAAGAGTGGGGATGAGAAGATGGAGGTTGGAGATGTGCGTGTTCCCTGGGACCCGTGGAAGGCGGGAGAAGGTGCAAAGGTTCTACGTGGTGAGCCGTTGACATTCAAGTTTCATGTTGGCTGGGTTCAGGAGACGAATGTTTCTGGGCTGGGGATGTCGCAGGGTTCCAATATGACGCTCTCCGAATTTGTGTATAACTCCCTTTTGTTTGTGGGCGCCGGATGTTTGGGAGCAGTCGTTGCTCTGTGGTGGGACCATTATAAGCGGAGACGGAGTAGCCTGTGGAATGGCGATGGACTCCTGGGCCATCCTGTCGGGCAAGGCGGATTTTTCGGTCGAAAAAGCCGTGGGGTGTCAATAAACTTAGGAAATGGAGGAAAAGCGAATGGATACGGAGGGTACGGATTCAATGGCAAGAATGGGGCAAACCAGGGCTACGGAGGATATTCAAGCGGAAAACGAGATTGATTGGCAAATTTTGGAGATTCTTTGTGAATGTTTCCTTTTAACAAATATATATGAGTGTATATCAGAATCCATGTATTTGTCTGAAATAAACTGCCTAGTAACCCATCTAATCCCGTAATAGTACATATGAAAAAAGAACCATTGTATCCTCAGTGCAGTCAGATGTTCTTCCTGACATCTGCCGTCCGGTACAACATCAAGCATGTTTTTGCCATCCAGCACATGGTCGACATCTGTGGGCACTTGTATTTACACGACCAACGATAGTGTCCCCCGCAACCTCACTGAGCCCCCAAGATAATCCCAAGTGAATGCAACAGTGTTTAATACTACCTTTACCAACCCTGTTTTCTCAATTTCTCACATCTCGCAACCGTTTGCTGAAATGAGAATTTAAATAGCTTTCTCCATCGCTTCATTCTCACTTCTTTCCTCAGCTGGCCCCTCCGGACATAAAATCTCTGCTCTCTCTCGTGAACACGCACTTTGTTCGCTGCGCACCGGCTCTCCATTAGCGACAGGGCCTTCCCAACATCAAAGTTCCGCACATGATCCACTGCCACCGTGCGGCCCAGAGACGGCGACAGACGTAGCTCTACTGCCGAGGAAAGACTCTTTTTGGTCTCCGATCTCGAAGGAAGGCGCTTGTCGTACATATTCAGCATGTTTTTGATGTCTTGTCCCCAGAGGCCGTCGCTGGGCGGCGATTGTCGGGGACTTGGGGCAGGGCTGGTTTTGGGAATAGGGTTTGCGGAGATGGCACGAAGGATCTGGTCGACTTCGTTTAGTTTTCCGGGCTTGCTTGCGTTCTCTGTGGAGGGGGTTTGGGCGTTATTCGCATTCGGGGGTGCGAAGTGCTGATTGCCAAATTTGGAATGAGGAGCTGAGGTCGCCGCCGCTGCAGCAGCCTCAGCGGATGTGCTTGTGGTTAGGGTTCGTTTTGATAGTGCGGCCATTGAGCGAGAAGGGGAAGCGACAGACATGAGGCGGAGGCATTGTCGGCGTGTCTGTTGGGCTTTTATTAAGCCATTGACGAATTGTCGGACCTCCATAGCGGAGGAGACGCGGAAATCAGTCTGCTAAAACCACAATTCAGGCCCAGCTTTGGATTCGAGACTCGATGGAAGGACCGGCGGGTGCAGCGAGCGGAGAGGAACGGCACGTCGACTGATTGAGTGATGATGGCATTCCAGTTGCCATCGAACTTTTCCTGGACGAGCATATATATCACGTGACTATAATTATTAAGTAATTTGTTACTAATTAACATGGGCCAATCATGGTTAGTTAGTTAGTTAGTTAGTTAGTTAGTGAGATAGATAAGATAAGATAGTAAGAGGTAGGATCAGATCAATCACGGTTTCTCCCCGCGAAGCCGGACGACTAGTTGCAAGCAGGACTACGGAATATGCAAAAGAGGTTCTTTCAAGCCACCTTGGATAGGAAGTCAACTATTTTTCCATATCTATTTAGATTCGTCTTATCCTTCCGTTTTTACGCTCCATGATGGCTTCTATCACCATCGCGACCCTCCCCCGCATGACCCGGGAGGTCCTTTCTTCTTTGCTCCTCTCCTCCACAAGCGCCAGCAAGGTCGCCATCATTGATGTCAGAGATTCAGGTTCGCACATGATCCCATCAAAAGCGCCTCAAGAATATTGGCTCATTTTTTTTTTGGCTTGTCACGCAGACCATGTTGGAGGACATATCCTCTCGTCGACTTGGATCCCCAGCTCCTCGTTGGAGGCACATATTCCAGAACTCATCCGCACCCTCAAAGATAAAGAACAAGTTGTCTTTCACTGCGCACTCAGTCAGCAGCGAGGTCCCTCCGCGGCGTTGAGATATGCTCGGGAGAGAGCCAGAGTCCTTGGTGAAGAGGAAGGAATCAAACAAAGGGTTTATGTCCTCGATGGTGGCTTTTTGCGTTGGCAGGAGAAGTACGGAGAGGATCAAAGATTGACGGAGGCTTATGTGAAGGATATCTGGTTGGATTACTGAGCGCGCTTGTCTATTTTACAAAAAAACTGGAAGACACATCGGTGTCTCTTTTCAACTGTTGAATATGGCGCTGGGCTTGGAATAAGTGGAGAGGCGTTGACTGGAACTCGGACATTTTCTGTTGGGGCCCAAGTGGGATTTAGCATAGATAAATCACTATCTAATAGAATATCGTGTATACATCGAGCAGGGAAATCTCGGTATATACATACCAGCGCACTACGCGTAATATTTAATTAGGAAACTATCTGCAACAACTGTTTTAGGCTGGAACCTGTCCACCAAATCCCACAGGCCTTCTCATCCCGCCTGCCTCAGGTATAATGGCCATAGCTTTATAAATTCTTCCCATGCCTCCCCCCCCTCTCTCCACTAGCCGCTTCCATCCGGCTTCTATATTCTTCCTTTTAGTCTCATCTTCAGCGCGTTTCATTAACTGCGCTGCTCTTTCTGATATACCCAGGGAGTGCAAAAAGCTTCCTTGCTCCGTGGGTCCGTGGACTTCGACGCCGGGACTGGCACTGATCGCAGAGTCGGCCAAAGCAATGAAGTCCACATCGGCGCTCAAGTCGACTTGACCAGGTGAGGTGAACGGAGACACTAGCTTATGGTCCTTAATACCGCGCAGTGAGTTGACGGGTATTGAATGCGATGGTCCATAATCCAAAATCAATGCAGCACCAGCAGGTTTCCGGGTGGTAGGGATTTTGCTATTTGAATGCCCTCCAATTCGGCGGGCAAACTCCTGTACATATCCCTGACTTTCGGGGCTAATTTCAATTGTCGATCCGCGGGTAGACTTCAGAGCCTTGTACCGTTCAGACATTTCAGGCATAACCATTGAAGCCGGAGTTGACGTTTTTGCGAGGGACAAACGGAATTCAAGGCGATTTTCAGCGTGCATCTGCGATGCGGGATTAACGGACACAACTAGCTCCCTCCATTGTGTTGGGCTAGATGAGAGCGGTTGACGGAGCGTAGTAGGACCGGTCGGGGTGATGATTGTTTCGGAGGGAGGGGATGCAACGCATTGAAATGCATGGATTGGAAGAGCGTCGAAAAATTCGTGAGCAATTATGAAAGGTACATCATTATCACCTGTTCCAAAAAGGTCTTTCCTTAGTCTCTGAATCTTCCGGGGCTCTGAGGAAACGAACCTTGTGGGAGTGACCGAATATGTTCTGTCCATACAACTGGGACGCCCAGATGTTTGCTCGTACTCCGGTACCCTACTTCAATCTCCTCCATAGGTGCATCCCCGCATAGCATCTGCTTTTGTATATCCCGGAGAGTAGGACTCGCTTCCACAAGGTAAACCGCCTCGATACTCGAGGAGAAACTCTTGAAATTTCGCACAGACTTCAGACAAATCGCATGAGCCACTTTTCATCTTTCGTCAGGGTCGACATCCGACTTACTCGAAGCATATCAGCCATGAGAGTGCCCCTTCCCGGGCCAACCTCGATCAGTTGAACACCGCGGCTTCGTCTCCCTTGGGCCATCCATTCCGTCACCATCCAGACACCCAAAAGCTCACCGAACATCTGTGAAATTTCCGGGGACGTGACAAAGTCTCCCCTTCTCCCGAACACTTCAACCCCAGTCGAACCACGCGACGTGTAGTAGCCGCCTTCGGGCGATGTGAGGCATTGTCGCATATACGCAGCGATGGAGATCGGGCCGGCAGTCTAGTCCACATCCCCATAATTATTCAGTACGCCAAAGAGAACATAACATAAGAGGGCCGAAAAGAGGTCAAAATTCAATTGAAGAATCGTACGAACATTTATCACATCAGCGATGGTCTTCGCCAGCGGCGTGGACCACTGTCTCTGGGGTGCGGAGGACAGGTATCGTTTTGCTGCAGACGGCGTGGCCAGTCGAGAACATCGACTGGCTCTTGCCAATCGATTCACTATCTGGGTGGCACCATTGCTCATCTTTTGTGGATGAGGAAGATTGTCTGTCGCGTGGGTCTGGGAGAGATGAAGTTGGTCGTCATTTGAAATGGAACTTCCAAGGCCGAAGTTTGTTCCAACAGGAGCAGCCGGGTGAATATTCCGAGAGCCATCGGGAATTCGAATTAAATTTTGACCCGCGAACGATGGGGAAACTGTTCCACCACGCTCTCCGCAATATTCGAATTTGATCGCATTTCTGGGAAATCTTAATCGATGGGCATTAGTTATATGTGAAGCGACTAAAATAATAAGCTACGGACTGGTCTAGGAGTTTGACTAGAGACGTGAAGCCGGGTCTCATACCGCCCATACGTTAACAGCATGTGACGCTCATTCAAACATATGCAATACCAAAGTATGTCCAGATTTGAGTTATAAACGGGTCTCAATCTGCTCTGTATCCTCTCTCTCAACTTCATACTTACTGTCATCGGCTCCCTGGTGGCTGGTCCCTGGTTGACCCTGCTCCCCGTAACCAGACGCCAGCATCCTGCCGGCCAGCTGAAGCTTCAACCCTTTCAGGATTTCCTGCAGACGATGTCGCAACAATTCCGTTCTCGCTTCTGGGATTTGAGCTTCCAGACCTTCAATCCTGCTCTTAAGCTCCTTGATGGCTTGCTCATTCTGGTCTATCGTCCGGTGATCAACCTCCTCGTCAACGACTTTCTCCACAACAAGTTCCTCACCGAAATGTTTAGCAAACTTCCTGCCTATATTGATATCATTAACTGCGAAAACAACCTGTTCAATTCCATCCCATGTTTCTTTCTCCTTTGTATCCCTACCCGATCCATTCAATAGCACTTTTCTCCAGGCCCTCGCAATCTCCTCGACAGGATTGCCGTACGCGCCGCACCCCCAAGCCCCCAGGACCACTCTATCAACGCGCTTCGCCTGGAATATTCTCATCACAGCGCGCATCTTCTTTTCAACAACTTCCCTCTCTTCCGGGTGTGTGTAGCTTCTTTCTCCCTCTTCGATTTCAGGAAATCTGAGCATGGCGGCACTCACCACCCCTACATACTTCCTCTTACCCTTTGCTAAATTATTCCCTTCAGATGTCCCATCTCGGAAAATAAGCACATCCGGAGTCCACACTCCGCCGACCTCCGGAAGTCGGTAAAACGACTCTTGCAATGAAGGATACAGCGTAGTGCGCACGCAGAGAAACTCCTCCTGAGACGTAGCACCGTTAAGCACGCCGCCGCCTGGTCGAAGTGGAGAAGCCATGTTTAAAACCCCCACACCATTAGCAGTAGGGGACGGAGCTCCTGCATGGAGACGAAGTGCCGCAGTGATTGTATCCACTGCATGAATACTGATCCTCGGATTAGACCTTTCAGGAGCGTGCTCGGGGTCCGGAGCCGCTTTAGATCCGCGGCGATTTAATGGGTGCTCATTCGGAGGAGGGTCCACGATCAATTCTGTGCTTTCAACACCCTTGCGTGCTCTGGAGTCGGATGCCAGCAGGGCAGGAATAGACCGGTTGATAATTGCCTTGGCTTGCTTCGCGCGAGCATCTTTACGGAAGGATTGCGGTGGAAGGACGACGGAGGGTTTAAGCCGACCCATTGGTAGCTAACAGTGCTGGCCCATGCAGGATCCTCGACGAGGATGATTTCCGAGTCTCAAGCTATCGCAACGTTCGTTGAGCTATATCTTTCAGATTCATGGTACTCCGTACGGAGTAGTAGTGTATGAAAGAGAGATATTTGTAAGGAAAATAGATCATAAAGAGCCGGAATCCAATGCTCGAAGTGCTACGTCCTCCGTTCCTCCGGAGTACATATACTAGGCCAGAGGAGCATCTGAGAGAGCTCAACTTCAGAGAGTCAAAAGCCACCAAGGTGCCGGTGACGTCATCAACCAACCCGCCAAGCCGTTTTGACTTCGCGGCGACATCGTGAGGAGACAGCAAGGTACCCCGTTTACGGCGTCTGGGCGAGCTTTTAACATGGGTTAAATCTGATGGATTCTTAAGGATGTATTACACTGTTGGGCGAAATTCAAAAAGGGACGAAATTCAGAACGGAATTTGTTGATTGTTAGGAAGGCGAAAGGGTCGAACGCGCAATGAGAGCTCTCAAGCCAATAACTAGTCTCTACTCCGTACAGCAAAAGCAGTCAGAGACTGGCAAAAAGCACCGCTTGACGTACTCTCCAACACAAAGCATTTACTTTCGTAGCAGATTGGTACTTAACACGGACGATAATACCTCCATAGCCGTCAAGATATCCCGGCGTCGGCTCTGGATATTTGTTACACAAGAGATTATATGCACGCCTCTTCCTCGGCCTGATCTTCCGAATTTCAGGCATGCACGATCGCAGCAAACTCCGAGAAGGACGGAGGCTAGCAGTAAAGCAGGACAATATGGTGTCAGTGAAATTGGAACACTATATCTCAGTAATCGGCCATCCAATGTCCCATGATGCAAAAAGGGTAATAACCGCCTACCACCGGCACAGCGCGCCTTTCCTTTATGCTGGTACTCGGCCCCGTTGGGTGAGTCGAAAATACAGCGAAGGGGCACTCGAATAAGTTTCTACGATGTTAGACTTGACGTTATTAATCCCCTCAATTCAGGACCGAGAGAAGAAACAAAAAGAACAAGGTCGACAAAGTCGACAATGTCAAATAAAGAGCACGACGGAATTATTCCAAAGCTACGTTAAAGAGGTAAAATGCGAATAGTGTACATGGATCCAACCTTAGGCCAAATATCTAGCTAGGCCAAAATTTGGGTGCGAACCCGAAGAAAATCAGCAGAGTCCAGATATGGGGCAAATTTTCAAATCATATTTCGTAATGAGATTGCGATGTTTGGGTGAAGTGTCCGCCAAAGCTCTCTTTTATGTTTCGGGGGGAAGAAGGTGAGTGATACAATCGTGGAGCGGCGTCAGGTAATTTCGGGTTTGATGCGAATGTGCAGGATCCTTCCGTCCGCCTAGGAGTTGCCATCTTTTGTCAGTGATCCGTCGTGTGCCATCGTAAAGAAGTAAAATCAACTAACTTTCTGGTTATTGAACTTGGTGACAACATCATCAGCACCACGGCGGTCTGCAAACATCATTTCGGCCATTACAGCAGGATACGTTGCGATGAGCCGGCATCTCAACATCCTGCCGCCTACTGGTTCAAAGGCCGATTGTATGTCTTCAGCTGTAGTCCCAGGAGCAAAGTTGCTGCCGAGTACTATGGTAGGTCCGGTGGCTCGGCCCTTGATGCTCAGGTCTGGGTCCGGTAGTGCAGATGACAGTAGACGAGCCTCCCTGGTAGTGTAGCGAGGTATGTCTGCAGTTCGCGTGTGTGCGGTGCGTGCGGGCTCGGCGTTTCTAGTGGCTCTGGCACCTCTGGTTGCCGTGCGCTGGATCAAGGATTCTAATTCAGTACATGTTTCAAGAGATAGAAACAGAAAACTAAACAATGAGCCACAAGAGCATCACTACCTTTTCAATCCTTCTGGGAGCTTCTTTCTGCGCTGGCCTTTTGGCAGCTGGTGCATTTTCACTTCTTACTTTGCTGAAGAACTTGTCCGTTGAAGCTTGCTTGCGGCGCCTATCACGAGCTGGAAAAAGGAGAACGGGACGTCAGATCAACAGCCTGAACATCATCCCAGGTAGCTAACCGAGGAGGAACGTGTGTACTCACCAGCATGGATGATTTCCTCAAAGGATGGGGCATTCTTTGTGCTATCCTTCTTTTTCGCCGCCATAGCTCCTGGTTACTGCTCAAACGACGGAGGAGAGTTCAGCTGCCGGTGGGAATAAAAGGTGATTCACTCATGCGCACGGGAGTACCATCATAGGCGTTATCCCAGGGTTAACAAGAGTGTGGAATCTCAGCTCCAAAGAACACACAAGACAAGTGCTTGCAGCAGCTGGCATGAAACGGCGGGCAGCAGGCTGATGCTGGAGTCTGCTCAACCTCTTCTGCTCGCGCCGCCGCAGCTGGTCCGGGTCTCACGTGACCCGCTAGTGTTGAGGCTAAAAATAAGGATGGTCTTGGCACCGCTAGGCCAGGAACGGCAGTTCTGCTAGTTTTGGAACAGTCAGCCCGGCGCGCGCTTCAGGGGCAGCAACATCGTCACGGGCCTGTCACCATGACAATGGCACAGAGAAAGGGGACGCACACACTCAGTCATCGCGGTAGATGCCGCCTTTCATCACCCGTGAATTGTGTCCCCTTTACGTAAACCATGTTGCTGTTTTGTCATGGCAACGCGAGCGTGTTCAGTAATGGGGAATGTACCTCACAATTGCATCATCTGGGACACATTCCATCCCCAAGCACTGCTTGCCTGCTGCTTGACGCTTCAGATATCCGTCATGCTCGAGCCTTGCCGGCCGTCAAGTCTCTCTCTCTCCGGCTCATCTTCGAGGGGTGCTCTTTCCCTCGAAAATCTGCTCTTTACTCTTTGCTACATCATCTTTGGATGGCCTGGTTTTGACAAAGCCTAACCTATCATCACTCCTTGACATCCAAAACTCCCTTTGTTCCCTTCTGCTTCTTCTTTTTCAGGTGCTCCCGATTGTTGAATCGGCGGGCATCTAGATCTCGTCTTCATTTCGGCAATGGCTTCTTTTTGGCACCGTCTGTTCGGGCGTGAATCCAATTCCGCTGACCGGAAGCCGAAGGATTCTCCCAAGAAAAAGCTTGCGGGCCACCGCCGAAGCATATCACAACTCTTTTCCTCGCCAATGAGGAAGTTCTCCGATCGTGAAACCAGCCCACAACCTCCCCCACACCCCCCGACAAAACACAGAGTAAGGATATCTTGCCATGAGAGGATCCATTACCCCATATATAACCCCGATGACCCACGGCACAATCCAGAGGTTCGGAATCGACCACCACGCAGAGTTCTACGGAAGAGTCTGGATCAAGCAGCCGCACCACGAACAGTATCCCTTAAAAAGGCATCGCCGTCAAAATCTCTCCGCCAGGCACGTTCCAACTTGAAGGCGCTGGCAGACAGCATTCGACCCAAATCCATTTTCAATCGCAAGAGCATTCCATCTTTCCCAGAGGCTACATCCTCCGCGCCTGAACCTGGTCGGTCGCAACTTGGAACTTTACCCTCAAAATCCGAAGACGGAGCTTTCGTCCACCGCTCCCTTCCTGTGGATATTCCATCGAATTGTTCTGCATCAAAGGCGACAAATAATGACCCACAACCGAAATCCTTCTCCCCTAGCACCGCCGCGATGTCCGATGAGGCAACGTCGCTGTATGGAACTAAGCCATCTCTGAAAACCAAACTTTCCTGCACCCCTATGTTATCAAGACTTTTCGACCGCCAGAGCCGTCGGACTAGATATTCTAGTGAACTTGACTCTCGAAAGTCGTCGAGTGATGCCATAATTGCGGGAACAGGCTTTAATAGGAACAGTCAACTGAAAACGGATGACGATGGTGGCGACCTGTCAGGCGATGATATTTTCGGTCCTCTATGCGATATGGAAACCCCTTCGTCTCGTCATGGCGCCCCAACTAGACCACACATCCGATTCAAAATTCACGATCCCACCAGATCCCCTCATTCAAAAAATCCTGAACCAAATGTCTTCTTGAAATCCCCCATTCCTTGCTCAACCACAATCGAACACGACTCGAATGTGTCTGACGATGCAAGTATCAGTTCACCTTCATGTCAAACTACCGTTAGGTTGCCTTCGAGCTGTCGCCAGGGTTCTTCACAGAATTCTGATTCCCGTCTTTCGCTCGAACCGGGCATGTGGATGTCGAGGAAAAATTGGTTGACTTCACAGCCGCCTATTCATCCTCCGTCCGAATGCAACACTGAAAAAGATCCGAATTTCGGTGCCGAACTATGCCGTACGGACTGTCAAATAGCCGAAAGCGATGATTCTTTAGTAAGTAACCCTCTGTTAGGGCGCTGGCTAGTTTCCATGGGGGCGTTTGGGAGTGAGAGTGAGCTCAAACTCTTCGATGCATTATCCCTCTCAGGCTCTTCCGGATCTCCAAAGAGCGTAGAGAGCAAATTTACTTCTTGCCGCCACGGCGCTCTGGCTAGCCCCAACCAACAGAATCAAATGACTGGTGACCAGAGTGAGCTCCATCCATTCGTGTCCGACGAACCCAGTGATGTGGCCAATGCGAGTGATCAGCACCGTTATTTGAGTGGATCAACGATAGCTGGTAGCTCAGACGGCGGGCAGGAGACTGCTCAGGCTCCTTCTGGGGCCAACCAGAATGGTGCGATAGTCAATTTGAACCCTCGTATTTCAATGCTCAGGCGCATTCTTAGCGAGTGCCACCAAGATCCTATTGATCCATTACCTTCCGGTCTGCAGTTTATGATTGAGGCTATTGATCGAACCTCTGGTCTCGAACTAGATTGTGCCGACGAGAAGGAAGTATTCCAGTCACCCGCGAAGTTGTTTCCCATTGGGTTGTCGGAATCACTACGCGAGGAACAGCTTCGTTTGAGGAGAAGCTCTTTGAGCCAGTCTGAGGCTGGGCAGAGGGAATGTGCACCCCCGCTTACTGAGAATTTGTGTACAGAAGACGGGTCTCCGCGGAAGCGCAGCTGGCATTCAAATATGCGTTTGTCAATTTCTACTGATTTGCTGGCGCCCATATCGCTAGGTGACTCTTCGGATCACGGAATTACTCCAAAGATATGCTCCAGCACTGACACGGGAAGAAGTGCCGGAGTTTTGAGTCGGAAGGAAGGATCTAGTTCTGATTCACACGGTTCTAGTCAAAGTGAGCCGATGAGTAGCACCACCTACGCAACGACCTTTAGTTCTATCTCAAGCATTCGGGATTTTGACAAGGCCAAAAACCAAAACACATTCAGCTCATCTAAGGAGGTGGCCAAAGGGTCTGACGTTGGTAGCGGGAAAAGGAATATCTAGCTTCAATTGGTTACAGGCAGGAATGGAGATATGATGTCAGTAAAGCATCGACTTGAGCTTGGGAACAGTACCAAACGCAGTTCTCTTTTGTTTTGTCTCAATGGCAAGCTTGAACTGTTGCAATCCGACTCCTCTCATCTGATGCATCGGGTGAGATATTCTTGGAGAAATTCCTTTAGGCCAGTATTTGTTTTTCATTTCCCATGGAGTAGGTGGCTCTCTCTGGGACTCGCTTTTGCCGGTTAGTTTCAAAGTAATCTGGTTTGGGGAGTTGTTAGGGAATTGAGCACTCTTCCGCCGTAGGCTTTTTCTCTGTATCTTATATCATTGGGACACAGAAAATAACTAGGAGACATTCTGGTTTAATGGAATGCATTTTTTTGAGATTTGGTCTTTTAGGTCTTTTTGTTTATGAATACACGCAAATCTTCAAGAAGCAGAGCATCGAACTTGCCAAACTTATCCTGCAAGGAGGGTGTTATTTCGAAACGAAGTAAATTGGATTATTCAAACAGGATCTCTCAACTTGTTTCGAAACCAGCTATGTTTAAGAGACACAGGAGACTTCAAAAGGTGATGATTGAGGAATTAAAGAAGCAAAAGAAAAGAATATCCTGTAACAATTAATAGCACCTGAGAGGAGAAAAAGAGGAATAAAAGAACCAAGTGGGGAGAAAAAAGAGGCCAGCATTAAAATAAAATAGACCTATCCTCAGCGAATTTTTAAATAAAGAAGTAATAATCAGATTCTCTCTGCAAACGCATGCAATATGCAAAGTTATCGCGCAGGAAAAAAAGAGACAGCGGAAAAAGAGAAGAGAAACAAAAGACATCAAAGACAACAGGCCGAGCAGAGCATCACAATCAGATTCATTACGAGTCAAAAAAGCAACACCCATAGTAAACCCTTAAAATGTCGACAAAGAAGTAAAAAGGAAAAAACAAACAGAAAACAGATTGGAATCTTGCCCCACAGTGGCCTTTTTGTTTTTTCCCCTCATCAACTCAGGACATAAAGGAAAAAAACCAGCCAGGGAAATAATTCCGGGTATTCGTCTTTTGAGTAAGGAAACATGGCAAATCGAGGGAAAAAAAGAAAAAAGAAACCAAAGGAACCTTCGCAAATGCAGACCATCCATCCCACCTGGAAAGTAGCTCAGGGCGCCTTAAGACTGCTCTTTTCTCTGTCTATGGATTGTTTTGGTGGGACGCGCTTTTTCTTTTGCAAAAAAAAAAATCGTCACTTTTCGGCTGAAACTTCGTCCCATTCCGTCTCTCCATTCTGATGATCAAAGCCACGCCATGCCCATGTGTACATACGTGTGGATTAATAACAAATTTTGTAACCATTCCTTTCGTAGTTCCGAAGCCTGGGGTTTCCTAGGAAGAAGAGGCATCAAAATCCAGGTCTTTGGACTGCTATCCCGATGTCATCGTTATTTACGAAGCACCTGCACTATCGTCTTTTCCTTGGGCATGTGATTGCTGTGCGACAGCTGGGCGGGATTTTGTTAACTGAGGAGAGGTCGGGTTTGAGGGTGGTGATGTCGCTAGAGAATCTCCAGTGTCCAAGGACGCCAGGGCACTGCCGAGTGTTAAAAAAAAAGAACGTTAGTAATTCCGATCCTAGCATTCGGGATTTTCCAAGGAAAGGAGCGGACTGCAATCCTCACCTGAAAGCATTTGTGGATGCAGACTCCTTGTCGTCCTTCTTTCCGCCTGGGGGAGTTCCGGTCCGGCTGCTTGCTCCGCTATCCTCACCGCCGCGAACAAGATTGCCACCTGGGCCAATAGTTCGACGACCGCTGCTGCTCCGCGAACCTAAGAGACTCGAAGGGCCAAAAGAAGTGGGCTGGTTGGTAGTTCTAGGGGCCTTGAGACGGCGAAGATCATCGCTACCAACTTTGCTTGAGGCATAGTCCAAAGGAGGTTGGTTTCCATAGCCTCCGGAAAAGTTCCTGGCGTCTCCCCGACCAAGTCCAATACCGCCGCTACCTCTGCTGGCTTGTTGGCGTTTTCGTTCCATTTCCTGTTCTTGTTGGGCGCGAGCGGCCTTGTAATCACTGGTTAGCTTGGATGGTGCAAATGATAGTTCAGCCTTTACTTACTTGTTCTCGAATTTCTTGGATGGTTTTCGGACCCTTGTCGGCATCTTTCGAAACCCAGTTGGCTTTTCTGAGATCGATAATGTCCTACGAGAAGAATTTAGTAACGTGCGCTCGCCGGAGACAATTAAATTTACAAATACTCACCATGAGCATAAACTTCAATCGACTTGGAAGACCTGGAGTCTGGACCATTTTGTCGATGCGCTCGAAGTAAGCATTCATCATCATGTGGCCCTTGTCGGAGCTTCTATCCAAAGTAGCACCAATAGTACGCAACAAATTCGTCAAACTTTCGATTTCGGCCTCCTCGGGAACACCTTCGTAGTCGACAAGTTTCTTCACACACTCATGCATAATTCTATCCGACAGCATGCTCAGTTTAAACAGCTCACCGATGAATTTGACGAGACCAAGACCTCTTCGCTTGGCAGCAGCGGCAATATAGTATTCATCGGACAACATGGCCGCTTCGTCGGTGGTACCCTCTGGTTTTGGAGGCAAATTCACCTTCCATCCACGCTCGAACTCCTCTTGACAACGATTCAAAAGGTATTTTCTGAAGAGACTACCTCCACAAACGACGTTGCCATGCTTGTCTTTGATATTCTCGTCCTTGATTTCTGGGCTCATGCTCTCAAGCATGCGCATGCAGAATTTGGCATAAAGAGGAGCCCAGTGCGCTTCGTCTGTAGCCTTCTCGAACGTAAGCTGAATGACCTGTCTGAGGGTGCGACCGTCGGATTCATCCTTGGACTGGGCTACAATAGCAAGGATCTGGTCAGAAATCTTATCAAATTTTTCGGGAGTCATCTTATTGAGATTAGACTTGACTTTTCCTTGCACAACATCCGGTGGAAGGTGACCATCAGGGCCAACAAGGTTTTGTGCCCGACCGATGCTGCGAGGTTTCCATCCACCGGATGAGGGAGCAAGCGGCTCAATCTTTTGTCCAGCAGTAAGAGGCATAGTCTTGTTGGTCTCTTCCTCCTTCTTAGCAGATTTGTGGGCTTTGCTGGCAGAACGTCCACCACGATGGCTGCCGGAGCGAGGAGATCCAGGGATTTGCTGGGCGGACGAGGAGCTTGTTCTGCTCATCGGAGGGCCCATCGTTAAGCCACCTGGACCACGGCCAAACTGGCCGAAATTTCCACCCAAAGCCGTTCCACGCATGCCTGAAATGGGGAAACGGTCCTGACCACCAGATGGCATCGTTTGAGTTCTTCCAGCTCCTTGGAACATGCCCATTCGGTCGAAAGCACCTCCTCCGACCCCGGTTCGAGAAGGAGTCCTATTAACAACTGGAGTTCGCATAGCAGAACGAGAATCTGTAGAGCCATCGCCCACCGTTTCACGGACTTTTGTATCCCAGTCTAATGAAGGCTTTTCCTTGAATACATTCTGGAACTGAAGCAAGAATTCTTTGTTATACTTGAACTTGCGATCAGAAGGTGCATTGACGTTAAACGCGGGACTTGGGGAAACAATGGATGGCGGATAAGAAATCTTGCTGGGGTCTTCCAAAAATCTAGCAGTTTGTAGCGATTTTAAAGCAGCACTTGGCTGTGGCGGCTCCACTGTTTTGTTGGTCTCAAGTTTCAAAGCTGCAGGCTTCTCACGCTTACCACCCGGAATATTCTTCGGCGGGCCCATAGACACGTCGGAGACTGGAGTGGCAGCGCCGCTTTCCGCAGGAGTTTGAACCGCAGGAGACTCCGCGGGCGTCGCAGCTTTATTTGTAATGGCGGCAAATGCGTCCGCTTTCTCTTTCTTGCTAGCCTCGCTTTCAGCTGCGGCAAGTTTCCTCAAACGTTCCTCTTCCGCCGCTTCAGCCTCAGCCTCAGCCTTCTTCATATTGGCCTCGTATGCTTCAGCTTCTTCTTTTGCCTTTCGGGCCGCCTCCTCCTTCTCGCGTTGTTTCTTCTCCTGGTAAGCTTTCTCTCTGGCGAGTTCTTCCGCCTCTTTAGCCGCTAGCTCTCGTTCAATAGCATCAAAGTCAATCTCTTCCTCCGCAGGTTCCGCTGGCTTCGGCTCCTCTTTGAGTTCGGGTTCCTTTTCCGGCTTCTCCGCTTCTTTCGCCGGAGCAACAGGTTCCGTAGTATCCGTAGCGTCTGTGGAGGGTTTTGTGGGTTCAGGTTGAAGGCTTTCTTGCGATTTCTTCAGCTCCAAAGCCTTCTGCTCTTCAGCTGCTTGCTCTGCAGCCATGCGAACTTTTTCATGGAAAGACTGAATCTTCTCTTCTTGCGTCTGAACTTTACTTTCGGCTTGCTCTTGATCGCCACGGCTAGCGGTGCGAGGGGGAGGAGTCGAGGAAGGGGTAGTGCCTAATTTTGCTGGAGAAGGAGTAGCACGAGCGGGAGAATTACCCTGTCTATCAAATGCAACCACGTCACCGCTATTGGGGTTTTTGATAACAACACCAGAGGATCTTTTGGGAAGAACGAATTGAGGGTTAGGGGAAGGGCTGCTAGTTGATCTATTAGGTGTGTGACTAGGTGCCTGAGTCATGGAAACAGAGGATTGCTGTCCGTGACCGAGGCTAGATCCAGGGCGTTCAGCGGCGGGGGCTTGCGGGGTCGAGGTTTGTAGCGATGCCGTTTGAGCAGGGGGGTTGGCTGAACCTGCGTACTGATTCGGCATGAAGGGTGGTTGAGAGCCCATGTACGGCTGTCGGGCAGGACCAGAAACCAAGTGTGGCATGTGCATCTGATACGGGTATTGGGTTGGGTAATAATAGCCGCCGGTCTCGTAACTCGCGGGAGGAGCGTAACCCTGAGATTTAATCATAGTTAGACAATGTTCAAAATTTCCACTCTCGGGTGACAATGTGACAGGAAGCGGCGGGATCTGAATTTTATCTGAACGCCTTCGAGGCGCAGGATTGAAGCGTGTGCCATTTTTATTCTTAGGGAATGAATTGCGACGACCTGAAAACTGGGGAGGGAGGTGTTGCTTTACTTGTTGATGTCCCATATGTTGCGCATAACCAAAATGTTGTGCCTGCATCGGTGGGTTCGCCATAGGGACGTGTGTTGTTGGGGGTGTTGCGGGATTTGCGCTCGCCATGGCAGGGCTTCGAGCGGATTGATGGGGAGAACCTTGGAAGGGGCCCATGGGTCGCCCTTGCGAGTGGAAGTGACCGCTACGCTGGCCATGATGCGATCTGTAGGTCGAACCTGGAGAATTATAGGGAACCTGTGACTGGTTATAGTTTCTTCCTCTCCCACCTTGAGCATGATATCCTCCACGTGTTGGCCCGCTTGGGATATTATGACCACCCATATCCCCGTGTGCAGATTGCGCCGATTCCCGTCGGGCATGGTTGGGCTGGGGATTGTTGGGTAATGGAGGTTGTGAACCTGGTCGTAGGTTTCTCTAAAAATAAAAAAAGCACAGGCGTGAATAAGCATCATTTGATACCTATTGCCAAAAAAGCAAAAAAGGAAGAAGTAATCCTCAATCATTGGTGGGGAAGAAGAGGAAAGGGTACTTACATTCAAGTCATTTTGCTCCCCAGAGAAATTACCGAAGTGCATATTTCCAGGTCCCTGGATATGGGATGGTGGCTGGCGACCTCCGCTGAGAGTTTGAGGGATAGGTGATGGCGAAGAATCAGGTGAAGTGATACGATTGTTAACTGGGGAGACGCCGAGTGACGACTGCTGGTTTGCTAAAACTGCAGCTCCCATCGACGGAGAGCTCTGTGAGTCGCCAAAGCCGAAGCGAATGTTATTTGGGCGTCCTGAGACAGGACCGCCATTTGAGATAAAACCAGTCGCGCCAGCAGCGCTGATGGTCATTGAGGGTTTTCTTGCATGATCATTTGCGGCAGGATTTCCGTTGACGATGGTGGGGCCACCGGCACCGGGAACAGGAGGGTTTTGCATAGCTGGTTTACCATTCACTTGAGAAGTTGAAGGCGACTTGCCATGCTGAGATCCTTGAGCCGTTGTTGACACGGGTTTATTCGCCGAATCGCCCGCAGCAACTTGCGAAAACGATTTCTTTGTGGCGTTAGCGTAGGAGCGAGGAGCGCTCGGCACAGGTACAGGTGTCAACGGTGAGGTCTTTCCGCTGGAAGACTGTCCTTGGGATGTGCTTTGAGTTTGTGGTTGGAGGTTTGACGTCGAGGGGTTCGATGTCATTACAGGGAAACTCGTTTAGCACGTGGTATTCTTGGGAATAAGAGAGCGTGATGTCGTTAAACGGCGAGTAGTGATCCTGGATTCCAAAGGTCAAGGTCAGCTTAGGGTCGAAGTTGGCTCAACAAAAATTGCTACAAAGCCACACTTGAAAAATATTGGCAGTTTGGTGGAACAGAGAAAAAAAGAAAAGACTGCTAAATCCACATGATAACCATGTTATTCACAGGCTGAGCAAAAGAAAATATGTTAACAGAGCGAGAAAATAAAATATTGATTTTTTTTTTTTCCCCCTTTGAAAAAATTTGTGCTGGTGAAGCCTGGGAGGGCAGTTGATGAGGCTCTGCCGAAAAAGAAAAAAAAAAAAAATCCTGATGGTTGAAATTCACATTACTGTGCTTCTTCCCAAAGCCCAACTGAGACTGCCTGCAGGGAACCCAAAGTCAAGAAGCTGGAGAGCAACTTACAGATCCTGTATGATAAAGAATCCAGAAGACACTCAGCAGTGTGATGCTGTTTTCAGTGGCCACACAGCGGACGAGTGGACTGACTGAAAGAGATGAAAAAGGAGCAGTGATAGCGGGCGGATGGAACAGAAGAAGACTGTACTATCCGCGATCGTCCTCTTGCAAATAAAGAAGAGGATCCGCTGGAAAAAGAAGAGGACTCTGACTTTGATTTTTGGGTGATGGGTGAAAAGAGTATGGGGGGAGTCGAGAGGACGAGAGGAAGAGGAGGAAGGGCGAAGAGAAGAGGTTTGCCCAGGCAATTTTTTTTTTCTTCTTTCTTTGGTGAACGGTGGAATGCAAAAAGAGAACAAAGTTCACGTCACTCCATGTACCGTTCGTATCAGTTACCGTTTTTTACCACCGTTTCGGCTGTGTTTACACGAAAATGCCGCACAATGTACGAGTTTTTACAAGTACTAGTGGTATTTTACGTTGCGCTTCCTGGACAGACAAAAGGCGACGGCAGGAAGCCTGCTGAGGGCCAAATTTGGTGAAGAGCGCGCTCGTCTGGAGTCCTTTGACCGTTTCTGAAGACGGAGATAAACCACAGTAACCGTGTCTTTGGAGCCGCCCACACGCTGCAGCGAACGGCCAATTGGCTAACAAAGCAGGATCAAGCAGATTCTGACAGACGTGCACCAAACCCCCGGTCCTCGGAGACGTTTGACATCATCCAACTCGCCTTCACGCCATGGACCGGCTGTTACTGACTCCGCTGATCCCTAGACACATCCAAGCCAGATGTATCTTCTAAACCAGGACCTATGGCACTCTGAGACTCGGGGCCAGTGATCTCCTACATTTAATGGGTTGGACAAAAAATTTCCCCCAGCCGAGCTCTCACAGCGGCCGCTAGTGTGGAAGGGGGGCGGGCTGGGTCAACTGCCTCAGATCCATGCACTTCGAACCTAATATCATGCAGACCGACAACAATCATGCATCATATGTACGGAGAACCTTCTGCTCGGGCTATGCAGCCACACACACTGGCGCAAGATCGCCCCTGGTGAAGCAGCCCGTTGTCGCTGTCAAAATGACATAATAAGAGTGGCTCAAACGCTGGATAAACAACCGCCTGTCAACCTCTTCCTCGCCCGTGTTTTGCTTGCCACCCTGGCCGTTCATTTCACACATGTAACGTACGCTTGCTGCTATTACTGATAGCCGAGTCCTTACTAGCCACACCCGTTTGTCGAATGATACTGGGGCGGAATGCCGGCACAGGGCTCTTAGCTATTCAATAATCATGCCATCCAATTAACTTAATGAGACGTTTTACAATCGCCGTTTACAGATTCCCCTCTAGAAAGTAGCCATCTGGAGTACTCCGCAGACCCAGAGCAAATCAAGTATACCAAAAGTAATCGCACGTAAAAGGAAGCCCATCCCATCCATAACCCAATGCCAAAAAAAAACCGAAATTCAATAAGTAAATAAGTAAAGTAAATTGAATAAAGCCATCTAATTCTCTTCTTACTCGTGCCTCCCAGGTCGTCTCCGCCCGGAGCCATCTTTATAAAATGCTGAGGAAGCGCCCAGCTCCTCATGATCTATGTTTTCAAACGAGTTCTCGCTCTGATTCTTCTTCAGTCCACGAGAGTCGGAATCGTAGCTCGTTCCATACGCTAGATCATCCTCCTCACGGCCCTCGAGTCCTAGGTTTCGATGTTCCCGGTCAAGAGCAGAGAGAAGGATCCGGAGCTTCTCCTTTTGCGAAGCGATGTAGCTAGCCTGCTCGTTCTTCGACGCAGATGCAAGGTTATGTGGCAGCAAACCAGTGGCGCTAAGCTCCTCGGCTTGGGTATCGCGGTTTTTTCCCGTCGATGTGACAGCTGTTACAGCTGAACCGAGCATAGAAAAAAGGTCCGATGCCGGCCCTGCGAGATTTGTACCCGTGCCAGCGGGTAGGTTGAATCGGGAGAAGAGAGTCTGTGCGTAGGAAGCGGGTCCGCTCGCAGGAGGCGGAGGAGCAGCTTCGGCTGCCAAAACTGGAGGTAATCCAAGCACTTTTTCTCGAATCAAATCAATTGCCTGATAGAGGTAGTTGAGACCTGCTTCTTTAGCACGTTCATGCGTCTCGCCAATAAACGCCTCGATTTGGCGCTCGTATTGATGAAGAAAAGGGTCAACACGCTCGAGATATAGCTTCTTTGCACCTTGAGTTTGAGGAAGGACGAGGTACGAAAGCGCGAACAAGCGGATCCAGCTATAAAATGGGAACCTATTTTCCAAAGGAGCGAAAGGCTGTTAGTTATGTCCGGGTTCCAATGAGCTAACGGCAGGGTTCTGAAGCTGCTGTACCTACCATCCAACAATAAAGAAAGTCCATGATTCAACCAGCAGCACTATCGACAACACCACCCAGTACATCAGCCATGGGGCAATCTGTGATACGTCAGACGTGCGAAGCGCTTTATATGACGCGAAAATCGGGAAAAGGACGGTAAGAACGGAGCTGCATCATCAAAATCAAGATTAGCTTCATGGGCAAGGGATACAGGAGATCACTCCCAACACCTCGGCATGGCTTTCTGTGATGTAGCGACGAGCTCGGGTTAACTCACGAAAGCAGGTCTGCTATGATGCCAAACATGACGGTTAAGGAACTACTGTACACAGACTAGAAATGATAGCTTTAGCCGGGGGCGTAAACAGAGTACAGCCCAGGAGACGGTTGATATCAAGGGATCTTCGGAGATAAAACTGTGCGAGCAGAGCGAAGACCGACGACGCTGGAAAGCTTGCAATAAAGAGACAATAGGACAAGGCAGATGCGTAAAAAGGACATGCAGCTCCACGCCAGCCCTCAACGAACTATGATTATGTATACAGCTGCGGCGAACAATGAAAGAGAATGGAGAGCACACAGCTGATTCACAACTGCCTAGGATGAAGGCCGAATGGAGAGAGCAAGCCGGAGCGTGCGGACATCCTCTCGCTCGGCCAACGTCATTGGCTGGGAGCAGATGACACTTGGCGTTCGCATTCAGTAAACACATGTTTGCACGGTTTGTTCTCGAGGCGAAACGGTCGGCCAGCGGGCTGCATCCCCTGTTCCACTCGGGGTGTTCTCACTGCTATTGAATAACCATAGATGTGTTTAAGCAATTTACCTTGAAGGTGAACTCTTTACCGGTGTGTACGGGAGTGCATCTTGCGAAACTTTAACCGTTCTTTTCGAACATCTTAGTGAAATCTACGGGACAGCTGTCAGTTAAGCAAACCCGAAAACGTGCACCGAAAACGGCGAGTCAGCTGTGGCTGCTATTGGTCACAAAGTCGCCCTGGGCCCCTGATTTCCGCTGTCCAGGTCCTCGATTGCTCAAGGGATCGAAAGGATAGAGGGGCTGCTCCGATTGGGGACGATGTCTCTCATCAAGGATACCCAGGGCAATGCCACGCGATCTCTCTAGCAATACCGACTAAAGTTGAATGAGAATGGCATGTATTAACGGTCAAACCATGTGCTACGTCTGGTTCTCTCACTATGCTGTGTACTCCGTACATCACTCACATGGCTGAACCACAGGTTTAGACGGGCTAACGGACTGCAAAAAGGCATCCAAACTCTTGGAAGGATCGGTATGGTTCCATTTTATTTGTTTTCTGAGATGAGACTGCATCGAGAGCGCCCAAACCTTGGTTAATTGGCATTGAACATGTCATTGATCACGCGCTTCCTCGAGTTGAAGTGGGATATCGACACTCTACACACTCGACGGAAGATGAGGAGGTGGATTGAGTAACGGCCATACTGACTGATTGGTCCTCTTCGCGGATGGTTCGAATCGCAAACCCTGATCTATACGAATGCCGCCACAGCGGCTGCCAAAGGCAAGGAGGCAAGAATGCATCTGGCCGATTCTCCTCGACCATCGCGCCAGTACGGAGTATCAAGTATCCAGCCCCATTCATAGGAATGGAGATTGTCGTCAAAGACCGGGATCCAGCATCCACGCGGCGTGCGTAAATTCCATGTTGCAGCACCTTGGCAGATGAGCACGGATGCCGTTCACGCCTGCCAAGCGACAAAAAAGGCTTTACAGGGCAGTTGATAGCGCAGGTAGGTGCCAACCCATGGCTCCAGCCCTCACGGGGGTGTTCCATATTTCGTATCGTCCTTTTTTTGCTTTTGTTACCAGCACGAGAGACCCAGACGATGGCCGGACTTTCGCAAGTGTCCTGCCTGTACTCGCGTAAGGTCGATCCATCCTCGCTCGCTAGATTTTCGGGCTTGCTTCCAGGCAGCTCCCGCTGGTCATACCGGAGCACGATATGGCACAGCCGGTCAGGGTTCGGCTTGGCCGCGGAAATGGCTTCTGATGTTCAAAGTTACATTACATAGGGGCGTTCGATCAATACACGGCGATCAGATATGATAACTATGTAAATACCCGAAAAATTTTCACTGGCTGATTGCGCTAACGAAAACCATCGCCTCCACTTCCAGGCTCGGATCACCGCCTAGCAGTGGGGATTTCATCCCGCCGTCACCTGAAATCACTGCCACAGGGCATACGGAGTACATATTTCCGAACTGTGGGAAAACAATCCCCTCATCCTAAGCCCGGCTCACGGGAACCCTGCAGTCTAGCCCGGACCTACCAAACAAAATCAGTTGAGCGTTTCCATGGGTTGGGATGGCGCAACCCCAAAGGCAGCTCGCAGACTTGCTCAGACGGGATGTGACCCATCATGTCATCCTGGCCATCCCATTGGCCAAGATTTTTATCAATCTTACGACTCCATACATCCAAGATCAGATTAGAAAAAGGTGGGCCGCACTCGCATCAGATAAAATTTCCACCCGTCCTGTTTCGACGGCTGCTCCATCATATGCATGTTCGCAAATCTTTCATCCCGATTTTGCGGATACCGGCGAAGACTCTTCTCCATGTAGCGCTCCAGTTGGCGTGACGGTGGCCCGGGAAAACCTGCCTGACACAAGAACATACAAAAGTTAGACCCTTGTCCACTTTTCTGCCCGGAGAAGCTCTCCTCTCTCCTCACCCTTTATTGTCTTCGGCAAGGTGATTTTGGCTTGCTATCACATTCATCCAACTTGTGCCTGAATCATAATGGAGACCACCTATGACGAGAAAAAGGCACCTTCGCCTCCCCTTCCCGCTCTCCAAGACAAAGAGCTACAGACAGCAGACTTCCCCCGGGAAGAAACACAATCCAAATCCATCTTAGGGAAAAAGAGTCCTGGCGTCCAACGAGTTGAAGCTATATCGAAACACTTTCAATTTTCAGATCGGGTCCTATTCTTCTTTGGGATCTTCCTACTTGCCTATGCGTACGGTCTCGATGGCATAATCCGGTTTACTTATCAAGTACGGTTGATCCACAGATGCATTATGGTTTCAATCTCGCGTTAACACCGATTTACAGACACATGCAACAGCCTCATACAACACACATAGTCTATTAGCAACAGTCAACGTACTAAGAAGCGTCATTGCTGCCGCTGCTCAGGTATGGTTACATGTCACCACTTTTAAATATCGAGCGTCATTAAGATCTGCTCTCAGCCCACGGCAGCAAAGATCGCCGACGTCTTCGGGAGAGCTGAAGTGATATTCGTCACAATCGTATTCTACATTGTTGGTGCGGAACTGACTTATTCCCATTGCTCTTCCTCTGATTGCTCATGTTTGTAGGTACAATTGTTGAAGCATGCTCAACCGACGTTCAGGCTTTTGCAGGAGGTGCAGTTCTCTACCAGGTAATATTTCCTCCACCTATGTGGATAACTGGTTATCTGACACTGGGATAGATTGGTTACACAGGTATCATGTTGCTAGTTGAGGTTCTCATTGCGGACGTCACATCTCTCCGATCCCGTCTTATATTCTCTTACATTCCTGCGACCCCGTTCATCGTGAGTTTGCCTCAAATCGCTAGAGGAGACTGGGGCTTATACTCGGTAGATCAATACTTGGGTGTCTGGTGATATCACTAGTTCCGTTCTTGGGCAGACAACATGGCAATGGGGTATGTCTTACTCTGACTTTTGCCCGAATAGACGGCACTGATGTTGCATTATAGGAATTGGGATGTGGGCGATCATTTATCCCGGTAAGTCAACGGTGACACTTCATTACAAAGCCAATCGTCTAACCAGGCACCTTAGTTTGCGCCATTCCTCTCCTCCTCTCGCTTTACATCGTCCACCGGCGTGCGAAAAAGGCTGGTTCCCTCGCCGATTACAAGAGTCCATACGAATTGCTTGGCTTCCGTGGACTGGCGGTTTCCTTATTCTGGCAACTAGACGTTATCGGCATAATCCTTTTAATAGGAGTGTTCGCACTCATTCTCGTCCCCTTTACCCTTGCTGGAGGCGTACAGCTGCAATGGAGGACCGCCAAAATCATTGCGCCTCTTGTCATCGGGATCTTGCTTATTCCGGTTTGGGTTTACTGGGAAATGAAGTGCAAACATCCCATGGTCCCATTTAGGGTAAGTTCTCTGAAGCGTCTCTCATTTGTCTGACTATATTCGAATCTAATACTCGGGATAGCTGCTGAAGGATCGTGCGGTATGGGGTGCTTTGGGACTTGCGGTTGCGCTCAACACCGGTCAGTGCCAACATCATGCCCCATGGCCCAGTCACTAATTAAATGCCCCTTTACAGCTTGGTATATGCAAGGAGATTTCCTATATACGATTCTTGTCGTCGCTTTCGACGAGTCCATTAAGAGTGCCACACGCATCACGTCTCTTTACAGGTAATAACAACCTTATTCGTAGAGATGCCGGCAAGAGCTAAATATTCTCAGCTTCTGCTCCGTCATCACGGGATGTATTACCGGTTTAGTTGTATTCAAGGTCCGCCGACTCAAACCGTTTATCGTCGCTGGAACGATACTGTTCCTCGTCGCTTTTGGCTTGCTCATTCATTATCGTGGTGGGACTGGCTCAGCTAGCCATTCTGGTATTGTTGGTGCTCAAGTTCTTCTTGGAATAGGTCAGCTACCCTTCCATTTATGCCATATTTGTTTATTTGTACTGACAGAACTTTAGCTGGTGGATTGTTCCCCTATCCAGCTCAGGCCAGTATCCAGGCCGCAACCAAACACGAACGTGAGTGGCTCCGACCAGGAAATCGGTCAGTATGAATCTAACCTTTGAAATTTACAGACGTCGCCGTTATCACTGGATTATACCTCGCTTGCTACTACATTGGCTCTGCAATCGGAAATTCCATCTCCGGCGCCTTATGGAACCAAGTCCTCCCCAAGACCCTAGAAACTAGACTCGGCAATGCCACCCTGGCAGCGGAGATTTATGGGGACCCTCTGAAATGGGCCAATGCCAACCCCGTAGGAACGCCTGACAGAGACATTGTGATTGAGGCATACCGACACATCCAACGGCTCCTATGTATCACTGGCATTTGCCTATCGGTGCTAATCATTTCTTTCGCGCTGGTTCTGCGCGATCCGATCTTGACAAATGAGCAGAGTCTTGCAAATGCGGAGAAGTATGATGGCGAGACTTCTAGCTCCGAAGATGCGGATAATTGAACGAAAAAGAAAAAGTACTCTGTGTACCTTTTTTTTTTTTTCTTTTGCCCTTTGATATCGACAATTGATAACAGTGGTCGACCCACACATGCTCCAACATGGGGGTTTCAGGCTATAAGTGCTTGAAGGAGTTAGTGCTGTTTATCCAGGCAATATTGCTTTTTTGTTTGCTTCGGATGATTATGATTATAATTCTGGAGGGCTCAAATGCCATTATATTCAGGTAACCAGGGCATGAGTTTGATCGACTCATTTATTAGTAGGTCAGTACAGAGTTCATCTCTGTAGTTACAATTAAAGTGGATTGGTATTTGTTTCTTGATCACAGAGAACTCCTGATTCTTTATCCACGACAATCTTAAGTTGCTGTCGTAACACTCTCTCTTAACTTCCCATACGCCACCAAATATTCCAGAGATATAGTACAGTAAATGCCGCGGCCTGTCGTTTGTATGTGAATGGTCTTCGTAATATTCTTCAGCTTCCAATCCAAGAGAGAGCCGCGTCCGAAGAGATAAAAGCATACTTTCAACACACTGTTCCTTCTTCGATATTCCTGCCTCAAGGATCTCAAAGAATCCAGCTCCCAATCGTTTGTCATCCCCCTATCTCGTTGCCTTCCAAGGATACGATACATCATCGTCTTTCCTGAGCCAAATCTTCGACTTTCGTTTGGTCACTTGATGCTCGACAAAAATTTCCTTCGCATACTGGGCTTTGAATTTGCGAATCCAGCGCGGATCCCACAGCTCGCTAGCCACGCCCAAATCCTTGCAGCAGCGCATCATAGCGTTGGATTTACAACCTTCCGTGGCTGTGGGTATTCCGTCGGGGTTGAAATAGTCCTGTTCGCCACGCGCAATAGATACGAGGCTAGAAAAGTCAGAAACAAGGTCGCTATACCCATCTCATAGGTATCCAGTTCGAGAAGGAAAGCCGACAAAAAAAAAAAAAAGAAAAAGAAAAAAAAAAAAAAACATACCGCCCATGTGCAACAAGGGCATACTCCCTCGTCACCGTCTTCGGCGTGACTATACTCTCACTCCGCGGCACCAAGCCCCATCCTCCAGGACCAAACGCCTTGTTCAGGATCCGCCTGTACTTGATTTCCGGAAGGTACACGATTCCGTCGGGCTTAATTTCGACGTCCGACGGGTCGAGGGCTTGCAAAAGGATGTTAGCTGCTTCCTTGGAGAAGGGTTCGGCGCTGAGGCCGTGGTAAGATCGTGTCCAGTCTACGTGTCCATTGGGCGTTGGGCTGCCGTTGGCGTCGAGATCTAGCTCCGGGGGCTTGTCGTCGAGGCCGTTTTTGGAGATGTTTTGCACGGTTAGAGGGTTTTTTGGGGGTGGAGGAGCTTGAGCTGGTGTAGTGGGTTTGGGAGCAGCTGGGGCAGAGGGTGGCTTGTTATTATTAGGAGCATTAAGTTGACTGGCAATCGTGGAGGTCCTGACGGTACGGAGAGGTGCTGTTCTTAGGAGAGCACTCTGAAGCTGTGAACGCCCATTTGAGGCGGCGTGGATTCCTAGGTATGGGGATGGGCATAGGCTGATCAAGGCCCGGTCTGCATGCCGGAGTGCTCGAATTGCCATTTCCACGATCCCTAGGCTGTCTGGCTGCAGGATGGAAACGCGATCTGCGAGAGTTGCTGCGTCTTCTCCGTGCTTTTGGCTTCACGCGTCGGGAGTTTGAAGCAGGGTTACCACGTGACACAGCAGGCCGACGGCGAGACGACGACAAGAAGAGAAAAGGGAGTGAGACAGAAATTCAGAAGATGAACGGAGATGGATTCGCTAAATAATGTACAGAGATGATGATATTCTAGTCACGGCTGTCCCTTCGCCTTCACGCGTCCTTCGTCTGGGTCCGGTGGTCGTTCCCCTTGCGTTTCCAGCACTCTCGGAACGCCTCCATCTGTAGCAAAAATCAACCTCAGCAGAAAGCCCTCCTATCCCAATGTAAATCCACGGTAATTGTATTCGACGATGGGTTTCTTTTACGGATAAAGTGGGAAAATAGAGCGCCGACTGGTCTTTTGGGCCGAAAACAACCGCGGGCTCTCCAAAGATCAGAAGGGCAAAAAAGAAAAAGAAAACTTACTTCTTTGCTGCACTGCCGCCAGTCTCTCTTTTCGAAGTAGCAGTCATTCATTTTCGTCTGCTCGACTGTCTACCTGTCAGATCCTTGCCTACTGCTGAATACGCTGCCCCGACGTGGGAAGCAGCCGGAGTTTTTCCTCACCTGAACAGCCTGTGCTGAAGATCCGCTTGTCCCTACCATCCGGCTATCAGCATCACCCGCCATCCGTGGGGCTGTCGAGGGGCATACCAGTCATCAGGTTCATCGTCGTCCTCAACCGGGACTATTCTCGCTTTGTCGTCGACCTTGGACATCTTGATACCCTCTCTCTCCTCTCTTTTCCCTAGGGGATTGAAGCAGGTGAGACCGAAAAGAGATTTTCGCCGGCAAATTCTTCCGCGGAGGTCCAAAACTATGGCCGCCACCTCGACGACCACTTCGACCAAACGGCTCAACATCCTGGTCTATTCCGGTGGGCAAAGCTACTCTGATTGGAGACGCAACGTTCTGACGGATTGTTCAGGGAATGGGACCACTGTGGATTCTGTCCGCCAATGTCTGTTTACACTTCGTCGCCTTTTGGCACCGAATTATGCTGTTATACCCGTGACGGGTGAGATGATCATCAATGAGCCATGGACGTCGAGCTGTGCTCTCTTTGTCATGCCTGGTGGTGCCGATCTGCCGTATTGCAGGACCCTGAACGGCACTGGGAACCGGCGGATTAGCCAGTTCGTTCATCGAGGCGGCGCATATCTAGGATTCTGCGCAGGCGGCTACTATGGAAGTAAGCGTTGCGAGTTTGAAGTCGGAAATGAGAAGCTCGAGGTTGTCGGTGATAGGGAGTTGGCTTTCTATCCCGGAATCTGTCGCGGTTGTGCATTTCCAGGGTTTGTCTACAATAGCGAGGATGGCGCCAGAGCTTCTGAGTTACAAGTGTCGAAATCCTCGTTCCCTGACGAAAAGCATATCCCGCCCTCGTTCAAGTCCTACTATAACGGTGGAGGCGTCTTCGTTGATGCTCCAAAATTCGCCCATCAAGGCGTCGAGGTCCTTGCGGACTACACTGAATCGCTCAAAGTCGATTCGGGAGAAGGCCATGCAGCAGTCGTTTATTGCCGGGTCGGCGAAGGTGCTGCCCTATTAACAGGACCACACCCAGAGTTTGTATCCTTAAATGCCAATGTCTCCGTGGATAGGCCTCAACTAACCGCCCTTAGATTTGCGGCGTCCAACTTGGATAGAAACGCAGATGGCCCGGAATTCTGCCACGTCATTGATACTCTAGCTCAGAATGATGAAGCGAGAACCGAATTCCTGCGAGCTTGTCTGAAGAAGCTTGGGCTCCATGTGAACGATGAAACAACAAGCGTACCTCCTCTTTCTCGAATGCATCTTTCTGCCCTGGAGCCACATGCTGCTACGGACCTTGTCTCACTGCTTCGAGATATTATCACGGTGGAAGATGGGGAAGAGTACATTAAAGATGACAATGACACCTTCCATCTAGAAAAACCGTCTTCGCTGAGTATGGACAAGGTTGCCGAAGCGCTCCCCGGCTCCATCGGAGCAAAGGCTGACCAGGGCTCGACGGGTGATAGAATTGTCGACTATGACAAGGTTATAAAAAAGGTCGCTATTCATGAAGATTATCCCTCTCCGGTCGAAACCCCGCGATTTAACCATCAGACTTTCTACGGTATGATTAAGGAATATAGATCGCAGTCGAGGGAACGTCTCTCGGAGTTCGGTTCCCACGTCTTATATGCGGAAGTTGTTACGAGTACGAACACTTTACTGGAAAAGTGAGTATAGACTTTGTTTCTTCAGTAACATTCAGCTTGCTAACGGCGAAAGGAACACACAAATCCTGCGAAGACTTCCAAACGGGTTTATGGCAACGGCAAATGTCCAAGTCGCTGGTCGCGGTCGTGGATCCAACGTCTGGGTGTCTCCACCGGGACAGCTCATGTTTTCAATATGCATCCGTCATCCAGTTGAGAAATTCGCAAGTGCTCCGGTCGTTTTCATCCAATATCTCGTCGCAATGGCCATCGTCAAAGGCATCAAAACCTACGATAAGGGATACGAAAACATGCCCGTGAAACTAAAATGGCCAAACGACATCTGTAACCCTTCCCCCAACAAATACCCTTCAACCAAAAGCGCATTGCCACTAACAGAGACACCTCCCAGACGCTCTCGACCCCACCCAACCTGACAAAATGACCTACACCAAAATCGCCGGCATCCTAGTCAACGCGCACTTCTCCTCCAAAGAATACATCGCCGTCGCCGGTGCCGGCATCAACGCCCTCAACGCGCTCCCAACCACGTCTCTTAACGCCATCCTCGCCACCCTCAACTCCTCTCTCCCCGCCAACAAACCCCGCCTCCCCCCGCTCTCCCTCGAGAAACTCCTCGCACGCATCCTCACTACCCTGGAAGAGCTCTACACCCGCTTCCTTCGCACCGGCTTCGACCAGACCTTTGAAGATATGTACTACGCGGACTGGCTGCATATGGATCAGATAGTGACGCTGGAGGCTGAAGGGGGTGTGCGGGCGAGGATCAAGGGGATTACGAGGGATTATGGGTTGTTGGTGGCGGAGGAGTTAGGGTGGGAGGATCGGCCGACGGGGAGAAGGTGGGAGCTGCAGAGTGATAGTAATAGCTTTGATTTTTTCAAGGGGTTGGTGAAGAGGAAGATTTAATGAGAGAGAGGGACAAAGCTATTACTGTTGACTCATTGATTACGGGGAATCGAGATGATTGCGGATGATCCGGGTTCCATTCGATGATAAGTATACCCAATCTACATAAAAAGGCGGTTTAACAGGATTTTTCCGTTTCATCTCACTTTTTTTCTTCTTTGTTATTTTCCTCTATCCTCGTAGTGAAACGTGCGAAATAGCCAACTCCACACACCAACCAGTGTCAAGATAACTAAGAGGATAGAAGCAAAACCAGGCAGACGACATTTCAAAAACATTGAAATTCGTGATTCGATCATAAAACATCATTAAGCTAAGTAGGTAGTCCGGGAAGACTAAATATGTAGGAGTTTCGATTGTTGAGAAGTCGCGGCTTCAGCGAAGGGAAATGGAAAGGGGGAAGAGAGAGAGAGAGACGCGAAATAGCCAGCGAAGAAAGGGAATATGTAGGTTATTTCCGCGAGGAAGGTATCGATAGGAAACAGGATGTCCGGAGAGGTGACTGAGTTACTCGTCAACGGGTTTGAGGCCGAGGACAGCCATGAAAATTGCGTCGGGCGATAGAGATATCAAAGGCCATAAACGCCAGAGAAGCAACCATTTTGAGGCTCTGAGGAAATTCGTATATCACGATTGCGCTCCATATTCCTCAGCGATGAACTCAAACGTCCGGTCACCCTTCCCGATCGGAACCGGCTTCGCATCGTCATCATAAAGCGTTCGCTCAAAGAATTTGACCCTCCCCGAATGATGCACTAGAACTACCGTTTGCTTCTGCGTCCCGTACAGGCCTTTCATATACCGCATATGATTTTCTGATGCGTTGCCCATAACCTCCGCCTTCTCATGAATATTTGACGCACAGATCTCCGCTTCCTCCCTCATATCCTCCTCTTCCTCTCCAATCACAGGGATAAAGATACTCTCACACAACAGATCGATATACGTCTCGACATCCGCCCCTTCCTTCAACCTCGGCAGTGTATCTGTGCTCAACAGCCCCAGCAGCCTCTGCACAAGCTGATCCTCGCTCTCCCCCATCTTATAACTCGTGTGTAGTGCCTCCTTCATCAACCGCTCTCCATTCCTGATCTTCGCCCACGAGCAATCCCCAAACGCCGTATTACTCAACACAACCGTCTCCCCTTTCTCCTTCGCGATCCACGCCACTCCATCTTTCGCACATACCCGATTCGACACGACCGCCAACGGGCCCTGGATGCTGCCGCATGCCAGGCTAAACCCACCGGCCAACTGCGCCTCTCCGCCCGCGATCAGCCGCTCGACGTACTCCTCAGTGCTCACGGAGCCGTCGGGTGGCAGCTCCAGGAAGGAGTTGATGATCTCGCCACGACTCAGCTGTCCCACGGCCTGGCTGGAGGCCTCTTTATAGTTTGTTAGGACGGCGATGCGGCCTTGCCGGGTGACGCCCAGCCAAGTCCCGTGGGCGGCGCGTGCCATGTCCCGGGAGCCGAGCACGTAGGAGTGTGGCTCTGGCCACCAGGCTGCGGCGGCTGTTGGGCGGCGAAGGAACTCCTGCAGGTTGGAAAGGTTAGCACTCTTGATTCTTCCTGGGGGTTGAATAGCTGGGGGCGAAGGGGAGTGTACATCTCGATTGTCGATTAGGATTAGAGGGTAGTCCGGGTGGGCGGTGGAGATGAGAGCTATGCACATGATGGCAGCTCAGAATGATATCCTCTTGGGGGGAGGGGGAGGGGGAAAGGGAGATAAATTGTAAATAAAAAGAAGTCTCTCAAATAAAAAAAGAAGATATTATCCTTTTGACAGAAGTTCCGGACACTCGATGAGAATTGAGCGACGGATGCCTTCAAAGTCCTTTCAAGAAAGAATAGGTTCTGCGCAAGTCTATAGACACTGACAATGATGCCTCTCTAGTTGTTCTAGGAAAAGCAATCCCGGGCAAGAATTCGCAAAGGAGAAAAAAAGTCACATAGGAGAACAACCGATCAGTCAATCGATATTACTGAGGTTGGCAGAGCAGGCAGAGCGGCCTCGTGACTCTCAAGACTCTTCACGACGGCTGGGTTACCGGTGATGTACGTATATAGCTATCCTCAGCTCCTTTCTATCTGTCGTCAAAGCGTCAAAACAGTCCCAGAAGCCAACTCGTTGTCGCAAAAAAGCCAAAGAACGAGAGCAGACGAGGGACAGTTAAACTCCCGGCGCACAGCTGGTCAACCCGCCAACTAAAAACTAACTGACTCTCGACAATCCCGAGGATTAAAAAAAGCTTGAAGGCGGTGAATTTTCTAGGTTTGCCATCGGCAGGAAAAAGCCAAAAGGAGTCAGAAAACCAGCGTGACATCAGCGCTTCTCAGGTGAAAGGGAAAAAAATAAAATAAAATAAAAAATAATCAACTTCCTGCCCGACGAGCTGGCAAGGGCCAGTCCAACCGTCACCCAAGTGGGCATCTGGCGGCTCAGAACCGAACCATCTCATAGGACGGGGCCTTTCGCCTCGTAGGAGGGTCGAGAAAGGGCGAGAAACTCTCCCCGCCAAGACGAGAACGAGTGAACGAATGGTGATGGATGCTGATGACGGCTGGTGTCTGCACTGTCACGATGAGGCCTGCTTTTGAAAGCAGCACCGGTTAGTTGGTTATACGGTCCATGCCTCGGCGCATTTGAGATGGTTCCGCTAAAGGATCTATAGAACTGCCTAACTTGAACCGTCATTCATACCGGGACAAAAACGGAGTGTAAACAGCGCAGAGTAAGATGATTCAATTGGGGCTGTATCTAGTTACTAGAGCGATCTTCACAGCGAGCCTTTGAACATCTTTTCTGCCTGGCAAACCTTCATCTCCAGCCGGGCATTTCGGGCCGCAAGGTCTGTCAGCTTTTCAAATCCACACAGCTGCAGCTCTTGCCTCGATTCATTCCTTTTTGATCAACATCCAACTTCGCAATGAAGTTCAGAGACGTCACATTAACCGAAAATTACCTTCAGGGAGCCGATTGCGAAAAGAACATACCGTCTGGTCCCATTTTCAGTCGGCATGGCTTTGGAAACTTGAGAATCAAGTCTCTGCATTCTCCGCTCCAGACGGAATTGGACGAGTCAAATGAGCGGGGATGTACTCTACATGCAACGATATCAGAGTTGAAGAGGGGAACCATAAACAGACAAGAAATTGCAGGAAAAGCTTTGATAAGCTGGCCAGGGAGATCAGTAAGAGAGGCCCAGCAGGCGGAGGATCATAGGCTGGATAGGGCATAGCGGAACTCAAGTACTTAAAAAAGAGGACCTTTGTTGTCAGATTGAAGGCTTGTTCCTTGGGTCCTATCCTCTCCACCCAGTAGGGGGTCGTCACAACAAAAATGAGGCGAGAAGGCCATGTAGATAGTTGATCTGAATCCTCCCAGCAGGAAGGATGCAGCTACTAGTTGTAAATCTCAACACAAAGCCCGGCTTCCACACCCCAACCTAAGCAGACAGCATCAACTCCCGGGCAGGCGACTTTTTTGCCCATTTTCCCCCTAGTCATCGACAGTCATCGACAGTAACTGTGTCCATCGTATCATTTCCGCAATCCACAGCGGCAGTTTTATGTACACCCGATATCCACCCCACCTCGTGGTCTAAAAGAGACAATAATCATATTATATCAAACAGTAGAAAAAGATAAAAAGCTAGCCTTAAAACAAAAACCAAGGCTATTCGAGGGGGGCTAAAAAAAAAAAAGATGGGAGTTTATTATCTCATCTCACATTATAAAATCAAGCAAATGTCTATTTTTCAGACCGTTCTTTTTCTTTTTCTATTTCTTTTTTTTTTTCCCTTGACCCTCTCGCCTCTCACGAAGGTGGATATCGTTGATTTGACGGTCCCTGTTGATACGGGTTCTGCCCAGTCGAGTACCCTGCCGGGGGTGGTACAGGCCTTCGGGCCGTTTCAGACCCTTGGCCTGATCCTACCGGTGGGGCCGGGGTCGGCTGCTGGAACCCAGGTGCCTGGCCGGACTGTAGGGATTGACTAGAAGGGTTTTGTCTGTAGGGGTTTTGACTGCCCGATTGTAATTGTGGCTGGGGGAATTGCGACTCGTAGCTAAAGTAGCCCATTTCCGGGAGGCTAGGTGCGAGATTCTCTTCAGGCGTGTTGGGAGAGACCGCGGACGAGAGTGGGTTTGCGTGTCGCATGCCCGTGGAAGGCTGGCGGAGCAGAGGCCCGTCCTCGCTCACTCTTATCGTTGGCAGCTCATCGGTTCGGGTGCGATCCAACGCAACTGGACGTTGGTTCAGGGCGTCCGCGAACGTTGCCTCGCTACTACCGGCCGGTGGGCTGCGATACGAGAGACCGCTTGGGGAGCCTAGGGCATCATTTCCAGTGGCTTGGGCCCTATCATCGGCCGGCGACCTCTCGGACAATTTTTGCATCTCACTTGTTGGAACCATACGCTTGCTTTCCTTGTCGGCACTAAATTGCTCCTTGTTCGCTTGAGCCTGCTCATGCGAAATAGAAACCGAATACGAAGGCTTGGATGCGTCTCCAAGAGCTGCATCGCCGCCTCCAGGGCCATAAATCGGAATTTTGCGCAGCGCCAAAACCAAAGCGCACATGAACTTTGAGCGACGAGCGGCACGAACGGTCTCGTTAGACCAGTTGGACTTGTGCCGGATCTCGATCTTCAATTCCATCTTATCCATATTGCCAACGCCAACCACTTCGATGTCAACGTCGGCTTGGAAATCGCGGCAATTGTCCTTGTCAAGGACAAACTTCTGCATCTCCTGTTTCAACAGCTGGACATCCTCAAACGTAGTCCCAAAATCCACTGTTAAGGTGAGTTGCTCTTTCATCGCTTTCGATCGACTGATATTCTCGATCCAGCAAGTGTTCAGCACGATATTCGGAACCTGCGTCACTTTGAAGTCGTTGATATTCTTGAAGACCGTGAAGAGCAAGGAGATGCGCTCGACGATCAGTTGATTGCTGTTGATATCCACCCGGTCTCCGACATCATAAGGGTGCTAATGGATACATTGGTTAGTAACTGTACAACTTAATACCAAAAAGGGATGAGCCCCAACCCACTTTCACAAACAAGAAGATGCAAGAACCCAAAACTTCTTGAGCGGTGACCGCAAACACGAAGGAGAGCGACAGAAGCGCAGTCGCTCCGGCCGCAAGAGTGGTACCGAAACCCTTGTTAAGGAAGGCCACTTGAATCTTCGTTAGCACCAGCCTGCAAAAATAAAAAGAAAATATCAAGGGCCGAATCATGCCATACCAAAAACCAAGATGACCAAGATGAAAACCACCGTGCAGAGGAGGTTATCCAGGACATGGATCGCCTGATCAACATCGTGCATACTCTTGGCTATGGCCTGTCTGTCTCTCCCGAACTCGGTGATGGTGAGGATCATCTCCTCAAGGCTGATGTCGCCATTATTATCTCTATCCAAAACAGCGAAGCATTCTTCCGCCTCCGCGCGGCGATCAGGTCCAAAAACCTCGTAAAGATCGTCGATGTAAAGCGCCTCACGGCCCGCAAGGACAAAGGACATCCACAGACGTCTCGCAAGAGCTTCGGACGACGAGCGCTTCTCCAAGGCCAGCGTGACAACCGAGTGAACGGCAGTGGGGTTGAAGACCTGTTTACCGGTGATCTCATGAGCAACTTGGCCAAACGCAGCGGTGATCTTATCCCCGACACGGCCGACATTCTGTATCAGACGCATCGGAGAGGCGGAGCCGGTTCTCTTGTGGGCCCTGCCTTTCTTCCCGAGCACGCCAACAATTGAGTCATTGATGATGTAGTCTTCGGCTTCGAACTCCTTGCAGTACTCCGGAAACATCTTTCGGGAAGCCTGGTAGAGCAAACCCACAAGATGAACATTTCGCTTTGAGGCTTGGATCCTCAAGTCGAACTGTTTGCGGTGATAGCTTATCGAGATCAGCTGAATGAGAACCTTTTCCGCAGCGAGAATCAAGCTGGAAATAAATGCAGCAAACAAAATGTTCTTAACTACATCCTCCCACTTTTTGATCGCGGTGTCGCCTCGGCTCACATTATCGGGATTCCGTGTCATCAACTAGATATGCATCCCCAGATTAATCGAAATCATCCAATGTAATCTCCACAAAATGAGGTAGATAGGCATCGCCATGTACTTACCGGGATAAATGTGGCCAACGAGGTCACCGACCATCCAACCAATGAGAAAGGAATTTCCAAGTTCCGAAGTATAAGAGCATACTTCCTCGTCCCGGAGCTGACGATTCCGCAAAGAAACTGGAAAAGGAACGGGATATAATGCGCGATAATCTTCGAAACCCATAAACTCAACCAGACGACTTCCACCCAGGTGAAAAACCAGACGATCCGGACTCCTCCAATCCGCGCATTCTGCGCAGCGGTGGCCCCGATAATGATGGGGATAGCGATGAGCAACGCCAACGGCAGAACGTAGATGAAATATCTAGTAACGACAGAAAAATTCAGGATCTTGTTGTAAAACCGGCCCATCTGGGTCAACGTCCCATCCTCGGGTGCCTGGAGCTGCCGGCCAGTTCCATCGCTCACCACCCTGCGACCGTGGAACAGGTGGTTTTTCTCGAGGTGAGGTGAGGACGGATCGTTGGACACGATGTACTCCGCGCTGGCCTTGCGCGCACCGGTCTGGCTGGGCACAGTGGTCAGGGGAATGTTGATGGTTGCATCGTTCGAGCTAGCCATGTTAGTATCCGGCAGCTGCTGGAATCTGGAATGAGAAAACCGCTTCTGGCCGATCCCAGGCCGTCCGGTCATCGGCAGGAGAGGGACTACCACGGATCGAGAGGGTGGGTTTTAAAAAAAAAAAAAATAATAGGACAAGGGAGGGGAAGCGGAGGGTCGAAGCGTCGAGCTGCAGGGCCGGATTTGAGAATTATGTTTTTCCCCTCACCTCCGTGGTGCCAACGAGCCGAATATTCCCCCCACCTTATTTTTCTCTCTCGGCTAAGATACGCCTTTGAATTGAGTGAGGGTCCGATAACACGGGGGATCTTCAGATGTGAGAGATCGTCGTGTGGAGGAGGCAGGATAGCGTCGAATCGACCGCCAGAAAGAAACAACAAAAATGAACGAAAGTTGGAAGATTCTTTCCCCACGAGCAATTGTCTCAAATAGACCAGCGGGAAACGAAAGTGACGGCGAGGGAAAGGGAAAAAAAAATGAAAATAAAAATAAAAATAAAAGGTACAAGACGCAAGCGATGAAACGAGTGTGGCGAAGAGGAGGACGGGGCTTAAGGGCCTTGGTCCGATCGCGTAGCGGAAGGTGATGTCAGGGACCAAAGGAGAGTCAGTCTTCTCAGGAAGATTCCATGGACATGCTCATCACGGACGACGGATGGAATTGCAAATGGGGAGAAATGGTCCGTGGTTTCTCAAGCAGCGGGCAAGGACAGGGAAAAAAGAGAAAATTAACGGCGGTCGAGGTAGCACCAATTTTATATGGGCAGTTACAAGCGTGATCATAAATAGAACAAGCGGGCCGCCATGTTCTCCCATGCTACTAGAATTCTGGCCCGGGTTCCTGTGTGCGTGTTTCATCCTTTTAAGCCGACACTAACTAGTTCAGCATCTGGGTGAATTGGCCAATGGTACGCTAGAGTTGACAAATGAACAGCCTGAAGCATCCAGTTACAAGGGGGGGAAGAAACCCCCCGTCATCGAAGGTGTGGCCCTCTTTTCTTCCGTGGCGAGAGACGGGGACATCCTCAATTGACCACTGGAGGCCCTAGGAACTAGCCATCCCCACAGCCATTAACGAGCTATGTAGGTCTGGCCCAAGCTTGGACGCGGAAGAGTGCAAACGGCCTGAAAACCTTTGATTGTACAGCCCGTACCATGTTTGGGAAAAGCAATCTTTTGCTCGTGGAGCAGAAAATGGACTATTAAGTAAGTACGCTATGCTTGCAGGTTTTCAAATCCATCAGGGGAGTTTATATAAATGTCGTCAGCTAGTCTCAGCGGAGAGAAACATGCCAGAAGCTTGATTCTTGAGGACGTTAAGGCTGAGGCACAAGACATCGGCCGGTAAGTTCACAATCCACAGCGATGGCGCGCCGGCCCCCCCACACAAAGCGGAAAAGAAAGATCTGGGCCACGCCACCTTCTGTTTCAGCTCCCCTTTTTATTTTTATTTTTATTTTTATTTTTTTTTTTTTTTCCCAGCTTTTTGGGGCCCCATTCCGTCCACCTCTTCTTCCCAAGGCCACGGTGTGTACGGAGTATGCGGAGCGAATTGCGCGTCACCTCTGGATATCCTGCCTTCCCAGTGTCACTCGGGTATTCTGGCAAGCCGGGCCTGTTACTATTCACAGGTGAATAATGAGCTGGTTGCTTTATTCTCGCTGCGAACATCCGCCCGGGGATCAAGGCCAAGGTGGGGATCTGTCTCCGGGTGCTCTCGTGTGGGTTTGGAGACCATTCCAATATCAATGAAACGAGTCGAATGAAACAGTTAAAAAAAAAAAAAAAAAAAAAAGAAATGAGCGGGAGGGTCACGGGGATGCCAAGCCTGCCTAGGTAACAAGTTAACTAACTTAAATTGTGCCATTGATGAGATAAGCCGGATCTACAATTATCCTGAGCCGAAATGCAAACAAAGCAAACCACTAGTTAGTTTAACGTTAAATGTCTTGACTAAGCGAAGAAGGGCTCAGCCACAGCGAAACCGGCGGCGGACGAAAAAGCGGCGATCAAAAAAGGTTACGGGCGACAACCAACCGATCGATCGCCTGTGGGCTGCTGCTGCGGCTGCCACTCGGTCCTTGGGAGCCGGGACGCGTGTCAGACGGCTCACCTCGTTCCACGGCGGATGATCTAATGCTGAGGAATCATCGTGGATGGCCCAGAGCAGGACAGCGTGTGTGTGTGCGTGTATACATCTACATGTATGGATGTGTGTGTGTGTATATACATTTACATGTATGTGTGTGTATATATATACGGAGTACATCTACATGTGTGTGTATGTACGGAGCACGGAGTACAGGATGGAGTAATCCAAGATCTTTGATATTATTGAGCGAGCGTCCAGCTATGCCTGTTGTTTGCCTTGCCTCCTTGGAATGTCTGGACGTAGCGTGGCCTCCACGTTCAAACCTGCTTTCCTTGGATGAAGTCCTGTACCAACCCCGTGGGCCGTTGGGACGTTGTTTGCAGGTTTTTGTGGGCAGCAGAAATTTTCCATGGATCGGTTGAGCAGTCCTTGGATGGCTCTAGAGAGTACATCCATACTCCGTACGGAGTACTCCGGGGTAAATATTACTTTTTTTTTTTGATAAAGTGTGTGTGTGTGTGTGTGCATGATCTGCAAGAAATTCCGAGCGAGTAGGCGGACCGACGACCTGGCAGGGCTGGGCGAGAAGTCCCGGAGGATGGAATGATGCCGGGGTGCCTCCGTGGTCATTAGCCAACAAAGCCCGGCGGATTGCCTCTTTTTAAAATTTTTTGAATTTTTCGAAATTTTTTTTTGTTTTTCCTCCCGTCGATCAATGGCGCGGTCACGGAGAGGAAAATATGCGAGATTGGGAGATCATCGTGCCGTGAACGAGAACGAGGGGAGGGCGGATATTTAATAACAACAAGCAGGAAAGGCGACCTTCAGCTCGCTGCAGGACCAGATCCAATTCGTTCTCCCCCCGGGCCAGCCGCAGTCACCCCCTCGCCCTAACCCCCGGCCACCCCTAATCTCACGGCAGGGCCAAGGCGCGCATCGCTCCCCACACGGCGGCGCATAAACCCCGGCCGGCCTTATCGATAAGGGACCCCAGCCCGCAATCGTCATCCAGCGTGTCCCATTTGTCTCTGTTGCTGTCTCTCTCTCTCTCTCTTCTACTTCTCTCTCTTCTTCTCTCTCTGTCTGTCTGTCATCTCCTTCTCTCTCTCTCTCGACGATCAGACGCTGGACGGAGAGACATGCAACCAGTAATTACGGAGTAGTCTAGTACCTAATCAAACCAGCTCGCTCCTGTCTACGACCCATTTTCTCTTGTAACTGAATATGTTACACCCCCCAGCTTGGATCGATGGGTAGACCCTGCTCCCTTCTCCTGCCTCCTCATTATTATTTTGCTTTCGTCGAACAACACCCAGCACACACACACACTCTCTCTCTCTCTCAAAACCCCCCTCTCCCCTCCCTCGTCGTCGGATGACCCGGGGTTTCAAGGGTGGCGAGGGGTGAACGACCCAAGCTGTCCGCGTCACCGTGAATCCAGGGACTGTAGTACGTCGAATTGTCGCCCGCTTGTCTCTTTTCCACTCACCCTTCCCGCCACGGCCCTCTCTTTTTTTTTCCCTTTTCTTTTTTTCCCTTTTCTTTTTTTTCTTTTGCCCGTTTCCCATTCGCCGTTGCTCCGAACTTACGGTGTGCCTCTTCACCCCCTTCGTCCACCGAGACACCGCCTGGTGAAATCATCCGAACGGGCTCACCAACCAGGCCAATTAGCTCTGGGAAAGCTTGTTCCTCCTGCCTGCGCCAATCTCCCTTCAAACAGGGCTCTGGGGTTGTTGTTGGCCTGCAGGCAGTCTTTTGCTCATACTTGTTATTTTTTTATTTTTTTTTTATTTTATTTTTTTTCCTTTTTCCCTTCTGGTCTTCCACAGAAAAAGGTACATGTTCCCCCCCACTCGCCGGCTGTTCTTTGACATACGTGTCTGGCTCAGACCATCAGATCTTTGATTATTTTATTTTATTTTGTTTCCTTTTGTCTATGTCTATTTTCCCTCCCCCCCCCCCCCCCCCCGAGCATGCTTTTTGAGTGATATTATCCTGTTAATTTTGATCTGTGTCAAACTTTCTCTATTGCCCGACGGCTTTGCGCCGGGGAGTCGGTCCATCCCATCCATCTTCCCAGTAAATACATACATTGGCGATTCAGCACCTTTTAATCCAGGAATCCCATCGTCACTCTGGAATTTATTTATTCCTACCTCTCTCCATCTGACCAAGGCACTGATTCTAGCATGCGATCCCGTTGAGAGCCAGCTGTAGTCCTGTACGTACTGCCGTTCGTGCCCCACAGCCCACCTGTCAACCCTATCATCCTCGTTGCGGGCCATCTAATCAATCCTCCAGTTTAGCTCCGGCTTTCCCACCTCTCACCTCCCACCCGCAGCGCCTCCGGCCGACGGGACAGCCGCAGCTCCGGATCGGGATCTCAACTGGATGAGGGCTCTTAGTTTGCGCCCTTATTCCCTCCGAGTATCATGCGGCCCAGCATGCCTTTCTCCTCCTCCCACTCCTCCAGATCCTCCCTTTCCTCTTCTTCGTCTTCGCATGTCCTGCTTCGGTTGATATGTCAATCATTGCTCCTCCTCGTGTCTTTCGTCGCCGCGCAGGAAGCATTCCCAACCGATGATTCCGTAGTGACCCCGCCGCTTGGAGCGCCACAGTTCTTCCTCTATACCCGCCAGTTTGCCCTAGATCCCGCCTTTCTTGTACCTCTAACCAAGTCTATGAGCGACGCTCCTCCAAGTGTGAGCTTTCACCTCTCCTTTGATCGCGCTTCATTGCTGGTGGCATTGGGGTTGACAGTGTCTTTTCCTTGTTTCTGCTTCTAGGATTTTAACGTCACGGGAACATTGGTCGACGTCTCGCCAGAGAATGCGAACAACCTCAATGAAGACCAGATAGCCCTAGTCAGCTGCGATGACTCCGCATATCCCGGAAACCAGAAAGTCAAGGACACTCTCAAGGAGCTCATTTCCAACAATCCGACCGCCGGTGCGACTATATTGTATACCGAGAGAGACAGGTATCATTGTGAATACACAGCGGACATGTCGCTCCCCCCGTATCCGAATATCTTCACCTTGACAAGAGCGTCGATAGCCCAGGAACTGCAGAATAAGCTCAAGAGCAGCCCGACCGGGTCGTCTTCGATCGTGGCCGAGGATCCGTCCCCCTCCGAAACCGGGGTAGGTGCCATTGAGACAGGAGGCTCCAGTTCGCCCCTGGAAAGGGATCGTGGGAACACCGGCCCAACTACCTCAGTGGCTATGATCATCCTGTATTCGGTCACCGGCGTTATCACGCTGCTCTTCCTCGGCGTCATCCTCACCGGTGCCGTTCGCGCGCACATGCATCCGGAACGCTACGGGCCTCGTAACATCATCGGCCGTCCTCGACAGAGTAGAGCCAAGGGTCTTGCACGGGCCATGCTGGAGACGCTACCCATCGTGAAATTCGGCGACTTGGACGAACCCACCGCGCAGCCCGGAGCGGCCAAGGCCGGAGACGTTGAGATGGGCTCGAGTCAAGGAGGAGGACCGGAAGAGCAAAAGAAGGGCGGCCACAAGGCTAAGGGAGCTTCCGAAGAGGATGGGATGTCGCAGCGTTCCCAAACGAGCGCTGCGGATCACGATCGCAATCTGTCGGGCAGGGATGATGGGCATATTGGACCGGCGTCGTCGTCGCGAGCTGGAACGCCGGATGGGCCGGAACCCGCGGGCGAAACTACCCTTGGGTGTCCGATCTGCACTGACGACTTTGAAAAGGGGCAGGATGTCAGGCTGTTGCCGTGTGACCACAAGTTCCATCCCGAATGTATTGACCCATGGTTGGTGAACGTTTCTGGAACTTGTCCTCTCTGGTAAGTTGAACAACAAATTAAAAAAAAAAAAAAAAAAAGGTGTATTTCATCGTGGATTCTTAGCTCTCCAACTAACCACCTCTTTTCTCTTTTTTTTTGTTTTTTTAGCCGCATCGACCTCCATCCTCACGACGAAGACGAACAGCAACTTGAAAATCCAGACGAACAGCCCGCCGAGGACGACGGAAGACTTCCTCCTCCCCTCCGGGATAACAGAGGCCCCGGCAATGAACCGGAAGGCACCAGGGACCGTCGTCGCCGCCGACGAAGTCTAGCGACATACATCCAGTCCACCATCAACGCCATGCCGCCCAACGATGCTTCCATAGAGCAGCGACTCGAAGCTGTGCGTCGCTTACGATCACCGCAGCAGCCAGAAGGGGCGCAGACGGCGGCGACGGGAGCTATCGGAGCATCGTCTGAGAACAGAAGAAGCCGGCGGTTTTCCACGATGTTGCTGGATAGCTTCCGCATACACACGAGACGACATGGTGAAGAGATGTAAAAGAAAAGAAAAGAAAAGCATGTGGTCCAGCTCCCATGATGAAATGGATACCTTGATGGGCAGGAGGACACACGATGCTGCTTTTCTCTTTACGAGGATACGGATTTCTTTACAGGTTTTTCTTTCCCGTTTTCTTTTTATTAACGACATACCCGATATCCAAGCAGGTGGATTTGATAGGATTTCCTTTTCTCTTTTTTTTTTTTTTTTTTTTTTTGGTTTTTTTCCTTTTATTTTGTGGTTTAAACCCAAGTTGGGCTCTACCTGATTGCATACTGTAGTGGGATTGGGATTGGGATTGGGACATATTCAAGCGGTCTTGTTTTTCTTCACTTCGTTTATCTCTATGATGAGGAGTTAAAAGTGTTGGATTTTTCTTGGAAGGGGGGAAAGGGGGGGTTGAAGGTGCTACGGGTCTGGGACAATTCTTGTGGATATTTGATTTTATTTCTTCCTGGGAATCTGTGCCTTTTCAAGGTTCTGTGGGCGAATGGGATATATAAACTGGGTGCTGGAGTTTTTTTTAGTTCTCCTTTTCTTTTCATCGCATGTTTTTCCTTCCATTTTCTTTTTCTTTTTTTTTTTTTTTTTTTTTTTTTTTTGGTCTGGGGCAAAAAAAACTCGGGAGAACAGACAAGGGGGAAGGGTGGGCGGTGCCGTTGATCAATACCAGGATGTTTTCTTTTCTTTTCCTTTTTCCTTTTTTCTTTTTTCCCTGTTCTGTTTCTCTGATGGTAATTTGACTGACTCTGTGGATAGACTCGCCTTGACTTTTTGGCTGTGTCAAGTGGTGTAAATAATTCGTCGAGCCTGTTCATGAAGCTGTCCTAAACTGTATATAAATTAGGTACATATGGACTCTGTACAGAGTAGTTTTTCCCTTTTCTTCTTTTTTTCTAATTTTGGGTGCTTTGATTCAAGATGATTATTATTATTATGTATTATTATTCAAGATGAGAGTGATCAATTGACCGTCAATCACTCACACACATACAGTGGGTTGCTTTGCCTGACAGCACCATTTGAGCACCATTTAAGAAAATGTAACGGCAATCGGATGATGCTGGATGAGAGAAAGCATCTGATGCCGACGGCTGTCAACACCAATTAATTATGGGCTAATCCACAGTTGCAATGGCCTGTGATATCATCCAAAAGTATAAAAAGCGAGGAAAAAAGCGCGCGAAATCCTGGAGCGCCGTCATCAGCTTGGATGGTTTCCTTTTTTTTTTTTTTTTTTTTTTTTTTTTGCCATTCGGCGTGTTAAAAAATACCTCGGTTTATTCCAGGTCCACAGCAGGATTTCCCCAGAATATAGTCAATCAGCAGCTGGACACAAGACACGAGAGAGAAAGGGGAGTGGGAAAAAAAGGAAAGCTGTCAGAAATATTTATATAGAGTCGAGCTCTCCTCAGCATTTTAGAATTCTTTCCATTGTGACTCTTTTTTTTTTTTTGCCTATTTATTTTTTAAATTCATCATTGTTATTTCCCTTCCCCCTTGTTACACATCCCTGCCCTGTCCGAAGAAGAAATTAATCTTTTTAAACAATTTCCCATTTTTCTCTCACACGCTTCTCTCGGCGACTCGTAAGACACGGCGAACTCGAGACGTTGGTCGAAGTCGACGGAGCAACCGGCCAGCCAGGGGACAGAAACGCCAGGCGAGCCGGACACTGAATCGCCGCCCCTAGCCAGCCAAACTCGCAGTTCCCGGGGAGGGGGTTTTATTTTTTGAAGCGCAGAGGGTTGCAGAGGCGGAGAAGGGCGAATTACGCCACATACGGCTAGGTTCCATTATTATTATCAAACAGTTTCACTCGCAAAAGAGAAGTGAAGTCAGAGCGCGCACAGAGAGAGACAGAGAGAGGAAAAGAAGGAATTAAATAAAATAATAATAATAATTAAAAAAAAAAAAAAAAAAGGAGCAAAAAGCAAGGATGTCCCCTCCTCCCCCGCGTCCCTCTCTCCCCTTCACTCCATCCTCATCATCCCCTTCATCCTCGCTCTCGCTCTCCCATCGCCACTCTTCCAAATCCACCTCCTCGACCGCACTCTCCACCGCCCAGTCTCGTCTCTCAACGATATCAAAGCACATCATGGCGTCCTCGTCGTCGTCGCCATCCATCTTCACGGCCAATGTCGTCCCCAAGGCCCCCGAGGATCCGCTCTTCGGCCTGATGCGGGCGTATCGAGCTGATCCGTCGGACAAGAAGGTCGATCTGGGCATCGGTGCGTACAGAGACGACAATGCGAAGCCCTGGATCCTGCCAGTCGTGAGAAAGGTATGTCGCTCCATCATATCAACATAGACTCAATACACCCCATCTACGACAGACGGTTATGTCATGCTCTGCATATCACTTTTGCGTTAATGTTGATGCTGCGACTTTCTTTTCTTTTTCTGTTTTCTTTTTCTGTTTTCTTTTTCTGTTTTCTTGGTGTTATTTCTTTTTCTCTAGACTCTCTTGCCCCTGTCGCTAGTGGTGTTGGCGGATGAAACGTTCTCTGGCCGGGCACTGACGGGGATCATCTCTCGATCTAGGCCGATGAAGCAATCCGCAACGATCCCACCGTCAACCATGAATATCTTCCCATCGCCGGCTTACCAGATCTGGCTCCCGCCGCTCAGAAGTTGATCCTGGGAGCCGACTCTCCCGCCATCACAGAGAAACGGGTATGTTTTCCCCGCCCCTTGCCCTGCAGAATCCAACTTGGGTCTACCCCGCATTCTCCGGGATCTTCTCGACGAGAGAGATCGCGCCGGCGCAGAACCGCCCCATCTCCTTTTTTATTTTTTATTTTTTATTTTTATTTTTATTTTTTTTTTTTCGGGTTGACTTGATTAGTTTGTTTCTAACATTCATTTTTTTCTTTTTTTTTAATCGTATCAGGTCACTACCTTCCAGACCATCTCCGGCACCGGAGCCGTCCACCTCGGCGGCCTCTTCCTCTCCAAGTTCTACCCAGCCAACCCCAAGCCAGCCATCTACCTCTCCTCTCCAACATGGGCCAACCACCAGCAAATCTTCACAAATGTCAACCTCACCACCGCCTACTACCCTTACTACTCCGCGCAGACCAAGGGCCTCGACATCGATGGCATGCTCGCCGCCATCCGCGCCGCTCCACAGGGCTCCATCTTCGTCCTCCACGCGTGCGCCCATAACCCCACCGGCGTCGACCCGACCCAAGACCAATGGAAACAAATCGCCGCCGCCATGCGCGAGCGCAACCACTTCCCCTTCTTCGACACCGCCTACCAGGGCTTCGCCTCGGGCGACCTCGCCCGCGACGCCTGGTCCATCAGGTACTTCGTCGAGCAGGGCTTCGAGCTGTGCGTCGCGCAGTCCTTCGCCAAGAACTTCGGTCTGTACGGCGAACGCGCCGGTGCGTTCCACTTCGTCTCCGCACCGGGCCCACACGCCGCCGATTCAACCGCGCATATCGCGAGTCAGCTGGCCATCCTCCAGCGCTCTGAGATCTCCAATCCGCCCGCGTACGGCGCGCGCATCGCCTCGCTCATTCTAAACAGCGAGGAGTTGTTCGCCGAGTGGGAGGCGGATCTGCGCACGATGAGCGGACGGATCATGGAGATGCGTAAGGGGTTGAGGGAGAGGTTGGAGCAGAAGGGTACTCCGGGAACCTGGGAGCATATCACGAATCAGATTGGTATGTTCAGCTTCACGGGGTTGACGGAGCAGCAGGTGGGAATTCTGAGAGAGAAGTGGCATGTTTATATGGTGAGTCCTTCTTTTTTTTTTCTTTTTTTGGGGATGATTTGATGCTGATGACGGGTTAGACCAAGAACGGGCGTATCTCCATGGCTGGATTGAATACGCATAACATCGACTACTTCGCCGAGGCGGTTGATAGCGTTGTCAGGGAGACTTCGTCGTAGACCCTCGAGTGCGGACGGTCTTCTCCCTTTTTGTACTGTAGTCTTCCTTTTTCCGTCAAGAACTCGCAACTTTGTACTCCGTACTGGCATGTGAAAATAAACGCAACAATCTTGTGAAGAAAGAATTTGCATACTTCAAAACATTTCTAGGGGGTTGTTGGCATACATCCAGCTCCCATTTTAGTTCATTCCTAAGAAAAAGTACGAAATTGAGGTATGAATCGAAAGTACTTATGATCATCATTGTTTTGAGTCTTGTTTTCTTCTGAAATTGTGTAGGATGATATCAGGAGAAACCATAAAAAGTGAAGTATCCCAAACCAATTCATACAGATATAGAGTCCGTAAATGGACTGAGCAAAAGTGTCATGTATACTCCATAAAAAAAATACACCTTAAAAATGCAACTCCAGGAAAAGTGGAGGTGTAAAAAAGGTACAAATAGAAGTTAAAGGGGAAAAAAACAGAAAGAAAAGAAAAAGAAAAGAAAAGAAAAGAGAAGTCTATACATACCGCCCAGGTGAGGAAAAATCTCAGCAAGAGAGCATTCCACCAAAAATAGCGCGGTCCGGTAATCGCGAAAAGAAGGAAAAGGGGAAAAAAAAAAAGAGAAAAAGAAAAAGACCGCGCAAAGCACCACCTTAAGAAGAGACATGATGATTCGTAACCGGCAGCACCGGCCCATCCCCCTGCACCAACGGCTGCCTCTCCTCCAACTCTTTCTCCGCCACTGCCCCATTGGCACCGCCAGTACCACCGGCCCTACCGTTCAAAGCCGCAACCTCCTCCTTCTTAAACATCAAATCGCGTATCCAGATCACTGCGTTCGCACACCACGAATCCACATACTTCGTCCACAGATGCGCCAGCGCATACAACACCCCATAAAACACCGGCACCGCGAACAGGAACGCCATGGGCCCCGCCGCGCGCACGCGGTTGATCGGTTGGCCCTTGTCGTTCAACTTGGTCAGGTCAGTCGAGCCGGCGTTGGGCCCGTAGATCATCCATGTCATCAGGGTGCGGATCAGGGTGTCGTGCAGGAGGTAGACGGCGAAGGAGACGCGGCCGAGGAAGTTGAACAGCGGGAGGGACAGGATGCGGCGCGCGTTGCGGGAGGTGAAGATGCCGAGGGCGAGAACGGTCACGCCGACGTTGACCCAGTAGCGGTTTATGAAGTTGACGGCCGAGGGAGGGGTGACAGCGGCCATGGTGGTTTTCATTAGGTGTGACCAGGGCATCCACTCTTGGTTGTTTTGGGGGTAGGAGAGGATGAGGACGCCGACGAGGATGATTAAGGCCGGGATGGGTCTGGGGAGGAGGGAAGTAGCGCGGTTGCCGAAGGTGGCTTGGAGTTGAGCGAAGAGCATGCCGGAGTAGATGTTTATGCCAGTGATGTCTAGAGTGTGTTGAGTTAGTATGGAGGGTTTGTTTCTTTTCCGGGGAGAAGGTTTGGAAATTGGAAACTTACAGTCGTTTGTCCACCAGCAGAAGGAGTGGAGGAGGATGATGATCAAGATTCGCCATCTCGTCTTGACGAGACTGGTGGCTAGGAGCGTGAGATATATTCTCATGGATCCCCTGAGGAAGTACACAACCGCCCAATGCGTTGGGTCGTATGTTCCACTACCGTCGTGCCAGTACATCGTCATATTGTGCAACAACGCCTTGATCGCAGCCCATGGAGTGGGGCCGGGAGCCCTCGCTACACTTCGAATCCAATCCGACTCTACGACCCTAGCTAGATTGAATCCTCCCAGTTGACAGACCAACCACGCTGTGGCCGCCGCAGCATTGGTAGGCAGGATCAATCGACCAAAACGGGTGAACGTGCTTCGCGATACATTGGGCAAAGAACCCGCCACGTTGCCATTGTCGAAGTGCCTGATGGGGTTCATGGAGTTGACGAAGCCGGTGACAAGGAAGAAGAGTGCAACGGCACCTCTTCCGCCAACGCATAGTCGGAGAATTGGCAATTGAAAGAGCAGAGGACCTTTGCCCGCCCCGGCGGCGGGTGAATGGAGAATTGGCGCGAAAGCAGTACATAAGTGACCTGTCACCACAATGAAAGAAGCAATTCCGCGTAGGCCCTAGGAGAATAATCAGTCAAATGTTAGAGCTTGGGTTAAAAATGGAGAGGAAAAAAAAAAGGGTTGCGTATTACATCAATCCAATTGTCGTCTCGTTTCTTCGGAGCCATAATTAGAGGGTTATAATGACGAGAGTAAATAAAATATATATATCGGAGAAAAAGAAAAGGAGTATGTCACGATTGACCGCGTGGTATGTCCAGTACTCCCGTCCAGACGGAGTTTGTCGTCTCGTCGTGCTGGAATGAGTGTACGAATGGTATATCTTCTCTTAATCAAAGCATTGCAAATATCAACAGATGAATTTCAAGGAGACCTGAAAATGCTGATAAATAGGGATATATTGCTAGGCGAGGGGCTAGGTCATTCCTGCCGCTCCGTCGAAGAAGGGAATTTGCCAGCAAAACTCGAGGGGCAAAAGCGGGAGAAAGTCAGCCAGGGGGCTTGCTATGCTTAAAGCGAATGTGAACGGTGAGCGGAAATGCGCCCCGGTGGGAAACGACCGTAGGATACAAACAACCAAAAGTACGCAAAGACGTCCTCTTGAGGCAGAGGCACGGAATCGAAGGACGAGAAGGGAGAAAAAGAGAGAGAAGCAACCTGTCCTCGGTACGAAGGAAGACGAGGAAATCCCAGAAATAATTTAATTAAGGAAGCGCCAAAGAATGGAGCCTATCGTTCACCAGATAGGGCGGGATATGGGGGGGGAAAATGAGACTAGCGACGCCAACAGCCCGCGGACCCTGCTCGCGAGTGGAGCAGGCAGCCTTTGGTGCGGTACTCCGTATTGCCCTCGTCATGAGTCGAGGAAAATATGGGGAATTCGAGAAGGATGCCGACTCAGTTCGCGAGAGGCTAATTTAAGATTAACGAAGCGTTCTGGTGAAGCACACCCGGACGGGCCAAGGGTTGAGTGCCTCCAGATGGGCATGGATCATCGACAAAACCGTTCCACGCGCAGAGAATTTTCTATGCTTTTCGCGAATGGGACACGATGCGAAACACATCTTCCAAGGGGAGCAGGGAAGCAATCCCACAGTGGATCGGCGGCCAACGGTAATGATCATCGAGATGGGCATCATGACAGTGCTGGCAGTTCCACAGGTGTCAAATGTGGCCTTATTTCGTTGTGTCCGATTCCCGCAGGCAAAATCCGAGTACATAGCAGAGAGCACCCCCCTTTGTCTCCTCCATTCCCCATTTTCGTCTTCCTCTTCCTCCCCCTCCCTTTTTCTCCGCATCCCTTGGCTTGCCGCAACGAGGACTCCCCGGGAAACACGATCCTCGACGGCGCAGAAAAGCAAGCGGGAAAAGGATGTGGCAGGCGAGTGGCCGGGACCGATTCCACGCGCCCCCATTGGCCGGCCTCTTCGTGCCAAGCTCAATGCCAAGCCGGTAGCTCGGGAAAATAGTGAGGCATAATTACCGCTAAACCTGTATGCACGGTAATGGCCTTGTCCGTCGGCGTTGGTTGTTCCGGTTCCGGTTTTTATGAGGTCAGCAACCGGCCAGTCACGTGGGAGGCCTGCCGCCCAAAAGAGCCGAAAAGGGGAATTCAAACCTGCTCGCTGCTCTCTTGTCTTTGATGCAGAGAAAATACGCCTCTCACCGACGAAGGAGAGACTTGTCTTGTTCCAGGTGCTTCTACGTGGCCGTTGGCATGAACTTTTCTTTGAAACACAGGGGTGATCGCCCGCCGGCCTTTTCCAAGCAGGGCGGGTTGTCGATAAGCTTCTCTGGATTGCTACCGTCGACGGGACTGTGAGTTTGATCTGCACGCGATCGCCCCTGACCTCCCGAGGTCGGGAAAGTCGGTCGGCTGCAGAAACCAATGTATGAATAATCCGTACGGAGTACGGAGTACTTCTCTGACATACTATCCCACACAAACTACCAGTCTTTCTCTCAAGAGCATAGCTGTTAGACAAGGCGGCTCAACGAGCGGCCTGGCATCACTGGTAGGCTTCCAGTTATGTTGTTCGCGATGCTTTGTTAAGTGGTTGCAGCTTGGATCATTCGTGACACTCTTTGTGCAAAAAGATGAAAGGCCAGTGCCTTGTACCTATGCCAGCATGGCCTTCTGTTGGCTTCCGGAGAAGGGCATCGAATGCTAATGCCTCCAAATGGTTCGACTCAGCGCTTGATTATCCCTCTTTTTTTCCTTTTTCTTTTTTTTTTTTTTTTTTTTTTTTTTTTGGCCGGCTACCTTTTGAATCCTGGCTGCTTGCTCCCTCACACATACACACACTCTCTCTCTCTCATGTGAATTTCCCGACATTTTGGGACCCTATTGCCATTATTCAATAATATCTGCCTCATTTACACCAAATGAGACGGCTATCATCACATGCAAAAAGGCCATGTTTACCATGTCTGAGCTGCAAGAATTCCTCACTTGGGCGTGAAGTGAGAAATTCCATCCTTCCAAAGCTCAGTTTTGGAAGATTTCCTTTCCTCTGCGTTACCACGAAGGTTAAATAGATTTCTTGTGAGGTCAACCTACAGACCTCCATTCCCTGGGTCGCAAAAACTACTAAGGTGCCCCAACCGGATACAAACCAAAAATCTACGTTGGGCTTCTACAACTCACAATTAAGGTTCGAATGACCTGTGGATGACCTATGGGTCCTTTCGATCTATATTAATGACTACAGCGCGTTCCCTTCCCCCAACAACTTCTAGCATTGCTTCATTCTTGGTATACTTGCTATAATTTCATCCATAGGAGATTTGATCTCGAGAGCATCGCATTCGCCTTCAGCAAGATGATGTTCTGGGAAGCTATACCACTCCTAGCTTTGGGCGGTCCCCTATTTATTGCTGGGCTATTATGTGGCAGTTTTGTGCAGATTGAGGATCGTGGATTACTACGAAACTCTACAAGCATCCATTCTTCCCAAGGTCATGAAAGGGGCAGATCAATCAGCTGCTTTGTCCTATACCCTTCTATTCTTGCTACTTGCTTCATAATCACCACCGTTTTAGTTCGCTTAATCCCGGTTGTGAGCGCTAAAGCCCAAGACCAGAGTCTGCACGCAGCTGTCTCCGGCCAACAAGATCCTCTTTCACCCCTAGATGCTAGAAGGAAAAATTCTTGGGGTCCGTATTCCGTACTCGCTACTCTCTTGTTTTGTCGTCTCCCTCGCCGTCTTCTATTTTTCTGTACTAGGTTCCTCCGTCAACCACGGCAAAATCGAACAGCACCGATTTGGCGCCTACCGCCAGAACTTATATTAATGATAGCGGATAACCTTTGTCCATCAGATACTGCTGCATTCTGTCTCGCGAGCAAAAGAATTCTGGGGGTTATTGGTGAGCGAGCTTTTGAACTGAGCGGCAACGAATTGTATAAATTCTTGTCACGCTTACAATCCGGCATGCCGAATCACATACTTTGTTACCAATGTGCAAAATTTCACCACAAGTTCCTTGTTGAACAATCCTGGCACCTAGAATGTGAAAGAAGGAATCGTTGCATGGAAACTGCTTTTGGACAATTCCCGTTTACGGATGCGCAACAAGTCATGAACTATCACTTTTATGGAACTCGCCATTGGCTATTCCCTGGCATAACAGTCTATTATGAGGATGATTCGCCTGATGACAACTTTCGTGGCTGGGAGCTCGTCGACTTACGAATATCGGGCGAAGATCTTCTGCTCAGGCAGCAAATCGCAGTGAGTTTCCACCACTCACAAACTCGGCCCCCCGAAGCGGGTACCGCCCTCAACTACCCTTTCCGCCTATGTGCACATCTGGATTGCTGGCAGGTCTTCAAATTTCCACGGTGCGAAAGAGTATTTCTCAAATGCCCTGTGTGCAAAACGGAAATCAGTACTTGTCGGAACCCTCTGGATAAGGAGCATGAATGGATCGACATTACCATATGGCGTGTGCTCGGCTCCTGCCGTAATCCTACGGAGCGTCAATGGCGACTGCTCACCCGCCGTTGTCGTCGGGCGCGGAAGCCTTTATTCATCACTAGAGGGTCAGCCGTTATATGGCAACGGTTCGCAAACAGTCCTCGACTCCCAGTAAAATGCAAGTCCTGATTTTCCAGGTTGGTATCGTGAATTCTTGAGGACCGACGAGATTTGCGGTTTTATATAAAAATGAAGAAACGGTCCCAAGAAATCGTCGCCGAGTGCCCTTCTATAATTGTGTGGTTCTTAATATCCAAGGGGGAAGCTGCAGTGGGCTTAAAGGTGATCAACTACGACTGTTAGTTAATTGGTAGCCCTGGCGGTTCATTAAAGAGTTGTTGGAAAGGAATTCCCCGCCAGGGCGATTATGGAGGCTTTATTCCGTACAAGATTATTCTCATTTAGTTAACAGGTAATCTATAGTATGGTTTATAGCAACTGGAAGAGCGTTTACATCTCATGTCTCCGGCGATCAGCAGCAAGGCAGGCTCAGACCACCAGTATCTACGAGATATTATCTCCAAGGATCTTTACAGGTTTGTTGACATCATCTATATACAAAGATAAGATTAGAAAATGGCATCCCAGACGATGAGCCCCGTGCATAGTCCGGCGGTGGCCCAAAAGACTACCTGTGCTGTGCTCCTTCTCTCGCTCGCGCGCTTTAGCTCCTGATTTCCACGCCCGACGTTTGAATGAGTGGTGGTCGCATCAGTCACCAATTGATTAATGTAGTCTTCCTGCGTCGCAAGATGGGCAACAAGAGTCTGTTGTAGCGAACTGATTTCCAGTAGGGACTTTTCGGCATTTCTAACAAGAGAGAAAACATTGGTGGTTAGAGACTTTTGCCGTAGCCATAGTAGAAGTAGCTCTTCAATCTCCACAATGATGACGAGGTAGCGGGTAGAGACTTACTGGACCTTACTCAGTGTGTCCTCATAATGCTTCAACATCGTATCATTCTCCTGCGCAAAAAGCTGCAGCTGCTCCGGCGAAAGCTGCGACTCGATATCCGCCATCATCTCTTTATCCATCGACGGGTCATGCACTCGAATCGGTACCTTGGGCTTCCCCATATCATCTTCCATCATCGTCTGAGATATAATCCCTCCAGCCTGCATCCCACCCGCACCACCCACCATCCCCGAATGCCCGCTCTTATACAAAATACTCTTCTCCTTCTCCTTCGCCCTCTCAATCCTCTTCTCCACCATCGCCATCTGCGCCTCAGCCGCAGCTTCCAGCCTCCGTCGCAGCAACCAAAGCACATTCTCCCTCACCGTCTTGATCGTCTTCTCCGAATCTTCCGCCTCTTCCTCCTCAGGACTCCGAGACATCTCCTCCGGACCATCGCCACCGGCCCATTTCCATATTCTGCTATTCAATTTATATCCGAATTTCTTCCGCAGGAGAGTCGCCTGCGTCTCTTGCCGAAGGGTTTCGGCGGACGCGAGGTTTTCTATAGAGGAGGACAGGTCGCGGAGCAATATGGCGGTGGAGGAATCTATAGAGTCACGCTCTTCGTCGGTTAAGTGCTGGTCTGTCTGTATAGAGGACGAGGATTTGAAGCTTGCGATTGATGTGGAGGACCGGTGGGTATCTCGGCGGGACACTGGAGGACGACGGGGTGCGGTTGAGAGGTAGGCTTGTCGGATTGATTTCAGATACGTCAGAAGAGAGGAGACGTGGGAGTTCTGAGGGAAGAAAGAGAGGAGTTAGCGATGGGCAAAAAGAATCTAATTTCATTTCCCAGAACAACCCTGCGGGACACTGAGGATGTAGACGTACTATTCTGTATGCTTCTTTGAGGAACTCATCTACCGTTTGGTATTTGGCCCGGCGATCTTCAATATTTGGAATTCCAGACACGCCGTGGGACTTGAGGAGTCCATTAACAATTAATGTAATATCCGCCATTGTCATCAGCTCATGATTCTTTTCCCGAGATTAAGTTGGGAGGTGCAATGGGACTGCTTGTCGACAAGCATCGTGGCCCAGTTCAGATGACGATATGTGGAACAGACACGATGCCGCTTAGTCATCCACTCCGGCCTTCCCAGGGGCTTTCTTGTCGCGTTCTGTTGTTTGATTTCGCGTTTAGCTACAGGGCACAGCCTACAGGAAATATGCCAGGAGGGGTTTGTTCATGCCAACAATGGCTGCTTTGTGTCATCTAAAGGCCACAAGGACACATGTCATGGTTAAGTACAAAAAGAAATTGAAACAATGCAAATCTGGTCGAGACACGTGAGGTTCTTTCTTTTTTCCCAAAACACGATGGCTTCGTCAAAGGGGGATGCCTCAAGAAAACACCTCGCTAATAAATTAAGGCAGAATGGAAGAGTGTCGAACGCTCCAAAGTAATCTAGAAGAGAAAGGGGAGATAAGAAAAGAAAGTACTCGTCAGAATTACACTTCGCTAACCCAAAGCTGCAAGCAACATGTCAGTTTTCCATGTTTGTCGTTAAGATAGCCAGGAGCCAGAAAAGACTTACTTCCAGTTTACCCATGTCATTACCCTGCTTCCTTGCAGCCTGTCTCGCCGTTGAAAGAAGCATATCTAGATCGTCCTGATCGCCCAGGGTCACCATGTCTCCATCATCCCGCATTTTAATCTTCAGCTTAGATTTAAAGCCGAACTTCTCTCGGATTTTTCCTTCGAGAGCACCGAATTCTATAGCGGGTCCAATCATAATGAAACGGGTATCTTGGTCGGCATGGACCTTTACACGGATTTTCTTGATATCTGACCGTCTAGAGTTGGTAGGGCGCCTTCCGGGGGGCGGGGGGACTCCAATCATTTCAAACTGTGTATCACCGATAGAATCATCTTCATAGGCGTCGCTCTCATATCCATCTTCTTCCGGGTAAGATGGTTGTCTGGTATTTCTATAGCGAGGTGTATAAACACTCCTAGGGGCTTCAGAACTCGCATACATGTCGTAGACGGCGCCAGCATCTTCTTCTTCTGATAAGGGAATGAACGTCGAGGTGTTTTGACGGCGGGGTCCTGTGGTCTCGCGGTACAAAGGTTGGTTATTTGGATTGCGTGCTTTGACAGGAAATTGCGGTCTTGTTGCTGGTCCTCGTGACTCCGAGGCCGATCGAGTCGGCCCAATTCTTAGCTTCTCGACTGGAGGTGCATCCACCCTGTCTCCATCGTCCATACGTCGTTGAGCGACGGGGAATGGCGGTTCCCGTACAGAGGCGGATCTCAACGGCTTCACGGATAGGTTACCACTCGAGCTGCCGCCGAAGAAGGACTGGGGCTTATCGCTATCAGGAGGCGGCGTTGGGGGAAACATATTCCGGTTTATTGGTGGTTCAGACTGTTGTCGAGTTCTGCCGACCAAGTTCTTCTGTACCAAGTTCGTAGCTGCATATGAGATTGCATCCGGAGGCCTATCGTCTTTCGAAGTATCAAGCGTTCTGGTCCGCTTGATCTCAGAGCCCTGAAATCCAATGAAGGCATTTCCGCGGTCTGAGGCGGCGACTAGCCTGGCCTTGCCCAAGTACTCTTTGGTCTTCAAGTTCTTCACTTTCGCATCGCTTGGGCGGTAAACAACGCCAACCGGAATGGAGAAAACAGTATAACCCTATTACACACTTCAGCAACGCTCAGATTCAGCTTGAAGTGACATAATCACCTCTGCACTTTCCCTTATCGCTTCGTCGATAACATCATGATCTGGCTTGAATTTCTCCTTGGATGCGAAATCGAGATCTTGCATCCCCTGTTCGACCTGGTTGAGATAGATATACGATAGTCCTCGATTGAAGAGGACTTCGCAGGAGTACAGCTGAAACTTGAGCCCCAGTTGCTCATAATCGATGGACGTGTTTCCTCTTAGATAAAGTAGAGTATCGTTGAAATTTACCAACGCTTCTTCGAAATCGCCAAGCAGAAAGTTAGAAACTCCTTCCTGGAAATACGCAATCGCGAAGTACTTGTCGAGTGCGATGGCTCTCTGATAGAAGTCCACCTAGAAAAGAAGAGAGGTTAGCAAAGAGGCGTCATGGAGGAAAATCGTTTCCAAAATCATACAGCTTTTGCATGCTCTCCCAAAGTAGCATAGATCACACCGCAGTTGAATAAAATCTTCGATGTATCAGCGATATTCCCGAACGCTTTAAGCGCCTCTTCGAATTCATTGTTGTCGTAGTGGCCAAGGGCTTGGACCCACGTCTCTATTTCCTATTCCGCGGGCATTGCTATCAGCTAATGTGCATGGAGCGAAAACGACGGCACCCGAATAACCCACCTGTTTCAAGGACATGACGAGATTCTTCTCAAGGCGCGCACAGCGGCACCTTCGAGCGTTCTAGGTTGCCCGAAAACCGAGCTGACGGCCGATGTCCGTCGTATTCCAAGTACTGCGCAATCCGTGATGAAAAGCGAATATATCCTCAGAGCCCAGCAGTACTATCAAGCAAGGGACGAAATTCCGGAAAGGAAAAAAAGTGACAAGCTCTGGCGGGGCAATGAGCAAGTCAAATATGTACGGCCCAATTATAGCACTTCCAATCCGGTTTGGAACCTGTCAATCCACTTTTCTTTTGTCCCCTTCCCTTGGTGCGTGTGATGCACTTTGTGCCCTGCCACTGGTGATATGCAGAAGTCTCGCTCGCTCAACTACAGCCAGTAAAAAGACGTGAACTCTTTAGCGTAGGCCGAACAGAACTCGAATGATTCAAAAGAAGCAATCGACTAGTTGGTATTTGCTGGCCCGGAATCACAGTGCGGAGGCGGTGGGCGGCTAGGACCGAGGGGCGTAATTAAAGCGAGGGCGGCGCATCCAGAGGGCGAGAAGACAGAAATAGAAAAAAAAGAAGATGGCAGAGAAGAAGCGGTAATGACCGAGAGAACCCCTATCAAATTACTCGGACATTCCAGTGGCTATGATCAGGTCATCCTTGAGGGTGTGTACCTAGTGGAATCGGGGGCCGGTTGAAGTCAGCCGTGGAGTGAGCCACACATCGGGGGTAAGACTGTCGTTTTCCCTTAAAATTGATAAAGAGCGAGGAGCCCAGTGTACGCCAGCATCAAGCCATCCGCTTATCACACATAGCGTCGCAGAATGCAAGGGTTCATGTTCCAAGACAGATTGGCGGACCGAGACTGGCACCCCCTCATGGGCAAGCCAAGTCTCAAATGCAACACGACCATCGAGTCAGAATTCGCGAATGGCCGGACGCCCGGACTCCACAGTCTGGCTTCAGTCCAGTGATGCGCTCCGATTCGCTATTTTGTTGCAGAAATCACCGCCATGCAGAGCCCATTGGCTCGTGATGGGTGACTGGGGATGGTCAAAGTGGCGTGCGGTTACTCCCAAGCAGCAAGGAAAACGGGACTCTGGGTGGTTACCAAGGGCTGCTTGACGGGATGCAGCGATGGGCGACCACAGCAGCCTGCACGTCGTGCATCACGCCACATTCACCTCCGGGAGAAGGCCTTCGTTATTGGGTGGTGAGTGCGATACCCCTCCATGCTTCTCAGGACCGAAGGGCCGCTGCTCCAACCCCCCGCGAGAAGAGTCTCGTCCCCTTGGCGAATTCTATGCATAATGAACTGAACAAGATAAATGTGCCAGCAGGAATGGTATTACCTAACGGCAGGTATCAACCTGCAACATTAGTCCTTAATCCTCAATCTCTGGTGTGAGAAACAAGCGGGAATCTCAAACCGCGGTTGTTTAAGCTGACCACGGAAGATGGAGCTCTGCCTTCCATACGAAGTGACAGGTGTCAGAATTCTATAATACTAATTCCTCGACCCGTCTATCTTGAGGCCAGATGCTTTTTTTTTCCCTTACTAGTATTTCATAACAATGTCCTTATCATGATTCATTATCTAGGCAGTGTGTGACAAAGTTTTGTTGCAGCCGGAGAGCGCAATTCTGGAACTCCAACATTGATCAGATCAAGATGGATCAACTAGGGCAGAGTGTGCATTTCGAGAACCAATCGATGCAAGAAACGAAATGCGGATAGGCCCATGTGGTCTAATGTACAGCTCGCACTCGTCGGTAAGGCGAGTCCCATTTGCATCATACCATACCCCTGGAAACCTGCTCCATGCGTTCCTCCCAAACATTCTTGCCAGAGCACGAACAGACCATTTTATCGTTGTCCCAGACGCCAGCGCTTCGGGCAATCACGCCGACAATGGTGTTCGGATCATCCTCCTTGAATGGTCCCTCTTTATTTTTCGACACAACCATGCTCCTGCCAATCAATTCCCAAACCGCCACAGGACGGTCAAGAAACACATTCCCCTTACCCTCCTCGTCAACGTCCACTGTTCCGAAGACGCCTCTTGGCTCCTCGGCCCCTTGGAGCTTCTGTTTCAGAGCCTCCCATATTCCGCCCGTAGAACTCGGACCTCGGGAGATGTCGCCTGTGTCGCGCACGGTGGCCCAATACTGACCGGGAGATAGCCCGTTGATCGTTAAGTCAACTAGAGTGCGCTTATCGGAAATTTGAACCATCCGCGCAAGGCCTCGTATTGAAATTGGAACGTTTGCGTGAGTTTCTAGTATACAAACCGAGGCGTCTGGCCACGCGATTAGCATAATCCCTTTGTGACAATTGCATCTGAAAGAAACAACATCCGGCGGCATGACATACTGTTGGACTTTCCGCTTCCACGGAGGATCGCGTCCCGCCCGGTGTTTTGAATCGCTGCTACAATGGCTGAAGGTGCAGCGGTCCCCTCAACTAATACCAGTTGATCTTTCAGGTTCGCCTCGACGCTCCTGATCCCTAAGTATTCATCCCTTAGTAACGAGTTCGGAGCAAAAGGCCAGGCCGGACGATACCATCGAGCTCATATAAAGGTTTTGAAATATCTTTGATGCAGCTTTCGCAGGTCAAAGGCACTGCAAAAGTCGCCTGGGCCATATCAGTCACCGCATAGCACGAGGAGTAGAGATGGTATGAGCATCATTACCTGGAAAGGTTCAATCATGGCGAGTGGAGAAGGCGAATCTCGCGACCACCGTACTATTGTGCTAAAAGCCGTGATCCCCAAATGTTAATAATAAATACGCGAAGTATGAAATGGACGAAGCAAACCTCCATGGCAGGTAATGCTCGCCTCTGGGTTGTGGTGGGGTCGCTGGACGGGGTTAACTCGCGGTTGTTAGCCCACTCCGAGAATTGATAATCAGCGTCCACACGGCAAATCCAGATCCCGCTCGGTGCTATCCTCTAGAGCTCTCCAGTTTGCCTTCCGAGCCTGACAGAGTCAACATCTGGCAATACGTTAGCTGCATGCCACGCATCCAGTTTCGCAGCAATTAGCGATGCTGCAGCATAATTGTTCCGTGACAATATTAACAGCCCACCACTGTGAATGCTCTGGGTGAGTAATCAGGAGCCCGGGACAATGATAATACGTTCCGAGTGTTTGGGGAGCCGTGACAGCAGCTGCTTGAAGACAAAGCGGCGGATGGTAGAGGAATCTGCAATTGACCCCAGACATGCTACAGTCCCTCCTGTCCCACAGTCTGGAAGCTGGGTACAATGTCGTCTGCTCCCAAATCCCGGTGGGCAGAGGATGACGCCGACACCCAAGCATACCTCGAACAGAAAAAGCGCGAGAAGGAAAAGAAGAAACAAGCAAAGGCGGAGAAGCAGCGCCAGCTCGAAGAAGCCCAAAGACGAGCTAATCCTCCTACACTTGCCAGCGAGGCGGCGGATGCAAATGGCGCGGCTGAATCTCGAGTACGCGAAGGCAGCGCAGAGCGACCAGTGAAGAGAAGAAGACTGTCGATCGATAGGGGCGATACTCAACGCGTCGTTGCTGAAGATAAACCCGGCGCCCTGCTTCAGTTTCCCGGTTCGGAATGGGGTCCGTGTCGCCATGTAGACAACTATGAGAGACTAAATGCTATTGAAGAGGGATCCTACGGTTGGGTTTCGAGGGCCAAAGAAGTCACTTCGGGAGAGATCGTCGCCATCAAGAAGCTCAAGATGGATAATACGTACGATGGATTCCCGATTACTGGACTCAGAGAGATTCAAACATTGCAGGAATCTCGTCATCCGCACATCGTTAGATTGCGAGAAGTCGTGATGGGAGATACTATGGACGAGTAAGCTCCGCAAGTTACTTTTTGGATATTCCCCTTTTATTTGAAAAGCCCAGATACCAGAGTGACATTAACCATTTCCTTTGTAACTACTTCCTATTTTCGCAGCGTATTTTTGGTTATGGACTTCCTGGAGCATGACCTGAAGACCCTCCTCGACGATATGCGCGAACCATTTCTGCCGTCCGAGACGAAGACCCTGTTGCTGCAGATTATGTCTGCGGCTGAGTTCCTTCACTCGCATTGGATTATGCACCGCGACCTAAAGACATCCAACCTTTTAATGAATAATCGCGGCGAAATCAAGCTTGCGGATTTCGGCATGGCTAGATACTATGGTGACCCGCCACCCAAATTGACCCAGTTGGTGGTGACCTTGTGGTATAGATCGCCGGAACTTCTCCTCGGCGCAGAGAAATACGGCCCAGAAATTGATATATGGAGTATTGGCTGTATATTTGGCGAACTGCTCACTAAAGAACCGCTTCTACAAGGGAAGAATGAAGTTGAGCAGCTATCAGAGGTACATACCGGTCAGATAATTGCCCTTTTTCGTCGTGCAGGTTTCTTAACGCTATACCAGATATTCAAACTCACCGGCCCTCCCAATTCACAAATTTGGCCCGGCTTCCGCTCCCTACCCAACGCAAAATCCCTCCGCCTTCCACCCTCCTCCACAACCTCCTCGAAGCGCTCCACCAACGTCCCGCTCCTACCCCGCTCCAAGTTCCCATACCTTACCACCGCCGGCCTAACGCTCCTTTCCGACCTCCTGGCGCTCAACCCTGCATCCCGACCTACAGCGAAAGATTGCCTCTCTTACCCTTACTTTCGTGAGGATCCCAAACCAAAACCAAAAGAGATGTTCCCTACGTTCCCATCCAAGGCAGGCATGGAAAAACGAAGGAAGCGAGATACACCCGAGGCACCCAAGAGAGGCGAAGAGGCGCCGAGTTTGGACTTCGCGAATGTTTTTGGGGGAGGGGGTGGTGCAGAGAGTGGAATGGAGGCTGGAGCAGGCTTTACGCTACGATTGGGCTAGGATGGAATTCATTTTAGTTCCTTTTGTTTTCCCGTCTTATCAAATATAGCGTCAAGCGGGGGGCAAGCCCTGGTAGAATATCATATATGCAACTTGTGGGAATGAGCACTGGGACCTTGTGAGCCTTCCTATCTTCTATGATGTACAGAAATATCTCCCTAGTCTGAAAATAGTGTCCGGCCTGATCGAAGCGAAAAGGAATATTCCCAGAGCTTTCTTACATCATAGCATCCTACGATACACGATACAGTGGCTTAATGTTCTTGAGGACGCTCTCAGCCTACGACGTCGGTGCCAGTTTCTGGATTCCTACGAATGGAGCGAATTAGGTTAGTAGTTAACGACCCTTTTCATCAAGTGGTCAAGATTGGAGAACAGCAACAAGTCTAGATACCGCAAGACATACTATACAAACGATCAAGCCTACCGTAAAGCAACGAGGCTACTTGCAGCAGCAGTTTCTTCCGTGCAGTTTTTGTCAAATGAGGCCCGACCCGCCAGCCTAACCGTACTAGCTACATGCAAACGAACCCGTTTCCATTTACGAGATGATAAGGCTTCCGGAGAAGTACGTGTTGCAAAATACATTATCGATGACACTCACAGCATCAAAAGTTACATATATATATAACTAGATCGACGTCCAGGGTCTCGACATACTTATATCATCTGCGGCGCCCACATGGAACCCAGGCGTTCCCGCAAAACCGCGCAAACAAAAGGCCAAAAGCCGAGGGAGATCCTCTCATATGCCTGTTTCCGCTTAAAGGCCGGTGTGTACTACGGGCTTGTCGGGAGGAATGGCCGGGGGAAGTCGACTGCATGCACTGACCCCTGTTTCTTTCTCACTTTCTTCATTTCACTAAGGTGATGGATGTGTAATATGAATGCAAAAGATTGGAACTTTGCGGTTGGCTCCACAGCTATTCTCGGTGCAATGACTGAGAAGCTGATTCGGGAATCCCTGAGGCTGTGAGAATCGCCATACTCCAGCAGACTGACGTGAAAGACGCCAGTGCAGAGTCACCGGCGATGCCTGACGGACAGACAGGAAAGGTTGTCAATCATAGAAAATGGTCAATGACGGCTTTGCAGTCAGTCATGGAGAGCGATGAATCGAAAAACGACGTGGTCAAGAGAATGAACTGTATGCTTTGTCCCTTGGGCTGCGCTTGACTTGCTCAGTTCCATCGCATATGTGAAGCTCTGGCTCGCGCTCTCGAGGAACACGAGGATAAATCTGGACCTATCCGCACGGTTAGAGAGCTAAACCATGAGCAACTCAAGCTGGAGTTTTTCTTCGCGCAGAAGGACACAGCACTGAAACGCGGTGCTCGAGATCTGCATGCAAGAAAGGAATTGAAGGTTGCAGAAAGCAAAAGTTGCAGAGTCTGCGAGCGCGTATGTTGCCTCTCACTAATAATAGGGGGGAGGTAATTTCTGAGGTGAAGTCGGCTCGGTCGACCACTAGAAGACGAAGATGCAGTCAAAATTCAGGAGGGATCCCAAGTTGCTGTTGAGATGCTTCGCGATGTTCGGTCTCAATACGAAGTAGTAAGGTGGCTATGGTTATTGTACGGAGTAGTTGTTCAACTGTATAATTTCAGATACCGATGAAAATCTACTATTCGAACAACCTCCAAATTTCCCGTATGGAAACTGACGTTCCTTTTAAGATGACCGTCAGTTGGCATCTCTGATGCTGGGTAATAACGCCGCCCTCTTGAGGCGGACAGCAACTCCTTACTCCGACCTAGCTCCGCATGTCACAAGTAGCCAGTTTTGGCCGCCTCCAACATAAACCTCAAATGCAGTCTCGCTCACTTCAAGGCCTGGTTCTGGACAACCGGTAAATGGGAACTCAAGGGAGACATGTCGCGCTTTCGCCGTCTAGGCGGAACGTTCATTTGGTGGAAAACCAGTCAATGCTTGAGGACTTCAAAAAAGCAGAAATGGAACATCAGTGTCCGAGGAAGATTACTGATGACAAGCGTGTCATCTACAAGTCTCGCAGCTTTGGCAAGCCGAAGAATGGTGAGTGGGGAGATCCAGTCTTGTGTGATTTCAGAGAGGCCAGAATTGGACAAGTTCAACAAAGAGGTCCATTTGTCCAGACACATATTTACAGGGCGCCGGATATACCTTTTGAGGTGCGATGGGGGTCCGCCCGTGGATATATCGAATGTCGCTACACTTGTAAGTATGTGATATCTTTTATGCAAGGGTTTCATGTTGCTCACTTATGTTAGATCTGGGACCTCTTCCAAGGAAAAACATATGTTTGATAACCTCCTAGATGGAAAAGGGCAATTATGATCCTTTCAAGCACATGGCTCAGATTTTTGCATTACTGGGCCCTCCTCCAAAGAGGAGTTCATGCTGCGCAGTGAGATGGCTTGGCAATGCTTTGATGCTGATGGCAGTTTGCTCCGTTTAGTTTATGGGTGAGGGCAGATGTGCACGAGAATATATCCAATATTTCGTTGGAGAGCCTTGAGACTCCTTTAGAGGGAACAGAGAAGATATCATTTCTCCGCTTCACCCGGTCCATGCTTAAGTGGCTGCCCGAGGAGCGAAAGACTGCTAGAGAACTTCTTAACAATCCCTGTTTGAATGAGCACCTGGGCTAAAAGCGGGAACTGAAGCGAGCTCTGAAGTCATAGCCGTTTGATGCGCACCCCGGCGACTGCCAGTGTCAGAATTTAGACATCCCATCCTCGTGCAAATGGCCGGTGCCAACATGTTTGTCATCCTCGTTGAGAAATCGGATAGAAATCATATCCTTCTGATCGGTGGGGTCATCGTGTAACTTGTGCAGGCGGGTGCCTTTAATCTCCGCGTTCGTGCATCGGGAGTCGTGTTCACGAGTGATTAGTAGCATCTTCTTATTCTTGACAAGATCATGACACATCATTTTTATACTGTTCTGGCAGTATCGGCAGCACTTTCAGCATTCAACAGTGCAATCCTACAAGTTGTTTCTCATGATCAATTTCTCATTAGAACTGTCATTTAGGGGAATATTGATATTCATCAGGAAGATGAAGGCGGCGCCGCGACCGAAACTACAAGATGAGACTAAACCAAGGAGGCGCCATGTTTTTGTTTTAAAGGCCGGTAAACTGCACTTTCAGGAAAACAGAGCAGAGCAATTCGAACAAAGCCTGCAGAGAAAGAATGCAGAAATTGCTTGCACCAGACCAACTGGTTTATTGGCTCTATCACTCCGTATTTGGTAACATTTCATACCGCATGCGAAATCTCCGCACATTTGTAATTCTTCTCAATTGCACACGCCCTTTCCTTTCTGTCATTTAGGCTGGAGAAATCATGCATTGAGATGCAGGTTTTCGAACGCACAGATCGCTTGAATTTTGTGGGTCGTGAAACCCCATGCATCTTTGGAGACAAAGAAGAAGATATAACTTAACTGTGGGATAAATTGACTCTGTCCCCGGCAAGATGCAAAGTAGCATTTCCTCCGCATGTGCGACGCCGGAGGAGATCAGATTAAATCAGATGTTCAATACCAACTGTCGATTGCCGGGTTGCTTGCAATCGCGAGCTCGGCCAAGCCAATCAATCATCACAAGTTTAAAATAGGATATTGGATGTGCAGCGAGCGCATTTGTCGCTACCTGTGAGCGAAATGGATGGGATCCAGTGCCACGTAACCGGGAAATCATGCCACGAAATAGGTAAAAATAATGCACGAGGATCTGAATCCCGGGATGACCGGGGTTGCCCATGAAAGGTTTAATTGGAAAAAAAAAAAAAGAAAAGAAAAGAAGAGAGGAACGAGAGAGAGAGAGGAGGAAGAGAGGACCGGGGCAGGCTGTCATTGTGTGATGAACAAGGTTTACTCCCAGCCGCGAGCCAATGGACAGGTTGTTCCTGACGAGACTCCCGCCTTTGTGGCTGAACATGATGCAGAACTCAATTTGAAAGGATCGCGCCGCAAACGTGTTTGAACGATACGAGCGGAGGTCACCGTTCACCGACAGGCTCCAGCAAGCTAGCGAACAGCTGGCAGCACGACGTCAAACAGACCGCCTCGGCTCCCAGGCCAGAGATCCATGCCCTTGAGACCGACCACTCAAGCGGGCTGGAACCCTGCGAAAGACAAAGAAAGAGAAGTTCCAGGACACTGTGCATTCTGGCTCACGTTTCTTAGGCAACAAGGTTGGTTGGCGAGACTTTGCCCCAGTGCAGTGCAGATTTTTCATTTTTTTGAGACACACCGTTTCTTGAGAGGCCTGGCTCTCTGAGCCGCGGCTACGCACGGCGGAGAAGCAGATATTAAGTGAGAAAATTGGACACCTCAGTTTCTGATGGATCACATGAGGCGTCAGAGATTGAGCTCTTTGGCTGGCGCCGTATCCGTATAGCGGCAGTCGATCCCCGCTGTGGGCTTCTGGGCGGGCGGGGACTAGATCTCTTTTTTTGACAGCAAATTTTTTTTTGGATGTGGTCTGTGTTGTGGCCGAGAGGCAAAACGTGGCGAATGCAACTCCAGATCTCTCCCCTTCTCCGTGAATGCGAAGTAAAAAAAAAAAAAAAGACGACGACTTGAGCCTGCAAGACGACGATGCGCTGCTTGGAATCGATGACTTGGGAAAAGTCAGTCCAACTCTGCGATCTCTGTGCGGGAGAAATGGAGAAATCGACGAGAGTCGAGACTGTAATCACTCTGTAATCCGTACAGAACGGCGAACAGCGCGGAAAGATTGAAATGAGTAATCGGCCGAATTGGGAAAACGTGTACGGAGTACGTCGTAACTACTTCTGATTTACTCCGTACCGAGTACGGGTTACAAGGGGGACTCACGGAGAAATCTGAATTGTTCCTATTCCAAGGTGGTTCTCGCGCAAGCCTCCGTCAAGTCAAGGAGCTTATTGAAGCGACCTGCCTCCTGCGCTACTCCGGGCCTAATACGGAGTTATGATTGTAGCATTTTGGGACATTCCACATTCCCTCCTGATTGTAAAGAGGTACTCGATACAAGAGGACTTTGGGATGGAAGTTTTGCTCTGAGTCATCAAGGCGCGAGCCGCAACTGATTTGTCACCGCGGAGACGTCATAATTGCTCACCAAAACCGGCACGAGCTTTGGTAATTCCGATGGAGATTACACGATGCCAAGACGGATAAACAGCACCAAAACGGTAAGGTCTGGACCACACAACCAGCTGTCGGGCTGCACGGAGACCCGGAGGCTCGTTCAAGCTTCTGGTTTCGACTCCCGTGATCCAGGAAACTCGTTTGGGCACGGGCAGTCGGCGTCTCCAGCAATGCCAAAGTCCGACAGCAAGGTCATATGCCCAGGTCTTTTCACGACCAAGAGCCCTGAAATGGGGAAAAAAAGTTCGCTTCCACATTTTATGTCTGCACTTACGGGACTTCTGTACGTGAGTCTTGTTACGAGGAAATACCAAGAGGAGTACCCCAGGCAGACATATTCAGGCGCGGCTTCTCGTCGACCCTGGGCGTGCCGCGAGGGCAGGGCGCAGCGGGCAGGACGCGCTTAATTGGACGGGCAGACCATTCGTCCGTATGGCTGGCAGAGTCAAATCTTTTTTTTTTTTTCCTTCTTTTTTGCTGCTGACTGATCGTTGCTCTGGCCCCGGCGATCGGGACCAAGCTAGCCCAGGCGGTCACGTAACGAATTACATACACGTAACGACGACAGTACTCCGTACGGCGGAGTATCTTACTGTACATAGTTTACCATAAGGCTGTCGTCAAGGTTTTCGGAAGTCTCCACCAGCTGGCCTCCGCTCACCGCCAATCGCGTAATTTTACCACAGAAGCCGCCATTCCAGTCGCCGGGCGGATTTCTCATCAACTCGGCGTTTCCTGCCGAGCCACCCGTTTTCTGCCTCCGTCCGTCTGTCTGGCAGTGGAAGAGCTTGGTCCTGGATCCCGGCGCGGATGGATGAAAAGAAGCGTTGTTCGTCCGTATCGTCGTGGACATATAATAATATCGATCGTCTCCCCACGCAGCCTGTTCTCTCTCCAGGCATCTTATCTGCTCCCCCAACCAAAGCACTGCAAACATCCAGTACATATATTCTTTGATGATCGTCACACCCATAATCTACCCCAAGGTCCAGCCCAGCTTCACCGACTTGTCCACTTGTGCCTGGCCGCCTCCGTCTGCTGATTGGCCAATCTCACATCAAACCGAGCTAACGCCTGAGTCAAAAAGAATTACCTATCAATTCCTGAGTCACAGGCAACCCAAAGAAAACAAGGTCTTGGGCCGCGTATATACAAAGCCTCTTCCTCCCCCAATTGCTGAAAGAAACTTTTTTTTTCTTTTTTAATTTTCTCCTCACAATGTCGAATCTGAACTCCGATCTCCCAATATCCCCGCACAGAAAACCAAAGAAAATGAGCATTACACAGACATACTTCCTTGCTCATACCGCCCGCGCGAAGCTCTCGCGCGAGGCTGGTCGGCCGGATCATAACCTCCGGCTGCTTGTCGGCCACGCAAACATGCTCGATCTGCTCATGCTCGAGCTTGCAGAGGCCGAAAAGGAGCAAGAGAGATGGTTCGATCTCTCCGTTCACGGTGCAAACACCGCCTCAGAACAAAACAGACATATCCAGTGGGCCGATATGCCCGTCATCGCCGAACAATCAGAGGATGAGGAGGAGGAGGACGACGACGACTGGAACGGCGAGGCTATCTCTGATACGGATTCAGACGACGATTCGGATTATGACGGGGATGATGCTTTCTTCGTCGATGTCACACCAACGCTCGTCTCGACGAACACCGCTGAAACACTCGGCCGTGCATCCCCCACACAATCTCCAAAGGCCTACGCCGTGCACCACGAGCACGTAGACGACGATGAATCCTTCGAGTTCTCCGAGCCCGAGGAAGACGACGAAGAGGACGTCGCCGGTCTCGCGCTTACAAGAACACATTCCCACTCTCAGCAGCCCCCAGAGCTACTATCAGACTCTGGAGATGATTCTGAAGACGAAATCGGTCCCCTATCACCTCCACAACCCGCATATGACCATTTTCCCGAGACGGAGCCCCATGAAGGGGCTATCCTTGCATCGCGGCTGTACTCACCAACTGCGAAACAACCAACCACAAAACCATCATCGTCTTCGAAATTGCCGGTCTCTCAAGCCGGTCAGTCGGCGTTTCTCGAGGAGGGATACTATATCCCTTCTCAGGCCCGCGACCGTATGATCGAAGCATATTGAGAAAAAAAATTCCCTTTATTACAGTACCATACGCCCCCAAATCGAATACTACAGCCCTCTTACCGATTCTTTTCACTCCAGCATTACAAAAAAAAAAACAACCCATTATTCATTTTTTCAAACAAGCGACGACCTGTTGGTCTTTTGGCGGCGTTATCCATTCCACATTCTTCACGGAGGGAGTTTGTCCTTACAGCCAGCGATCTGGGTCTTTCGATTTCTTCTTGCTCTATATTTTTACCCTGTGAGAGCTTGCTCCGCAGTTCCTCCAATTTTACGTCTTTTTTTTTTTTCCACCCGTCCCAGTCTTATCGAAACGAGATACGATCGAGATAAAAACGACCTGTGCATCATGATCCTGATTGTACTCCCCTTCATATATAATCCCACTTATTTATTATTGAAATCGAGATACCTCATCAGCGTCTGCAGCATTGGATAAAATTGGAGCTTTGGGCATTACCCTTTTTTTTTTTTTTGGTGGGGGGGGGGGGGGGGGGGGGGGGTTTGTATTTATCTTTTTTTTTTTATTCACGTCTCCCGTTCGCTGGCTTCGATGGGTTTATCTATTTACCTTGCAGACTGCTCCCTCCGACATCTATCTACGTCTCTTATCTCATTACAAACACACGCCGCTCTTGAATTATCTGAAAGCAACAGGCAAAAGGAAGCAATTTCCTCCCTTCCGAGCACTTTCTTTGGCTTGGACGGTGGAGATTTGTTGTATCTAACATATCCACCTACCTATGTATACGGGGTATACACATATAGCTGAAATATTGAAAAAAGCAAAAAAATTATAAAAGAATTTCAATCCAGCCTTCTTTGTGATCAAAAGGTATTATCATCTGGCCAACGTCTACCCACGTGGCGACTCGTCTTTCTCCGATGTGTCAGACATAACTTCACAATTCAGCGCTAAAATAAATGGCCTCGGCAGCTGACGAGATGCCTCCAAACATTCACGATAACAGGATCGTTTGCCTTACCAACGTTGGTGTACAGCCGACTATCGAGATAGATCGACATAATATATGCAAAACCGCCTTATCAATCGGCCTTATCATCTTAGACTTGGGGGTTGAATGGTCAGCTCAACGACGTAGTTAGATATAACTCTACGTCCCTTTTTTTTCTTTTTTTTTTTTTTTTTTTTGCCCCCCCCCCCTCTCCTCTCCCCGCCGCCCCGCGTCCTGCTCCAGTAACATCACGACTCCAACAACATTCCAAGGGGCCGGGCAAAACAAAAGAAAAATATCTCGCCTGAAACCATTATTTCAATATGGACTTACCCCAAAATGCTCTTCGGAGGATATCGGACCGGTAAGCTAATTGAGTTTTTGACCCAACTCCCCCAGCCCGATACCAGACGATATAACTCCGGAGCAATTCCATTACTGTTGGTGGGAAAAACTCAAAACAAAGGAGCCCCTTCTCGCTTTTCTTCTCCCCACAGGTTTTACGGTACTGCAAATCAAGTCTCCGTTGGTGATATGTATCAGCTCATGAGCACCATTTTGAAGTCGGGCAACGGTGTTCACATCGTGCATGGTATACGTGTAGCTACCTTGTGGGAGGGCCGCGCGGTTCAGGCAACTGTGGACTTTCGCATGTACTGTACGTACATGCATCCATGGAACTACAAGGGGTGTGTGCCGCTTGAGCATTGCGCGGCATGTAACTCCATCTCGGGCATCCAAAGTATACATACCTCATCCTACGGAGTGCTCCGTGTACACGTATGTATGTACCTGTTAGTTGGCATAGTTAGGCGGGTACGCGGTTTACATACAGATGACGATGGAGACTTGGACACGGCTCTTCCCTGAAACGAATTCGACCAGGCATTGTCAGGAACAGGGGTAAAAAAAAGGTTGGGGATTGCCATCACAGTACGGGATAACACCGAGCGGAAAAAAAAAAAAGAGGCCAGCAAACGAGCTGTTGCAGTGAGAGGTTTCTTGTTTCTTCACTGTATGACGGCATTAACTACATACAAACCCACCCCTCCCCCCCAAAACAACAGTCTTGTCCCTGAGCTTTGCCTCCTGAGTTAAAAGCTAGGAGGTCTGGACTCATCAGCAGGCCCTTCCACTGCCTAGGTTGATGACTATCAACCTTGTGCGTTTGACCAGATATGGCGACATAAGTATCCTTGAGCACGGATAAGGAGTAACATCACAGACTCCCACCCTCATGGCCTGACCTTGGACAACAAGATTCCAGAGTTACCATAATCTCCTCTCATTCCATCGTAGCTAAGTTAATAGTTAAACCGCCAGCTGCAGACCAGACAATTAATAATGCGGATAAAGTAGAGTTTCCCTCGTGCTATTCTCCCCTCACGAACCACCATAAAGTTCCATTTACTCAGAGCGGAGAAAACTCCTCAAAAACACCCCTCACCTTGGAGGAAACAAAATACCGATATTCGTAAAAATAAAAAAAGAAAAAAGAACTCCTGACAGCGCCAGTGAACTTCACCGATTTTCCCGTATAATCGGCATCGGGCTTCAGTTAGTGCATACCCGGAATAAAATACCAACTTCGAACCAAAACACCAAAAGCATTAATAAGTGAACCCCGAACGTGACCAGGCTTTCTGGTGGCCAAACATCCTATAAGCAGCTGTCGTCTATTCGAATCCGAGCTTTTATTACTCGCGCCTTCTTCGTATATCAACGCAACAGTTGCCCCCCTCCAGTGTCATTCGGTATTCTCCACCTTTGGCGGATTGCCGTCGCCCGCTCCATCGTGAGGATCCTGTTTAGACGACGGCTTCGGGGTCTTGATGGTGATCGTGGTCTCAGGCTTGTATTCGCTCGTAGGAGAATGTAAAACGTTAATTTGAGGGACAGGAGTTAGCTCGTCCATAGGATCGCTGGCAAAACTGTGTTCCGACGTCATCGTGCTCATCGGGGTGATCCTTGAACTATCGTCCATGTAATCTTCATCGTCGCCACCAACTTCACCCACAGGCATGCTCCCTGCCTCCGGTAGACCGGTGCCCTGAAGTATGGCGGATGACAAGTTCGGCGACGAGATCTCGGGGTTTGGCATCGTCGTTGTGCTTCTCTGTCCGATGGATTCCGTATCTCCACCAGTGCTTGCTTGACTGGAGATATAATCTCCTGAGGACCGTTTCAAAGCATGCTCTTCATGGAGATCCGTTATGCTACTGGGTGGTGGTCCAATCGCTTCGGCGACCGCAGCGGCTTCTTCGGGCTCCGGCAATCTTGATGTGCTGCTACTTGCGCTGGTTGTGTCGAATAAATGGTCACCCTTGCCCTGACTCAACCGCATGATTTGATTATAACTCCGTCGCGAAGGGTCTGCCAACCTCTTCTGTTTCTTCTTTTCACGCTTCTGGCTTGGCCGAACGACGATAACGGGAATGGGAGATTGCTGAAGACAGTATTTTGAGACCGAGCCAGGAAGGAGGCCCTGCATACCACCGAGGCTGCGGCCTCGTGTTCCGACTATGAGTGCGGCGGGTTCATAGATTTGGATCTATCATGGTTTAGCCAAGAAGATAGCAATCGGTTCTCACTCTAGGACATTCATACCATCCGTTGTATAATGTCTTGAACCTTGCCCACCGCCAATTCCATAACCAGACTAATTGCTTTTTCATCATGGCTATTCTTTGCAATCACTTGCTCGAATAAATTCTCCGCTTCCTTCCTATATCTTCTGCCTTCCGCGCCGGTATCGCTGGCAATCTTCGAGTCCTTCTCGACGACGCGCAAGCAGACAATCTCATCTCCATCGTCTACCAATTCGTCAATGAGCCATTCCAGGGCAAAGTCAGAGTAGTCGTTCTGGTCGGCGCCACACAGGAAGGTTCTGCTTCTCCAAGTGTTCTGGTAGTCTTTATGCTTGTAGTTCAGCGTCAGCGAGAAGTCGGGCGCATCACGGTTGTCGAAAGTGTCAAAGGAGACACCGCGGTTGTAAGAACTGGAGCGTTTATAAGAGGACGTCAGCCCGCCGTCAGATCTCGATATCTCAGAGCTCGTCGAATCTGCGGAATGCATCGCGTGGATGCTTCCCTGGCGAGATTCGCTTTTTGGTTTGGGGATGAGATGGTAGAATTCTGTAGTGTAGAAAAAGTGTGAAAAAAAAAAAAAAAAAAAGGAAAAGAAAAAGAAAAAGAAAATTAGAAGAAAAGGGCCGGATCAAGAGAACTGCAAAAAGTCGACGGGGCCAGAGAGCGGACCAGAAAAGGGCGCATGGAGCTGGGATTCCCGACTGGGGTTGGCGGGGCAAGCAGACTTGGGGCAAACCGTCCGTCCACACACCCCGAGCCGACACCATTGCGGGGTGGAGACCGTCCCAATCCGGGCACAGTCGCCCTTTAGTCACCAACATCTGGTCCCCCCAACGAGACCGTTTGTCATAAAGCCCAGATGGAAGCAAGATACACACTGGAAAGAGGGCAGTGCATAGAACCAGGGTGGACAGGCAAAGTGATGGGATCCGTGTGGGGGAGTCTTACCTAGGCGGTGGTGGCGACGGGATCCTTCGCAGAGTCCGCAATCTATCTTTCGTGGACGCCTGCCCTCGTTCTCTCAGTCGCGCCTCTGATCCCGCAGTGTTGAACTGGATGGAAGGACGACGCTGTGTCCCATCGGGTCCGGAGAGAGAAGAGCTATCGGTCTGCGAGAGGTTCGTCCCGTCGAGGTACGACGACGGTGCTACGTCGGAGAGCAAGGCGGACGAGCTGGTGTCCGGAGAGGTGGGTGGCGAAGAAATCGACGGCATCGGATTAAGTATCACAGCAGCTCTAGCAGTTGCATATCCCAGGTTCATAGAAGCAAGCTGCAAGTTCCTGTCAAATCATCCGGCTAGTTTGAGCATGAGAAGTTACATCACAGGTGTGGCTGAGTCGGAAAGCCAGAAAAACTGAGTAAAACACAACCAGAAGTTACCACAGAGGGGGGGAAGGGCAAGGAATTTGCGTGTGCTCTGGACACACAGGGAGCCGTGAACTCACTTGTTCGTGTTCTTTCTGCTGTATAGCACCTGGAGGGAGAGTGAAAAGAGACACCAGCGCAGGTTCAAGTGGGCAGGCTGTATTTAAAAGGGCAAAGAAGAAACAGTGCAGCTGTGAGAAGTCAAGCACGTTGACCTGTTGACTAGTCCGGTCGCTGCGGCGTCGGGTGAACTAATCCACACCAAAGGTAAATCTATAAGGCCAGTTTCCGGGTCCCAACCCTCTAGTTTACTGCAGAAACTTTCTTGTACAATAAACTTGTCTTGCCTGAGTGCACTTGTGATTGCGCTGCATAAAACCTTTAATTAAAAAAGAGCTGCTTGGTGGCACGGATTTGGTGACTGGCGGGCTCCCGCTGGGCGCGCCGGCGAGCTAGGCTGTTAGCTCGACACTAGTTGCACCCTCAGCGCTGCCCTACGCATGCTAACGCCACACCAAGATCACATGGTGGTGATCGGAGATCGATGCTGGTTAACTATGCCCTGTGCAGAGAACGCTCTCATTTTTATCTCTCAAATATGCTCTGGCACTTGGGCCTGGGCACCGGAGCAGTGGACGAATCTAGACTGCTTTGGTCCCCTGGCCTCTGAGAAAACTCAAATCAGTTGTGGACGAGGTTGGCGTCAATCACCCATGTCGATTAAAAAGTCGTCCGACACATTGCTGCAGTAATTAAATTATTGTCACCAAATTGAGCAGCAGTCAGCATTTCCAGCTTACTGCCATTTGCTCTCTCTTTATCAATGTTGAGCAAAAAAGTAAACGTAATTCATTGTTTTTTACCCAGCCATACCAACCATGTTCCATAAACCCGACCTCCAAAACTTAAGGCTGAAAGTGCGAGAAAGGAGCTCAATAATTTCACCCTATAAGAGGCTAGCTAATGGGTGCACCTCACGGTTTGCGATATTGGGAATAGAACTCGCTGCTATTCCAGCAAAGGAAAAATTTTCTCCTGCTTTCAACACCCAAAAACGCTCTGAGGTCAGCAAGCCTCCTCATATGCTCTTCAATATCTGTTTGGCCAGCTTCCAGATAAATGGAAACGCATAGGAATTCTAGACGCTTTTCTCAAGTTTCTATAGTCATAATGGCCGATAAGGGGCTTTATCTCTGGTAATGTACACTTCGCCAATGAGGACGGCACAGCCGACGACCATCGAGATAGCGATAATGGGAAGATTCACTCGAGCAAAGTCGAGTCGCCGGACGTGAATGTGCTTTCTGGAAAGAATATCCCGCCAGAGGAGCCCGGCTAGCGATGCGCTGAATGCCGTGCTAAATGCACCATAGTTAACGCCAATTGCCATGCTGTACACTGTTGCCCAGAATGTCCGATCGCTGATCGGGATGCCACTGGCGCGGTGCATATCTTGCCACGCCTGGATTACGCGGGAGAGAAGGATGGTAGTACCAATATTCGTGCCGGCAAACTAGAAATAGGCGCAATAGATTAGTGGAATATGCATGATAAATGTCTTCTGTGACAGCATATGAGGTGTGGAAGCTCACATTGCAGAGTAAAACAGAGAGAAAGCCCATGCCACCGACGCTACCGATAGTCCCAGTCTTGTCCACCCAACGGTCCCATCTGTAAGCGAATACCGACACCCAGCCTTTGGTAACCAACGCTTGCACGAGCACAAACATGCAGAAGCTAAAAGGCACCAGCGCAAATGGCAGATGCGCCAGGACGGCCATGACTGTAGGGAATGTCTCTTGCAACCATCTGTACGCATCAGCGACGAGTGATACGAGAGTTGTCGGTCGGCCACTCTCACGTAAAAGCGCTGCTCCACAAGAAACTTGCATGGGATGCATCTGCTTTTCCTTATCCGCCTTCATATTGGACATCATTCCCGACAGCCCATGTGGTAGACGACTGGGGTCTAGATGGATCAATTCCGACTTCTCATCCATGGAGCCCATAGCGCTGGTGGGTTGTTGGATGTTGTGGGAATCTCCTGTTATGGACTCCTGGTTCCATGACTTAAACGGACGTGGTGACGATGCAGAGAGATAGCTATCGTCTTTGGAGGTAATATGCGCCAGAGCTGGTCTCGACAGGAAAACAGGATATGGTGGCCTTCTTCCATTATCACTAACAGCCAGCGTTGTCTGGTTGTTTGTATTTGCGTCGATACTCCGATTACCAGCGTTTGTTTGGCTTTGTAGTTGAGATGGTAGTGAAAGCGCCTGTTCTAGTGCAGATTTGTATGCTATAGCGTTTTGCACGCCTTGTTCCGGATGCACTTGTTTCTGTTCCTGCTTCTCTCCGATTGTTCGTTCGGCTCCACCATGTTCAACTTCCTGCCGATCCCTGCGAGCGATCTCACGCGTCTCATGTCTATGATACCAGCCCCAAGCGATGTCCCAGCAAAACATGACGAAAGCAGCTGGCAAGGTCACCCAAAATACCGGATATTCACTGCCACTCTGGTTCACAGTGTTGATTGTCAGCACGGTGATAAGTGTCGCAGCCATGATGACAGCACTAAAAGCCGCACCTCCTTTGTCCAGGAAAGGATTCATTATCTCCTCAAGAGAGAGGAGGTTGCTTTGTTCATCGTCCACCACACTATTCTGCTGTTTCCCAGACTTCCCCCGAGTGTAAGGAATGTTGGGATTTACGGGCTTCTTGGCCTTCGCTTCTTCGGAGAGCTCATGCATCTTGATCGACGACGGGATGAGTGATTCGTCCGCGAACACCACGTAGAGCAAGAAAGGGAACAGAATTGCAGCCGTGATAACGACAGGAACGACCATGTTTGCAGTGTATTTGAGGAACTTGACATTGAAAGCCCCAGCAAGCACGAGATTAGTCGGATTGGAAGAGACCAGAATGGCTGACGCAATGTTGGCCACAGCGAACTGGGTGTAGATCCATGCTCTTGGATGGACAATGTTGCTCGAGGCTCGGGTCATGTAGGCGAGAAACGGGGTGCCGGATAAGATAATTGGGTCGTTCCCAATAAAAGTGCCCAGGCCAAAGAAGAAAGAATAGAGGTAAAAGAAGAGCCTGTGTCCAGCCTTCCCTCCTTTTTGGAGCACCTTGAACGCCAAGTACCTGATGAATCCTGAGGCGTCGATGGACATAGCAATATATGCTAAAGTGATGAAGAATATCATGATATCGATTGGAGAGATATTATTCGCTCCGATTGTGCCATCGTGCACTTCGTCTCGGCCAATTGCTCCAATGGCAAGCAGGAGGAGATCCGCTATCAAAGGTGCTGTTACAAAGTTCAGGGGAAAGTTTAGTCGTAGGAAGTGTCCAGCTTTTCCATCCAGGTCATTCTCGGCATCATTTTGAGAACGGTCTTCCTTTGGAGGTATTACTCGCAAGGCACTTAGAGTATCTCGGACTGCGTTAGAAACAGGTCGCGGTACATAGATCGGGATACGAAACGGAAACAAAACAATAATATCTGTGCGGGAAGCATTAATCGCGGGGAACATGGTTCCAAGCATATACTGCACTTACTTGTAAAGATGAAAACAATGAGGGTGACGATTGATCGCCAATCTTTAATCTGACTAGTATCTAGACCTGGCATTTTGGGCCACCTCTCTGTCACAGAGACATCACGACTGATCTAGCTTGGTCAATGCCTAAATCTTTCAAGAGATGATAAACCTGCTGCTGTGGCCAATCTAGTAACTCCTAGGAAAGGATTTTGGGCCAGCTCTCCAAGTTGTAAATGGTGAGGATCCTAGTCCCTCAACCAAGCTCAGCAATATTCTGCCTCATCAGGCACTGTTCCGAATCACAACCTCTTCGGGCCATGGTTAAGAATTTTGGTCACCTAGTATGTGCTCTTGAAAGAAACATAACTAGCTTTTCCTCAATTTGCCAATTGCCCAACTCGTATCAGAAGTGTGCTTTGCCGACAGCCGGCATTATTGTGGGTCTGGTCAACCCCATATGCAAGTTAGCTAAGTTGATGAGCCCAAGACCGCCGGGTGATGTGGAAACGAAATTCGGTACGGAGTGAAGAGTTAAAAGTTTTTTTTGGGGGGGTTGGTTATATAAGCAGTTAATCGGTTGAACTTACAACGGGATCCAATACCCGAGGCTTTACAAACCCCACTAAAATGGTCCTCGCTAATCTAGTATAATGCCAAGACCTGATTATATCAGCGGATCAAATCGCGCCCTTGTTGCGCCTGCTTCAATTGCCCTTTTTGGACCATAAACACCTCCTTGTCTCTTCAGTTACTGATTGTTGTTTGGCTAGAGGATTGTTGGCCGGACGAAATTTTATGGAATACGCCCTTTGGTTCATCTTCAGTACTGAAGTTGTTATAGCACAGTTGACCCTGCTATTCACAATCTCCATATCTAACTATTCCTCTGTGCAAGTGCCTTTGGCGCTTGTTGCACTGCTCAGTCTCTGCTTGATCTTCCCAGCAAAGCCCCTGTTGTACCTGGGAATAGAGTGTTCATGTAAAGCCTATCAGGTGTATCTCGCAAAATGGCAGCGCCCCTTGACAGTGGAAGCAGCGCTATCCCCCCGAAATCTTCTGAAAGCTTGGAGAAATCCCAGACAAATGCTCCTAACACAGCACCCGATGACTGGGATTCTGAGAGAAGATTGGTCCTAGCTCTAGCGCAGCTACAGGAAATGGAAACCAAGGTTGGTATATACTCGCTGACGACCTTCAACCCCACCTTATGTCACATCCTAAATATGGGCCCCTTCTTTCTTTTTCTTTGCTACGTTCTCTGTATTGATGAGCATTAGATCCAAAAACTTCGAACCCTTGTTCCTACTCGGCTATGGTCTCCATTGGTCCCCGTGATTGCCGAAAAGAAGGGAGACATCCGCCTTCCGAGGCCAAAATCTCCGCAGGAACTGTTTGATCAATTGGGCCAGGCTGCACGCGAGGGAAATGAAGAGATAGAGGCGTTTAGAGCTGCGTGGCGGAGCCCGGAGATGCAGGCAACCTGGGATCACGTTAACGGAAAGATCAAGGAGAGCGGCGGAAACTATCCACGAGGTATAGGGATGTGGCAACGAGATTATAATGTAATTCTCAAGCAACTTGACGCAGAAGTGGAAAACAAGAAAGAGGAGGAAGAGAGAAAAGAGCGTGAAGAAGAAGAAATGAAACTCCTTGCGTCGATCGGCAATGGTTGGAGAGGTATTGTCGAGTCCTTCGCCACTAACGAAGCGTCCGGTCTGGCCATTAAAGTCATCCCATCCCCTGATAATACTGGCCAATTTTCCATACTGCTACGAAATGTGTCATTGTTTTTCTTCGTTCAGCAGGTTAACGATATTGACGGTCAGCGAGTCCAAGAGTGGCGTGTTACTATGGAACCCCGAGCACATGCAACAAAGCTAGGGCAGGACATATTCGATTGCATTCAATCTCGGGATAGAAAATGGGATTTGAAATATCTTCTGGTAAGTTTCGAATGCTCATTGTGATGGTGACTTTTGTTAAATTGTACACTGCAGAATTTTATTTCGTCCTATTCCAACATCAAGGCGGCCCCATGCATCGGTTGCAATAGTTTGATCGACAGCAAGGCTCAACTACCAGTTATTCGGAAGCCCAAATTGGTGAGATCCTCAGAATCTGGTAGCGTATTCGTATGGGAGCCCTTCCATCCTGCTTGTGTCTGAGCGTCCCGCGCTTCTTCCAACTCGACTATCGTCGGCGATCCTGGTCAAATCCACCAATGTTCCAAGGTCGGATGCAAAGCCCTCACTCCATGTGCGTCCCAGAATGCCAAGGGTTCTCTGACATATGCGAGCGTTTGGTCATCTGGATAACATACGTAACTCCAAGTGGCGGCATCTGGAATTTTGTATTTTCTAGTTCTAAAATCATATCTTTGCAGACCCCGGTCACAGCATTTGAAAAGCGGTGAGAGTGTTGAATCGTCGCTGTCGACTCCATAAATATCCTGCCAGCGAGCCCAGCGTGGCGTTCTCGGACCCTTTTTAGGGCCATCGAGGTTTCCCACGAATATGTCCGGCCCTTTGTTCGTAAGAACGTCTTTAAAGCGTCTTCCAAATGGCCATTTCAGTGGATTCCCTGGCAAAGGATCTTTGGGCCAGATCCAGCCTTTCTGTCTCTTCATTATTTCTGTGAGAACTCAGTATGCGAAAATATAGGGTTTAACGTGTTATGGGTTTGATGGGTTTTGAAGATTTCATAGCTTTTCACAGCCAATGCATATCATGGATATGAAAGATTCAGAACTTCTCCATTATGAGAATTACAGAATCCCAGATGCATTCTCAAATAGCCTTTTGTATCCGTTCACCTGATTTCATGGATGCATTCTGTGGTTTGTGGTTCTATGTTTACATTTGATTTTCTTGTTTAAGCAATCGTCAAACTTCAAAGAGGACAAACATATTTGAGCTCGTGAATTAATCCATCCAGGGACATGTTTACCACTCAAAATGTCTTGAGATGCTACTGTGATAATTTTGGGTGCACTAGACAAACAATGTCAGGGGGTTTGAACGAAGAAATGATCGTGGCCCAATTATCCAAATGTGCTAGATGACTATTAGGCCTGCAACTATTGTATGGGTGTTGGACCCTCAAAGAAACACGAGTTTGAACAGAGACAGCAAAATTTTTGTTGTCACAGCTATGGTAGAGGTAGTCGGGGGCTTAGTGGCCACTTTATTTACGAGTTCATCCGTCGGAGGCACCTTTACGGAGCGGGATTCGCTTGGTATTGATGCGAGCAACAAGCTGCAGTCCTCCGTGGCACCTTGTTTGCTTTCAATGGATGTAGATATACCCTTTCGTGTGTAACGCTTCTCTAACTTCTCTCGGGATAAGTATCGACACCTTGCCTTTGCCCAGAAACTACGGGTAAAACTTGCTCCAAAAGTATCGCTGATGTGAAGACCAATTGGTGCTTTACCCAAGAACTGGATGGAGGACCAGGGCTAGACTCCGGGCTTAAGAATGACGTGCCTTGAGATAGATATGAGTTGACAATAGCTGATAGACGCTCGCAAATTCGGGTCCCGCTGCTTTCGGTTCGGAAGCAGGGGAATTGGTTTGCTTGACTTCCACCATAGAGATTTGGGGTAATATGTTCAGGTTGGGAAGAATGAAGTAAATGTAAATTTCTTGGTGAACAACTCCAAGTCAAATCAACGTATCTTGCTTGACCTTGCTGCACATCTTTCCAGATGGTGGGAGGTATGCTTGATGCAGAGAGCAGGAACCGATGATTGTTACGATGCCGGAACCTGTAGAGGTCGTACTACCCGATTTTAGTTACCAAGTACACCTGAGACTCCCTTCGAGATCGCAAGCGAAGTCCAAGCAACAATAGCAGAGCAAAGACCGATTATATCACACACCCATATAGAAGTGCAAGGTAGATTAACCAATGCAGACATTATATTTTTGCCCTTTGGTGACATAGCCGCTTAAAAGCAGGAAAGAAATGAGATCTTTGAGTCAAGGGAATCCCCAAGTAACTCCGTAGAAACATGAATAAGTTTCCTAAACAAATATGCTTTCCAAGAGTGCCCAGGTACAAACAAGAGATGAAGGGGGGAAAAAAGGATTATGCTGTAAATGTGAACACACTGGACCCTCAAATTGCACAGGAAGTGCCAAGAACATTCATCACGGCGATTATTATATGGTAAGCAAACGAAAGGTGGAACGAAAGCAGTTCAAACATAAGATGGTAAAGTGTGCATTAGAAAAGCAAAATGTATCATTAACAAGAATATAATTGAAAAGAAAACTTTGACGCCTATTTTTTAGCGAAAAGAAATGGATGGAGATTTCAAGCAAATAAACCGAAGCCACTAGCAAACCAGCTAAACGAGCAAATGGTAATGACGATCATTCCGAACATAAAAAAGAAAGCCTGTTGCTGGGTTTCAGATACGGCAGCATTATTGAGACAAGTTACACATTCAGATTCTGTTGTGACATGCTAATTAGTATTCCTTTTTGTCCAAGGAGAGGAGTGAATGATGTGGAGGGCTAACATACTGCTTAGAGGAGTATACTCTTGGGGTTTGTACACCCCAAACCTGAACGTGGGTTGAGCTCCTAGCTGACCAGGACCGGGGAGGTCCGATGGGCCAACCTCGACATCGTAGACGAGGAGAGTGTAGATTTCAGTCAAGAGAGGAACATCCGTTTTGTTGGTGTTCCAAGTCACCATACCGGTCTCCGCAAAACTTTGATTAGCCGCGATTGTGTAGGCGTGCTTGTTCCTGCTGCAATATGCCACGACATCGACGGCAGATGGAGTGATCTTAACGGATGTATAGTTCCACGCGAACGTAGCGTAGTCACCAATCTTGATGTAAGTGCTACCGTCGAGGGGTGCTGGGGTTATCAACTTGATGCCGCCAGGTGGAAGGCGCGGGTCGACAGAGGTGACTTTGGGCTTAGTGGTCTTTGTTCCCGTAGATTTGGCGTCGGTCCCGGTCTCAGCATCAGTCTTGGTGCCAGTCTCTGATGGAGAGTCTGTGTTAGTTCCCGTGCGTTCAGGAGTGCGTGTGTTGGTCCCTGTGGGCTCAGTTGACCCGGTCGGCTCGGGGGCTTCTGTGATTGTTTCTAATAATGGTCAGTAAGGGGTATGCGGACGCGCTAACACACGAGCCTTCATGTCAATGTCACTCAACTAACCTGAATCCTGCCGTTTCGCATATCTTCTTTCCGGAGGATAAGAAGCTGCAACAGACGACACCAACACCAGGAGCGAGCATATTAACAATATAAAGCTGAAGGTTCTCATTTTGCTAGTGACCGATATCGCCCAAAACTGAGCACAAGGTTGTGGCTCGTAGCAACGGCTGGTAAACCTCCTTTCAACCGTTCCTAACTATTACTTGTCTCGCCAACCCAGGTAAGAATACTGTCGTGGGAGCTTGTCAACTGCTGGCCGTGGATGTGGTAGGTTTTGAGACAGACTCCTGATAAGCAACTCGAGGCTTCGGGGCCAAAATTTCACTAAAAATAAGGCTAATCCTAGCTAGAATCCGTTGCGATAGTATAGCGGAAGAGAATCGACAATCTTTCCAACTTTTCCTCAAGTCGTTGCCGTGTAAGCGGAGAGGGGCGAACGTCCTTGGGCAAGTGGCTGACGTCGAAGATCCACAGCGGACACAGCGAGCGAATGTACAAAGGGAAGAGGACGGTAAGACAAATTCCTCTCTTTCCCCCAGTGACAGATAAAACGAGCGATCTCAGCGGAAAAAGAGTGTACAGCTGAGGAGAGAGAGTGTGTTTCTGTTGATGGAAAAAGAGTCGTCACGGGTGAGACATCAGACATCCATTACGGGGCAATACAACTAAACCAGCCACAGGCCCTGTAAATTACAAGATATTATGCTATCAAGGCCTGGCGCTCCGAGTTTTAGCGCTTCTGGTTTGTTTCACTCTTCGGCTGCAGTTCACTTGAACAACTGTCTTGCTGAGGATCTGATGATGATCCGGCATTGTTTCATACATTATCCTTGCTGTCATGTATTCCGTACCACAGCGTTCATATAAGCCGTGAGAGCACACCTCAACTTAGGAGACCCAAAAATGTTGTCTGCCAGCAAGCCGTCTCCCAGAACATCATCCCGATCAGACATTTTCCACCCTCAAATTTGTCATCCAACAGGAGCTGGGATATGACGTCTCGTTTCGAGCACTGGGTACCCAGAAGAGTTGGGGAAGACCGTGCCACCAATCGCATACTAATCAGCAGATCAACTGTGAGCGTTTACCGGCCTGGCAAGAAGGGGACTCCAAGTCGCTAGGGTGCATTCCTTTGGGGAAATTCTTACCTAGCCATCCACGAAACTCATCTTCGTCTCGCCATAACAGCCGGTCACCATCAAGGAAGAACCCGTCGGTTGTGTCGCCGGCCCTGATCTGGACATTTGCCCATTCTATTTCAAATCATAAGCGACTTGAACTGACCTTTCAAATACGCCATATTTCGGGGAAATTTAATGCAGATAGCTTACGAGAATATTTCGGCGCGGTCAAAACCATTCCCCATGATATTTCCGACTCACTGCTAATCATTTGATTTGACCCGCTCAAGAATCCCTTGCTTGCACGCTCCACGTCCGGAACAAAAACCGCATCCGAGGCACCAGCTTGGATGTGATATGAAGACAGATATTGGCCGTTGGAGTCGCGGATATAATACTCCCTTGCCCCTTCCGGTGCTGGCAAAGCGGCGGATAGCATGGACAAGAGGAGAAGTAGAAAGATCTGTGCGAACATGGCGACGAATAGTGAATTTGCAGGGGATCTGGCAGAGATGCGTGGATAACTAAGTGGATACGAGTGCGTGACTGCTCTAAGGCGTAGAGGAGAGAAGTTTCCTTTCAGCGAAGATGGTGACTGCAGCACCTTTATATAAAATCCAAGGCAAACATACAAACTAGTCTCGACGGCATGCCAGATTGGCGACCCCAGATTGAGTTTGTGATGCGGAGCGACTTTGTTAGCTGCCACTGTTGGAGTACTCCGTACTTCCAGCGGGGTTGATCATACGTACAGCGTGTATATGTACGCAACCGCGACATGTAAAACACCTACGGACTGTCCAAGGAAGCACAAGGGTCTCAGCTGAATCATGGTGTAACAGCTCATTTCAAGATTTCGCGTGAGGTCGACTCAAGATGCTCGAGTGAGATTATCGGATACCTGCGGTATCAGGGTATTCTCAATTTGACTGAACGCATGTCTACACATTTATATGCATGTACTCAGTACGTATGTATGTATATACACTTCACAATGTAATGGTTTCACCCATGCAGAACGCTCTATTTCCTTGCATACTCGGGCTTCAGCACCCATTTTCCTCTTCCTTGCCGACCAGTCTTTTCGAGAACCGCAATCGTCCTTAGGATTTCCTTGAACTCGGCCGTTGCCCTCGGCGAATCGCAGAATCTATTAAAATGATCGACCAACATCTGTGTATACACCGCTCCTCCTTGGGCAGTGATGTAGTCCCGGATCATGACCATGAAATCTTTACCTCGAGGGGTGCTTGTACCCGATCGCCCTGGACTGTTTCGTCCGGAAGATGAATGTTGTCCGGTGGTACGATTGGTCAGGTTTGCGATGATGCTGGCGGATGACGGACCGTGCATTGTCCTGCGTGCCACACTGCCACCTCCGCCTGCGTAGACTGGCATTGTTCCCCGCGGCGCAGTAGGATCTACTGGTCGACCTGCAGTGCCGAATTGGCCGGTCCATGTAGGAGTTCCCACTGGCACGGTTCTGGCAACCTCTTGAGCTTTAAGGAGTTCTTTTGCTGCTTCTGCGGCAACACGTTTGGCTTCCGCTTCGATTATTTTGGGGTCGGCTTTGACACTGCGCTTTCTGCCATTGAAGATTTGTTCGTGTTCGAGAGCAGAGTGGACGCCTGAACGCGTGAAGATGGTCTCCATTAAGCGTGCATCCGAATTTGATGCAGCTGTCCGCTTAGTCTCCCCGTCGGTTTCAGTCGGTGTCCCGGTAGCCGACTGATATTGTTCTAAAGCTGCCACACCAGTAACCTTGCTAATTTTATCTTTCTCTTTGCGCTCTTCTTCTACCTTTGATTCTTTGGTGTCTTTTTCGTGCTTGCTATTCTCTTGGAATGTGACATCGGCTTCTTGGAACATCTTACTAGTCTCAGTAGGACCGTTGTCACCAAGGGTAAACAAGTCGTGAAGGTCGCTCATTTGGAATGTCTGACGCTGCTTGGGATCTTTTAAGATCTTATTCGTCAGGAATTGCTTGAATATCTGTCGGTGATATATCTTCTCCTCGATAGTCCCAGCAGTCATCAGCCTATATATTGTTACGTCGCGCTTCTGGCCCAATCTCCATGCTCTTTCGCGTGCTTGCAAATCAGTTGAAGGGTTCCAATCAGGATCGTAAATGATGACCCTGTCTGCGCCTGTTAGATTGACACCAAGCCCTCCAACTTTTGTAGTCAACAAAAACACATGGATATCAGGGTCATTGTTAAATTCATCCACCATTCCTTGACGAACTTTTATGGGAGTATTGCCATCCATACGTCGGTAATTAAATCCAGTCAATGATTTGATAAACTTCTCTAGGATATCCAGCATAATACGATGCTGAGCAAAGAGAAGGGTCTTGTGACCGGTATCTCTCCATAGCTCAAGCAGAGCTTTCACAACCTGCATTTTGCCAGATTTGGCACTATTTCCATAATTGTAGTTGGCTTTCTGGGATAAGGTTTTGTGCTCAGGGAGATCAGGGTGATTGCAAATTTTGCGGAGGATGTCAACACCGAACAGGACATCTCTCCGTCCTCTCATAATAGCCGACATCTCGTTGGAACTGAGAAAGGCTTCGTAAGCGGCTCTTTGCAGCTTCGTAAGTTTGCAAAAGAGTACTTGCTCTGTTTTCTTTGGCAGATCTGCTGCAACATCGATTTTAAAGCGCTGAAGGAGATAGGGACTGATTGCATCTTTGAGGGTCTCTGCACATTTAGCTGCCGTCTGCACCTGCAAATTTGATGCATTGGCATACCCTCCCGCCCGGATAGGAAACTCAAACTGGTTACGGAAATTCACCAACGTCCCTAATCTCATCGGGAAAACAAAGTCAAATAGCGACCAGAGTTCAGTCAAGTTGTTTTGCATCGGGGTTCCAGAGAGTATAAGTCGGTGAGGTGTGCGTAGTTCTTTACAATGTATTGTAATTGCTGTGTCCGGATTGCGAATTTTATGACCTTCGTCAAGGATCGCGCAGCCCCAATCAACGGGGATCAATAGAGATGTGTAGGTTTGCAGACCCGCATAGGTGGTTACAAGGACATGGCCGTCCTCAAGAACGCGCTTCAATATTCTTTTCGCTGCCTTTTGACCGCCCGACATCCGCGTTGGGCGATAAGGGTCCCAGATTTCAGAAGTTAACGTATCCTCTGCACGGCTTTCCTTTTTGATGTTGATCATACCACTTCCAGAAGTATGCAAAATTGAGACGCGTAGTGGAGGCCACCAACGGTGGAACTCATTTACCCATTGCTTCATCACCGTTGGTGGGCAGACAACGATTATAGGGGCGTCGAGTTTCTTGCTGTAGTGCAGTCCGGCAAGAAAAGCGATTACCTGGATAGTCTTTCCCAGGCCCATTTCGTCGCCGATGATTCCACCGACACGCTGTTGGTACAGTTCCCAGAGCCACTGGACACCTGTTTTCTGGTAGTCGAAAAGATACGGATAAATGTCACCCGGTATTCGATATCCACCATCCAGCACTGAATCAGGGACCTTTGGATGCGGTAAGAACCACTCGTCGGCGGAGTCCTCTTGATCAGGATCCCTGACATCCTCTTCATGGCCAGATCGCGCCCGATTTCGAGCTTCAGACCTTCGTGAGACCCAGTCATGGAGGCGAGTCTGGTAGACTTTCTCGTTCCCGTCATCCACTCCGTGAAGGTCTTCCACGACACTTTTCGTACTTTTAGCCGGTTTTGTCTTTATGGGCCTCGTTGTTGACATGTCCGACGATTCTCCCCATTCTTCCTCGGTGGATTCCGCCAATGGCCCGGAATCGATGTATTCGTCGTCGGATTCCAAGGCAGGCAATCTCGACGTCCTAGATCTTGACCTCGTAAGGTTGGCGTCACTGCCATCCGCAGGGATATCATTGATCAATCGTCGACGTTTTTGCGGGCGGGGTCCCACAATTTCACGGGTTTCACTATCAGTCAGTTCGTCATAGTCAAAACCGGGGCGAAGAAGGTGCCGGTGAGATGCGGCCTGCTGACCACCCAAATCCTTAATCGCCAGCTCTTCCTCTTTCTCTTCTTCTGCGTCGATAAGAGCATCTTGCAAAGATGTTAAGGTCTCTCGATGGCCGCCTCCAAGCTTAGAGAATGGAGTGATTTTCCCAGTGCGGATAAGGTAGTCTCTCCTAGTCTCATTTGGTAACCTTCCTGCTCCGAATGCCTGGGCTGTGTCTTCGATCCCTTGCTGCCTTTCGTAGATCCGTTGTTGTATCTGTTCGATGTCTAGCTCAAGAGCAGATATTTTAGACTCAAGATTTTGGAGCTCAGCGTTTATACGAACTCGAGCGGCTGTGCCGATTGGATGGGAGAGGCGCTGGTGCAGCCTGAGAATGTGGTCTTCAACCTTTCTAGATCGCGTTGTCAGCATTAAACCCAGTCATCCCATGGCGATAACGTCAAGACATACAGTTTTTCATTTTTTGTACGATCCAGGCGCTTCTGGTCCCTCTCGTTTGCCTGTTCAGTGAGAAGTCGATCCGCCTGGTAGTTTGGTGACGCGTTAGTTCTAGCCTCAAGCCCTGGGTAAAGGATGATGGCACACCTGACGTCCGATGTCTCTTTCCAGGTCGTTTTGATCTCTGACAGCGGCGTCCAGCGCTCTTAGTCGGCTCGATTCGTCTCCGGTCAAAATAAGTTCTTGGTAATCTTCTTTCGGACCGTCAGGTGTCTCATCTCTTTCTGGGGCATTTGACCCCTTAGTCTCTTTGGATTCGGTCCCCGCCATAATGTCTTGCGATTCGATGCTCGAGCAAGTCCGAAAGCACAACATAACGCAAGCAGGACCTTACTGTAGCATGGGAAATGCGAAAACAGAATACAAGTTAATTATTTTGGGCTCTATCAACTCAGAATGCCATGGCTTTAGCAAAGCAAGGTCGCTGGGACAAATCTTTGCAATTTTACCTGCAGTGAATGCACCCAAAGCAGGTCTCTCAAGATGCTGGTGTGGCAAGCATGAGGCTTTCTCAAGGTATGAAGACAAGAGTTCAATCAACATTGTTAGCTTTACATAACTGGGTGTCGCAGAAGTTCCAGAAACGTCACCAGCACTTCTGGAATGCTGAGGATGCTGTGGTCTGAACTTGATCTGTTGCAGTTAACTGATGGATGCACCACGCCGGCAACCTTCCTGGAAGGGCGCGATCCAGATGGAAGCCTAGGCATGTGGCGCCATCCCGTGCACTAGCCCGTTATCGGCTAACTACATAAAGAGTGAGTGGCTGTGCTGCTGAATAATCAACGTCTTTCCCGTGCTTCGGCGTGGCTCGCCTGAGCTTCCCCCTGCAGTCCTCTTGTCTGGAATGCGGGAATTTGATATCTGTGACCCTTGATCAGATGCTGGCAGTCCTTTTCTGACCTGCATACAGAGTGCTGCGCCTCAGCTCTGTAAACAATCTCCTTCCTCGTAGTTATGTTGGAATATGCATAGTTTAGGTAATTACCAGACAATGCACATGATCGATAAGAGCAGCATCCATATGCACCCATGCTTAGTTCACTCAATGCCCATCTGCGGTTGAGAGCCAGAGAGTGCGTGCAATAAGGATGCGCTTGCTACTATGGTTGATCAAATCTGACCTTTTACTCTGGACAAGCAAGCAGTGATTCCTAATACCCATTATAATATTTTGCTGGGTTGTGTTGGTCGAGTCATTGTCGTGGGTTGTAGATAGCGGCTTCAGCCCCTCACAGTCGAGAGGCATCACGCAACACATGTAACTACATCTTCAACAGCCTTGGTAAAAAAAATCAATATCTCTAGGAAGTAGTCAAACAACCTAGACCTACTTACTATCTGATCCCAGGAGAATTTCTGCGCCGACTCCAGATACCTGGTTAGTAGATGTGTGTGGTAAGTCCACAGGCGAGCATGGCCTGCTGGGCTGATTGGTGTGACGACGCCGCCATGGGACTTGACTGTATCCAGCAAAACCTTGGCTTTAACTCTCCCCCAGGAGATGACCTAAACCACCCCGACAGCAGGCAAGTTAGTTTCACCTCTGCTCTCAACTTAATCCTCCAGCCCGCACATCAACATCCTGGGGCTTCACCCTCTGGACTTTGTTCCCTTCCGCCCGGGTTTCGTTGTCTGGTTCCACGTCCCTCACCCACCCTGTTGTTGACACATCTGATCTCAGCTCCCATCGTACATAAGGGTCAGTGTCACAGCCGCTAAGAAAGAGTGCTCCTTTGTGCGGCACTTTTCAAGCAGGAAGGCTCTGTGGAGGGTTATCGGTACTGAGAGAATCCAATTGCGGTCTTGTTCTATCGCGGCCACCTTCTCCTACCCCTCCTGATAATGAGCATTTGCAAGGCTCAGTCCGCTTAAGACCCGATCCGAACCTGGGCATGTACACCAGCGCCGCATCTCTCCCTTCCACGACCCGTTGCCTCCTGCGGCCCTCTCGCTTCCTTTTGTAACCTGATTTGCATGATAGCTCTCGAAGCGGTCGGACTTTCTCATCGGTTGACCCCAAGGACGACTTGATTCGCGCTACCATCACACCCAAGGTCAATATCAGACATTATCGGCAGCAGGAAACACTTCGGATACATCATGGATCCGCAGTGGCCTGCTTACTCCGATTCGGCGGGAAGCAGGGCTAATCAATTCGGAAATGGCCATCCGTCGCAAATGTCCCAGAAGTATACAGTTCCTGGGCCCGGAGCCCAAAGTCAGATGCAACAACCGCAGGCTCCGTTGGGTTACACCTATGAAACGTACCAAAGCCCGACCGCTACGAATCCTCCCCCTCTGCCTTCGAATGCCAAATCGGTTTCCATGACCTCGTCGCCCACTGCGACCCCGCTTACGCGGGAGTATATCGACCCGGATACGCCGATGGAAGATGCAGATCCGTATAATAGGTCAAAATATCCCACCAGGTCTAGCCAGCAGAACCGACCCTCTTCTCAATATCTTTCGAGTGAGGAGTCCTCGGTTGCCAGGAAATACTCCCCTATGAACATCACTTCGCCGGCAGTCCCCTATAACGCCAGTCCAAACACTTCGCAAGGTTCATACTCCTTCCAAGCAGGTAATTCGAGCTCGCGACCATCCCCCACAAGGACGAACGCTTTCTCTGCGTCGTCTCAAAATTTCCAGTCCCCATCATGTTCGTCTTGACTCCCCTTGCCCGTCTTGTAAGAGGATGGATAGTGTACTGATGACCTGGCATTTATTAGCTGGTGCTCCATCGAGACCCCAAGCTCCACGATTACCCCCAATGCAAACCACGGATATCAGTCCGGAACAGTACTACCCGCAATCGGCCACCCTCCAACTCCACACGGCATTCGGACAGAACTCAAAAACGCAACCCGCCCGACCGTCGCACTTGAACCAATCGAGCTCCGCCTTGGAAACGTCGGCTAGAAGGGGCCCTGTGCCTAGATTTCAAAAGATCAAGTCCACGCAAGAGCTGAAGCCGAAAGTAAATGCGCAGCCTGCCTTTCGTCGTGCAAATCCCGAGGGGGGGTTCATCAGCGTACGTACCCTTACGTTTATTCATTTACTTTGCGTTCTAATATTTTGGTAGCCTCTCCAAGCTCTCACAACGCATTTACCCGCTACGTACCGAATATGTAACCCAACGTTTAAATACGAGTCGTCCAGGAATCCCCGACGAGTGCTAACAAAGCCCAGCAAGGGAACCAAGAATGATGGCTATGACAATGATGACAGTGACTATATCCTCTATGTCAATGACATTCTTGGCAGTGAGGAGGCAAATCATAAGTGAGTGTTCTCTGGGCAATACAATATGTAGCTGTGGTTAATATAGTATTTCTAGGAACCGGTACCTTATTCTTGATGTGCTTGGACAAGGCACGTTTGGTCAGGTGGTGAAGTGCCAGAACTTGAAGACCCAAGAAGTTGTTGCTGTCAAGGTTGTGAAAAATCGGACAGCATATTTTAATCAGAGCATGATGGAAGTTTCAGTTCTTGACCTGGTAAGATTTTTTAATCAGATGCTTTTTAAACAAATGCTCATGTCGAACAGATCAATAGTAAGCTGGACAAGAACGATGATCACCATCTTTTGCGCCTAAAAGATACCTTCATACATCGACAACATCTATGCCTGGTTTTTGAGCTTCTAAGTGTGAATCTCTATGAACTCATCAAACAAAATCAATTCCGTGGACTTAGCACAACATTAGTTAGGGTTTTTGCGCAGCAACTTCTAAATGGGTTAGCATTACTCAACAAAGCTCGGCTCATTCACTGTGACCTCAAACCAGAAAATATTCTTTTGAAGAAGTGAGTTTAATTTTTATCTGAAGGTGACATTGACCTATTAATGTGCTAACACCATTTCCCAAATGCAGCCTCGAAAGTCCAATCATCAAGATCATAGATTTTGGTTCTGCTTGTGATGAAAGGCAGACAGTCTATACTTATATTCAATCCCGATTTTATCGTTCACCTGAAGTTCTTTTAGGCCTTCCGTAAGTGATTGCCTTGGGATGCCTCAGAGAAACTACGCTAATATATCCATAGATATTCATCTGCTATTGACATGTGGTCATTAGGTTGTATTGTTGTCGAGCTTTTCCTTGGTTTGCCATTATTTCCGGGATCCTCCGAGTACAACCAGGTTTCTAGAATAGTAGAAATGCTGGGCATGCCGCCAACATGGATGATCGAGATGGGAAAGCAAGCCGGCGAATTCTTTGAAAAAACCCAAGATGAATTTGGGAGACGAAGTTATAGGCTTAAAAGCCTTGAACAGTACTCGCGTGAGCACAACACCAAGGAGCAGCCGAGCAAGAGATATTTCCAGTCGAACAACTTGAGTGAAATCATTCGTAACTATGCCATGCCAAGGAAGAATATGAAGCAAGCAGAAATTGATAGAGGTAATATTCTTTGGATAATTGTAGGCATCTGAATCTCTGGCTTACTTTCTATCGTCTAGAGTTGAACAATCGCGTTGCATTTACTGATTTTGTTCGTGGACTATTGACAATCAATCCCCTAGAAAGGTGGTCGCCGCAGCAAGCAAAGTTGCACCCTTTCATTACTCAGCAAAAATTCACACAGCCATTTGTGCCGCCTATGAACTTGAAATCCTCTGTTATCAACAAATCTGTTGCGCCCGGTGTTCAGCAGCAGCAACAAGCCGAGGCCGCTAGCAAACAACGTGCGGCACAAGAGGCACAAGTACACGCACAGGCCCAATCTGCAGCTCAGTCTGCATATGCAATGCAAATGAATCCATATAACCCGGCTTCTCACAGTCAACCTCCGACAGTGTACAACAACATGTACCCTGGTCATCAACAAGGTGCCCCACCCCCTTATCCGGCGCAGCAATCAGGATATGGACACCAGATGGGAATGATGCAAAGTCCTTCTCATATTCCGCAACAACCATATGGAGCTTCCCAGAGCCTTTATGCCCAAGCAACAACGAGAGCTGGACGACAAAGAGCTTCCACTATGGATCAGCAACAGAGTGGTATCCCTCCTGCGATTCAGAGGGTTGCCAGTCATTTAGATCCAAATGCTCCGATTCGCTTGCAACCCAGCCCAGCTTATTATCCTCCACCGGCGGATGGATATTCTGAAGGAAATGCATCTGGGACGCGTCGGAGAGGCAGCCGTGTCGGTGGAAACCATGGTCGGGGTCGAGATTTTATTCGCACCCTCGAAGACGGTGCACTTGGTGATGGATTTGTGGCCCAAAATCAATGGCGATGATATGGATATAACCCCCCATTGTCCAACTTACACATGCGGTGTTGGGGGGTAAACGCATATTTTCACGACTGGCTAGACTCCCGAGGGAGTCGATAGGGGTGGGCATCTGTATTTCTGCCCTACTTTTTTGTTCTATATATATGCGTACTCAAGCCATCCAGGTGTCCCCGTGGGCACGAGTTCCAAAAATGACGGCTCGGTCAGTATAGTGATGAATTGCTATATCGAACGTGGCCGAACGACGAACAAGTTGAAATGATTCCTGGTGGTCGCGTCAAAAAAGAGGAATTTTTGGATAACCCATGAAAACAGAATGATGGGATTTGGATTCGGATTTTGATGTGATGACTCCTTGGATTCCTGTTACTAAAGAATGAATGATGACCTTGATTCTTCAAAGAGATGCAAATATTTTAATCATTTTATGGATATCTTCCCCCTATCCCCCTTCGTTTCTGTTTCTCTGTTTTATCCTCTCAAGCATAGCGTTGGCGTGGTTTTTGTGCTTAGGAAGGACATATATGAGCTTTCACATACATTGCTTCTTGACCGTCTATTTTTTAATACTATCATTTCAGATCTCTTCTGCACTGGGCTTATGACGGTTCTCCACTGGTGAATTCGACAACCTATGTGAACTTAGCCCATGACTTGCCTGTATATGTATGGTGCGAGGGGTTATGTCCCTGGAATATCATCAAGTGATTCAAAAAAAAAAAAAAAAAAAAAAAAAAAAAAAAAAAAAAAAAAAAAAGGAAAAAAGAAAAAATCAGCATACGTTCGCTTTGCAAGCAGTCCTTGATATGAGCTGGACAAAGATGCGTCTCGAAGCATGATGTTGTCTGGGAGATAAGCTTTTATACCTTTCCTATTTAGGTTAGAGACGCTCGCTTAGATTTTCTCAGGGTGAACCATGATTCAACTTTCGCCTTCCAGCCGGATCATCGTGAATTTCTGACAAGGCGAGATTTTTCAAAGAGCCTCATCTACCCCTTGTTGGCCGTTTCATTTTTTTTCGTCACGAAAGCCACGAGCACAGGGTCCCGAGAAATCTTTATCCACCATGTCTTCTCGATTCTTCCACGGTGGAAGCGACAGCGAGAGTAGCTCCTCTGACGAGGAGGAGCTCTACTCCGATCGCGATGAGGAGGAAGTCTCTGACGAGGAGGAGGAGAGTACTAGCGAAGAAGAGTCTTCTGAGGAAGAGTCCGATGATGAGGCCGGATTAACCGGAGCGAAGCAATACCTCAGAGGTGCGGCCGATCTTGATGAGAGTGATGAGGAAGAAGACCGGGTCACGATCGTCAAGAGTGCGAAGGATAAGCGGTTAGAGGAGTTGGAGGGAACGATGAAGTTGATTGAGAATGCGGAGAAGATCAATGATTGGGCTGTGATCTCAACAGGTGCGGTGCTCGATTGTCTGCAGGGTGATTCGATGTGGATGATGTTTCGATGCTAACTGCCCTTTTTGTTGTAGAATTCGATAAGTTGAACCGACAAGTTGCAAAGATCATCCAAGCAGGCCCGACGCCTAAGATATACATCAAGGCCATCGCTGACTTGGAGGATTTTGTGAATGAGACCGTTGTTAAGCAGAAGACAACTACGAAAAAGATGAACGCAAGCAATGCCAAAGGATTCAATACCGTTAAGCAGCGTATCAAGAAGAACAATAAAGACTACACCGCAGAGATTGAAAAGTACCGCGAGAACAAGGATGAATACCTTGAGGAGGAGGAAGAGCAAGAGACTGTGATCGTAGAGAAGAAGGCTCGAACCATTCGAATTGAGGATACACTAGCTCAGAGTGATGAAGGCTTCTCAACTGTCGGTCGTGGAGGTCGCACACTTCAATATACTCCAGAGAGTATTTTGAAACATCTGAGGGTGATCGTGGAGTCTCGAGGAAAGAAAAATACGGATCGAATTGAACAAATCAAGGTAATGGAGAAGCTGCTCGAGGTCGCCTCATCACCATACCACACCATCAGAATTCTCTTAACCTTAATTTCGACCCGCTTCGATCTAGCAACGTCCTCGCTCTCCAATTACATGTCCACCGAACAGTGGAAGCTCGCCGAGAATGAAATCTCGACGTTGATTTCCACGCTAGAGGAGCATCCTCAGTTCGTCGTCACCGAAGGTGCGGAAGAGTGGGAGGACGATGAGAAGCTTCCCCAGGTCGCTCCTGGTGAAGTGCTTAAGGTACCTGGGAGCGTCGTTTCGTTCGTCGAAAGATTAGACGATGAGCTTATTCGATCCTTGCAACACATCGACCCCCACACAGCGGAATACATCGAGAGACTCGGCGATGAGCAACTCCTATACAACAACATTGTCCGAGTTCTCCTTTACGTCGAGGGTCTTAACCAGGTTGAAAAGTCCGAGCCTCGTCAGGACAGTGTGAACAGAGTCCTGATGAGACGGCTGGAGCATCTGTACTTCAAGCCGTCACAAGTCGTGACAATCTTGGAGGACAACACATGGAAAGACCTTCCAGAGAAACTCAGCTCATCCATAACTCCCCGTGGCATGAAATCCGATGTTTCACTCTTGGTGCAAACAATATGCAACTACCTGTTCCAGTATAGCGACGGTATTATCAGAGCTCGTGCCATGCTTTGCCAAATTTACTTCCTTGCCCTCCATGACAAATATCACCGTGCTCGTGATCTGATGTTGATGTCTCATCTTACTGAAAATATCTCCAACTTTGATGTCAGCACTCAAATTTTGTTCAACCGAACGCTTGTTCAAATTGGGCTGTGCGCATTCCGCGCGGGACTAATTTACGAGGCTCAAAACACACTTTCCGAAGTTTGCGGAAGTGGCAGACAAAAGGAGTTGTTGGCACAGGGTATCATCTTGCAGCGGTATTCTTCAGTCTCGCCTGAACAAGAGAAGCTCGAGCGTCAACGCCAGCTTCCCTTCCACATGCACATCAACTTAGAACTTCTTGAGTGCATCTACTTGACCAGTAGCATGTTCTTGGAAGTTCCATTAATGGCCCAAACTTCATCATCCCCTGAAATGAAGCGACGTATTATCTCCAAGACTTTCCGAAGGATGTTGGATTACAACGAGCGCCAAGTTTTCACTGGTCCGCCAGAGAATACTCGCGACGGTGTCATTATGAGTGCCAAGTTCCTCGCAGCAGGTGACTGGAAGAAGGCATCCGAGACCCTCAACTCTATCAAGATCTGGGACTTGATGGCACAGCCAGACAAGATCAAGGCCATGCTTGCTCAACAGATTCAGGAAGAAGGCCTCCGAACGTACCTCTTTACCTACGCACCTTTCTACGACACGCTCTCCATCACCACCCTTTCCAACATGTTCGATCTCACCGAAAAGAAGATCTCCGCTATTATCAGCCGGATGATCTCACATGAAGAACTTGCGGCAGCTCTAGACCAGGTCAACAACGCTATTGTTTTCCGCAAGGGTGTCGAACTCTCGAGATTGCAGAGCCAGATCGTTACTCTAGCAGATAAGTCGATGTCACTGCTTGAGGCTAATGAGAAGACCCTTGAGCAGAGAACGCAAGGCATGGCAAATGCCTTCCAGCGTGATCAGGGACCAGGTGGTCGGTCAGGCAGAGGCCAGGGCCGTGGTGGACAGAGAACTGCTGGCGGCAGACCGCCCATTGGCGGACAACAGCGCAGACCAGGTGGGCAACAATTCAGTGGTGGGGCTTTGGGAGGAGCTATCAAGGCATAAAATGTTTTGGTTCTAATACAAATATGAAGTTATGCTGGTCTGTGATGATTCAATTTACCAAGCTGTTTCCTCTTTTCTCTCTTTTTGATGTAGGGTCACTATTACCTTTTAACTGGGGCTAAAGTCCTTTTTTTTTTCTGTCTTTTTCTTGGCATGTGCTACAAATACACGGGTCATGTTCTTTTCTTTTCTATCAGGTCATGTGGATGGACGATAAATTGCTTCATAAGACTTGCTTTTGCAATCATGGTTGCTTTCCTAAAAAGCTCTGTGTCAACCGGTATTAAAAGGGAATGTGATGACCTTCATGCCAATAATGGTTGATTTAAAATTATGATTTAACAACAAATCAGGGCTGGTCCGGAAAGATATCCTCATGTTCAACTGATCTCAATCATTATCCTCTGTGGTACTATTCTATGTCACCATTGCCAGTCCAACCGGCCGCATAAAACTATGCTTGGACTACAAGTATAACCACTAGAACGACCAACGTGGAATGTGTACTCCGAGTGATCTTTGAGCCTATTGACTCCGTTGAAAGGCACAGCGGCCAAGTCCATATATGGCAGCCACCCATGGAGCAACCTCGGCTCATGGTTCGCCTCGTCACCCGAATCAAGCCATCCTCTTCTTGTTGTACAATATGCCTCTCAAATTCGACCGCATTCCTTTGTAAAAGCAACTTGCTTTTAAGCCCGCGCTTTCATAGCCCAAACGGCCATTGAGTTCACACAAAATCTATCCCGGTGTCGGGAACCGTGGGCGATGTGTTTCATCTTGCTTGAAGCTCACGAAGTACGCGATGGTTCAGGTTGTCATAGTCTGAGTGCGATGGCCTTCCAAGGCCCATAAACTTTCATGCATTACCATCGAGCAAATTTTGTGGTGACCAATATTCATTTTCCTCGCATTGAGCATCGACCCATACCAGACCTTCAGCGAGCAGATCGTCAATGACAGTCTGCGCGCGTGCTTTCTCCCAGTTGAGATTGAGTTCTAGCATAGAAACTGTTACGAAGCCGAGAAGTTGAATAACTTCGAGCACGGTGGCTTGATCCGTATTAAGCTCCTTAGGAACAGAGCGGACGAACTGCTTGCTTCCCACTTTGATAATTGAGAAGCCGGAACCAAGAGGTTCGAGGGATTTCACCGCACGTAGGATATCATCTCTGACGCAGTAGAGCCTTAGAGTCCAATCGAGATCCACTAGAATCAACGGAAGCTAGGAACTTACTCTGAAACCTCTAGGCCACCACCGATAGCTTTCCCTCGAGCAACTCGAGTTCGACATTCTTCAACACTAATCAATCCACCGTTCTCCGCTCTGGTCTCCCTACATAATTCCACTACTCTGCCAGCAACTTCAAAGTAGAAATCGTTCACATCTCCTCCCAAGATCTGGGTCCAGAAACTGCCCCCGCCTTCAGTTAAGCCAGAGACAAGCCCCCTTTTGCCCTTACCCTTCACGTTGCTTGCAGCAAGCGGGTCAACTCCGATGGCATGGCACATGCGCGCAAATTCAGCGCGGAAAGTTGGGTTTGATTTGATAGTCTCGCCATGCTCGAGCGCAAAGGTGTGGAGTAGGGACTGGAAGACGGAGAGTTGGGTTTGGAGGGAGGTCAGGTGGGTGGAGCGGAGGTTGGCGCCATGGTTGGCGTAGGACTGAGAGGTCTGGGAACGATTTGCGAATGCTCCGAGACCGACGCCTCGGCGAGTAGCCATTTTGTATGGAGTGAAACTGCGATAGTGAAGCGTCCAAAGTAACCACCGCACCCTGCAAGCGTTGCGGAGCCAACCCGCAAGCTGGCCCAGACTTCGGTGACATAATAGCCCTAAGTTCCAGAAGCGGAAAGGCTGTAACGTGACCTGAGTCTTGGCGCTTGTCGTGGATTTGCGCCCACACAAACCCTTTTTCAGCAGCTCGAACTTTGAGCGCTCCGTCAAATTCTCAAGCTCCGACCGGTCAACCAGCCAACAAGTCGACAATACCGCCAGTTCTTCGACATGGCAGCCTCAACGTATGGGTTCCCTTGTTCTTCACCGTCTTGCTGATCTCTCCGGCTGTGTAGTCTCAGTTATAGTCTGTCCTTCTCGCTGGAGATGCTGCTCGACCTTCTGGCAAAGGTTGAAGCAATGCACCAGCTCGATTGATCCAGACGCATGTTCTTCCTTCGACTCCAAGCCTACGGTCATAATTGAACGCTAGTGGAGAATAAAGGGGAATTGGTGTTTGGGCTTTGAGGTTGAAGGCGCAAGCCTTCTCCTTGAAAATCATTGTTGCTTCTAATCGCCTTGCTGACTTTCCTGGCAACTTAGCTAGGAGAAGTATCACAAGGCGAAGATAGGCCAACATAGGCTTCCCGAGCGATCCTAGTTTGGGGCATTGTCAGCTGAGGCACTTGATTCATGAGTTCTCTCCGCGAAGCCCAACCGTTGTTGTTTATGGCTTCAGCGTGAAGAGTTAGACTCTTGTAATCAGCTTCACTGATGAAATTCATTCCGTCGAGTTCCTACAAAGCCTTCAGTTTGAGAATGTGGCACTATTAGCTGCAGTTCTTACACTCGGCGAGAATTTCTTTTCTTGATCAGTTCGTCATGGACAGACTATACTGACTCCGAAGCAGTTCCGTCCCAACCAAGGACCAGGTCCTCGTTCCTGAGACTCTTCTCAAGAAGCGCAAGAGCCAGGAACAGGCCAGAGCCACTCGCCTTGCTGAGCTCGAGAAGAGAAAGAAGGTGAGTTTCGCACTTTTTCTTTTCGCGATTGGATCTGCTCCTGCGTATACATTGTGTGTTCGTGGCACATTCGATGATGACACCTACCAACCTTGCGGCTAGACCTCTGGTCAATGCTGTCGCTTCGTTAACCATCTTTCGGGGCTGACATTGTGATACTAAACATCCTGAGCTTTTATGTCGTCAAATGCCAAAGATTTATGCTGATTGAAGCGATAATATAGGCCAACAAGGAGAAGCGCGGTGTCATCTTTAAGCGCGCTGAGTCCTACGTCAAGGAGTACCGCGATGCTGAGCGGGAAAAGGTCCGCCTTGCTCGTCTGAGCAAGCAGCAGGGATCTTTCTATGTTCCTGAGGAGCCCAAGCTTGTCTTTGTTGTCCGTATTAAGGGGTAAGTTTCCAATTATGGACCTTAAACATGAGTAGTGCGTACTAACGTCTCATCAGTATCAACAAGATTGCTCCCAAGCCACGAAAGATCCTCCAACTCCTCCGTCTCCTCCAGATCAATAATGGTGTTTTCGTCCGCCTCACAAAGGCTACCGCTGAGATGCTTACCATTGTCAACCCCTACATCGCTTACGGTTATCCTAACCTCAAGGCTGTCCGCGAGCTCATCTACAAGCGTGGATATGGCAAGGTCAACAAGCAGCGTGTTGCCCTTACCGACAACCAGATCATCGAGGACAACCTCGGCAAGTATGGCATTGTCTGTATGGAAGATTTGATCCACGAGATCTACACCGTCGGACCCAATTTCAAGCAAGCCAGCAACTTCTTGTGGCCATTTAAGCTCTCCAACCCAACTGGTGGCTTCCGCACTCGCAAGTTCAAGCACTTCATCGAAGGCGGTGATACTGGTAACCGAGAGGATAACATTAACGCCCTCATTAAGCAAATGAACTAAAATGTATTAATGTTGATGGGTTGTTCGGTCATGAATATTCATTTGCTTCTCGGCTAGCCAGGTTACCTATAAAATAAAAGATATCTATGCCAACCTTGTCCATCCTATCCGAATCTGCGTAGCTTCTAGGAAACCTCGGACTACAGGCTTAGGCCTGACTTATCGAGGACTAAGATATAGAGTCTCTCGTATTCACACTATTAAATGCCCAAGAATCGCATTGCCTCGCTCCGTCAATGGGAGGGAATGGGCTTCAGCTTTCGATCCGCCTCCGGAGGTAACGTTCTATCGACCGAGCTTTGTGTTCGCTTCGAAGCGGCCCGTCTCTGGTGTTAATATAAGGTTGGGTTCGGGAAACGCGTTCGTCGCTCTTAGCGCGTGTGAACTGGAACGCGTATCGCGTCCGCATAATTTCCGACGCGACTACACACCAAATTCCCGCAGCTTGCCCTTATCAATCATACCGAATATAACTACTCCGTAGTTACACCTCCTTTTACGTGTTTATCATGTCATTTTCCAAGTACCAGTGATAGCATAATTTGATTCATTATTTGCAATGGCATCCGCTCGTGCTAAGCTGGCTGAACTCCGCGCTCTCCGCGCGTCGGGAAAGAAACGTCTCGCAACCTACGAAGTGGAAGAAGAAGGCGATATCTACGAAGAAGTTGACGAGGAAGGATACAAAAATGTTGTCAGACAACGTCTCGACCGCGATGACTTTGTCGTTGATGACAATGGCGAGGGATACGCAGACGATGGACGTGAAGAATGGGACGATAGGCGACGGGTGGACAGCGGGACTGATAGCGATGAACCTCCCCTAAGAGGCAAGGCTGCTAAACGAAAGCGAGAGGAAGATAAGCAACGCAGGGAAAAAATCAACAATGGAATCAATAAGTATTTTAGCGGTGCATATGGGACTTCAAATGCTTCCAAACCAAAGGTTGGTCGATGTCGTCTGTCTTAGAGAGAATGAATTGGCTGACGGAAATCCAGCGAAATGCCACTGCAGAAGACGAAGCGTTTATGGCAGATTTACTCGGAGAAGTCGACGTGAATGTGGTCCCATCTCGCGTGTCGGTCAAGAAACCTGTGAAATCCGAAACTCGACGTAAAGTCCGAATTATATCCCCTCCTTTATCTCAGGAGCGAACACCCAAGAAGGTCCAAGCAAAAAAAGAACCTACTCCTCACAAAGCCGATGTTGAGCTGAAGTCCGATATTGATTTTGACGATGACGTCGGGCTGCTTCCGGTCGGCGATGACGAGGATGTTCCAATGAGCGATCCGCCGCCATCATCCCCAGTCGCAAAAGCAGTAGAACGTAAAAATGCATCCTTGGTGAAAAAGGAAGATGAAGGCGCCGACGATATAGATGACGAAGACCTAGTAACCATTGAAGCGACCGGCCACCACGAAAACAATGCTACTAGGGTGAATATGACCGGCAAAAGACCTGCACCCAAGCTGAAAGTGAAAGAATCTTTTTATCCTTCCCCTGCTACGTCTCCTCCAGTAAGGGCCAATTCCGATGCAATAGACGCTTCGTCATGGACAGATATCACCAGAAAGCTCAATGTTCTTAGCAGCCCAGCCTCGGATATGCATGCATTTGGAAAACTTCGAGCCCAAGATGCTGTAGAGACAGATGGTAGCTTGCGTTTCTTCTGGCTTGATTACACCGAAGTCAATGGTTCTCTCTGTCTCTTTGGAAAGGTCAAGGACAAGAGAAGCAGCCGTTTTGTCAGTGCTTTCGTGAAAATTGACAATATCCTCCGAAAGCTCTACTTCTTACCCCGGGAATACCGCCTACATCATGGCCAAAACACAGATGACGAAATCGACATGGAGGACGTCTCTAATGAGGTTGACGAGCTTATGACCAAGTTAAGAGTCAACGTGCACAAGATCAAGCCGTGTACGCGGAAGTATGCGTTTGAACTCCCGAATATTCCCAAAAAAGCAAAATATCTCAAGTTGATGTATCCATATGATAAGCCAGTGCTACCGATAGACGTTAAAGGCGAGACCTTCTCCCATGTTTTTGGTACAAACACTGCTCTTTTTGAGCAATTTGTGCTCTGGAAGAACATCATGGGTCCATGTTGGCTTAAGATCGAGGATGCAGACTTTACGGCTGTAAGCGGTGCATCTTGGTGTAAATTGGAATGCCAGGTTTCGCAACCCGCTCTCATCTCCTCAATTTCAGACGCTGAGAATTTGGATACCCCTACCTTGACGCTGATGAGTTTAGCGTTACGCACTCAGCTCAACGTCAAGGAGAACAAGCAAGAAATCCTGGCTATGAGCGCGCGAGTGTATGAAAATGTCTCATTGACAGACCCTACCCCTCCTGCAAAGCTTCCTTGCAAAACATTTACAGTTATGAGGCCACTGGGCCCTACATATCCAATCGGTTTTGAAGCAGAAACCAGGAAACACCGCGGTACCTTTATGCTGGAGAAGAGCGAACAGTTCCTTCTCAGCAAATTCTTAGCGTTATTTGAGAAGATGGACCCTGATGTGGTGATGGGGCACCAGCTTCAAGAAGTAGATTTAACTGTTCTTATAAACAGACTGAAAGAAAAGAGGACGCCGGGTTGGCACCGTATTGGTCGCATGAAACGAAGCGAATGGCCGAAAAACTTCAAAGGCACCGGGTTCTTTGCAGAGAGGCATTTGGTAGCTGGTCGGCTGATTTGCGATATCGGAAATGACATGGGAAAGGTGAATTCTCTTATTATTTTTTACGAGTCAATCACTGATAATCTATCTTAGTCTCTCATGATGAAATGTCAATCGTGGAGTCTTACGGAAATGTGCCAACTTTATCTAGGAGATGGCAACACAAGACGGGATATTGACAATGAGGCAGCCCTCAAAACCTGGGCCACCTCCAAAGAAGGCTTGATGAATTATATCAACCACGCCGAAGCTGATACATATTTCATTGCTGCGCTTGTCCTAAAACTCCAGATGCTTTCCCTGACTAAAGTTCTTACCAATCTTGCCGGCAATTCATGGGCTAGAACGCTTATGGGTACAAGAGCTGAACGAAACGAATATATTTTACTGCATGAATTCTATCGAAACAAATACATTTGCCCCGACAAATACTTTGGAAAATCGCAGCCCAAGATGGAAGAGTATGAAGGTGAAGATGATGGAGGCGACAAGAAAAAGAAAGATAAATATAAAGGTGGTCTTGTCTTTGAACCAGAGAAGGGCTTGTATGACAAGTACGTTCTTGTTATGGACTTTAACAGTCTGTACCCGAGCATTATCCAGGAATACAATATTTGCTTTACCACCGTGAATCGCGAGCTAGTGGTAAGTAAATCTTTTGCTGCTTAATCGCACCGTACTGACAGATTTTAGTCTGAGAATGAGAACGAAGAGAAAGTTCCTGAGGTCCCAGCTGATCAAGAGCAGGGTATCCTGCCACGGCTGATTTCCACACTTGTCAGCCGCAGAAGAGAAGTGAAGAAACTAATGAAAAACAAGCGCGCGACTCCCGAAGAGCTGGCTCTATGGGATACGAAGCAGTTGGCCCTGAAGCTCACAGCTAACTCAATGTACGGTTGCTTGGGGTACACGCAGTCAAGATTCTACGCTCGACCCCTCGCCATGCTGACGACGTTCAAGGGTCGTGAAATTCTGCAGAATACGAAAGAATTGGCCGAGAAAAATCAACTTCGTGTTATCTACGGTGATACTGATTCGGTTATGATCAACACCAACGTTGACAACATGGAGGAGGCGCTCAAAGTGGGCAACGAGTTTAAGCGATTAGTGAATGATAGCTACAAGTTGCTCGAAATTGATGTTGACAATGTCTTCCGCCGACTACTGTTGCATGCAAAGAAGAAGTATGCTGCGATTAACATGACGGAAGTGGATGGTAAATATGTTGATCACCTTGAAGTGAAGGGTCTAGATATGAAGAGAAGAGAGTACTGCACTCTGTCCAAAGAAGTCTCTTCGAAACTTCTAACTGAGATCCTTTCGGGAGATGATACCGAAGTGGTTTTGGGTAAAGTCTATGACTACCTACGAGAACTCACCCAGAAGATGAAGGAGTTCACAATCCCTGTGCAGAAATACGTGATTTTCACGGTAGGCTTCCTCGAAGTGCACCCGGCATATCTGATGTCACTGATTTATTCTTTAGAAACTGTCAAAGCGACCGGATGAATATCCGAACAAAGAGAGTATGCCTCCTGTCCAAGTTGCCCTAAGAGAGCTGGCGAGAGGGAAAACCGTCCGTCCAAACGATGTCATCTCCTATATTGTAACCTCAGGCGACTCCGAAACCTCTTCGCTCCAACCAGCCAAGCGGTCATACACACCACAAGATGTGATGAAACCGGATTCTGGCTTAAAACCAGATATCGAATACTATCTCCTCAAGCAAATCTTCCCGCCAATTGAACGACTTTGCGCTCCTATTCCTGGTACAGATGCTGTTCAGCTAGCGGAATGCCTAGGCTTGGATGTCAGAAAATACCAAATTAATACCTCAAGCTCTCATGGCCAACAGAGTCTCGAACTATGTCCTCTTGAATCACAAATTCCCGATTCGCTCCGCTTCGAGAAAGCCGCTCGATTCACCCTCCGCTGTCGCGCTTGTCATGAGCGGACGGTCTTTGAAGGTCTTAATATTTCAACCGACATATGTACTCCAAAAGGCCTTGTATGTCCTAATTCAAACTGCAGAAAGCCATTTTCAGTTATCTCTATTGTGGCACAGCTTGAAAGCCAGATTCGGGCACAAACGACAAGGTACTATGAAGGCTGGATTGTGTGTGATGATTCTGCATGTGGGAACAGGACAAGACAAATGAGCGTATATGGTCATCGATGTCTCGGCCCCCGAGGACGAGCGGAAGGGTGTTTAGGTCGCATGTCCTATGAATACACCGAGAAGCAGCTGTATAACCAGCTATTATATTTTGCCACACTATGGGATGTTGATAAAGCCAAAGCCACTGCTGAGAAAGAAGCCTCCGGCGAAAAGAAGGAGAAGGTACTAGCACTTGTGGAGTGGAATCGTACCCGATTCGGGACAATGAAAGGCGTTGTTGATGAGTATTTGAAGAAATGCGGACGACAATGGGTTGAGATGGATGTTCTCTTTGGGTTTGCCCTGAAATGATCTAGTGTATTAGGGAATTCTATGCATATACTCTGTATCCTCAACCATAATGGCTTCTAATAAGGTATCCCATTATATTGAATACATATCAGCTTGACATTGCGTGATTATGTGAGTCCTCTGCCTCCCTTTGATTCATTGGCATAGTTAACTTATGGAACTGAGCCAGGGAAACAGTTACAAGGCTTATTATCTGCATAAATAGACAAACACAATTTATCCTGTCTGTCGGAACACTTCCAGTGATTAAACAGGCATTCCAACAAACTTCTTTAACACATCAATGGTTGTCCAGAAGGCTCTGTGGTAAGGTATTCCCTACACAATAACCTCCGTGTTACTTAACCAACAGACACCGACAGATATTGCTTCACTCAGTTGAAGATAGATAGAACTCAAGGTCAGTCACCCATACTTATAAAACAAGCCTTTTGGATCTCCCAAATGAGCTGCTCCTCGATATAGGTAAACTGTTGGACCGAGCCAAAGATATTGCAGCACTAGTACGACGCTGTCGGCGCTTTCATACCTTGTTAAATTTCTTCCTATATCATCATAACATACAACATGAGATATTCTCTGCCTTATACTAGGCAGTGGAAAACTGAGCCTGCATTCTCCATTGACAAAGAAGGCGGCTTAGAGTCATCGAATTGCGACGTTGCTCCATACCGCAATTGAACTAAGGAGTCACCACTCAGGCCTTGACCTCCAGGTGTTATAGAAGAGCACAAGAGAGAATCGAAACAACGGTATAAAATCATCCAGCTTCTGATCGACTACGGTATCGGCCTGGAGGCTATTCGGGCTCATCAACGGATTTTATTGAAGAAAGCTCTTTGGCGTGGCGACCAGCGTCCCATTTAGCTGTTGGCAAGGGTGGCGCTAAAGTCTCTACTAACGATCCGCGTATACTGCATCATGCAACTCGTCGCTGCAACACAGAATCCGTTGAGTTGTTGGTCAGTAAGGGAGCCATGGTCGATAGGTTCGGACTTCATGGACGGACGGCATTGTTCCTAGCAGGTACGGATGGAAATGGCAGTGTCCTCCGTACTCTCACTAGTAGACATGAAGCCGATATCAATGTGACGGACAGGGAAGGATGGACGCCCCTTTATGCCGTCATACACAATTCCGAGGAGGAAGGGAGATATAGTGTTGAAAAGAAACGGGGATATCACGTCCTTGCAATGAGCTGAGCGCTCATCAAGAGCAGCGCTAAAGTCAATGCCCAAACGCAACTTAGGGAAACTCCATTGCATTTCGCAATATTACAGCACTACGAGCGGGTGTTAAAGTGCTTGTTAGATGCGGGCGCTGATCCTCACTTTAGGAAATGCGATGGACGAGCGTATTTGCGTACCTTCCAGCGAAACCGAATGAAAAAAAATTAGAAAACTGCTCGCGAAGAAGCACCCAAGATTTTGGCTTAGGAATTCCGCGGAAAGAACAGCGCTACATATAGCAGCCGCAGGTATGAAACCGTACACGAGAGATAGGTATGCATGTGGAAAAGTGTATTTCGATATTGACGCTGACAACGCCGAAAATTGAATCAGCGCACCAAGATTTGACATATTGGCTGCTTGAGAAAGGTGCAGACGTCGATGTGCGGGACCAAAAATCGTACAGTCCAATCCATACTGCAATTACAAACGAGGATGACCGTATGACCGGAGCTCTGGTCCGAGCGACTCCAATTTCCAGAGCAACAGATATGAATGGAGACAACGCTTTACATCTTGCCATTAAGCAAGAGTCAGATATTATGGTTGAAGAGCGTCTTCGGTTCGAGTTCAACCACGAATTGAGAAATATCGATAGAGACACCGCATTGCATGTTTGCAGCATCCCGAGGCTATGCCTGGGCAGTCCACCAGCCTCTTCGATGGGGCGAAAATTGCAACACAGAGGGCAAGGGGTTTAGGAAACCGCTACATCTTGCAATGTTAGTCAGACCAGTTGGCGAAAGATAGTGAATATGCTTCTTGACTGCGGAGCGCGGATCGATGCCGAAGATGGGAAGAGAGAAACCGTAGAAGAGATTGCATTGGTAAGTGAAGACCAAAATTTAAAAGTTGTTCAGCACAGCGATGGGTGAGGACTACTCAACAATAATGAGTCTCCTTAGAATGAATGGCAAATTGAAACTGACCAAAGGTGGCGATACATGGGATATTCGAGACGCTTCAGAGTGAGCAAAAAGAGCGGAAATTGGCCATGTCCCATGACTCTTGTCTGGGTATTTGGGAATGGTCCGTGCAGTTCTCTGGCTTTATCAAAGCCTGCTGGTAGAATAGATAAATAGCGAGTACCATCTTATTCCTTAGATAGACGCTAAAATATGTCGCTATTCGATGAGGAATTGAGTTCACTATCATGTTGCAATAGAGAGCAATTGTCCTCAAATTAGAAAAATCGGCAAGTCCATATTTTAAGCTGTGGGGCAAGTCCGCGCTCTTTACTGGAGAACCCTACTTAACTCGATCTGCATTCTGTAGATCCAGGATATCTAACCTAGTGTGCAGAACACATACCTAGCAAATCTGTCACAGAAGTGGGATTTAACCATGGCTAAAATGGGACGGGTTCTTGTAATTGCTGGTTCTGACAGTTCTGGCGGAGCGTGCGTTTCCCCCAAATTCCCCGCGCACAGTTTTGGTTTAAGACCTCCGGCAACACGGGCCTTCAATTAACAGTTTTCCGGCAGCGGTCTCGAGGCGGACCAAAGAGTGCTTGCTGCACATGGCTGCTATGCCCTAACGGCGACGACGGCCTTAACAGCTCAGAACACTCTGGGCGTTCAAGATATCCATGTTGTTCCCGCAGAATTCGTCCGCAAGCAGATCAACGCTGGGCTGGGAGATGTCGGAGCAGATGTTGTCAAGATCGGTGAGTGTGGGACTCTTCTCTAAGTAGCAGCTTAAGCCTCTTCAATGACCCCCAGTATTGCTAATTAGTATTAAAAGGAATGCTGGCGTCCGCTGAGACAATAGCAATAGTCTCCGAGACCTTGCGCGGGCACAAAGTGCCGTCAATCGTTTTGGACCCTGTAACTTGTGGCCCATATTACCCATTTACCAATGGATCTTTCTAACCTGCTTTTCTATAAAGGTTATGATATCTACTAGCGGCTCCCAGCTTCTTCCATCTGATGCGGTGGGAGCAATCCGCACAAGTCTGCTGCCAATCACGACAGTTTTAACCCCTAACATACCTGAAGGAGTACTTCTTCTTCGCGACTCGGGGGTCAATGTACAAGATCCTCAAAGTCTCGAGGATGCTGTCCAATTAGCCAAGCAACTGCATGGATTAGGACCAAGGTACATCCTACTCAAAGGCGGCCATTTGCCCCTGACTGCTGCACGACAGCGATCAAGTGGTGCGGAGGACGCATCCATAGTCGTCGATATCTTGTACGACGGGAGCTTCGTGACATTGGTTGAGGCCAAATTTTCCCGGTCTAAGAATACCCATGGCACCGGATGCTCCCTAGCTTCTGCAATTGCCGCCAATGTCGCGAACGGGATGGAGACCGTGCGCGCTGTCAAAGAAGCATGCCGGTTTGTGGAAGCAGGTATCAAAACGAGCGTTGACTTGGGCAAAGGCCATGGGCCTATCAACCATTTCCACTCTGTTTATACACTACCCTTTGCACCGTACGTATAGATAATACGGAGCCTGTCTAAATGCCTTATCTGAGCTAACCCTTATCAGCGGTCATTTCCTGGATTATATTTTAGAGCGGCCCGATGTCCAGCCGGTATGGCAAGCCTTTACAAAACATGAGTTCGTGGCCCGGCTGGCGGATGCAACGCTGCCGGTTGAAAAATTTAAGCATTACTTGATACAAGATTATCTTTACCTCGTGAGTGACTTGTGTGACCCTCTCTTTAGAAGTATAGTGAGTTAATTATGGAATGAAGGTCCATTTTGCCCGAAGCAATGCATTAGCTGCCTACAAGAACAGGACGATTGACGGAATTTCGGCAGTAAGTATTTTGTCATTGACTTCTATATCAGTTCGGATAAATAACCACGCTATTGGTATAGTCTGCCAAGATCGTACTTCATATCGAACGCGAAATGGCCTTGCATCTCGACTACTGTGCATCGTTCGGGTTGTCTAAGGAAGACATTGAATGTCGTAAAGAAAGTCAAGGTATTTTTGTCAAGATGTACAAAAGCTCAAAGATTCCGAAGCTAAATTCTTTCTCTGCAAAAGCGTGCACCGCATATAGCAGGTACATTCTTGACGTAGGTCAATCCGAAGATTGGCTTGGGCTGCAAGTCGCCCTTTCGCCTTGCCTAATTGGATATGGCGCCATAGCAAAACGCTTGCACGGCGACGAGAAGAGCGTTCGCACCGAAAATAAGTATTGGAAATGGATCGAGAATTACGTTGCAGAAGACTACTCCGAGGCTGTAAAGCTAGGTTCAGGTGAGTGGTACCTTGTAGCTGCCTTAAACCTCGGCGAACCTCTAACCGCCTGCTAGAACTTCTCGAGACCCACATGAGAAGTGTTTCTCGAGTACGAATGGAAGAATTAGTGCAAATATTCATTAGGGCCACAGAGCTGGAGATAGGCTTCTGGGAGATGGGACTGCAGGGGGAGTGAACTAGCGTCCTATATATATATACTTATATACTTTTCCGCTTTTGGCACGGCGCAGCGGAATCAGAACCATATGGGAATTTTGGAGGTTGTCAGATCAGTAGATTATCAGTTGCTGATCTGTATACATTTGAGCTACTACTTATATAACTAGTGAATCCAAAGTTGCTCAACCATATAGTAAAAGATCCACATTCTGAATCTCTATAACATTGCGGCTGAGAAATAACAATGAATTCAGTAGTCTACCATTCTTTTTGTAGATTAACAGTAACAAATTTGTTGACAGTAATACAAGTATATTAATTAAAATCAAAGCTCTTCATGATGGTTGGTCAGTGAAATAATCAGCTGGTATTTAAATTCAATGATTCATAGATGTTCAGAGAATCTTCAGCTCTTGCTGGTCTATTCATCAAACAAAATCAAAGATAGATACTATTAATCATCTTAACTGAGCTAATGTTTTGGTGATTCCTGTAGAGTAGTGGGAATTCCGGTATCATCTTAGGATAATAGTTGTTCTGGTCTGAGGCTCAACCCTCTCCCCTATATAACTCAAGCCAGTCAGTTCCACTTCTTAAAACGACAATGTTTGTCAATCAGTTCAAAGTTAGTTAGGAAGCAGACCAATTTATCATTATGTTGTTCACTACTGTTCTCTCTTAGAGCTGCCTGTGTGTACAGGGATTATTAGTATGATTACCCCTGTGATCTTAAGTGTTCATTAGAGCATGATCATTGATCTCTCTTGTCATTACTACTTGGCCGGGCCCATGACTACTACTACTATACTGTTGATGTATATCTGTTCTGAGCACTTTATCATACTCACCAAGTCACCTACTTAGACAAGGCACCCATAATTCTCCACTTCAATACACTCTGTTCTTATTAGTATCAAAAAGTTTTAAATAAGTTATTCTTTACTTACAATCTTCTTTTCTATATCTTAGGTTATTCAGAAAGATTAGCACTGTTGACTTATTCTTTATCAGGTCCAGATTTCTATTATTCATGTACTAGCAGACTAACTAGTTAGTAGATTAAGAATTTCTATTCAGATTTCCTAACAGACAATAAACGCTCTCGGCTCTCCAGAGGCCCAGATGGCAACAAAGAGCTCAGCCATTGTGTTTATGCGAGACTTTTGAAAAAGCATCAGTTCCAATAGGTGGCTGTTAGCTGTCTCATCAACTTACTTGGGCTTCCTGGTTGGAATCTGAATAGGCGCTATTTGTGGCAGACAGCAAACATCTTAGACCAACAAGAGTAGAGAACTGCAACTTTTTTCATGGCAGAGAAGCTCTTCTTAAGTGCAGAAGCAGTGTGTGCCTCAGACTTTCCATCTGGCGCAGCAGCTCCCGTGCGATATCCCATCAATAGAAGAGGTAGAAGGCCCCTTTCCTAGATCTTGCTAAATATCACGCAAACTAAGCATTCTTGCAAAATTAACATGTAGGTGTACCCAAGAAAAGAAAGATCCTATCATCCTAAGCATCACTAACTCAGGAGTTCATTTATGCAGTCAATCCATGAAGTCTTGTTGCAAAAATCCCAGATTAGAAGCCATGCATCAAGTTGTCATTCCAATATGGTTTGCTCTTGCAGAACATGCCACACAGCTTAATCATCTTTGGTTGGGGTTGTCTATATCAACTCCTGTCCTTATCCTTCAACATATCCACATGGTTAGCGTCAGTATACTGGAAGTTGGGCACAGACTTCACATACACATACCACTGTATATGCGTTCTCAACAGCATCTATAATCTGATTTTCAAGATATTTTGTCACAATGAACTCAAGGGTTGAGTTGTCCAAAAGATTCCTGAGAATGAGAGAGAGAAAAGGCCCTCAGCCTCAGTATACCAGAGCAGACATTATTCAATCAACCCTCACTCACTATCTCCTGCAGAACCAACGTGCAGTACCAAGTGTACTGGTAGAGGAGTTCAAAAAAAATAGGCTTTAACTACAGGGGGAATCTTAACTTGCTGGTGATAGTACCAGGATTCACATCTCAGAGAGACAGACAGAGTAGTCCTTAGAAAAGTGTAACATCACATCAAGTTCCGGGTCTGCTGCAACTGCCTTTTGCAATTCACTTAATGTATGGATATTGGATCATATTGCTTTGGGCTTTTTTGACCTTGAACTGGGCAGCTTCTTGTGCTCTTTTCTCATCATCATCGTCATTCTTGGGAAAACATTGAAGGTCTCCTGCTTCACTTGTTGATGAGCCGCTCGTTCAATTTTATAAATGGAGAAGACAACATTGCTTTGAAGGCAGGCAAACAGTGGGCGAGTAGATCTCGCGGGATAGTGAAGCTCTTTTCATCAGGGCTGACAAGAACAGTAAATCACTCACTTTGCAATGCTCTGGATTTCTACCAGCTCAATTCATGTTTCATAATCCCTGGTTACCTACTTGATGTATAGAATAGCACAAATATCCAACTGTGATAAGTGCTCTCTGTCATCCATTCCCAGTATTGGAAGTGAAACCGCTCGCTCGCAGTACCTTCACTCATTGAGGTGGCTGACTCCGTGTGTTTCCCATTTCTTTCCCTTTTGTCGATTGCATGTCTTGAGCTGCTGGGGGCCTTGATTCATTCAAAGATTATTTGGATGGACATAAATCCAAAAAGAGGGCACGTTCTCCTAGCAGTCTGGTATGCCGGTGTAAAAACCACGTGATTTACTTACAGAGCCCTTTGCGGGCGTGCCAAAGTTAGAACGTGCTACGCGCCCTCGATCAATGTTCCATCAACATGAACACCAAACGCCGATAATCCTCCTGCGCCCATTACAACTGGGTGCACCTTTACTAGTCCCGATACCGAGTCTCTCAAAACCCCAGTGTGGTAGCCAGCCTGACAACATGACTGCATTGGAGGAGGAGTGGGAAGAGTGGGGATCCAAACGCATGTTTCGCGGAATGCATGAAGTTGTTGTTCTCTTGAGCCATCAAGGCGATGTCAAGGTCCTAAACTATGACAATGAGGTTATCCTCAAGGTTGGAAGCAGAGTTCGTCCTTCTGAGGAAATTGCTATGCATCTTGTGAAAGAGCAAACTGATATCCCTGTTCCAGAGATCTTCCTTGCTGCCTACATTGGTGAGCGTCATTCCTGGCACTCCACTGACAGAAGCTTGGGATAGTCTGGATGATACAACAAAGAAGTGCATATGTGTGGAAACTTGGTCAATGATTGAAAAACTTTGTCAGATCAGAAAGCCTGCCACACTGCAACACCACTTCCTCTGTCTTGCTGATGGTTCACCCTGTATCAATGACTCCATGGTGGCTGGAATTTGCTGCGCAGACCCTCCACATCCTCCACTTCTTAATGATGATGCTGTTCACGCCCGCATCTACAAATATTACTATGCAGCAAATGGTTGAAAGTATGAAAAGGAGCTACCAAGCATGCTTTCTTGCTCTGATACCTCTGTTTTCTCACATGTAGACATTGGACCGCACAACATCATGTTTGATCCAGAGTCGCTCCAGATAACTGGGATCATTGACTGGGAGATGGCGGGGTGGTACCCAGATTATTGGGAGTATTCCAGCATCATGAGGCCTGCTAGATGGAAAGATTGGCAGAAATGGATGGACCTGACAGCCCCGAAGAAATACGACCTGAGTGGTATTATGGCAGCAAGGCGTGTTTTGTTTTAGCGTACTCTATTAGGTTGGAATCGAAAGCCCTACTTCTTCTTGAAAACCGACCTTTGAGTCCACGACGACATTACGCGTTCCTCTTTGGAGAGCGAGCAACAGGTAGCGTGGCGTCAAAGAGAACGGCTGCAGGTGAGAGGGGACGACTCCAGGAGCGGAAAAACCGAGAACGCAGGCGCCGAGGACAACAACAGCTTGAAAGGGAACCAGAGCCAATGCACCTGGACAGCCCAAGCGTGGAGTTGATGGACGAGGCTGTGCAGCAGGCAATGATGGAGGATTACCAGAACAGGACAGCCTTGCATATGAGCCAGCACCAGGCAACCGGGGAAAAATTCCTACTCTAGATTCAAGGCTCCAAAACGAGCAGCCGACTGACCCACGGGAAAGTCTTCCACCTAGCATGCTTGATGAAGGGCCTAGAAACAGGCGTTCCAGGCACGAACCGCTGGAAGCAGAAGCTAGTGTGCTGGACCTGCTGGACCTGCTGGAGCAGATTATTTATGAGTTAGAGACAACAGCACCTATGGAAGCTGGAGCAAGACCATTGGAAGGCGATCAGAAAAGTTTCTTCCAGGAAGAACTCGAACAAGGGCAGTCACACTTCGACCGGTTTGACTAGGTTTATCAAGAACAGAATGCTCAACTTGAGTCAGAGCGAGAGCAACCTGAACAGGAGGCTCAATCCCGAACCAGGACCATCACTGTTACAGGTTTATCCGGCGTCTCCCAGCCCCACGATGATGCCGGGAGAGGATATAGGTAATCCTCGGCAAGAAGAACTCCGCCAAAAGGCCCGAGGCCTACCAGGACAGGGATATACTCCTAGTGACCTACTTAAAAACCGGCCGTTAGAAATCAGCACACTCGACAATGTCCCGCGACCGGATCAACTAGAGCAGGCATTCCGTGAGCAACTACACGGGGCCCATGAAGAACAAGAGGCCCTAGAGCTAGAACTAGAGCAAGAGCGGCTTGAACAGGAACTCAATGTCTCACAGTGTGAGATTTTGTCTCAGCTAGAATCATCACCGCAGCAGCATCACGTGGAGTCTTCCTCCGAGCCCAAGACAGGCCTAAAACATGGAAGTTCCATGCAAGAAGGAGCGGACCAACTGACCCTTGACCCACAAGGACAAGAGGAATCCATGAGCGGCCGGACTGGAAAGCCGTCATTGGAAATCAATACACACGTCCAACCAGAGCAAGAGATCAAGCAAGTGAGAGATATTCATTCACATGCAGAACGTCCAGTGACTCAGTTCGACTTCCAAAACTTAGAAGCTGGATCTGAGGGAGATTTCGGTAATCGGGATGGCAACAGCTCCAACATACTGCCTGCTGGTCAGCGCACTGGATAGTTCACTACTAAAAGAATTGAATTTTCCTTCTGGTGCTTCGAGCGCGAGCAGTGGCAAAAGACAGACAGCCTAACAGTAGATCCTCTGCGGCCCTCACTGGTTGAGCAAATAGCTAGAAAGTACATGCGGAAGAACTTCTCTTTATATGATCAACATGCATAGTCTTAGTCCTGTCCAGTGCTTCCGAGCTGCAACAGAGGATGGAAACAATGCAGTTTTTGTGATCTCAGCAGAAAAAGAAAGGAACCAGCAGCGGAAGGGAGATTTAGTAGGAAAAATCTCCTGGATTCAGTGCCTATAAGATTGGACATAGAGTCCGAGTCTGAACATGAACAGACTGCTAAGCAACTGTAAGAAGAAGGGAGAGCAGAAGCTGGCTCTAGCTCACAAGCTAGCAGCTTCTCTACAGCTAACAAACCCTTCAACAATATCACTGATCTTCAACGCCCGGCTACCACATAGCATAGAATGTATGCTAGAGAACAAGCATCCGCCTAGAGTTACAAACTACGAAATAACCGCTGGATCGCCAGAAGCTTCACAGAACATAGCAGAAGGTGACATGGTACATGTGAGATCTATATAATGCAGGTCAATTGCTTGGATCCTGAAGAGAGGCAAGCAACCAGTCTTCTATTCTTTGAATAACACTGAATATGGTTCTGTCAGGGAAATGTTTTCTCTGGTTGGAACAGCGCAACCGTGGAATCCACTGTTGCCCTAACCCCATTTCGGTATGGTGGAAGGCGGAATACAGGTCACATGATAAGCATCTTAGTAAGCAAGTGGCGAAGGGTCCTTACTATATTAGGCTAGAATGAAAAGAGAATTTCGCGCTAAACCCTTTCCTGTTTTTTTTTTTTAATTTTTTTTTTTTTTTTTTTTTTTTTTTTTCCGGCTTCTTCTGGCGAGGACTTTCTTGCCTTAACATCTTTATCGCGCCATCTTCCATTCATCATCCTTTCTTCCTTTCTTCTACTCTCCATACCAGTATTTCAACACGTTCACTTCGTGCTGATTTCATTTTCCCTTTTATTGTAATCATTTTCGAGTCCATCTTTTTTGCTTTCTCTTTTTCTTGACTGTCAGCGAAAAAATTTCCGCTCCACTCAGTTCGTTAGGTCTCAAATCACCAAAAGACCAAAAGTTCAAAATGTCTTACGGAGGAGGTTATTCCTCATCTCGCGACCATTACGGTGGCGGCCATCATTCTGGCGGAAGGTGAGTTCTTTTTCCGCTCACGTCTCGGCGAGCGTTGCTTTGGATTACTTTCCGAGCACAGTCCTGCGTCGAGCTCGTCTCATCTCCTTCTTGACTTGTGCTGATTAGCATTAAAGTGGTTACAGAAGCGGTGGCTACGGTGGAAGCAATGGATATTCTCATGGTAATTCGAACGGCTATGGATCCTATGGTGGCAACTCCCACGGTAGTGGTGTCGGCTCACATGGAGGCGGCCATCACGGTGACCGGATGTCCAATCTCGGTTCTGGTTTGAAGCAACAAGAATGGGGTATGTTAAATTCCACTAATTCCCTCGTGTGTCTTTTGCTAATATTTTGTCTAGATTTGAACGCCCTGCCTAAGTTCGAGAAGCACTTCTACAAGGAACACCCCAACGTGACTAATCGCTCCGCACAAGACGTGGAAGCTTTCCGAAAAGAACATGAAATGACTGTCTATGGAAAGAATGTTCCTCGCCCCGTTGAAACATTTGACGAAGCCGGCTTCCCCCAATACGTGATCTCTGAAGTTAAGGCTCAGGGATTCGCTAAACCCACACCCATCCAATCTCAAGGTTGGCCTATGGCCTTGTCTGGGCGCGACGTTGTTGGTATTGCAGAAACCGGGTCGGGAAAAACTTTGACATATTGCTTGCCTGCTATCGTCCACATCAATGCTCAGCCTCTGCTCGGCCCTGGCGATGGGCCAATCGTACTTGTTCTGGCGCCAACTCGCGAGTTGGCCGTTCAAATCCAAGCCGAAATTACAAAGTTCGGAAAGTCTTCACGCATTCGAAACACCTGCGTCTACGGAGGTGTCCCAAGAGGACCTCAAATTCGCGATCTTTCCCGCGGTGTCGAAGTCTGTATCGCCACTCCTGGTCGTTTGATTGATATGCTTGAAGCGGGAAAGACAAACCTTCGTCGGGTTACTTACCTCGTTCTCGATGAAGCAGATCGCATGCTTGATATGGGTTTCGAGCCCCAAATTCGGAAGATTATCGGGCAAATTCGTCCTGATAGACAGACTTGCATGTGGTCGGCTACCTGGCCAAAGGAAGTCCGACAGCTTGCTCATGACTTTCTCCACGATTATATCCAAGTATATATTGGATCCCAAGACCTCTCCGCTAACCATAGGATCACCCAAATCGTTGAGATTGTGTCGGATTTCGAAAAGCGTGATCGCATGATCAACCATCTCGAACGTATCATGGATGACAAGAAGTCCAAGATCCTCATCTTCACTGGCACAAAACGTGTGGCAGATGATATTACCCGATTCCTCCGTCAAGATGGATGGCCAGCTTTGTGTAAGTTGGAAACACCACCCCTCCCATGTATTTTAAAGCATGACACTAACTGATTTAAATATATAGCTATCCATGGTGATAAGCAACAGAATGAGCGTGATTGGGTTCTAAATGAATTCAAAACTGGCAAAAGCCCGATCATGGTAGCCACTGACGTGGCTTCGCGTGGTATTGGTATGATCAATTTGAACTATCCCCTTTCCCCCATCCCTTCATCATTATCCCTCACCCGTATTGATGTCGTGTGACCTTGACCCAATGCTGTGCTCTCTTCAGATAACATGTTGGTAAAACATGTTCTCTCTCCATGCCTCAGGGTCTTTACTTGGTTCTCGCTTTAAAGGGAACCTTGGACTTACAGTGCAGTGTAGCATGCCGTGCTTCTAATTGTGCCTCTCTACTTCATACATTCCTCGCGACCGTAGAGGGGCCAGAGTTCTATATTTGAGCTTTTTAGACTGCATTTCCAAGGTTTTGCCAGGACCAGGATCAAGTGCCATCCTATGGACTCTGATACAGTGAATGATGCTGAAACTGGTCCGAGAGAGTAACGCACAAGTCCACACGCCTGAGAAAGGGCTCCAGTCTTTCGTCTATAAAATCTAGCTCCATGTTTGCTAACCACCAAGCTGTATGAAGATGTGCGCGACATTACTCATGTGTTGAACTATGACTATCCGAACAATTCGGAAGATTATGTTCATCGGATTGGTCGTACTGGCCGTGCCGGTGCTAAGGGAACGGCTATTACGCTGTTCACCACTGACAGTAAGTCCATGCCTACTATTGAGTACAAAGTCAACAGCAGTGCTAACAGTTATGATAGATGCTAAACAGGCTCGTGATTTGGTCAATATTCTCACCGAGTCCAAGCAGCAGATTGATCCACGCCTTGCAGAGATGGCCCGCTTTGGCGGCGGCGGTGGAGGCGGCGGCCGCTGGGGTGGTCGCGGCCGTGGCCGTGGAGGTTTTACCGCCTCAAATGCTGCCCCTCTCGGCCATAATCGCCGCTGGTAGAATACGTAACCCTTCATCGAATTTCGATATTTCCTTATCGCGATTGTCAAATTGCCCACGACCGAGTTTCTTTCATATTGACCCTTATAGACTGTTACGGTTCAACACGGGCGGCGTTTCGATCTAGATTATGTTTCATATTGCATTTTACGCATCTGAATGGTTTGCCGTCGACGTTGAGGAACTAACAAACATTGTTTCCATCAGTAATACCCTCGGCTGGCTCATAACTGCCAATTCATATGCCATACTGAATTTTGTTTACATCACCTTTGCAGGTTACCTCTTTCGTTCAAAAGAAAAAAAAGATCGTATGACCCTTTATAGTTGCTGGGGATTTACCGTGCGCTTTACCAGTGCTTTCTAGCTCTGGCTGGTCTTGATGATACCTGTACTTAATCAGTTTAGAAAATTAATAGTTCTTAGTGTTGGATACCATGAAAGTGTACTCCGTATAGTTACCCGGTTGCCTGAGCTCTTAGGCCTCTTGGTTTACACGTGAGAAGGCGGCCCTTCTCAAGGTCCAAAGGAGCCACCCCACTCACCAACTCCAAAACATCCACCAAGCCATATTCTAGGACACATAGGTGCCAAGCTTAACAATACTCAGTCCTCGACCGAGTCTATTCATAGAATAGAAGTCCTTCGTACTTGACCGGCGTAAGAGCCATGCCGGATGCCACGCCTGAGTTCTACACCGTTTGGAAAATTCAAGAGCATCTGACTATACCCGATCCAGAGGAAACGAAGACGAGATACCATACATACCTATTTATCCAGAAAAATGACACCCCCAACAATGGCTCCAATCATACTCCTACTCCTCCTGGAGATGTAAGCGGTTGGACCCACGAAGTTACCGGCGATATAGCCACCTCCACAGGGATGATATATATTCACAAATCCGTTACCGCTTCACCCGAGTATTCGGGGGCATTCTACGCCAAGCACCTGCTGGGTCGAGTTCGAGCGGATGCGTATCCGGACAATGTGGATGGTGTATGTCGCTCGATCAAACCGCCCGGGTGTCAGAAGAAATTCAATATGGTGACGATGAGGTATGAAGGGGTTGTTTCTGATGATGATGGCGAGGGAGGGAGGAAGTGGAGATTTTACGAACCTGGAGAAGAGCGGAAGGGATATTTTAAGTGTACAGAGTGGGTGGAGCGGAACGTTGTACCGAAGTTGCAGCGGGATGGGATCCTTGTTGATTGATCGCCCGATGGACAGGGCGGAGCGGGGCGGAGTGGGCATGGTTTACCCTTGGCACTTAGCTCAAAGAGCCTGGGTGGATTCTATTATATAGTTGTCGCTAGAACACTTCTGATATATGTTGTTCTCCCTCAGATATGAGTTGCGCTCGTTAATATAGAGCTCAAGCGGAGCCATCAAACCCAGAATCTTCCCATATACAATACGTCGGATCTATATGTATATATATATCTGAGGAGAGCAGAGTACCAAAATAGGCCTGGACAGCTGCAAATAACTGTTGATTTGGTTTTCTAATCCAAAATTGAGACGGCCGACGCTACCCATGTTCCACCATTAAACACTTCCGCAACTGTAATATGCACTATGCATAAAGATAACGACAACAAGATGGTTCAGCTTAAAAGATATTCCCCGCAAGAAAACAATTCCAAATGCAGATACAGTGTACAAAGTATCGCTTGACAGATAAATTGTTTGCAAAAGCACCCCAGTAAGCCTAGTGAAGAGATCCCAGAAAAATATTCGAACTGGGAAGAAGAAAATGGTATTTATACAGGATTTCGAAATTGGAAGATTTGAAGGCAGCTTAGATAGAAGATGCTTTTTCTGAAAACAGAGCAACATGCAGAAATGATGTCCATAAGAATAATAAAGACTAAGCTTTCGTTTTCCACAATCTTTCACAGGAAAGGAGAAAAACGAAGGATCGATTCATCACATCAAGGATTGGGATTCTCCGACGAAGAAGCGCGGTTGGACTGATTTTCATCTAAGGACGGCATGTGACTTATTGGGTTCAAAAGGCGGCGTAGCTTGAGTGACTGCGTTTTCAACTGAGCAAGTTCTGAATCACTTAACAGGGGGGCTATCGACGGATCAAGAAGGTCTTTCATCATGCCAGCGATACGCTTTAGTGTGCGATGGGATTCATCGGCTAGGGCCGCGGGAGAAGAAGCACCGTGCTCTCTAACCTCTTCCTCCTCGTCGTCGTACATCCGTCCACCTATTGTGCCGTTCCGCTGCCGGCTGATGATAAATTGTTGTAGCTTTTTGATGTGAGGGACCAAGTGTCTAACGGCGTCTAGAAGTCTATCTTTGTACAGCTGATTCTGACTCTTTCCTGGAAAGGAGCCCTCCTTCCTCGTATCCGCGTAAAGTCGTGCAGGGGAAACAGTCTCTCGAACAAGGTCAACATAAGCAGAGATAGGCTTAGGGTGTGAGCCGGCCCATGTGGTAGGCATAATATCTATCAGAGCCCCGGCTATATCGAGAATGTTCGGATTAAGCTTGTCACGAAAACATGTGCTGAGCGAAATCACAAATGTATTTGTAAAGGCTACTCCTTTAGGTATCATCTTGTTCTGGATGATTTCAAGGGACGCGGCGCTAGAGCGGGTGGCACGGAGTGTTCGTAGATACTCGTGGTATGACGTGCGGTCTGGGTCGATCCTAAATAGCCCATCCGGTGCCGTAAGAACGGTCCAATACTGTCGGCCGATAGCAGGTCCGCCAGCGAAATGCCGGCATGCTCGCAGAATTACCGTGAGTTCTCGGTTTGTTGGTAGAGGGTAGGCCGAAGCGGGGCTGCTAGGACGTGAAGCAGCTTTCGTGCGAACACCACCCGAATATATGGGCTTGAATAGATCGGAGGATGATATCTCCCCAGACTTCTGCACTTCACCCTGATCTTCCATCGTAGGATGACAGGAATTCTGTCCTTTCTTTCCTGGAGCATTGGACGATTCCGTACGTTCCTCGGCGGCACGGACAAGTTTCAACATGGCGTCAGGGCGCTTTATATTCATACTTTGCTCGAGCAATGCCAGCAGGTCAAAACAATCCCGTCTTCGACCTCCAAAGATAAGCAGATTTGCCATTTGGAATATGAGCCCCTCGTCAACAGCTAAAAGACCTTTGCGCCATTTGTCCGTCACTTCCATCCAAATTATACGCCCATCACGTATTGCAGGGATTTTCTTTTTCGCAATAATTTCAGCATCGTTAATTGGGTGCAACTTCTGCGTCGCTAGTTTGGTATTTTTGTGTATGGCATTTAGGATAATGGAGTATGTTATACTGTCAGGTGCATCTGGCCCACTTGAAGGGAGTTCGCCAGCTACCTCCCATAGGGTGTCCATATCATTGTGGTTAGAACAAACTTGTAGCATCGCATTGGTGTGGACGATCGAGCGTGGTGTTGAAGAGTCAGGCTTCAGCGAATTGTACAAGGACATTGCAATCTTCACCGCCTTCCTGGATTGGTGTTTTGATAATTCCCGAAAAAGGATGGTATATGTCTGCGCAATCGGTTTCACTCCTCTCTTTTTGATCTAATATCACATTCAGGAACAAATTAGCATATCTCCCCATCCAAAAGCAGAACGCAAAACCCACATCATTGAACAACTTAAATGCCATCTCTGGCCCATTCTTCTTCAACTCCTCGCTCAGTAGAGCATTCCACGACGCAATGGAATCTGCACCCTCCTTCTCCGCAGCCATGACCAGGGCCACCGCTTTCTCAAACTCGTCATCCGTAAGCATCTTCTCGATGCGATTCATGAGAGCCACCCGATCGTTTCCCACCCACTTCAACTCTCTCCGAAGAGCTTCTTTGGACGCAAACGGGTTCTCTTTCCGCATATAAACATGCTTGCATCGGACGCTGCCAATTGTCGACGCGGAAACCACACGGCGAAACACGGCACTTGCCGGTGTCGTTCTGGACAACAACATAGCCTTGCTTGATATATTTGCGCACGCCATCCTCTCTCATGCGCGGTACTCGCGCGAAGAAGGCCGGAGGCCAGGGTCCAAAAGATCGGCGGAGGTTAGGGCAGCGACCAATAGCCAATTCCAGCAGAGAGGGACTAGAAGTTTATACCAGCACGCATTATCTTTTTTTTTTCCTTTTCTAATCCAGATACTGAACTGTGAATATGGACAATAGATGGGAGTCCTGGGGCGTGTAGTCTACTGCGATTCTTCCGTCATTGCGAGCTTTTCAGATATATTGCCTAATCTTACCGCTTTCACGATACGGATCAACTATTAATGCGGGTGCCGAGGCTACCAGGGCAAGGCAAGGCGCCGCAGGTAGCCAAGCTCAACGGGAAGAACATCATAAGAGGTCGCATTTCGGCGCATCCACGACAATCTCGCCAATTCCGGGGTGACAGAAGGTTGTCTGACGAGACTCGTCTGGCCAAACTATGGATACTTGGTCCCATTCTCGGGAAAGAAAAAAAAAGTTACCACTTACACATGTTGTACAGGAAATACAATCTGAAGAAGATACCGCGAAAACCAAGAAAGATCAGTAAGAAGCCCATAGATGTGAACAGGGGGGAATAAGTCTGAGATTGCTGTCTGTATGGGGAGAGGCGACACACTATGAAGGGCTAACGCATAAGGAACGAAAGAGACTTTCCAACCAGCTATCCTGATAAAAAAGATCAAGGTGGAGATTTGGCCGGGGAGGTTCAGGCCTCTGCAGGCAAAAGTAGATTAAAAATGCCAATGCATGGCAAGAAGAAGGCTTAGAGCATCTCAAAACGGCCGTAAACGAGAAGAGAGGAAATCAAAAAGGTGGAAAAGAAAACGCCATCAACTTGTCATCCAGTAAAGGAAAAGGGTAAAATGGAAGAGAGAAAAAAACCAGAATGTTTAATGCACATCCCACCACCCAAGTCGAAAACCATCATCCATTGTCACATTATTACAAGTTCTTTCCCCCGTTTTTTAAAGCACCTGGATTTTTATTTTATGTTTCGCCACGCATCCTCTCTCCCTTCTATCACAAGATGTTAAAAGGAGAATATTAGTCGTAGAACACCAGATGGTACATGGAAAATGATATGATGCTGTAGTAGAAAATGGAGAATGGTATCAGTAGTGCATGGGCAGACCCTCCCTTTCACGAGGAAAACATTGAAGATAGCAGCGAAATATGTAGAAAGAAGGCTATTAAATAGTCGCACAAAAGTAGAAATGTGAAGCTGGGGGTATGTTTTGAAGAAGGGAGAAGAGGAGAACACCAAGAATTAATCTAGATGCTTTCGGTCATCAGTCGGGGCCATCCATGCTCGTGACCAGTCATTTCTATTGATAGTTGTTGAGCTGGCCATCTGGGCCTGTGAGTTCAGATGTCAGCAACAATATTTGATGTTGCAAGCCAGATGTGATTCGATTGACACCATGCCTAAACTAGACTGGAGTGGACATCGACACAGAATAGAGACGTGATCTTACTCACGGGCCGGTGGTGGGGGCTGTTGATAGACCTGATTTCCTTGGCCATATGGAGAGTGGGGATAATTGGTAGGATAGGTCGCAGGCATCTGTCCGTTGCCAGACGGATAAACAAGCCCACTGCCAGTCGAGTTGCTGTATTGACTTGGTACCTGACCGTCCGCAGGTTGATATCCGATGGGAGGAAGCTGGGGACGGACGCCGGCCGGGTATGGCGCTGGCTGTGGCGGTTGCTGAGCCGTGGTCACGTTGTTTGGGTCGGGGGGGGCGTTATTCTCGGCTCCTTGGCTCTGAGCAGCTGCCCGCTCCCTCTCCTCTGCAGCTTTGCGCTGGTTTTCTTCTTCCTTCTTGCGTGCCTTCCATTCTTTTCGGATTTCTTTGAACTCTGCGGATATCGAAGCCTTGTTAGTCGCCAGATTGCTCCAAACTGAAAAGCAGAGAAGCGCTAGTTCATCTTGGCATGACGTAGGGTTTAAAGTTCGGCGCCAACACACGCGCTACTGTAAATACGCCAGCACTGGCGCTGTGTAACACCAAAACTAGCTTGATGCGAACGCGTTTTGGTAGGCTAACGCGATTCAAAACAAAGGAAATCGTCAGAGGAAAATCGGAAAAATACATACCTTCGGGAGTACGTTTTGCTCCATGAGACTGCATTGTGACATGGGCATTCAAATGATTAAGAGTACCATACGCTTTTTCGCATCCGTTCCATCCACACTTATACATACGTTCAATTTCCTCATATCGTCGGCGCGGTCGCTTGTGTTGTTGGGAGCCGGGAATTGGCACGAATGAGTATACCTAGAATGCAAGAGCACGATCAGTCGCGTGTACGAGACGATGGAGCGCGCACAGTCGCAAAGACAGAATGTGGTCAAAACATACCTGTCCTGGGCGTGGTCCTGCTGTCGCTACTGGCGATGCAGTTCCGACAGTGGTTGCTGGAGAACTGTAGGGTCCAGGAAGGCCAGGCTGGTGCTGCCCGTATTGGTGAGGCCACTCTGGGCGCGCGTACATCTGTGGAGGCGGATGGCCTTGATACTGAGCCATATCATGGCCTTGAGGTTGGTAAGGGGAGTAGGGAGGAGGGTAGGTTGGGCTCGCCGCCGCGATCGAGGGATCTATAGGAACGTCCGTGTCAGACTTTATTTGCGTGGGATTGCGATGGTCATTTTGCTGCCCATCTTGCAGGTTCATGGACGGACTTGTTGCTTGAGCCATACCTGCCGCGCCGCCGGCTTGGGTATTAGGCGCGTGGTGGTATTGCGGCTGTCGAGCGAGATAGTCAGGATACGGCGCAGGTGGCCGTGCCGTAGCTGCCGGAGGAGGTGGAGGCGGAGCCTGAGCTGCCTGATTCAAGGTATATTCTGGTTGAGGCGTATTGGACGCAGAAATGTTGCCGGTGGCTCGAGATTCGGCGGGTGCTGTGTACTGAGCAGGTGCTCGGTTTTCCGGCTGCGACGTGTTGTACTGAGGGGACGCGACAGCAGCGGCGGCGGCGGCAGCAGCAGCAGCAGTAGTCTGGTCTGCGGCTGACTGTTCAGATTCCTGTTCCGCCAAGTTTGGAGGATCGGAGGTCAAACCTGACTGCGCGTAGTCTTGGGCAGGTCTGTCCATATAATAGACTTGTCGTGTGGCCTAACTAAAAAAGGTCCCTTGTATATCCTCCGACAAGTACCTCGCGATCTTAGCGGCGGGTGGCTTCGCTCAGTCCAGTAGATTGAACCGAAACAATTATATTATTATTGTATGGAGACGAAGAAAGAAGGGGTGTTCCGGTCACGAAAGAGCGCCGGTTCACAATATAGTCGACGGTGACCAAAGCAAGGTGTTCCTTTTTAGGTTCCAACCTGCGGGCGCGAAACAGGGTGCTCGACACCGCAGGCTAGTCCTTCAAAGGTTTGGCGAGGTAATTGGTGTTGTGGGCTGCACCTCAAACAAATCGCGTGGAAACTTGTGTTGGTCCAACTACCAAGCCTTCTTTTTAGACCCCTTTTTAGTTTCCTCTTAGCGAGAAAGACCTCCAGGGACCAGAGCCAGAGAAAATAAGTTATGCCTGAAGAACCAGACCAAACCAAGTATGGGCCGTCTCACACGCGAAGTCGGGATGGCGATGCTTAAGAGCGCGATCTTCAGCGGCAAAAGGCAACGAAACGCAGTAGTCCAGGAGGGGAAAGGTCTGGATTGGCGAGGTTGGATGTCGAGGGCAGAATACGATGGGGGGGGATTTTTTGACGGAGTGTTTTTTGAGACGATGGTGCAGCGGTGGCAACTCTCAGTTTTTGAACTAAATTCGAGCCAGTTGGAAAAAGGTTGAAATATTTTAGACCGGCAAAGATTGGTCTTTTGCAGTGGGACCTGCAGCAGGAGCAGCCGATAAGCCAACGCGACCCAAAGGTCTCTTGCAGAGTTTGGTATGGTTGAAGGGGGATAGCCGACGGGGTGGTTGAACCAACGGTGGAACCGTTCCGCAGGGAAGAGGATAGGCAGAGACAGTTGTAGCGTCAAAAAGAAAAGAAAAATAATAGTTTGGCGGACGCTTGTGCTGAGTTAAATGTACCAAGATGTTATGCGTGAGGTGTGTATAAAACGGTACCGATGTTTGTACACTTCTGGACCGTACGAAAGTAACCCAAACGAGCCTGAGAGTCCCCTGGTTTGCTGGCGGATACGATGAAATCGATGTGAAGGGTGGAGATCGTAATTTTCCCTTTTTTTTTTTTCCTCTTGCTGTCCCTTTTCCTGCCTTACCCCTCTTGCTCCACACAAAAGTTAGTGAGGATGTGGGAGAGCTTTCAGATTCACGTATATAAAATTACACGTGCCCTATGGGGAGCCTCCCTTCCCTGGCTCTCTGTAATCTCCTTTTTTTTTTCTTAAGAAAAAAAAAAAAAAGCCAACCGCGTTTGTTATGAATATCCCCTGTCTTCGACCTCGTCAGGTTGTCGAACCCGGCGCTGCCAGATCGCGGCGGATGTGGAGAAGGAAAGCTCGTTGACTGCCAGGGAGAAGAGTCGAGCCAGGATCAAGCCTTGATATTTGGGGGCCAAGTCGAGGTGAGAATCCTGGCTAACGAGTTTTGCCGGAATTTGATAATCCGATAAAGCAACAGGGCCCCACTTGACGAGATTGGGTCACCCTGCTCCGTTCTCAAGTCCAAGCAGGGGTGTGGAGAAATTGCTTCGAGAGCCGTCGCGGGCAATAATCGTTGGCTTGTGAGGCAACGCGATGCGAATGGATGTACTGTGTACGAAGGGCCAAAGCTAAAAACGTCGCGGAACGGCGATGATGCGGATTGTCGACCCTCCTTGGTGAGAATCCCGATTTTTGCTGCCGCTGGAGGCGAGAAACCTCTTACCTCTCCGTGGTCTTGCAAAAAGGAGCAGCCGATGTGGAATGAGCTTGGACCTCCCGCCTCGGATGGAGTTTGGTGAGAATTTTTTTTTTTTTTTTTTTTTTTTCTTGTGACTTTTGGTGGCCCACCGATACGACCCACGCGCACTAAGGCTTTAGTACCAAGGTTATTTTGTTTTATTTTATTTTTTTTTGGCGGTAATTTCGAAAGATCAGGACGGAAGCGTGTTGGACTCGTGGTTCGTCGCACACCCAAGGATGGAGTGAAGGTTGAACTAGTCGAAAACGTCGTAGTGTCGACAGTAGCGTTGGAGGTGTGGTGCAATGGGATAGCTTGAGATGGGTTTAGTGTGGTGCCTGCTAGTGGGAAAAGAGGAAAAAAAGAAGGGAGCGCGAGAGAGGGGAGGAAGAAGGAAAAGCCGGGGATGGTTCAGACAGGCGAAAAGGAAAGAAAGCCAAAAGGCGTCGCTGGCTGTGGCGGGAAATCCCAGAAATTGGTGCCACGAGTTTGGGCCAATCAGAATTCGCCAAAAGTCCTTACCCTTGTCGCGTATCGACATTTACGTGTATATTACGCTTTTAGTTGTGACGGATTCTGGAGATGTCCGGTACGTTACGGGTGTGCACGCTGTCCTGTACGGAACCCGCGCTGGCTTGTTCCTCGCCGCCGCCAGCGCTTCTTGGTTGACGATCAGGACAGTCTGGGGGGAACTTGGAGCCGCACGTCAACCCTGAGCAAGCTGGGTCGGAAAGACTGTGAGCGAAGCATCTCTTTCTGGAGCCTGCCAGAACATGGAGAAAACTCTGGAATTTTGCCACGGCCTACAACCGAGGATACAGAGCAACTTTCACAAGATATTCTTGAAGAGGAGGTATGGAGCATGTACTTCATACTGTATCTTACATTTAACATTACATAGCACGCTGCAAATCATGCAATCGGCGTCCACAACCTCGCAATTCACGCAGTACCGAAATATGTACAATCCTGATCGGTTTTCTGGAGTCATTTTGACAAGCCACGAAATTTTGAAATCGACAAAAATCTTACGGAGTAAGCAAGCGAACTCGCAAAGGCGTGTTTCAGGGTACCCGTATGCTGGTGCCGCGGTGAACATCATCGCAACCAAGGCACGAGAAGGTGAGGGAGCTCAGGGCATTACGAAGTTTCATGCATGAACATTCATCCATCCGCATTTGGAGGTCACAAGCCATCGAGCATCATTGTTGCGGGAGAATTGATATACATACGGAGCACACGTCCCGACAGAAGGACTTGCAGGAAGGGCCAAGAGGATTGAAAACTCGGATACTACCCTAGCATTTTCCCCGCCTCCCCCCGGCCACCATCAGACCTCATTGCTTCAAGCTTTGCGGGAAATAATCAGCTTTGGAAAGATATGTCTCCAGACACTCTTGCCCCGTGAGCTCTCCGTGTGGAGTCGACTGACTCCGTACTCCGTACTCTTTCGCTAAAAGTTGATCATATTCGAACGGATCCGTCGCCATCCTTTCCCACCACCCGTGTTTGACATAACATCCATATGCAAGTCAGCAGTCTAAGGAGAGCAGCTGTCTTCAGCAACTTGAAGCATCGAACTTGATGCCATGCGCAACAAGCTTTCCTAGTGCCAGATTCCCACGTCAATCTGAAGCGAATCCATGGAAATCGCCCAACGTTGACTCCCGGGCGGCTTTGCTGCCTGTGGCTGGGCATCCGTCGCTGGGGACCGGCGCTGTTACAAGCGCAACTAGAGGCACAGCATGTAGAGCTGGTCACGGGGCCACTCGCTTCCCCCACCCAATACGAGCCAAGCCCAGCCTGCAGCTTCCAGGGCCACCCCAAACCGAAACCAAGAAGTTTCTCCAGTTTATCGGGATTTCGGGAATTAGCGAATCCCCAGAAGGAAATTGGGCAAAAAAGAGACTCTCGGACTTCAGCGCGATTTGCTCATTTGCCCGCCAGCTGGGGAGGCGGATGCGAGACCCAATCCCATGAGTATGGCTGGCTATTCTTGCCTCTTGTCGCGGTACCCGCTGCACAGGGCATTCGATGACGAAGTATTCTTTCTATTCTTTCATATCCCATGCAGAATCGCACTGTTGTTCGTCCTCTCAGCAAAACTTCCCTCGGAGTTCTCGACACTGTCCTCCGTACTCCGTAGAGATGGACAGAGTGCCTGGTGGATCGGCCCCCTTGCCAAACGCTGATCCTGTCTTGGTGTGGAGCAAAGATCCCTGGAAGTATTCTGACAAGGTCCTCGAGAGCAGGCCACAGCTTCAGTTTCAGTGCCGGCAAAAGTGCTGATCACAGGCAGATTTCTGTCTTCCTGCCGCTCCTATCAAAAGTACACTTTCTGTTCAATATGCCACGGGAATCTTGCTTGGGGACACGTACGCATGTTTGATCAAAATGAAGGCGCCTGTTTCGAAGCCAGATAAAACCACGATGCACATCGATTGCAAGTCGGTCAGGATCGATTTTCGAGAGCGTGTGTAAACTCATCCAGCCCTACAATCCAAGCTAGCTTGAGATCTTCTCCAAAAGTGAGGAAAAATAGTCGCTGTACCAAACTAACAAGGGCCGGGGGGAAAGGCAGAAGAAGGCGCGAGACCGCCCGGTCAGGACGATCGAAATTCTAGAAGCTCTCCTCCTCTCTTAGTCTCGTCTGACTTGGGATCCTCGTCACTTGCAAATGTTGTGTCAGTCTTCGAGGCTGGGTGTATGGAGTACTCTGCTTGTTCATTCGGCCAGGCTACTACAGCTGTATGGAGTATAAGGAATACATGCGAGGCCATACTGACACCCTAAGAGTTTGTACTGTACGGAGTACATATATGTACCTACTCCGTACTCGCCTACCAACCCTCTCATGTGTTACCCCGCGATTTTGTGCAAGAGTACGGAGTACTCCGTACTTAATTCGGGGTGCGAAAACTGGAGTACAGAGCCCCAATGCTAACTTCTCCAACTTCCAGGGAGAGCCGCGGCTAACTAAATTAGCCGTGGAACCTCAACGCACAATCTTCAAAAAGTTCTCCATACACAGTGACTCCATTCGTCCATGCATGAATGGAGAAAGAGATTTAGTCACAATCATACTGCCTGGCCTGGCTACAAGCAGCAATGCTCGAGGCGTGTTGCTGTCAAGCTTTAGTCGCCCGAAGGGAACGTGGGGTTTGAGTTCCTCTGCATGTCCAAACCGTGAAATTTGTGGAGTTGCCCTCAGGTCCTCCAGACAACCTTTTAAGTTTCCGCTTGTGATGCTTGAGGAGAAAGCTTTCCAAGCGTGATACCAAAATTACGAAACAACCTCGCTTGTGGCCACGCTACGGGTTCTGTGCCTGGACTAAATAGACGCCAGAGCTAGTGGGAGGCCGGTAGCTCCGTGTCAGGCACTGTTCGTCGACAGCTGGTTATCAGAAAAAAAAAAGGATGGTGTCACCACCCTGGGGAGAGATATTTGATGTGAATATCGCCATCTGAAAAGCCACACAAGCTCTGCCGTGTTCATGGTTCATGTTGGCATTTCTTTACGCCTCTCTCCCCTCAGCCCTCAGGTACGCCTCGATTACCCCAAATGGGCAATTGAAGGAAGGCTTTTTCTGCGGGAAACCTGAAAAGTTTCAAAATGCTTGGCAGGGCTTTGCGGCGTTCCCCGGCAACAGTTGGATCAACTTTCGACAGGGATACGTACCCGGCTGAGCCTTTCCATATTTGTCAGCCGAGAAAACCCTGAGCCACTGCTGCAACGCACCCTCCATCCAAAACAGTTTCAGACATCGAGAGACCGATGGAGACATCTTATCTTCTCGCTACCCGGAGGATGTACGGATAGTCACCCGTTTATCTGCAGGTTTACATGCGCTTGCGCTTGCGCTCGCGCTCTCGGGCACAACACTATCGCGGAGCCCGGCCGTCGATCATTTCAACGCAACGCTGTTGTTGAAAGCAAAAAAGCCAGCCGTCGATCCAGTACGGAGTATCAAGAGTTGATTCAGAGTTTGAGGAAAGGATAGTCCGCAAACCCAGCCATCGAAAGTTGCAAGGATTGGCCGTACCGGAAGGGCACGCGGGATTCCAAGTCTATCCATGCCTCCAACCGCCAATAGCAAGGAGAATTGAATTGGCATGCTTTCGTTGAACCACATTCCTGGATTTTCGCGAGCCAACGAAGCAATTGCATATCCGGTGTTGCAAGCTCGGAAGAAGGAAGGCAAGACCAGAGTTTGCCATCAAGCACAGCACTTGCTTGATGCATGATCCTCGTAAGCAAGCCACATGAAGTCAGATTATTTTGATGCAGTCCGTTGGGGACGGATCGAGACCGTTTTCCCATTGCGATCTACTTGACTACTTGGGTCGAGATACATGGAATGTCTCCATTTGGACCTCCGGATTAACTCAATGCGTATGCATTCTGCATGACCCGCCCTGTTCGGCATTCCACCCGAACCTTAACCCACGAGAAAGAGGGTGCAAGGAGTCAGGGATACGAAACAAGACAACCCGAGATCAATGCTGAGCGAAGGCCTGGCCGCTGAACCCTCTGTGTGAGTTCCTGCCGAACTCGAGCTTTGCCTTATGTCAAGGAAGAGGGAGAAAAAAAAAAGAAAAGAAAAGAAAAGAAAAGAAATAATAATAAAAGAGACACGAGTGAATGAAGAAATGAATGTCATGCCATGGCCGTTGTCCCTCAAGCAAGCCGCTTTTTCGAGGCCACGACACCCAATGGCAGCGCCAAACTTGGTTGTTCCCCGCACGTTTGGATGGAGCCACCGAGTCAGGAACGCCCACTTACGAGGTCACAACTTTTGAAAGTGGTTATTGGCCAATTAGCATACCGGCTTTGCGCCGAACCCGCATATCATTTGACCGCGGGAAATATGATTCGCCCGGATCAAGGAGACCAAAGCAAGTCAGCCCCTGACCTCAGCTTTTGGCTTGACTTTTTGACGAACAGAGTAAAAGGCCGATCAACCCCTCAAAGCCGCCAGCCAAGCCTGTCGAGATTGTTATCTTTCACTCAGGCTTTCAACTCCCGGACACGATGCGGAGTTATCTCCATTTCTTCAGATGAAGAGATTTGTGCATCTAGGCATACAGCAGTTATGCTTTGCCGCTGAGATCATGGCACTTCTCAAAAAGCATGAATATTCCTCTCAGCCAGCTCAGGTTTAACCTCAAGCATGGCGCCTACAATCAAGGCAAAAAATGAGTCACTTTTACTGCATCCATTTAGCCTCCAGAGATCGTTGCATTGCATTTCTCGTGGCTGTTCCCTTTGGCCACTTTGGGTTCAAGCTCGAGCACAACACCGACAATCTGTTCAGAAGTGAAAAATAAGTGGCTATTATCGCAACTCTGTTGCGATGGTGGCAACCATCCATAGATATGAAGGACAGTCTCACAGATGACATTGTGCGAATACTCTGGCAGATATCGCCCCCATCGCAAATCTCTCAAATTCCTCGGAGCGTTCTGACAGCCCACCTGTGCTGGCTTCAATCTTGCTTTAAGCCAACCACAGTATTCAAGGTTGAGTGAAGTCCTCATGCCTTTTATCCCATTGGAGGTGGAATGTCAGCATCCTATCATATGCCATGACCAAGAGCTCTTTGTCCTCAGCATGTATGGAACACCTTTACACACGAGCACGGCATATTTCTCACCTAGACATACCAAATACATTGAGACAGCCTAGTATGCGTAGAGATATACTAGCAGAGCTTAAGCTGGGTCAGTCAATCAATTTACTTTGATCTCAAAGATAAGGAACGGAAGGTGCAGACCCTCAGATTCTTATGGATATTGATCAGTCATATCGCGAGTGGAAAAGCCTGAACCATTAATTGTAATACTCCGTAGTGGCAATTGATATAGCAAAAGATTGAGCAGAGAAGGGTGTCTTCATCCTTTTGCGCTTCTCTTTCTTCAGCTCTCTTCCCTGTTACCCAGCATTCATCCATTCTGTGCATATACCCCGCTGGACCACTATAAGGGCAAACGGCTTATTTGAGAAAGCCTATGATATGCATCTATTTATCAAAAAATTTGCTCTCGGACCTATCATAGCTCACTACTTCTGTCCATCATAACAGTCTCATGGTCCGCAAACCATAGCAGCAAGAATATAGGCACCTTCATCAACAGTGTCGGCTCCCCTTCAAGAAGGCCTATATAGTGGCGAAATATCAAAACAATCTCATCAAAGCATGTATAACTTCAAGCGAATCTTTCTTCAAACACAGGTTGTGGGCCGTGGCCTTGCGTGAATTCCAACACAAGAACCTCGTTCTCCGAACACTTATTTGAATGCACCCTAGAAATCACATTGGCAGTCAAGTGTCCACGGGCTATGTGAATGTAAAACCCATGAGAACCAATCACAAAAACTTCCTGGTCTTGCAAACCTGTGCCTCCATGTAACATGTTGTACATTGATGGTTTTGGCAACATATCCCAGCATCACACTAAGTGTCTAACCCAGAAATTCACACCAGATCTGCCCTTTAAACCACCAAGGAGTGTTAGAAAGATGCACATAGAGGGAACAAGCATCTTAACCAGATATTCACACCCTAGCGCAAGAGGTGATTCGCAGGCATTCCTTTCGCGCGCCAACAGTAGCTGCACCCTCTAGCCTAGTGATGATTTGTTCACAACTGAAAACTCACTTCAGGCCATACCCTGATATTATAAATCTATAGGGATTGTTATAGGAATGAGCCTATTTATGGGGGTAGCCACTCACTGAATTTTAGGGCCTTTGATACTTTCATAGCTAGAATAGACAGCCTTCATCAACTTCCTTAACATCTTACCTTGCAATCTTATACAGTGCGTGAAACACTCTCTCTTTGACAGGTTCAAGCTTTTCATGACCAAGGCAACTGTCTTAACTCTTACTTGCTCTCAAAGCATGGTTAACTCCTGTGTCACCCCGCTCATGTTCTCTAGCCACTCCCGGGGACTTCAACTTGGCGCATTAGGAAAAGATGATCAAAATATCTCTAAACTTGCACTCCCCTTCCTCTTCATTTGCAATATTAGTATGGCAGAATACCCGACGGATTAGTTTCTCCACATCACTCTCTGATAATGTGTTAGTAATAGAAAACGTGCAAGCTGTAGAGTGGAGCAACCTGTGGAGTGCATTCTGGTTTTTATAAATTATACTTTCACATTCAATATCTACAGCTGTAGCAATTCATCCATCAAGATCAACGAGCCTAGAACAAATGAATGGCTGCCAACATATCAGCAAAGAGAGGTATGTGGTGGTCAACAAGAACGAAGGGACAAAGCCAGGTTCTCACTCCTGGAGGATGGATGATAATGGGTCGGGATATACGGAGTAGTAGATCTACTGTTCAAATGTTTAACCTCCATCAGGTTAAACGTTTTTTCCGAAACTCAGATTGACGTACCTATCATCGACAGTACTTCGTAGTGCTGAGGAAACCATATTTAGAACTGGAGAGGAACATTTTAAGGCCACTGGATACTGGCTTGGAAATCCATGATCGACTTATATAATAAACCGTTGATAGTTAACATATTCCACAACCGAGCGGGACAACCAAGCGAGCGGGACACCAAAATACACATACAAATCTCAACTTTTTGCTCTCTCATATCTTAACAAGTCTATGTCTGATCATTATAAAATGAAGAAGATACTATACAAATATAATAAACTTTGTAAATTATAAGAATTATCTATATATAATAATTATTTCTTATAGTATTTTATTATCTTCTTACTAGCATGTATCAAAAGTATCTTCACAAATAATAGAGTTAAATAAATCAAATTGATAATACTGTTTATTAAGTGTCTATATACTCTACATCTAAATTCTAAAGTCTATATTCAACGATGTTGTTGAGATAGAAGAGAGCAAAAAGTTGAGATTTGTATGTGTATTTTGGTGTCCCGCTTGGTTGTGGAATACGTTAAGTTAACTACCATAGATATGGTTGTTCCCAGAGTTCTCCCGTCCAGTTGGGATCCAAAAATCCGAAACCTTTCTAACTTTTCTGGTAATACGGCTAACTTGGTCTGGAGTTAGTTAACTAACTAAGTAACTAGTTACTAGTTACACAAGCTTGCAGTTAGCTCCTTTCATGAGCAACGCAATTCTCTATTAAAAGTCACGACATCGAATGTCGACGACAGGCAGGTCATGGTCGTGATTTTTTTAAAATCTTTGGAATCCCGGGATTTATACGGCTAGGTATCATTGCTCTTGTTATTTATATCAATGCTTAACAGGCATGGCTTCGCTATGGTTTAGTTTGGTTCCCGAAGCTTTCCTGAAGCTCCATGATGTGCTCGTCTGCCTGGCGAAGTTCAATGACGCGGTGTCTATTGAAGCAGAACATGATTTTGTAGGAGATTTCATTCTTGCACGCACGTTGCTGGAAAGAGTACTGACTGGGCTTCAATCTTCTGTGCAACGTATTAGCTTCGGCTCTCGACCTTGAACCCTTCAAAGTCTGGCTATGCCTCGTTCAAATTTGATAGTGGCTCGTTCTTTAGCCAATTTTCTTTTGATAGAAGGATGCGCGGTAATACTACCGATACTGGGACAAGGAGTAATACTGCGAAGTTGTCATGCCAGTTGTATATCAAGGTACTACTCTCTAACCCTCTTTTTTGTTATTATATTTCATTCTAACCTGAACCTCCCAAGGCACTTCTATCTGTATTCAAAGGGCGGACTATTGATTTCAAAGACAAGGATACGGCTGTCGAAGAATGTAAGGTCCAAATCTTTGATGGTTTGGATGAGACTGAGTGCAGGGTCGTCATTCAAATAATTTGCAAGCATGGTATGAAGTACTGACAACATCCCTTTGTGCTACTTGCAGCCTGCTGAGGGAGTATAGGGGTTGTAAAAACCTACAAGTTGATCTATGAGCCTGTGGAAGTGCAACATGCGGTTTTCGACAAGTCCAAGACGCAGAATAAATGGGTAATAGATTCTAAATTCCTGCGGGAAATTGTGGAATATTTCGGGCCTACAGCCGAGCAACTTGATATATTTACAGATAACGGAAAGGCTATATTTACGAGTTTTACTACGAGAGTAACGAATGGGAAAGGTAGGGCAACACATGCATTTGTGGATCCTATGGCGACACTGGATCTAATGATATACGCAGAAATCCTGAAACAACCCGTTCATACATCCGTTGCAATTGACACCAGAGATTTTGAATCTCATCTTGTCGAGGAGAGACTCCATGTGGCGATAAGCGTCAAGGATTTCAAAGCCATAATTATGCATGCAGACACGCTCAAAACAATGATTACTGCTCGGTATACTCGGCCATGCCGTCCGTTGCAGTTTTCATATGAATCGGGTGGTATTACTTGTGAGTTCACGCTGATGACACGAGGAGAAACCGAAGATATCGACGTGTCTTCAAATGGTGATGCACGCGAGCTATCCGCAAGATCATATTCTCGACCTCCGCAAACGGCTTCCGTGAATAATGGGAGTACTGCTGTGGTGGAGCATGGGGATCCTTCGAGGAATGAATCTGCCCAGGCATCCTTCCGAAGAGGAACCATCGAAGAAACTCCGCAGGAAACACCAGCAGCAGCGTCAGCCTTGCTTGATCCAAACAGTTTGTTCGTCCCAATGGATGACGATCGTCAATGGGACGAGCCTCAATATGGAGACGAACAAGAAGATATTCTTGGTTGGGATGCGAGTATAAACCATGTAAGATAACATGAGCTCTTTTTCGTTCCTGCATCTTTACTAATGTGATATAGCAGGACGTGCAGCCCAGCTTTGTGGGAACAATCCAAGATCGCAACGTCACAGTTGAAGAAAGCGAGCAACGGGCACGCGAGACCGAATCAACAGCTATTCCCCCGACTCAAAGAATATCTCAGGTATGCCTTATCACTACGTTTAGATGTAAAATTCGATGGGGAATATGCGGCGCTTCTCCACTGAATCGTTGCATTTTTATGTAGGTATACGGGCTAACCATAGCAGATACGAGGATTGTTTGACTCAAGCGGGTGAAAGATAAACTGTCCTCGGAGGATTCAACAATTGGGATTTATCATCCGCTGGAAGTTTTCGGCCCAGTCATTGATCACATCGTTAGTGCTCCTCAAAGGCCTGAGGTCTTTCCTCCGTCATAAGCCAGCTGGTAGCGCAGCCCGCCCCGACTGCAGTAATGTTAAGTCCTTCACCACCAGCGGGTGGGACTTTTGCATATCGTCCCACGACATTACCTTGATCGTTAGTCTCTGGACCACAGTTTCCGTGCTCACCCCATCCAAAAGCGACTACTCGTTTCTTGTCGATAGCAGCGACAACGTGTTCACTTCCGATTCCGATCAAAGGGACTCTGGGAAAATCAGGCGGCGGTAGCTGCCCGCGGTCATTCCGACCCCACGCAGTAATGGACCCATCGAAATTGTGACTGTAAATACCATGCCAACTTGCAGCGACGGAATTGTAGCCCTTCAGTGTCGATGGGGCTCCAGACTGCACCCCCCATTTATCTGAGCCAAGGATCACCAGGGACCCTTCTTCTGCATCCCCCACAATTATAGTAAACTCCCTCCCACACGCGGCGTTCCTTGCTTGGAAAGGAACATTGACTCTCTGTGGAGACCAAAATATCTTCTTTTTAACTCCTGATTCTCCAAGTTGGCCTTTTCTCGCATTGCCCCAGCCATATACTTCCCCATTAGATAGTATCACCACAGTGTGTCCAACACTGCCAGAAATCCCAACAATCTCCGTACCCTTAGGCGGAAAATTCGGTATCCGTGTCGGGACATTCATTTCAGTGACATTCTCTCCGAGGCCCAATTCACCTTTCATGCCCGTGCCTGCAACATAAACATACCCAGTGCCTGCTTCAACAAAGCATGAAGATTCCCATGTAGCCGACACAGCGGTAAACCGGTCAACTTTCCGCTCGCCATCATAGATAACAACCCGGCTAAACTCGAGTAATATTTCCGCGTCTTCTGGGGCATATGCACATCTCCCGTTCCCATTCGACCCCGCCGCATACACCGCGCCAGAGCTGAAAAGGGCAAGAGTATGGTTTCCTCCCGCGGCCAGGCAAAATGGCACGTTGTCATTGTAGTTATTGGGGGGCGCGTTCGTGGCAGCTTTATCCATCGAGGTAGGCTCCCATTTGATGAGACATCTTGTTGGGCAGGCAACGTCTTCCCTGTGACCAAGGCCGAGTTGGCCGGAGCCGTTGGAGCCGAAGGCGTAAAGGGCCATTTGAAAACCCTTTTTGATGGCTTTTTTTTCCTTTTTTTTTTCTTTTTCCGTTGTTTGTAGTCCTCTGGGCCTTTCTCTCTCTCTCTCCCCCACCTTTTCTTTTCTTTTCTTTCCTTTTTTTATTTTTTTTTTTTTAGAGGAGACTTTGTGCTTTATTGAATCTCTAAGAATTGAGGAATATGGTATGCTCTCTTGCTCCGGAAATGGCTCCCCCACTCGGGGCAGGGGATGCTTTAACAGGGAGTATCACCACCGCAGAAACAATCACTTTTGTGAAGAGTGTCAGCTTCCCCTTCTGCTGTGCATTTATGGTGGCCGAGACTCTATTCCATGCGATGCACGACAAAGCTCTCTCCCGGGCATTGTCCGCATCGATTCACATCAATCTTCACGTGACTCTTATCAACAGCCCGCGCGAGACACTGGGGTTTTTGAATACCATGATATTGTGTCAATATCCGAAGAACTTCACCATTATAAGAGGTACTTATTAATAAATCTCATAATTTATTTCTGTAGATTTCTTCTTCTATGAATAAAACCATATTGGAATCCAGTTATTTCACTTGCTAGCTTTGATAGAATATCATACATTGTAAATCTAGATGCATGTGGAGTTTATGTTGACAATTATCAATGAAGATCTTTCTGTGTTCACTGTCCTATGCCATATCATTGATGAAGAAGCTGACGAGAAATTTCTCATGAATGAATTCAATTTTGGTAAAGATCATTTTAAGTCGACAGACACCATGTCTATCTTCTCTGTGAACAAGAACTAAAAGTCTGCTTCCGCAAAAAAGAAGCAGTCCACTCTTGTCACTACTGATAAAGCAGGGAAGAGTGATGAAAATAATGTCAAATATCAATAATCAGACAAAGACTGATGAGAAATTTCAGAAAGTTGGGTTCTTCGTTCAGTCACATGATGTAATTGCTTTAATCTAATCATGTTTCAAGCGCCATCGTCGCATAACGGTTGACTTTGGCAGGGATCAGCCCCATCGGTCTCGATATATCCCTAAACCTCGCAAATCCCCGGCCCGCGGGCGAAATCGGAGGGTCCGGGTATATCATTTATGAAGGAAATGTCTATTCGTAGGGGTAGGGGCTGCTTGCGAAGCGTCTCGAAATGGTCAAATGGTGGATTAGGATAACAACAACAGACGGGCGTGGGTGATCTACTGCGTCCCGGACATCAGGTGACATGGAAGCAACTCTTCCGCTTACTGACTTGATGATCTTCCATTTTACTGCTATTCTCCGGAGATCATTATTTGATGAATTTCATATCAACATTTTTGAATCGGGGTCAACATCTAGGGTGCCCAGGCGAAAGGATTCACTCGATTTTAAGGTTCAGGGACTAGGAGATTCAGATCTTCCGATTCCATATTGTCTTGGAATCTCCCGACGCACGGAGTACGGAATACAACATAAATAAATGAGACCTGAATTTGAAAGTCATTAAAATCGCAACTATTACCTCTCGTTCCAACATGCTGAGGACGCAACGTCTTCAGCGACGGGAAATCACATATGCATCTGCTAAGGAAGAGGAAGTTAATGTTCTTCATCAAATGGGATATTATGACCAACAGACGAAATTTTTTGCTCATCTTAACAACCATCGTGATCAGATTAAGGACATCGTTGCCCGTCATCTTGGGTTAAGCTCGCCTGCTGTGTGCCATGTGGCAGAAGAAAACGACTGGTTGCATGGTTAACGCTTGCATTCCTGTCACCATCGTCGGCCCCTTTGGTATCCGTGTAATGATTCGATTTCCACTTCCCTACCGCATTGGCGAGGATTTCGGGCCTGGGAATGCCAATGAGAAAATTAGGTGCGAGGCAGGAACCTATGCGTCGCTACAAGAAAATTGCCTCGATATTCCGATTCCACGATTGTACGGCTTTGCTCTTTCAGATGGTGAAACTGTACGGCTTTGCTCGGAACCCCCTCTCTAATAAGCTAATTTAAATGAGTTTACTCCGTACTCAGCTTGAAAACTTACCGCCCTTAATTCAATGGATTCAACGTTTTAAGCGTCGATTCATTTCATGGCTAGGACATCCAATTCCGTCAAAAAACATCCGCTCGCAGAGGAGAAGCGATAACATCATTGGAACCGGCTATTTACTGATGGAATATATTGAACCAAGCCGAGGAACTATGCTTTCCAATACATGGATGGATAGTCAACATGATATGCAACTATCGACCAACCTGTTTCGTGATCCTTCCCGCATTTTCCTAAGCCTCATCCGAGTTCCGCGTCCTAGGATTGGCTCCTTTATTATTGATGATCACAAAGGCTTTTTGGTCCTAGCGTATCGGCCACTTTCCGTCGAAATTCAGCTGCTAGAGAATGGACGAATGTTAACAGATATACATCGCGATTATACATATTCAACTGTCGACTCCTATCTTACGGATATTCTAACATTTCATGTCCACCGTTTTCGGTATCAACCAAATGCGGTGAATCATCTTGAAGACTGTGTGCTTTCCAGCTGTCTTTTCTCACCGGAATGCGAGCAGTTTTCAAAATCCTTTTCCAAGCGAATTTGCGACGCGGCCCATTTATTTTGACTTTTACTGACATGCATCAAAGCAACATATTCGTGGATAAGGATAGCAATATAACATGCCTTGCCGATTTGGAGCGGGCTTGCTCCAGGCCAATTGAGATGTCCAACCCTCCTCACTGGCTGACTCACAAGGGAGTGGATGAGTTGGTGTTATCGGACTATGATGCAGTGCAAACAGAATTTATGGGCATTATGACAGCCAAGGAGAAGAGACAACATCCAACCGCAGTGGAAAGGGATAACAGTAAGGAACTTCGACAAATCCTCCCGGCTGTTATGAATAACAGTTGGGCAACTGGAACTTTCTGGTATACATTGGCGCTCTCCAGCCCTTCTGGCCTCTTTGGGACCTTTAAGGAGCATATCCGACCATTATTCTGCAGAGATTATATTGAAGAATTCAATTTAGTTATGCTCTTTCTTTGGAAAGGAATGTGGAATACATCGCAAGCCGCAAACTCTCGGATAAAGAACAGTACGACAAAAAACTCCGATGCAGATTGAGAGGAGCTCTCTTACGAACTTTTTCCTTCAGAGGAGCCTTGGTTGCCATCCCGGCCACCTTGAAAGTGATCCTGAACAGCGCGGCCGAGGGCCTTCATCGCTTCTCGGTTTGGCTTTCATTTCTTTTTTTCCTCGCAGCTTGGCCCGAGGAGCTAAGTAGTTGTAGAGTTTTAACATCAGCTTTGACCCAAACGACTGCCTCTTTGCCTTTGGTTCGGTCGGGTGAAGTCTGGTGTGCCACCTTAAAGGTGATCAATTATCTGCATTTATATGGTTAGGTAGGTATGGTGGGAACCGCGACCATATCAGAATTTCGTAGGCCTGAAAAAACTGGGGAACACTGATGAACCCACTGTGAACAGAGCCCAAAAGATTCCTGCAGCAGGAATGATGTCTTTACTGTTTTTCAAGTAAAAAACAGTTCTTATTTTTAAATATTTCTCTGTCTGAGAAATATTCTTAACTACGGAGTACTATAAAGTAATTTAAAAATAAAAATACTCCCGGAGTTATTGAGAGTCTAGAACCAAATCAAAGCCACTTGATCTCGTGGCCCATACCGCAGATTTCCTGTGATTCATCACAAGGTAGCCTTGCCTCCGCAACTCTGTCTTCCTCGTCTTCCTTTTAGGTAATAAACAGGGCTTCAAATATCAATTGATATAGACCTATTTCCTTGTGGAATTCTTGCTAATCAACAGTGGTTCTTTGACTATCTGGTTTCTATGAGAGTTGCCATACAAAGGTGGCGCAATTCTTATCCTTGGCGTTGCCAAGAACTAGCAGGATTTTTGCATACGACAATTTTACCCCCTATTGGTTGGCTGTTGAATGTGCTTTATAAAAAGTGGCAAGAATAAATTAACTAGTTAATTAACACTGATGGGGAACAAGCTACTTCGATGCCAAAGGCGATATTAGGACAGACATTAAAAGGCAGGTTAGGCCTCTGCACAGTCACCAAACAATTGCAAGACTGTGTTTAGGTTGTAACGTATGTATCAGTTTATTTATTGTAACCTTGGGCTTAGCGAGAGAATTCGCTCATTGACAGCACTTACAGGAACCGAAATAAGGCAAACACTGTTGTGAAATGTGTCAATCACTTCCCACTCCAGAACGAGCGCGACATCTTGCGCCAACTCCAAACCAAAACTCCATTTATACATCCGTTGC